TTTTTTTTTTTTTTTTTTTTTTTTGCTCTGTCGTTTTTCATTTTTTTTTTTTTTTTTCGGTAACCTCTCCTCAAAAGAGTGTGGTTGGTTAACAAACATATTTTTAAGAAACCTCTCCTCCTCCAGTCATTGTTATTTCAAAATGGCAAATGAAGAGGAGGTGATACAATATGAAGAAAGTAGAGTACAGTACCCAAAAAGAAAAAGTTGGGGGGGGGGCCTGAACAGTTTCAAAAGCTTCACGAACGGTGGAACCGCTACCTTTACATTTCATACACCAAGCTCTCACAACTTGAGCAGCCGGAAACGCACTCATTTTGCAAACTAACCGCAAACTGACCATTTTTTTTTTTTTTCAAAAGTTCAAGCTCACAATCAAAGCAAGTGAAACTCTACCCAATTGTCATCAACCCCGTAGTAATCTATTGGTTGCAAACACAGAAATTTAGTCGTGTAATTTGGCAGATAAGGGAGTAGAAGAACAAGAAAGCGCGAGCAAATGAATGAGAGAAGAAAAAAAATAAAAAGAAACAAAAAAAATTGAATCGAACTGAACTTCTGTTGTTTGTTGTCTGTTGTTTGTTGTGTTTTGTTGTTCTTCAATAAACTTGAGAAATCAAAGACTACCCAGGAAATCATACCTGTATTCAGAGGAAAAAAAAAAAAACTTAATCACAGCTTTGGGTATCACCAACTGCAACCAGTCTCATTCTCAAAATTTAAGCAGAGGTAGTAGCCAAATACAAAATATACAGAGAAGATTGAAAAGGAGAAGTTTCATAAAGCTGACACACACACACACTCACTCATTTGATAGAACAAAAAATAATCCATCTTGAGACGATATTTGACACAACCTTGAATTAACCAAACAAGATATCCACGGTTGAAAAATTTCACAACCATTGCAATCTTTCCAACCAGGAGCAGCAACACATTTATTTTATTTTATTATTTTTTTTTCGTTTTTATTTCAAACAGCAAATACCTCAGATACAAATTATCTTGTTTGGGATAAGAGATGAATGGCGCTTTAACCACAGCTAACATGGGTCCGAATGGCGACATTTCAAACTTTGATGCATCTCAAATGGAGTCGACAATTCAAAAGGGTGATTATTCAATCAGGTACTCTATTCCTGAGACAAGGGAGGATTTGAATAGCATATTGACCCAGTACTATAAACTATTACTTAGTTCTAAAAGATTGAAGGAAGAAGGCTTGAATGACAAACTAAACTCACACCCGGAAGACCCCAATTTTCGAGAGAAAGCCGCAATTGAATCTGTATTATCCAAAATTGATAAGCAGCAAAAGAGCTTTCAAGACGAGGAATCAGAATTCACAAGTGCTTTGCTGAGCGCTGAGGTGGAGGACGGTTTAGACTTGGAGTTATTGGGGAAGCAGGTAGCGGGGTTTTCGTTGTTATCCAAGGACTATGACCTTCCGGAGAGTTTGCAGCGGCAATTTGCAGCACCCATTTCAACCAGGGGAAACAAGGCGCTTGCGGATGACATCGTGACTGAATTAACAAAATCGAATATAGATTTCGAAGCCAGAGCAAAGGAATACGGAATCGATACAAGCTCACCATTGTCAGCTCCAAATCCAAAATACGCACCATTGGGAAACACATACATTGAAAAAATAATCACTAATAAAATTGCGCAAAGGTTGAAGGAGCTTGAGAATTTACCCGCCAATATTGGAACTTTTGATGGCGATGGTTTTGATGATTTGAAAATCAAAGCTTTAATAGAGTTAAAGGGACTTCGTTTATTAAGCAAGCAGAAGCAGCTCAAGCACGCTATTATTTCTCACGAGTCGCAACAAGTCAAGTACAATCATCCGCATCTCAAAGACCTTCCCATTTGTTTACTGGAAAAGAGATCATTTAGTTTAAGGCCCAAGATTGAACAACAAAACCCCCAGTTGTTGGCAGTGCAGTTGGAGCAATTAAAGAAAGAAGAGGCTAGAGAATTGAAACGTCTGTTGCATATCGCCAAAGTTGATCAAATATTGGAGAGCACTCTTGAAAGAAGCGACAAAAAGCTAATCACCAGCAATTACAGGAATTATCTTTTGGTCAAACAATTGAACAATTTCCATCAAATAACTGAAAAGGAAGAGAGTAAGAAGCTTGAAAAGAATGCCAAACTGAGATTGCAAGCCTTGAAGGCCAACGATGAAGAAGCCTACCTCAAGCTATTGGACGAAACAAAGGATCATAGAATTACCCATCTTTTGAAACAAACTAATCAATTCTTGGACTCCTTAACTGAGCAAGTGAGAGCACAGCAGGATGAAGCTAATGGAACTTTGGCTACACCAAGAAGTGCCAGTCCAGAAGTTATGGTAACAACCCCTGCAAATGCTGAAGATGGTACTGGAGGGGTGCTAGCTGATAGCAAAGAGGAGTTGCGTGAAAAGACCGACTACTATGAAGTTGCGCATAAAGTGAAGGAGAAGATAGAGGAACAACCGACAATTTTGGTGGGTGGTAAATTAAAAGAATATCAAATGAAAGGTTTGGAATGGATGGTTTCGCTTTATAATAACCACCTTAACGGTATCTTGGCCGATGAGATGGGGTTGGGTAAAACGATTCAGTCAATCTCATTGATAACCTATTTGATTGAGAAGAAACATGAGTCAAAGTTTTTAGTAATTGTTCCACTTTCAACTATAACAAATTGGACGTTGGAGTTTGAGAAATGGGCCCCATCGGTCAAGGTCATTGTCTACAAAGGGTCACAACAACAAAGAAGATCAATGCAATCAGATGTAAGATATGGGAACTTTCAAGTAATGCTCACTACTTATGAGTATGTTATTCGTGAACGTCCTTTGCTAGCCAAATTCCATTACTCGCATATGATTATTGATGAAGGGCACAGAATGAAGAATGCAAATTCCAAGCTTTCCCAGACATTGAGACAGTATTACAAGACCAAAAACAGATTGATTTTAACTGGTACACCATTGCAGAACAATTTACCAGAGTTGTGGGCTTTGCTTAATTTTGTTTTGCCGAAAATTTTCAATTCGGTGAAATCGTTTGACGAATGGTTTAATACACCCTTTGCAAATACGGGAGCACAAGAGAAAATCGAGTTGACAGAAGAAGAGTCGTTGTTGGTTATTCGAAGATTGCACAAAGTCTTGAGACCGTTCCTTTTGAGAAGATTGAAGAAGGATGTCGAAAAGGATTTGCCTGATAAAGTCGAAAAAGTGTTGAAGTGTAACTTGTCTGGGTTACAGTATGTTCTTTATCAGCAAATGTTGAAGCATAATGCGTTGTTTGTGGGTGCTGAGGTTGGTGGTGCCAAGAGTGGAATCAAAGGCCTAAACAACAAGATTATGCAATTGCGAAAAATCTGTAATCACCCGTTTGTGTTTGAGGAAGTTGAAACGGTGTTGGATTCACTGAAATTGACCAATGACTTGATATGGAGAACAAGTGGTAAGTTTGAACTTTTGGACCGTATATTGCCCAAATTCAAAAAGAGTGGACATCGTGTGTTGATGTTTTTCCAAATGACACAAATCATGGATATAATGGAGGATTTCCTTCGATTTAGAGATTTGAAGTACTTGCGGTTGGATGGTTCCACAAAAGCCGATGAACGTCAAGATATGTTGAAGGTGTTTAATGCTCCGGATTCCGATTATTTTTGCTTTCTTTTGTCCACGCGTGCTGGTGGGTTAGGTTTGAATTTGCAGACTGCCGATACTGTCATCATTTTTGATACGGATTGGAACCCACATCAAGATTTGCAAGCTCAGGATCGTGCTCATAGAATTGGTCAAAAGAATGAAGTTCGTATCTTGAGATTAATCACCAATGATTCAGTTGAAGAAGTGATTTTGGAAAGAGCTCATCAAAAATTGGACATTGATGGCAAAGTTATCCAAGCGGGTAAGTTTGATAACAAGTCTACTGCTGAAGAGCAAGAAGAGTTTTTGAAACGTTTGTTGGAAGCAGATGCAACTGGGGGTGATAATGATGAAAATGATTCTCTTGATGATGAGGAGTTGAATGAGATTTTGGCAAGGTCGGAGAAGGAGAGGGAGTTGTTTACCGAAATGGACGACGAAAGAAAGCAACAAGATCCATATGGCAGTCACAGACTAATTGAAAAGACCGAGTTGCCAAAGATATTCACCGAAGACATTTCGCATCATTTCGAGAAAAACACTCAAGAGCTTGGCCGTATGAGAGAAAAGAAGAAAGTTGTTTACGATGACGGATTGAGTGAGGCCCAATGGTTGAAAGCGATGGATGACGATAATGATAGTGTGGAAGACGCCATCAAACGCCGAATGTCGCGCATCAATGCAAGAAAGAGAAATAAGGCTATAAGGGAAGGACTCTTGGTTGAGGATATCAATGATGATGAAGTTGGTGAAGAGGATGACGAGGAGTTTGAGGCTGCTGCTCAGCCAAGAAAGAGGCAACGTCGTTCAAGAACTCCGGTAAGCAAGATTCTCAAGGATGATGTCGAAGTTTCAGACATTGAAGAAAACATTGACGTGAATGAGGGTGGCACAAATGGAAATGTTGTTTCTGATGAATTGGAATCGCAATGCCTTGCCGCCTTGGACGAGATTTTGGATTTGACTGATGAAGCAGATGGACATAAAGTTAGTGACATCTTCTTGAAATTGCCTTCTCGGAAGATGTACCCGGATTATTTTTCAGTTATAAAGAGTCCAATCTCCATAAATGAAATCCGGAAAAAGATCAAGAGTGAAGAGTATGCATCGTTTGATGATTTTATTGCTGATTTAAAACTAATGTGCTCCAATGCCAAAGTGTACAACGAAGAAGAGTCATTTGTGTACACTGATGCCTCAAGCATACAAGCTTTCATCGATTCAAAAATTGGCGCTAATTGAATCTGGTGTATAGAAAGAAAAAAAAAAACTGTATGTATTTTTTAATTGTATAAAACTATTACCTTTACTTGTATTTCAATCGAAGGTGCCTTGTCGAAAATGACATGTGACGAGGCGAGTGTTTCTACGAAGACGGATAAGACGTTTAGTACCCGATCGGGTGTCATAATAAGAATCCACTCATTTTCTTTGCGAGGAACTGGGGACCAATCAAATTTGGCGAAGATTTGATTATGCACATTCACGTGCGTGTATGCAGGTGCCTAAATTTTGAGTTATGAATTTCCCCTTCTCAGTCTCTTGACCTGCCGGACCCATCTGTTACAACACTTGTTTGCTGAGTAGAGATGTTTCCTGACTGTTTTCTGGAGGATAATTGCAAAATGAATTTTGCAGTGCATTGAATAAGCTCTAGTTTGTAAAATCCCCTCCGCTTGTGTTCAAAAACAAGCGATTTGACGCAGTATTGTGCCCAGAGTTGAGATCCCAAACATAGCCTTAACGTCTTAGCTTACATTGATGAATGAACCGACTTTGTTGTAAAGAGTTTGCTTAAAGAACTTTAGTCTCGCAATACTTTTCACGTACAGAACAACGTGGAATGTTTTGATGCATATTCGATTACCAAAAGAAAAACCACAAAAAAAAAAAAAAAGAGCCGCGCTACTTTTAAATTCTGAAGCACACACACACACACACACACACACACATACAATTACACAATTACACAATAGTCTTGCTTTGCTTATGTTATCACTTAATATCTAACTCTTTGTATATATAAAGCACCTGTTTTCCGAACCAATTTCTAGTTAGCGATTAAAAAAAAGAACTTTGTCCACAGTTTTGAACAAAGACGTCAACAAATGTCATCAATTGCTTCTTCTGCGGGTAAGTTCCTTCGCTTCAACCCTTCCAAGCTAAGGTTTCACAGTAAACCGCTTCTTGGGCTAACCGGTAATGTTTTTCTTCTTGCATTATAGTTGCTGTGTTTTGCGTTTGATTTATTAAAGAACCATATATACTAACTAGGGTATGTTTAGTGAATACACCAAACCCCACTGCCAACTCTAGTGAGGCAAAAAGACATAACAGCACAACCGCAACAACTGACAATGCGGCCTTTGGCGCTGGCGCTGGGATAAATATAAAACGTGCCAAGGTACCAGAGGGCAAGACGTTTGAGGACTACCAACGCGTTTACAATGAGATCGCAACAAAAATTTCCCAACACTTGGACTACGACCATGGTGATGGATATTTCGGGCAATTGGTTAGAAATGCCTGGCATGCGTCCGCTACGTATGCCGTTGCAGATAATTCTGGTGGGTCATATTACGGAACCATGATTTTCGAACCGGAAGAGTTTGATTTTCAAAACAAGGGTACTGCAATTGCTAGAAGTTTCTTGTCATCTATTCAAGTACAAAATCCATGGTTGTCAAGAGGTGATTTGTGGACTTTAGCTGGTGTAGCTGGAGTGCAGGAATGTAACGGGCCCAAGATCAAATGGAGACCAGGAAGACTCGATGATAATACCGGTACCAAGGCTGCACCAGCTGGTAGAATACCTGATGGTGAGGGAGATGCAAGATACGTGAGGGATTTCTTTGCCAGAATGGGGTTCAACGATAGGGAAACTGTAGCGTTGATCGGTGCTCATGTGTTGGGAAGATGTCATACACATATTTCCGGATACGATGGTCCTTGGGGAGATGATTCAAACAACTTCACCAATGATTTCTTTGAGAGGTTGATGGGCAATTGGCATCTCAAGAACTGGGAAGGAAGAAAGCAATATGAGGATGACGAAACAAACTTGTACATGATGTTGCCATCGGATATGGCCTTGAAAGAGGATAGCAACTTTTTCAAGTATGTTCAGGAGTATGCAAAAGATGTGGACTTGTGGTTCAAAGACTTTGCTGCTGCTTATTCAAAGTTGTTAGAAAGAGGAATAGAGTTCCCTGAAGATAACAAGCCGTTGGAGTTCAAGACTTTGCACGAGCAGGCAGAGTCTACCTAAAGACTATTTAGAGTGGATATATATATATATATATATATAATAAGAGAAAAGTAGACTTTCACTATTGAAAGTTGCAACTCGGGGGCATTTTGCAGCTGTGAAAAGCATCTGCGACGTGATTAGGGCTGTAAACCTGAGCATAAAACGCTACCTACACTTGTTTTTGTTTTTTGTTTTTTGTTTTTTGTTTTTTTGTCTTGTACCGAAAATGGTAGCTGCAGGGGAACAAATTAAAAGTTTCAAAACGGTTTACAAAATTTTTCAGCTGCTCTTCCCTTCTTTCTCCTACAAGTAAGCAGCCCCAATACAACAATGAAATACGTTCAAACTGATCAAATCTTGGAAATTCCAGAAGACGTCACTGTCGACATCAAGGCTAGAGTTGTCAAGGTCACCGGACCAAGAGGTGAATTGACCAAAGACTTGAAACACATTGATGTTACTTTCAACAAGATCTCCAACAGAGCCGTTAAGATCACTGTTCACAACGGTGACAGAAAGCACGTTGCTGCTTTGAGAACTGTCAAGTCATTGATTGCTAACTTGATCACTGGTGTCACCAAGGGTTACAAGTACAAGATGAGATTCGTCTATGCGCATTTCCCAATCAATGTCAACATTATTGACAAAGACGGTGCCAAGTTTGTCGAAATCAGAAACTTCTTGGGTGAAAAGAGAGTTAGACACATTAAGATTCAAGAAGGTGTCACTATGGAATTGTCCACCACCCAAAAGGATGAATTGGTTGTTTCCGGTAACTCATTGGAAGCCGTTTCACAAAACTGTGCTGATATCCAACAAATCTGTCGTGTCAGAAACAAGGATATCCGTAAGTTCTTGGATGGTATCTATGTTTCCGAAAGAGGTACCATCGTTCAAGATATCTAAGCGGTCCCTTAACCACCACCATCACCAACCAACCGCTAAACCAACCAACCAACCACATTTTCAAACATGTCTTTTTTTTTGTATCATGATGATTGATTTTCCTATAGCACTTTTTTGTTTATTTTTTTCATGGGTATTATTTGTTAGATTACATTTTTAACAGGGTTCAAAATTAATTAATGGTACACCACCAAACAATGATTCACAAAACAAGAGGATCATTACCAAATTTTTTTCCGTGGATCGTTACAGAGCTCAATCAAATAAAGAGCCATTTACGATCACACAACTTTACTCTATCTATCGCGCATCTTCTCTTTTCTCGAGTCTCTTTCCTGCTTCTTTTCTTGTCTCTTTGTTTCATCGTTTTGGTCAAACTAGTTCTATTGAATTATCATTGCGTTTTTATGATGATGATTTTGTTTGAGTCGGTTTGTCTGCAATTGGTGAATGTTGGAGACTGAGGGTAGTAGTGTACTTTTCCTCTTTTCCGTTACGCCTACTAAGAATATGACACAATATGTATTTTTGTTTTTTTTTTTTTCAATACTTTGGAAATGCTTCACGTTCTTTCAGTGCCCATATGACAACTAAAGTGGCGTTTCTAGGTCCAGAGGGTACCTACACTCATCAAGTATGTTCAGCGAGAGAAGTTGCTATACGAATATTAAGTACTAACTCAGAGTTTCAGGCTGTTTTACAACAATTTGGAACCGACAATGTTGAAATATCTCCACAACAATCCATCGGGGACTGCTTTCAAGCAATCAGCTCACACTCGGTTGACTTTGCTGTAATCCCCTTTGAGAATTCCACAAACGGACAAGTTGTATTCACATATGACCTACTTCGAGATTGGTTCCTCAATGAAGAGCAGCAATGCAAGTTCAGAATCGTGGGTGAACAATTCGTTTCAATACATCATAACTTATTGAGCAATGGGAAACTACAAGAAATTAACACTATATATTCTCACCCACAGGTGTGGACCCAAGTTGGAGGATACCTATCTACATTGCCGAAAAGCATCACCAGAATTGATGTAGGGTCTACTTCGAAAGCGGCTGAGTTGGTTAGCCAAGACAAAACAAACAAGTCGGCAGCCATCTCGTCGTTAATGAGTTCTAAACTCTACAATTTACCAATTCTCAAAGCAAACATAGAGGATAATGTGAACAATACTACAAGATTTTTGATTTTGGGGTACAATGAACCACCTGCAACCGACACAAACGATCAAGAGGTACAGAAAGTAACATCGGTCATGTTTACCCTTCCGAATGATGACCCTGGTGCATTATGTGACGTGCTAGTACAGTTCAAGGAGAATGGAATCAACTTGACATCGATTAGCTCAAGACCTGCAAATTTGAAACCATGGCAATATGTGTTTTTCGTCGAAACTTTAGGCAAAATAAACGCTGACGTTTTAAAAAAGATACAAAGGTTGTGTCGAGATATTGAAATTTTGGGTGAATTCAATCGAAACTGGCGGTTCAATCAACATCAGTAAATGGTATTCTCAAAAGAAACAAAAAAGATACTAATATACATTTCACAATAAACAAAAGCACTATACACATGCGATATATGTATGAGCTAACTATGCTACTCTCTCTCTCTCTCTCTTTCTCTATTTGCCAAATTTTTGATATACCCACTCGGTGTTATCCAACGGACATGCATTTCTAGTTTTTAGCCATCTCTTTATGCAATGTAAGTGGAATGCATGGTTGCACATTCCCCAAGCCGCGATACACTCTTCTCCACCATTTGCCATTGAGTTCGGTTGACATTCAATACATGGTTCCATCAAGTGGTTTCTGCAGATGGCACAATTTTCAATCTGTATATCTAAAGCATAACGTCGTTAGTAAATAATCCAACTCGATAGTTGAGGAAATTGCTGATACATACCCCACGACCAAAAGGCAACTGCTGTCCATTTCTTTACTTCGAATTTTGGTTTATTTGTTTTTGACACTTCATTGACTGATTCAGCATCTAGAAATGTTGTTAGTAACAAGTTTTCGTCTTCGTATTGTCGGGAGAGCGGAACGTACCATCTACATCCATTCGGTCTTCTTCTGCCATGATCACCAAGTCTCTATATCTGAATATGGAGGTGTATAAAGTTGTGTATTCCACGTTAATAAAAATTGGAAGCAGATTAATAATGTGATAGGAGGCGAGTGTGTGCAACTATAACCACTGCTAGAAAAATGTTATGTGTCGCAAAGATTATTATCTGTGTCGTGTAATATTATATTGCGACATTGACAAGATTTGTTATTTAGTTTATGAAAAATAACACTCACAACTGTTGATCCACTCAACGGAGCACTCATTACATCAACAGAACAAAACAATGTCTACCTCCAATGGCGAGGACCTAATATCGTCTTTATACCCACCTCCCCCTCCATTTGCCAAGTATTTCACTGACGAAAACTTGGCCCAATTAGCAGAAATTCAATCGTCGGTAAACAAAAATGATGCTGCCAATAATAACGACGGCGACAATGACAATGACAATGACAATGACAATGACGAGCATATAAAGGGCGAGCTCAAGTTCCTAGTCCCACCAAAAGTACCATCCGGGACGCAGTACAGAGGATACGGAAATATATGGTCCTTCAAGGACAAACTACCAAATTTAAAAGATACTCAATGGGAACAACTATACGACGATGCCAACTTGACCTCGGAAACCAAGATTAAAGAGTTGCACAAGATGATGGACTCGTTGTTGCTCAATTTTGTTGAGTTGATTCGGTTGTTAAGTGTTGACCCACAACAATTTGAACCCAAAGTTAAAGATATGAGTTTGTTATTGATCAATTTCAATCATATTTTAAACACGTATCGACCACATCAAAGTAGGGAGAGTTTGATTATGTTGTTGAGAAAGCAAATCCAAGCTAAAAGGAAGGAGATTGAAAATATCAACTCTGTTTGTGAGGAGGTGAAGTCGAAAATCGTTGCAATGACAACTGAAGATTTTGACATGAATATTGATACTAATGACGAGAAAGTGGTGAGTGGTTACGATGGTAATGTGGAGAAGGAAAGAATAGTGGAAAGTCTACTACTGAAGGTGTAAAGTATTAAACAGGGTATGTGTATAAAATGCAAATGAAACCAACTCTTTCAAAACAAGTCTAACAAGTCATTATTGACTCCGCCTTTATTCTCCTTTGGGGCTGTACCAACATGCAAATTCTCAACCCCACCAACAACCGAGTTTGCATTATTACTCTGCGGAGCGGAATTGAAAAGCTCAAGAATATCTGCGTTGGTAGACTGCGTTGCTTGGCTTTTATTGGGTGTTGGTGTAAATAAATCATTCAATTCACTTAGAAGGTCACCAACAGCACTACCTTTACCACCATCGGTACTCCCAGAAAGACCATTCTCTTCATCATCCTCATCATCATCAAAGTTCAAAAGATCCTCATTACGTGAATTATGAATAATTTCCTGTTTGGCCAAATTTTTCAAATCCTCAACATCTTCCTCGCCTGACCCAATAGGAACCCTTGAGTACGCTGACGGATCTATAAACGTCTTTGCCGGCTTATGGTAAACAGAACTAAGCGTGGACAATTCTTTGAGCAACTGACTCAATAAATGAGGACTGAATATAGGAATCGTGGATTCAATTGGTGGCAACTTAGCCAAGATGATCTTCTTCTGCAAGGAGTCGCTTGTTGATGATGATAACAATCGCCAATAGATATACGCCTTGTCTCTAACGTCAGCATTTTCACATTCTTTAGTGGCGAGCTCTAATACATGTTGAAGTGCGGACGAATACTTTTTATTACCTGGAATTGCGGCATTGATCTTGACAACCGTTGTCAATATATTCAACTGCAAAAGGGTTTCAGACTCCAAGAAACCATTAACCAATGATTCAAGCTTGTCGTGCAAGTTTGAAAAATATTTGGGATACTCACCCAAAAGCCACACATAATCTGCCAATGCTTCAGGCTTATCCAACTCAGAAGTATGATTTGAAACAATAGGTATGATCAAAGAAGTGAGATCACTCTTGCCCGGGTATCTTCTGAGAATGTTCGTCAAAACAATAGTGGACTCGTTTATGATTAAGTCGCCCCCTCTTTGATCAATGATATCATTCAAAAGATTCACTGCTTTCACCACCGAATCACTCAATTGGATAGCGACAGCCCCAATTGACTTGATGGCTTTTGTCACCAAAGCTGGCTCAAATTCCATAGCGTACTCTTTCAACTCGCCTAGTAATAAATCTGAATTGCTCTCATTGGCTAATCTAATCATAATGTCCAATTTTTCCAACTTCAAGTACAAGGGATCAGAATATTTGATGAAAAACACTCTCAACTCTTTAGATAAAATGCTGGGATATTTCTCCAAAATGATTCTTATATTTTTCAACCCCACGTATTGAGCTTCTGGTATTGACGAACTAACCAACGAGACTAAGGGGGGTGAAAGTTTTTTCAAAATTGCTTGTTTTTGTGCCGTTACGGGAATACTCTCCACATGACAAAGAATGGCCCTGATAGAGCTCAATACCACAGATGGGTTAGCATGTTGCAATTGCGGTATAACTCTTTCGATGATGTGATTGGCCTCCTCAACCTTGCCTCGTGTGTTATATTCTGTAAGCGTAGTCAAGATTGTAATTCGGCCCCATTCAGTACACTCATTCAAGCACAATAACAAACTCCTAATCACTTCGCCATTAATTTCCAAAATTTTCAAACTTGGGTCCTCGTTCATGTCTCTAATCTCGTACAAGGCATTTATCGAGTTGGCCACAACCATAGGATTAGGATCTTTGAGCAAATTTTGCAAATCATCCAAAAATCCCAACTCAACACAGACACTTGGATTCAAATCAAACAACTTGGCTACGCAAATGGCAGCAGTCTTTCTAACATATGGATTCTCGTCCTTTAAGGTTCTGGTCAAAGGTATTTCAATGTAGTCAACCATTTTGCTGACTCTGACACAGCCCATTGTCCTAATAGCCAAAGCCCTAATCAATGGGTTGGGGTCTTCTGTATCTTGCACAAATGTATTAACAGCCAAGATGCATAGTTCAGGATTGGTTTTGGCGTAGTTCATCAAATACAAATAAACCAATTTCTTTTGCTCCAAGTCGTATGTTGCGATATTTTTCAAAACATCTGGAAATAATGAAGACACATCCTTACCTACCGTCATTGCTTGGATGACACGTTGGATAGCATCTTTACGCTCATGTTTGTATTGTGATACTAGCCCATTTCGAAGTTCAAATGTTTCACCTTTCTTAGGTCCCAGCAAGAATTTCCTCAAACGGCGTTCCACAATACTGTTGAGTTTGATTAAATTCTTGTTGATGGACTTTTTGTTGATATTCATGTTTTAATTATTGCGGTCCGATGTCAACGGTTTGACTATGATCTCCAAGTTTTCTGTACTCTATGTGAATACCGCAGCAGTTGTAAGTATACAATAGTCCCCACAAGGTGTGATGGACACTGAAAGGAGAAGCTTGAGTGGGTTTTGTTTTAGATCAAAGATTGGTTGTATTGAACGAATTTTCTGAAAAAGACGCCTCTTGAACAACAAAACAAAAACAAAGCCTACAGTGTGTCGCGTCAATACACTTTTGCGACACCCAATTACTCAAGCCATTTCTTTCTTTATCCTTGTCACCAAAGTCAATTTCGAATGAGGGCATTTTGCTATACTATAGGTTGATCTTTGTAGGAATCTTTTGAAATTCTCGGTCCTTACGTTTCAATTGAGACAAGGATAAATTACTGTTTGCAAAATTAGCATCGTTTTCATTGTAAATTGATTTTTCGCAGCAACACAAGTATTGCCAACGAATTAAACATGGTGGTACAATTGCAAGAATGGAGCTTACTGAACACGACGAGGGCAAAGCAATTTATATTAGCATTGCAACAAGTGAGATGTATACATTTTCTTTCTGGAAGCAACAACAATATGGGGGAAAAAGGGCGCACGGCGCTCATCGAGCACTTTCTTGCAATATAAGTTGCTCAGCTAATGTTTGGTATAGGCTAGGAGAATGCTCAATCTTGATAAACAAGCATTCACTTCGGGCAGTTGCAAATGCAACACACAATACAGTTGACGTTAGTAGGTGCATACATCAAGACTCACTGATGTACAGTCTATATACAGGAATCATTCGATCAACAGAAGGAACAACAAAGGAAGAAAAATAAAAAAAAAAACTTTAACCAATTAAAAAAAGTGTTAATAGAAGCACGACTGTTACTTTCACTTTAATATCTTCAACCCACTAAAGATGTATGTATACACATCAGCAATTGAAAAGTCATGGGAGACTCGGTGAGACATACTTACTAACATCCATATTAGGAACCCACAAAGAATTATTGAACTTCAAAAGAGATACCAAACAACTCCAAAACCATTGTACTTGAGAGGTGCTAGATCTGCATTGTTGGTTTACCCATTCTATGCTCTTTTTGCTGTAACAACTGCCGTTCCATTGTACTACACCGGTAGAGCTATCATCGGTCTTAAAGAGAAGAATTAATGAGTGTCAACTTTGAACAAGTGAGTGAGTTTTTTTGCCAATTACGAGAGATGTGTTTCTAATCAGTGACAACAAGGCTCGAGTCTATGTTTCCACAGAGAGGTAGTTTAGGCGAAATAAAAGGAATTTGATTACTTTGATTATATTTGTAAGTTTTGCTAGCAAATGTTCTAGTTTTGAATACCTCGTGTAAAGGTTAAAGTCCACGCTATAATATGGATACCCACTTTAAAGAGCCAACCTCTTTATAACTCTTCAATTGAGAGTCCATGGCGCAGTATACAGGTACAACTTTTGATTGAGCTTTTGAGAACTACTCACAGACCAAGCAATATTGAATATTTCCATAAATACATTACCAGCCACCATCAGAGTCTTGACCATCATCATAATCATCATAGTCGTCATATGCGTCACCTGAATCATTGTCATAATCGTTTTGATTGTCGTCATCATCTCCTCCATAATCTCCAGCCTCACTATCGTAATAGCCATCATCATCTTCATAACCTCCAGCTTCGCCGTGATCATAACCATTATCGTCTCCATAATCTTCATCCTCGCTGTGATCATAGTATCGATCTAGATCTTGGTCATCGTCATAGTGGCTCTCATGATCGTGGTCCTCATCATAATACTGATCCTGATCAGAATCATTATTCTCTACGTTATCATCAAAATCATGGTCCATTTCTTCACTCTCTTCCCCGTCTCCCTCCTCTTGATCTTCGTTATCATTATCATCATCCAATTCGTGCTCGACACCATCGTGATCGTCATAAAGACTGCGAAAATCTTCGCCTTCCTCGTCGTCGTCGTTGTCGTCGTCGTTGTCATCGTCGTTGGCGGCGTGCAGGAACTCAGCAAGAGCATCAATCAAGTCGGAATCGTTACCCTCGTCATCACTATCCCAAGCCACTGTAACATGACCACCAGGGCTATATCCAATATGCACTCTTGCAGGACTTTGATCTTCGGAATCACTATAAATTTGAGGATTGTACTCCAATTCACTATCAGTGTCACTAATATATATGACATGCAGCCTTGCAGTACTCCCATTGTACCAATTTCGAAATGCAGCAGCATGATCTTCATCGTCATCTTCATCATCTCCTTCCTCATCGTCTGCAGGTTCATCGTTTCGTTGGTTGTCACTCTCGTCGTCTCCAAACAATTCTCGACGTATTTCACCTTCATCATACATTTCTTCAAGTATTTCTTCAGCAGTGCGTGAGTCAACAAAACTGTCGTCTGAGTCGTAATGGTCCTCTGCAGGAGGCACATCCTGATAAAATTCCTCCCCATCTCCATCTCCATCTTCATCGTCATCGTCGTGATCACCACCCCGTATCAAATTGGAGTTTCTAAATCTCGAGCCACAGTGCAAGCAAACAGTTCCGTGTGCTTCCCAAAGACAGTTGCCACACCTTGGTACACCATCTGAATTGTCAATCAACGTTAGTGAGTAGCCACAGAATAATTCTCCAAATACCCTTTTCTTTTTGGCATGTGTTTCGTACTTCGATATTGCATCCCTTTTGCGATCCAAAAACAGTTCCACATTCGGGTCCAATCTTGCATCAATTATAAGTTCAGCCATGTTTCTCGACACTTCATTTAGCTTTACATTCAAGGAAGGTTTTGTTTGGATCTCGTGCCGGCATGTGGGGCAATTGATTTTGTTTTGAAACCACTGATGTAGACATTCATAACAAAATGAGTGCCCACATTCTGTTGTCATGGGTGCCAACATGAGCTCTGAACATATGGAGCACTCCAAGCTACTTGTAATTTTTGACAATAGGTTTGAAGTTAGTGATACATCCTGTTGTATGTTGTGTTAGTACACATAAAATGGGATAAGATCAAGTGAGGCCTAATACTAGGCTTCTTGAGCCACAAGTAACATACCACCTTTTCCCATGCAATCTCCAGAACATGATCACCCATTTTTTTGCAAAAAGTATATGTTTACAGAATCCAGTTCTGTTTTGAAAGGTAAGTCTTTGAAACTGCAACTGCAACGACTTATTATGTGGAGACTGTATGCCAAATTCGCTATTGTTTTTCTCTCTCTCTCTCTCTCTCTCTCTCTTTTTCTTCCTCTCCCCCTCCCTCTCCTTGTTTTATCGAACCAAACCATGAATATATAGATCCATTTTTTAACACAACCTTCGTAATAGTCGTCGTTACCTATTTCCTTACTTACAAGATCTATCTAAAATTTGTACACGCTCAGTATTACATCTCCAATCATTCAAGATTGCAATTGTCTTTTCAATTACTTCAGGAACCACTTCTTCGTCTCTTTTCAAAACCAGTCTCGCATCACCAATAAAACTTCTTAGTCTCCGCAAACATATAGCTAGACTCTCTGTTTGTTCATTGGTTAAGGAAGTGCGACCGCGGCAAAAGTTTAGCAACAGCTGTTCGAGGTAGATACATTGTATCAACAAATATGGACTTGCGTAAATTTGAGACAATGGGAATCCATCTATAATAGTAACCATATGCCCAAATTGTTTTCTTTTGGAATACATTCTCATTTCCAAAATGAACTTCGTCATCCGATTTTTGTCATTCAAATTTCCTGTATCGATTGAGCCTAATAGATATTCGGCTTCTTTGAGCAAACCAAAATTCAACAACATTCTAACAAAGTAAATCTTTTGACTATCGTTCAAACAATCTTTATTTGAGCGAAAATATCTCAACAAATCTTCTCTGGTTAACGAATAATGCTTTAGTGATCTTAACTCAAGCGTCTTTTGATTTTTCAAGTTGTATTGTCTGGTCTTTGTAAGTACACTTTTCAAATATAACCGATCGTCCAAATCGCCCATTCTGAAGGTATCCAAAACTTCTTTAAAATCCGGTGCTAGGCCCCGCTCGAGCAACTCAGGGAATCCATACTCTATCCTAAAGCGAACCTGCTTCAAATTTCGTCTCTCGTTGCCTTTAAACTTGAGTGCCGACCATCCCTTGTATTTCCTGTCATTGAAAGGTTCAACCAAATGATATGGATAGAACTGAGAAGCAAGTTTGTGCAATTGGAAATAATGTGGTTTGCCCAACCATCTATTGACAGCATCGACAAATTCCGGTGCGAATCGTGAATATGAGTATATGAAAGTTTTGACAATTGGTTCCAAATAGTTTTCACTATATGGTACGGACGACTTGGTCCTCTCTAGAAGCTTGATCATTGAGTCAAATTGATCATGCCGTGCATAAAATTCCATCAATAATCCAAAAAACCGAGGTGGGATGTCCAGTTTCGTTTTGTCCTTGTACAACTTGATTATCCGGTTCGCGTTCTCCATGTTGGAATATCTAATCACAAAAGAAAGCCACGAGTGACAGAATTCTTCAATTTCCAGTTCAGGCGCAAGTGATTCAATCAACTTAAAATCTTCAACACTGAGCGTCTTTTTAAATGACAAGTACTCTCTATTGATGATTTCATTTTGCAAAACGACGCTTTGAACTAAATAATGAGACCCATATTTTTTACTAACCATGCGTTTAAATTCCTTAATCTCTGGCGTAGTTCCAAACTTGTAAAACTGACCAAGAATCAAACTGATCAGTTTAGGGGTCGGGTCTTCACATTTGGGAGAGTTTGTCCATACTTGATAACAATAAAACAAATTTTCAAACAAAATGTATCTGGGAATCAATTGCTCAATCAAGAGCTCAAACAAGGGGCTCGATAGTATGATATTGCTATCTATGACTAGTTTGGAAAAATGCACCTTGAATGCTTCCATTTCGTAGTTGACAATAAAAGAACTGAGAAAGTAGGCAATAGTCTTTTCATCGGGGTGAGATATTGCTGTAAAAGCTTCTGTTATTTTGTCAAGTTGGTTCAAGTGGAAATATATGTAAACTTTTTGAGAATTCAAGTCATCTGAGATTGAAGAAGTCGTATGCACGAGTTGCTCCAAAACTGGGAGAACCTCGGTTATCATTTCCCATTGCGGGGGCTTTACATTGGAGCTTTTGTAAAATTCATATGGAAGCACATTGTTTGAAGGAAAATCCTGGGTAAATGGGTCAACTAGTCGTTTGATAACATGAGCTAACTCCTGCGAGCTTACCTGATCTCTAATTGCAATGATTTCGGTATAGTTCAGTTCCTCAATAAGCCTGTTCATTCTCTCAAGCGTGTCCTCATCCGAGGAATTCGTTTTATCTTCTATTCGGTCCTTGTGATTGCGATTTATGAACTGTTTAACAGGATTGAAAATCCAATTGAGATATGATAATGAAGATGAGGTACGTGCTGCGACGTGTGTTTCAATTAGCAAATGACCGCTTCCCCATCGTATTCGTTCTGTGACTTTTCCAAAGAGCCGACTTCGGCTATTATTCACTAAACCCCGTCTGAACATAGTCACCAAAGGGAGGTTGTGCGTACATGAATAATTTAGCATCCATTAACGGTCGCGGGACATATTAAAAAAAAAAAAATTGAGAACTGAAAAATCATTCCATAGAATGGTAGCTCTCATGCAGACTTTTTTTTAGACTCCTAAGTATTCGGTTTCTATATATTATAAAAAGCTTTACACCTCGTCGACATCGTCACCTTGATCTATATATATTTTGTTGAAGGCTTCGGTTGCAGCTATCACTTCATCAACGCCCCTATCGAGATTTGTTTCCGTTCCCAATGGTTTCGGCCTAACATTCAAACCATCGGTCATGATATCATTCCCAAACTCTGCAATATCTTCATTTTTACACAGATAGGTTGCAAATTGGGCATTTTTGTAATTGATCATATTCAAATATGGTGCACACGTCTCTATCTCTGCTTGGGCTAGGGGATTCTTTGGTCTATTTCGACGTCGCGATTCTTTCAAAGCAAACGACTTAGGATTAGTAAACTCTGCAGTTGGCTCCAAAGGAATTCTATACTCATAACAGTGGTACCCATTTGTAGGATCAATCATTTTAAGCGACCCTGTTTTAGTCAACACTCCAACTTGTTTATCCAGTACATTCAAAAATTTAGCGCCTTTGAAAGCAGAGAGTTTCCAGTCCTTTTTCAGCAGTTCACAATACACCTCCCGTGATTTGTTAGGGTTAGTGCCATTCTTTGTCGATTTCCTATGCTCTAATGTCTCGTCCATGTCGTACCAATGTACAGATCCAGCTGCTTTGGAAATACAACCAAAGCCGGAATGTGTAGCATGAATGTCACTTTCACTATTGAACCAAAATATGTCTTTGATGATGGCCGAGGTACTACCGCGAGTGAATTTATCAACTAATGAGATTTCTGCTGGTAGTCGGTACAAGTCCCATATATAAAACAGATCGCCTCTTAAATTCGCTGTCGCCAATTGCAATTCGTACGGTGAAAATGAAAGTTGAGAAACCCCACCCAGAGGTTTGAAAGTCGCTAGTAGTTGATCCTTGGAAAGATCAACAACGTTGAGAATTTGATTATCACTTGGTTTCAAAAATTCTGATCCTTTTTGGATGTTTGAGTATAAGCTTTTGCCAATTGATTTACCTATATTGTTGAGCTCGAGCTTGCTTGCCATGTAGTCTTTATATGTTGCTGTCGATACCTCAGATACCTTGAAGATACCGTCTAGCGTAGTTTTGGACAATGTTGACATGACTTTGTCGTATAATGGAGTGGATCTTGACAACTTGACTGGTGTGAAAAGGCTAGGTTTTCTTTTACTCTCTGATGCACTCGTAATGTTGGTTACTATAGGATCTTGGCTTCCCGGTGCCTCGTCTTTAAACAATTCATTAATTCTTCCGTTAGATTTTTGATTGCGCTTGAGATTTTTCATGTGGGTATACTCTAGCTTGGTGGGCGAATAAACTATCCAGTCCTGAATTATGTCAAATATAGCCATCCCATTGTTACAGCTTGATTGCAAGACAATATGTTCTTCATCAAAGTCACCACTTGCGGGGACTCTCACGTGTAGATCACAGTGATTTCTTTTGATATACAGCAAAGCCGATCCTTTATTGGCGCTTGTAAGAATTTTCCTAGCAATGTCAAATCGGAAAATATGGATGGCACCACTCTCAGTGCCTATACCCACAAACGAATTACTTGCTTTTATGGAGCATTTTTGTGAACTCCATGGGAGGGTGGTCCTCTGCGTGATCTCCACACAATTTGAAGAGATTGAAACGACATCCACAATATCCTTGTCGTCTTCAGAACTCACCCAAAGAGCAATATACTCGTTCTCTCTGCGCGTTATAATTTTTAATGCTTTCAAATTGAGTTGATCTCTTAGCTTACTGCGGGATTGCAAATAGAGCGTGTCCTTTTCCAGTTTTGATGAAGGTGCTGCCCAGTCCCATATTTCAAGAATTCTCTCTCTCGAAAAGTATATAAACAACTCACCCTGGGGACCACATTCGATAAGATACCAATCTGAATTAAATTTGGGGGACAAATCAGGCTCACGCTCCTCATCCGTGCCAGGTTTTATTTCGTTGGTGGAGTCTGAGCTCACCGATTTAAGCTTTTTCCATGTGGCTAGTGCCGAATTGAACTTGTGGCCATTTTTTGAACTCACATGTCTAGACAGGTTAGTAGCAGAACACACTTTTGCAAACGTCTTTGCAAGAAGGATACGTACATTCTGTCAATCTTGACAGTTTTGTTCGCCGCGTTGACGTTCGTCATGGCAACCACAGTCGACGTAGTGTTCAATTAGGTTTGTAGTCCACGTGGGTCCTAGATTGTTGATACGAGTGGATTACTGTCTTCCCTACGTTTCTTCCTGAAAGTCAATGTGTATTGTAAACTCTAAATTAGCTTGCAAACTGTTTGGAACACGTCGGAACACAACACTACCTTTTGTATTGTTTATTGGAGCAAATGTCTGTTTTGCTGCGTTTTTTTTTTTTTTTTTGTCTTTTTTTTTTAAACTCGTTTATCTTATCGGCGGGGCAAAGTCGTGCACCGTATGACGCTTCGTAAACCACACCTTTACCCAGCGCTACATAGACAACCCCACCACTATTAGAGGACAAACTCCAAAACAAGACACGCAGAGACCCTCTACTTGTGCCCTTTGATACTATATCAGTTTTTGATAGTGACTTTCAATACTGAGTATTAAATACTACTCAAGATCCCCTATCCTCCAAATTTCCAACCCTCGGATGTCAAACAGCGCATACCTGGATGAGGGGTCATGTTGGCACAATATTTCGTTCCCAAAAGTCTCACAGGGATAGCTTACTCCTTTGCACAATGATTTGTCAATATATAGCCCATTTTCACCCTGTGACGAGCCAATGGCGATGAAATCGTGATTTGAATAAATTATGTTGTCATTGATTCCAGTGTACATGAATGCCTTGAATCTAAACGCTGACTTTGACTTCAGTGACGATGAGGTGTTGCCGTGGTTCAATTTGGAGGGATCGTATTTTTCACATTTCCATAAAAAGCACTCCCCGTTGCCATAATATCTCTTGTGCTCAACTGGCTGCAAATATTCATTCAAAAAAGCACCAAATCTTGACAGATGTTTGTCTTTGACAACCAATACATAACCCTGTGGTCGTTTTGGTGGGTTGTTGAAGCCAGAAGTATCACTAACTATCATCCTGTTGACTACTGATTCAGCAAAACCTTTCTCTGCTTTCTTTCGCTTCTTGTACTCTATCAATTGATGCTCTGGTTTTGAATTTCTATATAGCGAATTCAATGATATGCCGTGCTGTTCCAGAGAATACACTAGATACCAATTGTCAAAAAGCTGAAGTCTTGCAGGAATTAGGTTTCGTATATCACTCGCCAAAGTAGGATCCATCAATTTGTGTCTCACTGTTGGGCCGTACCCATTTAACTCGATGGGAGGTAGCGGGGGCAACACGCTATTTAGACTGGAGCTGCTTGAAGTTGTTGAAACCAAGGACGACGATGAATTGTTTCTACTTGAGTTGCCAACCAAATTTTTGAGAAATGTAGTTCGTGTTTTCTTGGGTTTCTTCTCTGAGTCAGAGAGCTTTTCGTTGCTCAATTCCGTATCCAGCTTTTCATTTTGCAAGGCCCTCTCTTCGTTAGACTCGCTAGTTGTGTTTGCAGTTTCCTTGTTTGAGCTATCGGCACCGTTGGTTGACGTGGACCTTCTGAATATGAATGACATCGTTGAATTATGAGTTGTAAAAGAAGTTCGCAACAAATGACCTAGATCTGGTGGATATATCTCTCTCTTATATATATTTTTTTTTTTTTGTTCCACATGGTTTTGTTACGAATAGAATTGTATGGGGGGTGGAAATCTTTTGGTTTGCTGTTAAAGGTTTGCAGAAAAATGGCAAGAGGAATTGAAGAGATGAATAGTCAACTGCCGCTTTACTGTAGATCCAAGTATTACCATATGCAGATTCTACTTGAGCTTTGAGAATCGTACAAGTCCAACTATAAACTCTAAGGCAATCTCAACACTGTCGACAAACAAAACACCAGGAAAGTCTGCAGCCAATTTTGCACTTAAACCAGCCATACCGGCACATCCCAACAAAACGCAGTTGATTTCATCGTCTTTATACTTTTCGTTTAATATGTCGGCAACCTTAATTCTTATCTTGCCGTACTCCTCTTCGTTTGCTAGGTTAGTTACAGCAATGTCCAAGCCGATGGTTCGTTGAAATTTCTTAGCTGGAAACTTATCTACACCCATGAAGTCCACTATTCCCTTATCTAGTATTGGTTCCCATCCACTGGTGCTCGTAAGAATAAACAGTTTTTGTAGATTTGCATTCAGAAGGGCATACAAGAGTGTCGCTTGCATGATTCCGATGACTGGTTTGCCACTCAAAGCCGCTAAACTGCGTATCAATGGGTGGTCTGAATAGCAGCAAACTACGAACCCATCGTAGTTGTCAGCAATATTGCGCTTTTTGATATCATCCAACACAATTGACTCGGAAGTTTTCGACGTTTCAACACCAGTGATCTCGCGAGGAGCCGACTCTGGAGCAGTATAGGTTTCCAACTCAACCCCATCTGGTGGAGACAAAACAGCTCTCATATTATGAGATACGTTTGCCGAGCTGTTTGGATTCACAAGCAAAATCTTCATCTTTGTTGGAGGGTATAGCTAGTGTCGATTCTATTAATGTGTTGGAAATTAAAAATTGTGAAAACAAAAGATAACGCGAAAACGAAATAATCTTAGTCGTCAAAGAGTAATGTCATTCGAGGCGCAAATAGATACGTTCAAACACAAGCAGATATGGTGTAGATCTATATCAGCCTTATCAGCTATTTCAGAATCGATTCATTTTACAATAAAGGAAGATGAGTTATCATTATCATCGGTGAATGCTAGTCGTACATCCCATGGAGAGATTATATTCAAGAGATCATTCTTCAGCCAGTATGAGGTCGATTTCAGCAAAGTAGCATTAGAAGGGTTTTCGAAAGGAGACAGCGCTGCAGATTTACCTCCATCTTACTCCTTTATGATCAACTCAAAACACCTTACGGCTTTATTCAGAAATTTTGATTCCAGCAACATGAAGTATGCAAAATTAAGGATTCATTGGAGTGACTACTCAGCAACCAGTTTAAAGTACAAACTACTTATTGATATACTAAACAAGAAGTTAATTTTGAAAAAATTTCAAGCTGGATATCTACCCATAACAAAGAAAGGCATCGCAATCGCAAAAGAATACAAGAATTCATTTTCTGAGTACGAGAATAACAAGAACCAGGGCACACAGAGAACGCACCATATAATGATTGACATGGTAATTCCAAAAGAGTTTCTCGAAATGGTTCCTACTGGGGCAGAGGATTTCAAAATTGATATCAAGTACGAAAAAGTACTGTTTGGTGGATACACCAAAGAGGTGATCAAGGATCGAGACTATATCAAGCAACCAATGGCTGTTACGGTGACAATGGGCCTAGACGAACTAGCGGATAGTAATCTTGTAAACCCAGAAGATCCTCCCATGCGTATGTTGCTCAATTTTGGAATGAAGGATTTCAAGAATTTCCTCAACTTGGCTGGCGTTTTTGCCAACTCCTCTTCCACGCCGCAGTTTGACGAAGAGGAATACGCAAATCTTGGAAACCATAGTGATTATTTCCACATTTATTTCAGAAACCCCGGCGACCCCATTTTGTTTGATTTACAAAATAATCAACACGTGGATGTTCAATTCATTCAAATTACTGCCGGTGACAATAACCAAATCGACAATGTAATTGAAATTGATGCTCAGAAATTGACACGAAAGCTTGAATTGGAAAAGCCCGTTGCCCGTTCACCAACAGAAGAAGCTGGTGAAATCAATGCCGACGAAGACGACTATCGACAAAACTCCTCTCCCGAGCCATCGCTTCGTTTTGCCTTTGGCAAACTACCGCAAAATCGAAGAGATAAAGTGCAGACAAACAACATGACTCAACATCAAACCGCAAGTCACATTCCATCAGAAATGAATGATGATGTGGTCACATACAATCAGGGCTCGTTGGAATCTGCTATACGCAACGATGACACTGAATACAGCGATTCAGAAGAAGAATTCAATGAACCACCTTTGAAAAGAAGGTTGATCAATGAGGAGGAAGAACTTGGGCCTACACAAGTTGAGAAACCGGAATCCATATTTTAGGGTAGATTTTAAAACTGAATACTCAATGCAGTAAGTTGTACGTGTAGCCCTTACTATCCATTAACTCTCCATAAGATACGTGACCGCTCCAAGGAATGTCGTCTTTTGAGTAAGCAGCAGGAGGAAGAGCAAAAGGCATTCGAAGGTACGTCACTCCGTATTCAGAACCCGAATCTGAAAGATAGCTTGGTTTCATTTGAGTTCCCGGTTTCGGAGTCAAAAGGACACCCAACTCGTAACTATTCACTTCATACCGGCTAGGGTCATCATTTACAAACTTGTTGCCTTTTCTGCTTCCCCAAGCTTGCTTGGATAAGTTGTGACTTCCCATGTAGCACCACCTTATTGATTCCCAGTTATCACCATTATCACACATGTATAGTTTCACGTGTGGCATGACGTGCTCCCTACCCGTCAGCGAGTTTGTTGGAGTCGAGTTCCATTTCTTTAAATACGGCTTGATTGCTTGCTCGTAGTAGTTTCTGTGAACAAAAGACCGAGAGTAATCGAAATGGATTGCTTGCCCAGACGCAAAACCCATATTGCTTGAAGCAACTTCACCCACAGTTGGAAAAACGATCGAAGGTGTATAGTTATGTTCCGCTTGGTGTTGACGCAAACTTTGCTTTCCTGGAGCTAGGAGGTGAAACTCGCTATTTTTTGAAAATAGCATTGGACAAAGCAAGTGAGTGAAAACTCCCGCCGTGGACCATTTTTCAGTCGCAAATGGATAAGAAATTGCAGATGTTTGGGCCAAAATATTGTAGTGGCAGGATTTGTCTCGATTATCGACCAAGAGGTTATTGCGTTTGCATGCATCCAATAGACTTCCATAACCAAAGTGTTTCTCTTCGTCATTTGTATTGTAACTCCCCGGAGAAGAGGCTATTAAATCGACGTCAATTCCTTGAAAGCTGTATGACTGCAATGTCATAGCTAGGATGTCAATTTGAGGCTTTGAGTATGAGTGCAAGTACGCTAGTAGATCACTTTTAAACTGTGAGCCCTTGGAACTAGTTGTATCTCCATAGAACAATTTTCCCGACCGCCAGATCATTTGAGTCAACCCTCCGAAATCGAGTTTGGTCAAATTGCAAGACATGATTATAATCTCAGCCGATTGGTCCTTGGAAAAATTAATCATCATCTTAGTATGATGGGTTCCAAATCTGCTTGGAAGTTTTGCTTGCACCTCCAGTATATTATAGTCCTTTTCAATTGCATATGTTTCTTCGTAATCACGATCTAATAATTTGCTGCCAGTAATGAACAAAATCTTTCTTTTCTCTTTTTTGAAATCTGGGTGCAAGAATGATAAAAAGAATGTAAGGTCAACGTTGAAATTGAACTGATAAGTCTCTTTCAAATCTGCAGCTCCAATGAGGTCGCGAATCCGGACCGTGTCGGCATTAACGGCCAGGAGCTCATCTTCAGAATAACTAGGGTTGTACAAAAGCTTTATCGGGGAAGGAATCTTGGTTGACAGTGTTGAGACGGGTGTGGAATCTTGTGAATTCTTACCATCTTGAGTGCCATCTGGACCTTGCTTGGCTTGGCTCTTGAACCGCTTGGCCCAATGATTTGATGCTGCCCGGAACGCTTCAGATTTTCGTTTCTCAGGCATGAATACAATATATACAAGCTGGGGACTGGCGTTCGTCCTGGTAGAATTTGAGGCTGTAACTATGGGAGCATTCGATGATCAAAAGATAAATTGGCAGTTGATAGTCCTGCACATTTTTCTTACGCTACCACACGAAAAAGCGCAATTTGCGTATGAAACGCAAGTCAAATTCCGATACCTCCAAAACTGCTGTTTAAAAGTGATTGAGGGTGGAGTTACAGGGGCTTTCAGTTGGTGAGGACGACTGTCCCTGCTCAAACTGCGCGATATACTGTCTTCTTTTTTTTCTATTTTAAGACAGACGCTGGCACCTCTACATTTATTACGAGCCTTTTCACAAAGACAACAGAAAAAAATAGACCGAACTGTCCTTTGGCACATAACTCCGCCTCTCCTTCTGTTTTCTCATACGTATTCACCCACCGTCAGCTGCCAATGGCAATTCACTTAAACTATAAAGACAACGAAATTGTCTCGTCCCCCACAGTGATAGTGTCTGGAACGACTACTTTGAGAACTCAGCGTGGGGTAATTTGCTTCACAAACAATGATTCCAAAGTTTTCCCCCCTCAGCACTTTGAAGTCAACAATAGCCAGTTCAAAGCCTTGGTTCATGTTTCGCCCGGAGAGCCTAATCATTTCCGCATTGAATTGATGGATAATGGCATTATTTCGGAAGATGGGTTTCCTAGCTATAGCAATGCCCAGCCACATGTTATTGATTCGGTCAACTTAGTTCTCATTTACAACCCTTTACCTCAAAATAAGCCAGTTTACATGTGTCTAATTCGAGCTAGAGATTCGCCATGTGCGTATGACGTGCCAAGCTATCGATTATCTCGTGGAGAGTATCCAAATTTGGAGACTGCAATCAAAAAGTTGAAAGTTGCTGGTCGACTAATGCAAGCTTACACGCAGGACGAAATGAGGAGTGTAGGTTTCAGTAACAGATCTTTTCAATTTGTTGAAGAGACTGTTCTGGACCAATACTTATTCGGGCACAAGGTTCGGTCACCCACGCCTCACCAAGAGGTCAAAATTCACGTGTTGACGAGTCCCAAGACTGTTGCCGAGCTAAGAAGCCCAGATTTAGCTCAGCAGAACCCACATGCCAAAGACTCTGGTGGTCTATTTAACCATGCAATTGACTTGATCAAAGGGTCGGATATATACGATAAAAACAGTGGCACAGCTATTCAATGTGCTGTCATGTACATCGACTCAACTTATGATAAGCGGAACAATTTGATTTTAACGCATGCTGCTCTTGGTGGCGGGACTGGTGAGGTAAAATTGGCAATTTTTGGGTCTCATGGATTACATGCATATCCTCGAAGCTTTCCAATGGTTACTCCCTCATTTTTAGACAGCACGAAATTAAGCACGAAGGAGGTGGCCAACGACGCTAATGAATGTGGCACCAGCTGGGAGTGCTTGAATGTCTGTCTCGGGGCCTTTATGCATGAAATTGGTCATTTATTGGGCTGTCCGCATCAAGTCGATGGTGTGATGCTAAGGGACTACGTATGGTGGAACAGGTCTTTTATGACTCGTGAGCTTGAGTGTTTGAGAACGCGCTCTCCAGGAGTGGTCATTGGAGCAAATGGACAGTGGCCCAAGGTCTGCCATTGGAATAGATTAGATTTGATTAGATTTCTTTATCATGACCTGTTTTCGTTGCCGATTGATAACTTCCCAAAAGTTCAAAGCACCACAAGGAAACCCGACTCACTGTACCCAGATCTGGCAGTTCCACTGCTGTATCCACTGCCAGGGAATGGTGCCATCATTTTGTCAGACGCTGGTATTTTCATGGTGGAAATTGTGGATGGGGATTTAACTCGCTATCATGAACCTTACTTGCCCTATACATACGGAGGACCGGGGTTGATACACCAATGCCTCCTCAACTACCAAGAGTATCTTACTAAATTGAGATCTTCCAAGCGAGATGCAGGAGAGAATTACAAGGTGCGAGTAATGTCTGTTGCTGGAGATCTTTTCATTGACGACTTTAAAAAGCATTGCTCTCCCCTGGAGCAAGATATTGTCAAGAGTGATTTTGCACTCGGACGAGGTGAGTTGATTGGTTACAAGAGCGAGCTTTTGGGGTCCGCCAAGGGAGAAATGAGGATTGCCACGTTCGATTTGACCTTGGTATACAAGGTTCGAGTATATTCGGGTGGTGCATTAGATGGCGTCAGATTTTACTACAGAGGAGGAGGAGGAGGAGGAGGAGGAGCAACAGCAGCAGCAGCAGCAGCACGCACAACAAACGGAGGTCGACCTGCGGTTCCACCAAGAAACTACCTCAAAAAGGTGTTTCAACGTCACAACGAACATCGCGGTAATCTAGGCCAGGCCAGTGAGGCAGTTGCTGAAGGCTCAACTCTAGTTGGAAAGGAGACTGGGTCCTATTCAGATTTTGAATTACAACCAGGCGAAGAAATTGTAAGGTTCAATATTAGAAATGGAGCTTGGGTCGATGGAATACAAGTGGTGACGAATCGGAATAGAAGTTCACCCATGCTTGGAAACGCAAATGGGGGCCATTTATCCTCATTGGTTAAACCGTCTAAGGATGCTCAAATAGTGGGCATGTATTTCTACTTGGGAAGTTGGCTAGATGGCTTAGGGTTGATCTATACTTATAGATAAATAAAATAAAAGTACAGGGAGCTTCATTCATTAATCTGAATTGGTTCGAATCCTTTCGAGTACTTTGTCCCGCGCTTGATAGTACTCCACCGGGTATTTTTCAATGATACCAATCAGTTGACCCTTGATCAAAGATGTGGGGAATGCAGATTGACGACCATGCTTTAACCTCTCCAATTTCTTTTCAATAGTACTGATCTCATTGTGGAGTCTTTCTACTTTGCTTGATTTGGTGCTTTCCTTGATTCCAAAATAAGCATCACATAGTTCCTGAATAGTGTTGAGCTTATTCAGCAAAAGGCGCGTCTTTTCCACCAATCGTTGGTTCTCATTATTCAAGTTGCCACTAATTTGCGCTTCAAGAGCTAAGGACTTATCGATATCGCCAGAGTCCAAAGATCGTAGGATTGAGTTGGAAAGATACTTTGCATGATTGCCCAAGTTACTTAGGTCGTTTAAATCTAGTTGGTTATTAGATTCGTCTATAGTTGAGTTCTCCTCATCGCTCAGGAGGTATTCATCACCAGATGTCAGCTCATCGTTACTTGGAATGGAATTGTTATCAAGGTTGGGCTGTAGCGAGTTCATATCGGCGACTCTGTGTACTCTCCACCTCTCAATCTCTGATAGTCTTACTTTTAAATTGGATAATACAAACAGTGCCAAAAAAAAAACAAAAAAAAACACACACACACACACACGCACACACGCACACACGCACACATACATTTGTTCCCAAAAAAACTCTCTCCAAATCAAGCACATTTTAATCGACCAACCCTGCATGTCTTCCTTCCAATTACAAAACTCCGAGGTATTGGCAAGGCTAAAGCCATTTGGGATACTGTTTGAGAAATCTCTCAATGACTTAATCAAAGGGATCAGAGCACATTCAAAGGATTCGCCCGAGAGCTTGGCAAAGTTTTTAGATGCTGCCATTCAAGAGTGCAAAACGGAACTATACAGTACCGATCTCGAGACCAAAGCAATGGCGGTTTTGAAACTAGCATACTTGGAAATGTACGGTTTCGATATGTCATGGTGTAACTTTCAAATTCTAGAGGTGATGTCGTCTAATAAGTTCCAACAGAAGCGAATAGGGTACTTGGCCGCCATTCAGAGTTTCAAAAATGAGCAAGATTTGTTAATCCTTGCAACAAACCAGTTCAAAAAAGATCTCAACTCGTCACTGCCCGTTGAAGTGGGATTGGCTTTGAGCGGGATCGCTACTATTGTGACGCCCAGTTTGTCCAAGGACATCAATGACGATGTGTTGATGAAATTGAATCACTCGAAACCATACATCAGAAAAAAGGCCATTTTGGCAATGCACAAAATCTTTTTACAGTATCCGGACAGTTTAAGGATGAACTTTCATCGAGTTATTGAAAAATTGGATGACACGGATGTGTCCGTTGTTAGTGCTACAGTTAATGTAATTTGCGAGTTGTCAAAAAAGAACCCCAAGTTGTTTCTCAACTACCTACCGAAGTTGTTCTCTATACTAGAGGAAACAAAAAACAATTGGTTGATAATTCGGATATTGAAGTTGTTTCAAAGTTTGTCGAGAGTGGAACCCAGAATGAAGAGGAAGATTTTGCCGGAGATAATGGATCTCATGCTTAGGACACAAGCCTCGTCTTTGATATACGAATGTATAAATTGCGCGGTTAATGGACAAATGTTGTCGGCTGAGTCATCCAAAGACAAGCAAACTGCGAAAGTATGCATTCAGCAGTTGATGAATTTCTTCAAGACCAAGGACTCCAATTTGAAATTTGTTGGGTTGATTGCCTTGATCAACATTTTGAAAATCTTTCCTGTATTTATGCATAGTGTCGAAGGAGTGTCTGATGTGATCTTGGACTGCTTGACAGATCCCGATTTGATCATTAAAAGGAAGGCGCTCGAAGTGTCAAGCTATTTGGTTAATGAAGACAATATTGTTGAAGTTATTAAAGTCATGTTAGAGCAATTGATTCCAGATAGCACTAGCGTTGATGACTCACTTAAGTTGGAGGTGACTTCCAGCATATTGCAAATTGCTTCCAAAGACAATTACAGCAACATTCCCAACTTCAGGTGGTACGTTGCTGTTATCAAAGATATCTTGAACCTCACTTTATTACCTGTTGCATCTGGATCTTCGAATTTCATATCTCCATCAACTTCGAAAGAGATAGCTACTCAACTTGGGAATGAAATCAGAGTCCTTGCAACCAAGGTTCCGTCTATTCGGCCTGTTTTGTTGGAAAAGATTGTGGTTGACGTTGTGTTGGACGAAAATGTGATCAAGTCTTGCCCACTCATTTTGAAAGATATTTATTGGGTATTGGGCGAGTATATTGATGAGTTTCAAATTGGCGTGGATGACAATGTTGATGAAGTCGGCGTTGAGAATGAGCATTTAGTGGTCAGCCTTGACAAAAAATTGTTTATTTTCAGTACATTGGTGAACTATAAAATAGATGAGCATTTGGGGCTGGGTGCTACTTCAGGCCACTTTAAAATCTCGACTATGTTGCTAACCTTGCAAGAGCCTCAAGTTTTGTCTGTTTTGATCCAAGCAATGGTGAAACTTTACAATGCTATAGTCTTTGATTACATGCAAGTGTACTCAAATGAGGGCGAGCTCTCCCAAACAAAGTATACCGAATTGAGCTATCACCTTTATCGTTTAATTGGGTTTTTGAGCAACTGGGAAAGACATTACAATTATGAAGTGCAAGAACGTGCTTTGTCGTGGTTGGAATTTTTGAGACTCTGTCAAGAAGCCATGATTGGGGATGATTTAACACAAGTGAAGAAACTCGAGGCAAGCGATCTTGAACATTACAGAGATATCTTCAAAGCCGGTGTTATCGCGCCTGATGAAGATAGCTCAGATTCCGAGGATGACGATGAATTCAGTTCAAATGATAGCTCCAGTAGTGACGAGTATGAAAACTTGGTTTTTTCGGAGGATGAGAAACCTAAGCCAGAGCCACCCTCAGAATTCGAACCAAATCCTTTTGCCGAACTGAACTCCGGCCTTAGTGGAACTTCGAAAAGGTTGCCGGGGTTGTTGAGCAACATCTTGCCATCATTTTTCAAAGCCTATATGTTGAAGCCCGTAGCGAAGAATGCTCAAGTGAACATTCCTTTGCCCGCGGATTTAGATTTGAGTCTGACAATCAATGAGATGCCGAAGCAAATTGCTGATTTAGAGATCAGTGACTCATATGAGCTCTACCTTTCAGAGTCAGAGGAATTTAATGAGAATTTAATAAGTTTGTCCAGTACTGAAACAGACGTTGAAAAGCAAATCAACAGGGAGGAACGCGCTCTTCGATTGAAGGATGACCCTTATTACTTAGAGACAGAGAGGAAAACGAAATCAAAAAGCAAATCACCAGATAAAAAGAATGAAGGTCCTTCAGATCCCTCTAGAGCAAGCAGCTTGTCTTCAAGAAGAGAAGAGCCAGTTAAATCTAAAAAGAAAAAATCAACAAAACTTAAAAAGGAAAAGGTACTCATCCTTGACGAGGAGTCGGTAGAGGGTACGGCTGGAGTCACAGAAGAACAATCTCCTCAAAAGCAAAAGCCAAAAACAAAAAAGAACATACTAAAGATTGATTCATCAAATTTAGACAACTTCGATCTTCTTGCAGACGAACCGGTGGAATTGAGGAACGATGAATATGATATTGATATTGATGCTATACGAGCAAAGTTGTCTCAAACTGTAATCGAGAAGCCAAGAAAGAAAAAGAAAGGCAAAGTTAGTGGAAAGAAGGATGAAGGTTCGAGAACAATTGACGCGACTGAGGGAATAAATGGTCATGACGTAGAGCCAGAGGAGAGTAGACCTACCACGGGGCCCTCTCTTTCCACAGACTCATCTATCATCACAGTTAAGCCAATGAAGACGAAGAAGAAGAAAAAGAAAGCGGTGATTATAGAATAATGATTTTATAGATTACAAAGTCTAACTGCTGAAGCCATCTCTAATCACTCGAAATTAATGGTGTATCTTCACTTATAACCTCAACCTCCGTGTCGGTCTCAACATCTTCTTGTGGAGGTTGGAAATCTTCATTAGGTTTGACTCCTGGCGCGTAGGAGTACCCAACTCTTTGCAAAGTCTTGATCATGTCGCTTCTCACCTTTTCGCAACACTTGGTGACATCTTCGCTTGTCTCCAAATCCTTGGTAGGTACAGGAGGCAAGACTTCAAGATGAATCTCTCCGGTGTTGAAGATTTTTCTCTTGGAGTTAAAGATTGTGGAGGTGTTTGACACCACAACTGGTATGATTGGAATACCTGCTTGTTTAGCTAAATGGAAAGCCCCCTTCTTGAAAGGTAACATATTCAACGTCTCTAGACCTGACCTAGTACCCTCTGGAAACATGAATAATGCCCGCTTTTGTAGCTTCAATATTTGCAAAGCACCCTCCAAAACTTTCTTGGCCTTACTAGACTTTGCCCTGTCGAGGAAAAACGTACCACTGAGAGCCATAAACCATCCCAAGAACGGAACGTATGCCAACGACTTTTTACTGGTCACGGTATACCCAGGTTGGAAAATCTTTCCCAAAACCTGGATATCTAATGCCGATTGGTGATTTGAGACTACCACTGCAGGCAAGTCTTTCAAATAATGCGCATTCTTGACCTTTATGTTAATTCCAAGAAACAATCTCGCCGAATGAAGGAAAGCTCTTGCGACTGTGTACTGTGCATAATCAACCTTTCCAACTAGTCTCAACGCTATCGACGCAACGACTCCGTATAATGCACACCCTATAACAAGAGCACCAAAAACAACTGATTTCAAATAGAATTTAACCGTCTGGTAAAGTGAAGTTGACATTGGAGACTTGTAGTGGGAACGAGTGAAATGTGGTGGTGGTAGTTAGTGATAGGTAAATATGAACGTTTCTTTTTTTTTTTTCCCTTTTTTATTTTTTCCGTCTCTCTTTTTCCACTTTGGGTAACTTCATTTTTGTTGAGGATTTGTCCTTTAACACAATGTGCAGAAGGAGGTAGGTAAGGACAGTTGATTAGACAAAGAGAGGGACTAATTTAAGCTCGGCTTGTACCTCCTACTACCAAAGATAACATCTTCTTGTCTGCATTCACTCTATTTACTTTTTGTGGCTACGTTTCTTGGATTTACGGTCCGCCGCATCCTCGGCTGGAATCCACACTTCATCATCTTTTGCATCTTTTGGAGTACGCAAGTTTTTGAAAGTTTCCTTTCTCCACTCTTGTAAGTGCTTCTTCTTGGTGTACTTCCGTTTATCTTTAAGACGTAGCTCCTTTGGTCTATAAGGAGCAAACTTCTTGATTCCAATAAAACTGTTTAACTGCTTGTCATCAGCGAGTAGAATTTCTCTTGTGGACAAACCAAATGACTCAGGTGAGACTTCACGATATTTGAACTTCAATTCTCCTGCATCTTTCTTGCGACCCCTCTCCTCCTCTTCTTCGACTTCTTCCTGCAACTTGAGCGTATTTGCTTCAATAATCTCCTGCGCTTTAGTTCGCAAAGACTCCTTTTCCTTCTTCAAAGTGCTCTTTTCTTTCAATTTCTCTTTCTTTGCCTTCTTCTTTGGTGGCTCCTCATCAGCGTCCATGTTTGCCTCCACGTCACCTTCTTTGTCTGAGTCCGCTCCGAATCCATCCATTATATCGTCGTCCCATGTTGGTTTTTCAACTTCGGCTCCATAATACAGTTCATTGAATATCTCTGCCATTTTGTTATCCCAATCAGCATCATCAAAGTCTTCATTTAGTAGTGAGTCTCCAAAAACTTTCTGAATGACTTCGTCGCTAACTTCGCTTCCAACTGCCTCTTTGATCTTTGCTAATCGATCCACAACCTTGTTCAATTTCGTCGTCTTCTTTTTCCTCAACAACTCAGCCTTATGTTCTTCAGCTTTCTTCTTTTCCTCGTGGGCCTTTTCTCTAGCCCTTTTACGAGAATTCGTCTTTGATCTTCGCAATGTAGCTTGGTTTCTTGCATACGAAATAATCTCAGTTGAATTAGCATCCTCGTATCTGAAATTATAGGCTTGCTCGAAATCTTCGACCGCGTTATCGAAATCCTCTTCGTCATTCCTATCAATTTGATCAAGGTCAATCACCTTATCTCCTTCTTTGGGTACCCACGCCTTTTGATCCAAGAAGGCTGAAAGGAAAGCATTTTGGTCCTTTTCAGGATCGGGCATACTTTGAGGTGTTTCTTTAGCCTCTTCTTTCTTCTCCTTTTTCTTCAAAAAGCCATCGCCTTCATCTTCATCGTCACCTTCCTCGTAATCGAAAGCTTGATTAATATCATTCAACAATTTATCCCTCTCTTCTTTTTGTTCAGAGGCAAACGACTTTGCACCGTCTACTGTCTCATTCTCATCAAACTCTTTGTACGATCCATCGATTAAGTTCTGGCGATGGTAATCTTTCAAAAACATTGGCTTCTCGCCTTGCTTTTTGACAAGTATATCATCTGATTCGGGGTCCTTGAAAAATTTCACATTGGGGTCAAGAAGTGACTTTGGATCTGATCGTATTTTGGACAAAACTTGGTTAATTCCCTGCTCAACTTCATCGGTGATCAAGTCTCCATACTCGTCCTCCTCCTCTTCCTCATCATCGGATGATTCTGATTCCGATGCGAATTCAGAAACAGCATCATTCGCTGTTGTCTTTGGAACGGCAATTTTATTGTCAGCTGCTGTGGAACCAACTTCAGATTGTTTTAAAGCTTCCTCCTTAGCCTTTTTGGCTGCTGATTTCTTTCTAGGCATTTATTATTGATAATACAAATGTGCTGTGAGGTGAGAGAGAGAGAGAGAGAGATAGATGAGAGATGAGATGATCTTCAATCAGAGAAACATCCCTTGCAAAAAAAAAAATACACGGAGATGCGCGACGCTACCCAAACATGCAAGTCTATTCTAGTACACTCTTTATAAACAATAAATCTGACTGAGTAATATCAAACCAGTCAAGTAACTCATAACGGGAAAGCAAATCTTTACCATCAACTAGTTCAAAAAGTATATGCTCTCCAACAAACGCTTTAAGTTCTTGCGACGGATGATTTGTCAAAATCCATAAAAATCGGCCATAAATTCTCGATCGTAATTGTGGACATCGTTGAGATATATGGAGAAAAATTTGCAAAATGGCTGAAACTCTGGTTGAATTTTTGGTATTGATATGCAAGTTGTAGCATTTAACAAAAAGACTGTGGTAATTCACTGGACATTCAAAGTGATAATTAGCATCAAGCAATTTGAGGATCAATTGTAAAACCAGTGATACAAGTTTTGCTTGTCGCTTGTCACCTTTTTCAGGTCGTTTGAGAAAAGCGAGCCATATATCAAAATCCGTGTCGTTTGGACCATACCTCAACATTTCCCGAAAAGACTCGTTAATGATTTTGGTGTTTCCAATAACTGACCCAGTTGTGAAAGCGACTCCTTTCCAGAATTCAACCTTGCACTGATGCTCCTTCAACTCGAGCTTGTAGAGGAAAAAACGTCGCCAACTGAACAGTTCCCCAGTCAACGCCTTGAAAGACAAATACCTAATCCTGTCCATCAACTCGCCACTCAATCGTATCAATTTTAGCTTGACAGTGCCATCAATAAGGTTATTTTTCACGACCAAATTTATCGTCGCTATTCTCACCTTTGATCCGACATCACCTTGATCAGTGGTTGTATAATCATCAAATAAGCTGTAAATATCTTGAACCTTGAAACACGGTGGTACATTTGCAGCGAGATTGTCAATTAGGTTAGCACGAATTGCATAATTCACATGGGGGTCCTTCATCAAGGACAATAACAGCTCGTACTGACTGACGTCGATATTTCGAGAATTGAAAATGGTACGTGAAAGGTTGAGATCGTGTGGTAGATAGTGCAATATCTCTTGAATAGGTATTCCATCTTGATTCAGTATAACCTGTTTCAACTCTTCAAAAAGATTAGCATGTCGCAGAATATTTAGTACATTGTGCCAATCAGATTCAGTCAACTGTTTATACCTGAGTGAATAGAAGTATCCTTTGATCATGTCTAGTTTTGATTCATCAAAAACAAAATCATCAAACTGTTGATACCCTTCTTCGAATGCATCCAATTGGAATAGAACATGCCACTTATTTGCTCCTTTGAGACGGCAAACAATGTCATTGAAATCAATCACACTTTTGGGGACTAATTCCATCGCCTCTGGCTGCTGAAGCAACTTGTTCAAATAAACCCCATTTCCATCTTGTTCGCAGATCACATCAACTAATGGCGCTACAAGAAAGCTTAGATCGATGTCATAGTAGAATGACTCAATGAAATCGTAGCAAATGTTCTGGTTCAATCGTATAAGGCCCAACTTTGAAACAAAATTGACAATAAACTCGCCTTGGTTAGCAGTATTGACTAGTTCACTGCCTAACCTACCCAAAATTTCCTGAATCACTGCAACACTGCATCTCTTCAATAGCAATTCATCAAAAACCAACATTTGAAGTAGGTTGACAAGTACTGTAGAAATCAAGGGCGAGGAATGCTTCAAGTTGCGAACTATCGACCATATTAGAAAGCAAGCTGAGTCTCGGACCTGATTTCCAATGCTGACTGTACCTTTGGGAATTCTGAAGAATAAAAACCTTGATGCTAGTTGGATGCAGCTTGTTTGGTATGGCATTGGCAAGTTTTTGGACAATGATACGTACCCCAAAGTCAACAAAGTTGTGTGTATCTTGGGTACATTTGTTTCATCGGTATTTATAAGATCAACAATGAACTGGACTAGCTGGCTTTGGTAATTAGTGGCAGCAAAAGACAATTGAGCAACGATGGCTGCCATAGCCTTTGCCATTGCATATCGAAGGTTTGTCTCAAATGTTACATCACTTAGTAGTATGTCATTTATCAAATTGTTAATCACCTCAGCCACGTTTTCAAAGAGTCCATGCTTGATATAATTGACTGCTATTTTGCATAACACTTTTATTGAGTAAATCAAACTCAGATTGGAAATCTGGGACACTAAAATATCACCAATTATGCAAGAATACACTCCTTTGGTTTGCTCCTGCAGTAGCTCAACACGTTTCAAAAGTTTGTTCACAATCATCAAAGTACCCAACTTTTGGCTCGAGTTGGCTCTAGGCCAAGTGGTTACCACTCTTTCAAAATAAGAATCGAGCAAGTGCTTGCAGTCTGGTCTGGAAAGCAATCTTGAGTACAATATCAGGGCCGCAACCTGAGTTCTCGAAATATTGGTAAACGTGGTCAATGATATTTGGGCCCCATCCACCAACCGTTTGCGGATATCGTTCCCAATGGTCTCTATTGGGAACGGAACTAGAACCAAATTGGAGAGCCAGAGTAAGCTGACAAATCTAACTGCCTCATTTGAATCATTGCACTTTTCAATTAAACGGTCAAAAAGATAAACGTCACTTGAGAAAAACAACGCTACAGTCTTGAATGTGCACACTTTTGCAAATGTGTAAATGACATTGCCAATAGCGTCACCCGCAAGGTCATCCTCTAGAAACAAAGCGCACAAGTCATTTATGTAAGATCCAAGCTGTTTCTCAAGTAGCTTAGGTTGAAGCTCGAACTCGTTGATAATTGTAACCAATCTGGCTGAAGTTGTCTGATAAAGGAGACGTTTATCACTTTCCGACAAGGTCATGGCATTTTTGAGCTCTATAATCAATCGCTTTATCTCATCCTGTAGTTGTGGACTTTTCTTGATAACTTGATCATTCAAGCTGTCCATAATCAAGTGGTGTATGTCCACGATCCGCTCTGAAAGGGATCGCGAATTATCAACACAAGACAAACAACGAAACAACGAAGAAAGACCGAAAAAGAAGGATAAAAAAAAAAAAAAAAAAAAAAAAATTTCAATCCAAAGATCAAAGATTAGATAACATCACTCAGGCCGTAATCAATGTCAGCCGCAAGACAGCTATACTACAAAGTCACACAGGTACGATCATCTATAGGGATGCCTCCTACAACGAGACGCACTCTAGAAGCGTTGGGTTTGAGGAGAAGAAATCAGACCGTGTATACAAAATGTGATGTGTCGTCGGCGCACTCGCTAGCTAAAGTCAAGGAATTGGTGAAGATAGAGGTTACAGATCACAAGAAAACTAGGGAGGAGATTAATCAAGAGAGGAAATGGAAAAGTGGGTTTGAGGTGGTACCTGACGGTACAAGAAAGGTGTATGAGTAGTTTTACTGTAAATAGTCGATGAATCAAATAAAAAGACGGGATTGGGCTTGAGTTCCGAGGTAGGAGTGTTAGCTGAAGCATATTTTCAAAGTGTAGATTGTGTTTGCTTGACTGATACGAAAGTTGTAAGCATACTTTACACCTCTATAAACTATTGTCAACCAAGCGATTGTGATTGGTTGCAATGCAAGTTTTTCCTGCATACAGTGTAAGATGTATTTTCATTTTATATTTACCAAAAAAATATTTTTTTTGCAAAAAACCATAAGTGATGAAATAACATCTGATTGAAAAGAGCCGTACAGCCTTTTTTTTGCCAAACTCAACAGAAAACGTCTCCTTAGTCGATATCATATTTATTCCAATACAAAGTTCCACAGCCACAATCGCCACCGCGCTTCAAGTACCTCGAAAAGACAAATCAGTTGCTATTTCTGCGTACAGCAAAGGACGACATACCAAGTACTACACACAACTCCCACGAGCTCACACAATGTTCACGTATATAAAGGCAAGTCAGCGAAACAGGCTAACGCAGTCGCTTTTCACAACTACATTTGGCATTTGTTTTCTTCTAGTTGGCGCCAACTCCGTCATTCCCTGCCCAGTTGATAGTCGATTCGATAGTGAAACAAACGAAAGGCTACAGAAACAGGAAGAACTTGTAAATAGGAAAAAGCAATAAAAATAATGAGATCTGGTTTGAGTTGATACAGCGTGTTGTAATTGTTTACTCTTATCTCAAAACGTCCATTTCTTGAACTGGATTATAGATGGTAGCGGTATCAAAACTTTTGATGTCTTTACTTAGGAACGAATATTTGCTTCAAATGTGGACGGACCTATTGAAGATGGAGGAGTAAAGTGATGGATAGATGCTTGCTGCGAGTAGATTCATGCTTTATGCGATCTGCCGTGGCTCTATCTACGTTCAGGTACTGATACGTTTACTGTCCTTGTATTTACAACAAATTCATTCCATTGCACATAATCCCATTTGAGTTATCAACCTCCCAGTTCCAAAGAAGACTGATAGAAACATGAAACTTTCCGTTTAATCTGAATTGTCAGTTACGCTTCCGTCATTCAATTTGCTTGGGTGACCTAAATTTTTACACTTGAAAATTTAACAAAAAAATATTCACCACTAAAAATACATCAAATGTCCATTTACAATGAATCAAACCTGCTATTCGGCTCGTCTCAAGTATGTTTCGCTTTCGCAAAAATTGCACTTGCCTTGTTTTGCGAAGCCATGCAATTCAAGTCAGTTGCAAAATTAAAGTGTCACACAAAACCACAAATATCGCTCTTACCAAATAGGGACAAATCATAAATACACAATAAAACACCATTTATAAATTAATCAAAGTACAGAATTTATTTCCCAACTGATGTCCATTTGAGCTAGCTTTTTAGCAAGCCAATGGCAATAATGAGATCCCCAAGTAATTTACAATACGAACTGTCCAGATATCAGACCACTTCAAACCACGACACCACTTACGACTATATTAATGAACCTATCGGCAAAGTCTTTACTGACAAAAAATTCACCGATCCATTGCATGATCTTCTAATCAAGAACCAGGAGTCATTGTCACGCATTAAAATCGGCCTTCCACAAGCTACGTTGGACAATTTCGGCCAATTGAGCATTAAAAGTAAAAACAGCTTTCCAATTTTCGAAGATGAGCAAAAACATCGTAGTGGAGATGCTCCAGCACCAAGAGCCCGGGAAGGGAAATCACACGGGCTCACAAAACAGCATGAAGATAAGCTAGCTTGTCACGCCAACAATATTCTTCGTATGGCTATTGACTCAACAATGATGAGTTCGATGAATTCAATCACTTTGCAAAATATCAACAGCGACTCGTTTGACGAGAATGCGGATCTGAAAGACAATGGCATCATATCAAAAATCGAAATCAATGAGGATGAAATCCGGGCTGCTATAAATGGATGAGGCTACGTCACAGGAAAAATTGTTTCCAACTTGGCCAAATCATGCAAGTCATAAGTTTCATAGTATTTGCTGTGAGTAAGAGGTCCACTCTTGGCTGTAATACAATTCTCATTCAACTCAATACCAAGCAGATCAAATAAAGCATCGTTGTTGTTTCCTAATTGCGTCTTGAAGTTGCCTACAAGACCGCGGTTGGGTAAGTCCTGAACGGTTTGTTTCATTGTACCTTGTAAAGTGGCATGATCTTGAAAGTAATGCCAAAGGAAAAATAGAACTGGTTGCTCATAGTGTTCCCTCATTGCACATTTAATCATCCACGAATACATCTGTGATGATGGCTTTATCCCAACACTTTTCATATACTTTAAGTAATGCAATGCGCAGCGTTTTGATGACGATTTCGACAACGAGTATAATATCAGGTTGAAAGACAGGGTACCCAACTCTTTAACAACAGATGTGTTTGCGTAATGCAATGCCGATAATGTTTGTACAACACCAGTATGATTCAAGTATGTCGCAACATAGTTCAATAGGCAGTCGATGAAGATAGCTTGTGTTCTTGGATGTAGACGTTGTGCATACTCCATACTATGGACAGCAAAATCATAGAGTGTAGCCGCTTTCGCAAGTGAGAGAACGCCACCTCTATCTTTAGGTTTCACCACTTTGGAATCAAGAGATTCTGCTTCGCCAGCGGATAACTTGTAGTTTGCAAATTTATGATTCATCGCTTGGAACAAATCAGTGGACACTATACCACCCTCGACTTCCTTCATGGCGAAAACATCAATTAGGTCAAGAATCTCCTCAAAACTTGTCCCGCCATTTGCAGTACTATAACAATGACTTTCAATGATTCTCACGCAAAGTTCCTTATTCAAAGCAGAACCTCCCGCAACAACTTTGTGAAAGAAATGACTTTCGATCAAGTCCATCGTGAGGGAAGTATCACCGTGCATTGCCAACACGTGAAGGACACGCATCAAGAGGGAACTAGTCATCGACTCAAATATTTTGTTCAGTTGGGAAATCAACGATAGCACGGCTTCCTCAAGGGTAATCTTTGCATTGGAGAAACCAGCCATTATATGCCTCGTGTAAACTTCCTTTACGATGGGATAATTGTTACTTTCAAGGCCCGCTTGCAAAATTTGTAGCCATAAATCATCGTCTAGGTCCATAGTCTTTCCCAGCAAAAGCCTGAAAGCGTGTTCCAAACCAGTTGTATCCTTGATTTGAAGTAAGCTCTTGAACGCTAGAGATAGTGGAATATTTGATTCCTGGAGGAATTTGAACACATAGCGAGAGACAAGTTCCCATTGACTGGTGTTTAGTAGCCAGCAAATGTAGCTCAGGTTATATATTGGCACCAAATGCTGGGTGTACATTTGCTTCCATCGTACGTTAAACTCTAATATATCCGTTTGCGATGTATTGAATCGAAATTGGTAAATATATGCCCACTTAATAAGTCTCTTTGCGTCCTCCGTCGCTTGTATCCTCTCAAATTGCATTCTAAGGTTATTCGATACATGAAAATTGCAAGTTATGCATTGTTTGAGGAATGCGCTCAATGGAGATGCAGGGATCTCTTCAATGTACACCTTCAAACTCTCCACATCGTAAATATCAGAAAGACGCTGCAATATCTTGGAGCTAGTGAGACTTTTGTATGATTTGTTATGTCGCGTTGTGCTTGCTAGTTTGCTGTATTGTCTTGATGGACTAGTTGAACAAGAGTTGCACCATTCAACAGGACTATTGAAATTGAAGCACCAATTTAGTGCAACAGGACTTTGATTATGCCGCAAAAAGTTTCTCTCAAAGTGCACATATGGAACTGTATGACTTCTCCATTTAAGAAATCTGTGAGACATAAAGATCACAGTACTGAAAGCTGCAACCAAACTTTGTATTCTTCAACTAATTTTTTCTTTTTTTTTTTTTTTTTTTTTTTCTCTCTTTATGTAGAGCTTTCCAATCACCTGCAGCACTTAAAGTTGTCAACACCCCTCCTCCTCCCCTCCTCCCCAATAATGAAGCTTGTGTCAAGGTCGCTTGCAACGGCAGCTAAAGCAAAGCCTCAATTCAACGTCTTTGATAGGTCTACCAAACTTTTACAAAGGTCTAGGACCCCCAGACTCGATCCTGAGTTTTCACGAAAGAAGGAGTACTTGAGAGATGACATTGCTGTGAAAACGATTGAGCGATTGGCTTTCATTACGAGGCAGTTTGACAGGACATTGGATTTTGGAAGCCATGGAGGAAACTTTTTAAAACAGCTTTGCTCAAGAAGTCATGTTCCGCAAGGATTGGAGAGCGACGAGATAGAGCAAAAGATGATTGAACAGTTGAATAATGACAAAAAGTTGGTACGAGATAAAATCAAGGAGCTTGTGATGTTTGATTCATCGAAAGAATTGTTGTACAGAGATGAAGGAGAAAAGCTTGACTATGAATTTGCGGGAAGAATTGAAAGAGTTGTAGGCGACGAGGAAAAGTTTGACCACGAGATACTAAAAGAGTCTGATGCGTTTGATTTGGTGATTTCCAATCTAAGTTTGCATTGGATCAATGACCTACCTCAAAGTTTGGCAAATATAAACAGAATACTAAAACCTGACGGATTATTCATGGGCACTCTTTTTGGGGGAGATACCTTATACGAGCTACGCACATCTTTGCAGTTGGCAGAGCTTGAAAGGAAAGGAGGGATTTCTCCTCGGGTCTCTCCATTAGTTCGTTTGAACGATGTCGGTTCCCTTTTGAACAAAGCGGGATTTAGCTTGTTGACAATTGACTCTGAGGATATTGTTGTTGGGGGATTTCCCAATATAACAGCCGTATGTGAGGATCTACAAGCGATGGGAGAACAAAATGCGGTTCTATCCCGTGCAAGCAATTTGCCAAAAGATGTATTGTTGGCTGCTAATGAAATATACAAGAGCTTGCATGGAGAAGTGCAACCTAATGGAGACGTACTTCTCCCCGCCACATTCAATGTCATATTTATGATTGGCTGGAAAAAGAGCGAAACGCAACCGCAACCATTGCAAAGGGGGTCAGCAGAGGTTAACTTGAAGGATGTTTTGCAATAAGGAATACCTGTGGGTGCATGGAGCCTCATTGATTAGAGATATGAACAGATTCTTTTTGCTTATATTCCAGCACTGTAAGATTGAACCGCCGTAAATTGTCTTTACAGTCTTTCCTTTGCAACAGATTATTACAGGAGATAATACGTCTGATTATCTGCATGATTGGTCTATTTCGGTGATTATGTTTATATGCGAGGGTTTCTTTTTGTGAGAGATACGACTTTAGGAGATTCGAGATAGCAAATTAAATGTGCTTGAGGTATACTTTTCTATAATTACTCGAGTACTATTTGATCAAAGGGATAGCTACCATTCCTAACCGAGCCTACAAGAAGTATAGGAACCAGATTAACACCTACTAAGCCGTTAACGGACTGACTGTTCTACATCGTATCCTACACTTTTTCTCCTGCTCTCCTCGTCGCTTTCAAAAGTAAACAGATTATAAATCACATTGTTAAAAAAGAAGAAAGAGAAGAAAAAAAAAAGAAATTTTCAGTTCTTTTTGTGTAGGATTGCGGGAACAGCACACACACGGCTATGGAAAGTAAAAATTTTGTTTTACAGTTTCCGTCAAAGAAGAAGGCAACACACATACACATACACACACACACACACGACGCAAAACGAACAAACATTGATTAGACGCAAAGAAAGACATCGGAACGGGTGTTCCCTCTCAACCCTTCATATCCATGGATACCCGGATCACACTTTTTCAACCGATATCCTTTTTGTTTTTCTTTGTTTTTTTTTTTGTTTTTCTTTCTTTCCCCTTGGTTCTTTAAAGTTGGCTGCTTTAATAAAATATGAAATTTTCTCTCACTTGAGGTACCAGCAGAAGGATAGTTTGCTACACAAAATTGTATTTGTATTTGTATTCGTATTTGTATTTCTCTAAATACAGATTTTAGCAATTGTTGTGTATATGTATATGTATATATGTATATATGTATGTATTATCTTTCTATCTATTCTAGAATGAATTATGCATCAGTTCTTAGTCTTTGTCAGCAGACTCAACCCACAAACACATGACTACTATATTATTTTAGTGTATAACCCCCCACACACAAGCACACACACACACACACACTCTCTCTCTCTCTCTCTCTCTCTTTCTCTCTCTATAAATAGTCATAGCAATTTCCACATTTTCACTAAAAATTTTTTGCCGTCCTCCCTTCATCTCTCATCTCACCACTAACCTATCACACCAACCATGGTTAAAGTATTACTTGCTATCAGTTCATACCACGGAAAATTCTACCCAGAGGGTTCTAGAACAGGAGCTTATCTCACTGAAGTGTTGGAACCATTTTTAGAGTTTACCAAGAAAGGTTATGACATCACAATTGCTTCCGAGACGGGGACCTTTGGCTGGGACAGCCACAGTGTCTTGTTTGAAGGATTGACCTTCCATTGGGGAAACATCTACACTGCTTTTTTCAACAAAAACTCAAAATTCAACAAAGCCATGAAAAACGTCAGGAAAGCATCTGATGTCGAAGACGAACATTTTGACATCTTTTTCGCTAGTGCTGGACACGCCACCTTGTTTGACTACCCTACAGCTAAATCGTTGCAAAAGATTGCTGCTGATACCTACAATAATGGTGGTGTTGTCACTGCAGTCTGTCACGGACCTGCCATTTTCGAGAACCTCATCAACCCAGCAACTGGAGAACCTTTGATTAAAGGTAAGAAGATTACCGGGTTCACTGATCACGCAGAAAAGACTTTACACCTCACAAACTCAATCAAGAAACACAATTTGGTCACAATGGAAGGTGTCGCTAAAAAGGAAGGAGCTACATACGTGGCACCCAAAGGTGACTGGGATTCATTCACCGTTGTTGATGGCAGAATTGTGACTGGTGTCAACCCACAATCAGCCCTTAAGGGTGCCAAAGACACTATTGCCACTTACGAAAAGACCAGAAACCAGGCGAAAGCTGAAGAGTAAAGTGTTTTTGATTTTATTTCCCGTATCTGTACATTTAAAATATATATTTAATATACATTTAGAGATCTTCAATGGTTCTGTAGATGGAGGCGTTGCCACCAGCACTACCTCCTGCTTCCACTTTGAAAAAGTCGGCACCCAACTCTATCAATCCAGTCTCTGCTGCATAGACAGCCCAATGATCAGTCAACTCCTTTAAAATCTGTGGCTTTTTCTCAGCAAGATCTTCTGTTTCACCAGGGTCTGCAATTATGTTAAATAACTGCCACTTTTCAGGTCCAAATGGTTTCGGAATGTAGATGGCTTTATATTGGCCCTTTCTGATTGCTTGTTGGCCAAATAATTCCCAGCCAGTTACTGTGTTCTCATCATGCACGAACGGTGCCTTTCCTGAAATGTAACTTGCCCATGACTTTCCGCGTGGAGTAGCAACTTTCCGACCTCGGTAAGTTGAGCCTGGATGTGGCACATTTGCAAGTTCCAACACAGTTGGCAAGATGTCCATTACTGTGGTGAACTCCTTGAATATTTTCCCTTCTTGATTTTTCAATAATGGTGGATAGTGGACAATCAAGGGACATACAATGGCACCCTCAGTGGACCAGGCTTTATACATTGAGTGTGGTGCAGTAGCAGCCTGGGCCCATTGATCACCATAAAAAGTGAAAGAGTTGTACTTTCCAATATTTTCAAGCGAGTTGTCGTAGTATTTCTCAACAAAGGATTGGATACGTTGGTTCGTCAATGGCAATGCCTCCATTATCATACCTTCAGCTCCATTATCTGACATAAACAAGATGAAAGTATTGTCCAACTCATTCTTCTTTTTCAAATGGTCAACCAATCTTCCAATCTCCTCATCCAATATTTCAACCATGGCGGCATAGGTTTGAACAATCTTGGTTTCAACTGCTTTTTCTTCCTCAGTCAAATCTTTCCAATCCTTACGGATAGTAGTAATTGGGTGTGGCTTAACATCCTTTTCAATGATTCCCAATTCCAAAGCCTTTGCCAATCTTTTTCTACGTAATTCCTCTGGACCTGAATCGTAAACTCCTTTGTACTTGGCGATTCTATCTTGAGGAGCTTGATATGGCCAATGAGGGGCAGTGTATGTTACAAAGCCAAAAAACGGTTCATCTTCCGGAGTCTCGTCAATAAACTCAATGGCCTTGTTGGTAAAGTTGGTGGTTGAGTAATAATCTTCCGGCAAGTCCTTTTCCGGGTTCAACTCCTTATCATCAGCCACAAAATAGTTGGGTAAAAATGGAATTTGCTCGCCATTTTCGTCCCTGATGATGTACTTGTAGTGATTACCTGCACCTGGTAACAAAGTCCATGACTTTTTGAATCCTCTTTTTATTGGCCAATACGGCTCCTTTAAGCCCAAATGCCATTTGCCTGAAATAAACGTGTGGTAGCCGTGATCTTGCAAAACCTCAGGCAATGCAACCACTTTATCATTCAAGTACCCTTCATACCCAGGTTTGTTTTTGAATTTATCACCATGACGTGACGCAAATTCAGCCATTTGTCCCAACCCAGCAATATGGTTGTCTGTTCCACTCAACAACATAGATCTAGTGGGTGAGCAAGCTGACGCCGTGTGGAAATCAGTTAATCTGACACCATTCTCAGTAGCTAGCTTGTGCAAGTTGGGTGTGTGGATCTCACCTCCAAAGGGGGATAAATCCGTGAATCCTAAATCGTCAGCAACGATGATTAAAAAATTGGGTCTCTTTTTCTCGATTGTCATGTCTGTGTAGTCGGGAGGTGACGAGTTTGAGTTTTCATTTTGAGAAGACACATGGTGGATGAGGGTGCTCCCTTTTATAATGAACTGGCAGATTACAACAATTAAATTAATACGCCAAGCCAGCGCCACAGTTTGCTAAGATATATTTGTTGAACAAAGGTTAGTGCGCATTAAAGCCCCGATTATTGTGAATTGATGATTCTGTAGCACGGAGGGTATGAAATGCGTCTCTAGAACATTATTACAGTCTTTGTTTTTAGGAGCAAATACCAGAGATCAGTGGCCGTTTTAAGATATTCTGCTTTTGTATACCTACCAATAATTGAATCAAAGCTCGCGTAATCAACATGCACATTGCCGATGTAAAATTCCATTTTTTATTCCGATCGGGATAAGGAAATTGCAATTGCGTGATTTTTTAGATGAATTTGCAATAATAAGACGTGTGATTTTTCACAACATCAATTGAGCTTGGTTTGACCAAAGCAAGAGATAGTGCAGCTCAGCTATAAACTTTAACAGTGAGTAACAAGGTAAGAGGGGTGTCCCCTGAATCTATTTGACCATCGAAGCTTATACCCTACTACCTTACTACACTTTCTAGAAACAACTTGTCAATATCTACACCATGTAGCTTCACAGAATACCAATTACGCCGATTCAGGTCTTTCTCTGTGGGCAATCGTAAGCGGTGCTTCCTTGCCTACCCGCATTTGTTGGCTCAGTAAAAGTAGTCCACAAAGCTGAGACATTTTTTTTTTTATTTTTCTCATAACTCCGATCGGCTTGACGTGCCGGGAGTATACCATACTCTTACATACAAGAAGTCAACTACTTTTGGGTGTTTGCCGATTCTGAGCATCAAGCAATCTTTCCTGACACTTCCGAGGAGCCTCTTAACATATCACCTCAATATGTCGCATCTGTAACGCCCTGATGATGATGGTAAAGATATATACATGGTGGTTAGTCAATATGCGGATAAAAAGTTTACCATGATAGGATATAAAGCAGCCTTGAAGTCATAGCTTGTACGAACAAGTGGCACACCGAGACATTGTAGTTCTCCCTCCGTGACACACCAGGTGTAAAAAAAGAAAAAACCATTGATTGTAAAATGATTAGGCTTTCGTTCACCCTTTCACTCCACTTACGACTCAAATGTAACACAAGTGAAAGCCAAATGAAGGAAAACAAAGGAAAAAAAAAAAAAACAAAAACAACAACAGCGTGCATAAAATTAGACAGGCAGTGAGAAATTTCAACAGGAAGTAAGGAGAAGTATATCACCAATACTATTTGCCAGACCATAAGCACTTCATAAAACTAAATTGAAAGATCAGTCTTTTTAACAACTCGCCACACTTTCACGTTCTTTGCATTTCGCTTTTGACGAATTATATTCCACTTGCAGATATCCGTCACATTTTCCAATACACACGACTCGCCCACAATATGGATATCCGCACCCTAACGGAGGATCCAACACAGCAGATACCGTCAACAACATCAGCAACGGGGACAAACATACCCCAATCACGGCAGATGGAACACACACAGCCTGAATTGGTGCCCAATAACGAAAGCTATGTCAATGCTACGCCACAACCACGCCCTACCTCTACATCGTCCACAGGAAATGACAATACCAGTAACCAAGGAACCACACAATCGCCGTCTCCATTACCCCAGGTCCAATCCACACAAAGTACTCACACCAATACCGATGAAAATATCAGCAGCTACAATTATGATCACGATGCACACAATTTGAACAAGCCGAAAAGGCAAAGGCGCAGCTACAGTTGTGGCCCTTGCAAGATGCTCAAGATCAAGTGTGACTTACAGATCCCTTGCACCTCATGCAAGAAATTCAAGCGTGTCAATAGATGTTTGTTGCAGCCCCCACAACCACCTTCGCAAGAGGAGCTCAGCAAGATTAAAGAGCGAAAGAAAAGAACGATGCACAAGAGGTTGAAAACGTCCAATGACATTGTGCATGCCTTCCATGATGATCAAAACTCCATTCCATCGTTGCTTTCATCGATAAACTCCAGCTCGAAGCTCATGGACCAACACCAAAGATCATTCCTCGATCAAAGCGTACAGGCGCAGCGTGGCAACAACGACAACTATGCATCAACACTCACAAGACAATCGCAATATTCCAACTTGCAACCAGAAACCAATAACGAAACCCCAGCACACCCTATAACGCATATTACTTCAAATTTTGACGACCAAGTACAGCCAAGATTGTTTACCGAGAACCAAAAACCGCAGGGCGATTTGCTCAATACATTGCTATACCAGGACTACCAAAAAATAGTTGAATTGAGCATGGTTGATGTGAAAAGAATCAAGAGGTTGTTGCCTAGCAAGTTCGAAGCAATTGAACGTCTTTACCAGTTATATATCAACACAATTAACTCTGTTTTTTTGGATACACAAGATCATGACGAGATCATGCGAGTGGGCCGGTTGGTGTATGAGAAATTGGTGTCGATTGATGATGAAAATGTCAGAAATTTAAGTAAAAGCATCGAGTTCAACGTTGTTGAGTTGAGAAATTTGTCATTAATGTTTCTTATATTAGCAAGTGGGTTTTTGTTTGAGAATATGGAGAATGTTTCATGCAACTTCTTGTTTGACTTGAGAACCATTTATAAAGCCGACTTGATTGAGGACTGGGTCAAAATTGCCAAGTTTATCAAGTTGAGATTGTTGTCGTATGAGTCTTTAACGGACTTGATATACTTGATGGACTGGTATCTTATTATAAAGAATTTGTACACGTATGACAACCAGATTATCGAAAATTATTTGGAATTCAATAGTTTGTTGAACTATCTCGTGTTGAATAATGGTTTTATTGAATTGATGGAAGACACTGGGGGAGAGACTACTGTTAATGACGGCACGCCACAACCTCAGGGTGACGATGAAACAGGACGGAGATCATATCCTACATCTAGAGAGTTCCGTGTACTTGGAAAATACTGGATACAACTTAGAATGATTGATTTGGAGTTTACCTTTTTCCAGTACAAGGGTTCCATGTTGGTGTCTAATCAGTTGAAAAACTCAATTGTCCCACATAAGGACGTTTTAGAAAGCATGTACGGTCCCAAGGGCGAGTTGGCCAATTCTTCTTTAACCAAACACCAGGTGGCAGTGTGGAGTCTCTACTACACCAGATCTGGTCAATCAACATCAATAAGACGTATCGTGCAAGACTATTTGGAGTTATATAGTAATGCGTCTTTTCTACTCAAAGATGACTTGGCAGAGGTTGAGACCAAATTTTGCAAAACTGGTGAACAAACTGCAGTACCTCAAGTTACTATCCAAGACGTGGAACTCTTGTTGAAGAATCAACAAATCTTGCTTTTGTTTGTTCGATGGTTATCATTTATTCGTATCGAATCCAACTACTTTCCAAGTTTAAGGTACTCATCATTTTTAACCACAATGATGAATTTAAACAACCACTTCAATTTGCTTGACAAATACTACAAAGCTGAAAATTCGGGAGAGAACTTGGTTGATTATATTCTCCGAAACTTTTCCTTACACTTTATAAAGGCATTTTTCCAATGCTTAACTTACCAGTCGTTGTTTTTGATATTTTTAAAATATGCACTAGTACGGTACTCAAAAAGAGCTACATTCAAGATCCGTTTGGACGAGGTATACCCGCATGTCCTCAATTCATTTCAAACGACTTTGAGTAAATTTATCACCAGTCCTAAGATCAAGGAATATCACACTCATATCGCTCAATTTGTTGTCAATATCAATTTCCTAATCGATGCAAACCATATTTTAAACGAGGAAACAACCGAGTTTGAGCGGCAAGGTAAGGACTCTACAACTCAACACAAACCCCTACTCGAGTTTCAAAATTTGGCAGATTTGCTTCGCCAATTAAAACAGGAGTTTGATCCAGGCCAATGGGAGTTTATCACCGATGTTTATTTTGGCTCTAGAGACAACTTCTTCCGATACGTGGAAAAAGAGTGGGATTTGTTTCAATTTTTGTTGAGCAGTGATGCAACTCCCGGCGATGGACCCGGAGCACACTTGACTAAAGATATGGTGATTACAAATCGGTTACGCTTCAATGATGAATTTGTCAACTTTCACAAGGGTAAATTGATGGGGTTAGTGTTTGACAATAACGATGTCAGGGAGTACATGAAACTCAATGTTGAACCCAATATCGACGATTAAGTGCTTTTTATAGATGCAAAATAGGATATTGATTAAAGTCTATAAAAATAAGCTCCTACCCAACTGTCTCGTCAAGTAAAGTTCTATAAGGGGTACTACCCAGTACCTTTTCCCAAGATTTCACTGTCAATCCGTCACTTAAAGTTGCCTCCTCAACCATCAACTGATAGTCTCCCCACCATGGCAAAATCCTAAACATGACTGCCCAATATAAAACACATAACAAGACGCATACTAAACCGACCAAGCCGTAATTGGGCCAGTGTTCCAAACCTTTTGGATTCGGCGAGCTTGATGAAATGAAAGGGCCGACAACCAAGTAGATACTGATTAATAGAACTGCTATTGTACCAAAATAGCCAGCTCTGATTGGAGCATGTAATTCAGGGTATCTTTTCCGAATAATGAAAATCCCAACGGCAATCAACGCAATTGCAATTTGTTGTGGGTATCCTTCAAGTGAAACCATGTAGCTGTACACGTCTCCTTCATGGAATCCCAATATGATAACGGTAGTAATCGAGCAGCTCAAAATAAGGATTCGTAAGGGTGCCCCAAATGGCCAGTTTGACGACATGAATCTTGAAAATGGCAAGTATCCCTCACGAAACACCTCTTGATCAACCCTGGATATTGTGTAAATGACAACAAATATGTTGCCCCCGGCACAGATTGCAATGGCAAAAGTGAGGAAATGGCGTCCCAAACTCTTTCCAAAAATCTTTTCGAATAATAAGGATCCCACCAATGTTGACGAATTGACAATCTCTTGGTCAGGAATTACAATCAAGTACGCCAAGTTGATAATGCCGTAGGTGATCGCCATGATTGCAAGTGACACTGGGCCAGCAACCTTGAGTGTCCTTATGGGATCTTGTATCTCGTTTGAGACTGTATGCACCGAGTTCCAACCACTGAATGCAAAACTAGCTTTGATAACGGCACTGGAAAATGAGGATACTGTGGCTTTAGCTTTCACTTGCCAAAAATCGTTCCATGACAAATAACTTTCCAATCCAGTCACAGCTTGTGGAAGAACTATCACGTATAAACCCATAACGACCATGATTCCAACAAGGACCAATTTCAAAGCGCCAAGGATGTTTTGCACTCTGACGCCATGATTAACACTCACACCATGTATCAATGCCGCTCCATAAAGAAACAATAACCCAGTGACTCTGATTCTCCATGGAGTTATGGTGATGCCCAAAGCGTGAATAAAGTACTCACCAAAGACCAACACATTACTAATCGTGAAACCAAACATGACCAGGTAGATTGAAAACGCGACAGTTGCCAACAATGTGGGCTGGGTATAAATGAACTCTAGAAACACTTTGGCGCCTCCACTTCTGGGTACCAACGACCCCATTTCGAGAAATACATATAAACCTCCAAATGAGGCAATTGCCGCAACGAGCCAAGCGAGGAAGAAAAGAAAGGGGCTCTGGCCGCAATCAATGTATATTCCAGATGTGATACTGAATATCCCACTCCCTAGTATCCTACTGATGAACAATATGATTGTTGAGTATAGCCCCAAGTGCCTCCCCTGAGGTAAATCTTCTAAAGTTTGCAAGTATGATGACGGGTGTGAGTTAGCTGGGGGTTGCGTTGGTTGTTCGGTTACAGTCTCTTCTTCTGAAACTAGTTCTGTATACAGATTGGCAGCCACTTTGGTATTATATAGTTTATCAATCGACACCATTTCGATGTTGTCGGGTGTATCGATGTGAGGGTTGTTTTGTTGACCGGCTGTTGATTCGTGAGTCGGCAGCTCGGGGGTGTGTTCTTGTATTTGTATGGTTTCAAGATCGCTCCTGTCACTACTACTATTAGAGGATTGTGACGGCATGTGGGAATATATTTCTGATCTAAATATATATCCGTTGTGGCACGCTATCAGGGATCGATTACGCAAAACAAAACAAAAAAAAAAAAAAAAAAAGCTTGAGCCACACAAGTCCATGGCTTAGAGAAAGAGCCCGCGTGCATCCACAAGAGTCAGCTAGTAAGAGATCCTAAAACCTACCACTTCCACACTATTTCAGACAGTTCAGACTTAGCAACTCAACACATCTACAAACTCTAAACATTTTTCTTGTCATAATGGTTATACACCAAATCCCTGTAGTTTGGGAAATGGGTAATGTACCAGAAATGAATTTGACTGAATGGGTAAACTGTGAAATTGATCTTCTGGTCAGCATACCATGAGGTACATCCACCAAATGCTGTTCCAAATACACTCTCACGCAATTTCAGTTGGATCAATTTGAACCAACTGTCATACGCTTCAGGCTTAACAACAACTGACTTTTCTTTGCCTTGCAAGATTGGCTTTGCAATTTTCATATAGTAATCAACACCGTGCTCGATTGACATGACAACAGATGCGTGGCCAGTACCGATATTTGGCCCACCGACAATAAAATAGTTTGGAATGTTCTTGACCAAAGAGGTGCGGTACGCTCCAACGCCTTCCTCATCCCAAATTGTTTTCAAAGAGGCTCCCTTGCTGGTCTTGACTGGTAAAGTAAATGACTTGGGGACATCGTATCCAGTGCATGCAACAATAATGTCCGCTTTGATGAAACTTCCATCCTTCAAGTAAATACCATCAGCAACAACTTTATCAACGCGTTCGTTGGTAAGCTTGAGCCTTGGGTCATGCAAAGCTGGGATGTATCCATAATCAAAAATCAATCTTTTGCAGCCAACCTTGTAATCTGGAATAAGCATGTCCCAATACTTCTTTGGCGCTTTCTTCATATAGTTCACCGACATTCTTCTGTTAGCCCAACGGACTAATCTTGAGATTGGTCCCTCACCTCTAAACAAAGGAAACCTAGACTCAGCAACAGCTACAGTGAACCAACGGACCAATTGCAACCCGAAGAATGTATACCTGAGCAACCCGTAAATCATCACAAGAATTTTTGGGACTGGAGGCATAACATAGTGCTTAGATCTAACAATCTGAGTGAGTGAAGCGGGCTGGTAGTCTTTCAACAAAGCTGGAACAACTTGATTGGCTGAACAACCATTACCGAAAACCACAACGTTCTTTCCTTTAAAATCAACAGAATGATCCCAAAGTGCTGAATGGATGTATTTTCCTTTGAAATTCTCCAAACCGGGCTCTTTCAAATGCATGGGATGAACCAAGACACCAGTACAAGACACGAGAATTTTGGCCTTATGTTCAAGCTTTTGACCAGTGTTTTTATCGTGGGCGTACAAAGTCCAGTATCCAGTATCTTCATCAAACAAACACTCATCAACCGATGTGTTGAACCTAATTTTCTCTTTCAACTTGTATTCTTTAGCAACTCTCAAGATGTACTCCTCCATTTCATATTGTGGTGGTTGCACACGAGTCCAGTTGGAAGTCAAAGCAAACGAAAAGGAATACCAAACCGCTGGTATATCAGAAGCACAACCAGGATACGTGTTTGCATACCAAGTACCACCAAAGTTATCATGTCTTTCAAAGATGCGAACATCGTTCTCCTTGAGTTCTTTCATCGTCTTAATAGCAGTGGCCATTCCACCGAATCCAGCACCAATTACCGCCACATTTGAAGAAGTTTTTATCGTTGGCAACTTGTTGTCAATCTTCTTCAAAGCTTTAGGATCTTCACCCAAAACACCAGTAGAATCTTGCAACTTGATTCTATAATTTTCTGGATGTTTGTGGGAGTCTTTGGTTAACGTGATGGTAGTCATCTTGCACTTGTTGTTAAGAAGAATCAAACAGGGCTATGGATAAAAACTCAGCACTTGCAATACCAATATATATAGATATATATATATATACAAGGAGCTCCTATGTCGTCTCATTTTCCGTGTATCGAACCTTACCCAAGATTGCAGACAGGGCGGAGTTAATACTATGTCCGCTATTACGAGAAAGTGGGGTGCGTGACAAACGAAAACGGTAGCACGGTTTTATTTCAGAAAAGATGACAAGCGGACTTAGGTATGCACCGCTGCTCAGAAACACGGAAATGAAGAGGGGAAGGGGGTGGACTATGATACTATTCACTGGCTCAAATGAACCAAAATCCGAGATCCATTGAAAAGTAAGTATCGTGGGGAACACATATAGGTCCAATTAAGTGATACCAGTCTATCAAAAAAACACTGGAAAAAAATAAGCACAAATTTCTTTTCTTTTTTTTTTATAAAACTGTCTATTTAGCTTGTCTATTCTTCTTTGCCACAAAGGACTCCTTTGCCAACGAGATCAAACTATTAAGTTCACCGCTATTCTCACACATTGAGTGAAATAATGACTCTGGGTTTGAAATCAACACATACGGATTATCATACTCCACCACTTGACCAGCATCCATAACCAAGATCTTATCGTAATCAATAATGGTTCTCAATCTATGTGCAATGGTCAAAATGGTACTGGACCCAAACTCATCACGAATTGTCTTTTGAATCAATGAATCTGACTTGTAGTCAATTGAACTTGTAGCTTCGTCCAACAATATAATCTTTGGATTCTTCAACAATGAACGAGCTAAACAAACCAACTGACGTTCTCCTTGAGACAAATTACCACCACCTTCAGTAATTGTATTCTCCAAATCGTGAAATTTGTTTTGATTCTCTTCACTAATGGTAGATGTGGGTGTTGATTCATCAATCAAATTAACTCTCTTCAAAGCAGCATAGATTTCAGCATCGGTGTACTGTTCAAATGGATCCAAGTTGGATCTAATTGTTCCAGCAAACAACGTTGGATCTTGTGGAATGATGGTGATGGCTTGGCGTAACCTTCTCAATCCGATACTGGTGATATCAACGCCATCAATCTTGATCAATCCACTTTCAGGATCCAAAAATCGGAAAAAGGCAGTGATTATGGTAGACTTACCTGCACCGGTTCTTCCAACAATTCCCACCTTGTGACAAGGCTCAATGTCAAATGTTACATTTTTGATCACACGAGGCAACTCCGGAGAATATCTCAATGACACATCTTTGACTGAAATTTGTCCCTTGTCTGGCCAGCTTGCCGGAGGCTCAGTTTCTTTGATTTCATAAGCTGGTTCTTGTTCAACTTCAAGGTACTCCTGCAATCTCTCTACTGAATTCATATTCATTTCGACATTGGCATAAAGACGAACCACCCAAAGTGCACTCTCGCTGAAAGCAATCGCATACGACAATGATAATCCTGCCAATCCAGCATCGATCTTGCCAATGGACAACAAGACAAATATACCTGCGAAAAACATAACCAATGACCCAACAACATCAATTCTAAATGAAAGCCATCTATTCGCAACCCACAAGTAAAAAAATGGTCTATTGTTGTTGTCAATTGCTTGCAAATTTTGCTTCATGAATCTAGACTCGACTCCATAAGCTCTGATTGTGGCAACACCAGTCAATGACTCAGAAAAATGTTGATGAATCGGCGATTTTGTAATCGATTCAAATCTCTTCAACTCTCTTGATAAAGTCAAGTAGAAATATCCCACCAAGTAGTACAACAACGCAATAACAAATGCAAAAATGAGGAACCCGGGAGTGATGATTGTAATCAAAATCAAGATGGAAACACATTGAACAACACAAATAAACACACCTTCAGCAAATGGAGTCACCTCTTGATCCACTGACTCAATATCCTTGGAAAACCTATTCATAATCCGACCCAATGGCGTCTTGTCAAAAAATCTCAATTTCGCACGAAGGATCGTGATTAATACTCTTTTGAATATACGATTCGATGCACGAATACCGGCGAAAAATGTAACCAAAATCCTAATACATGCTGTGATTCCGTACGCAAATCCAATTATACCGTAAATTGTGATGTAGTACAATGTGGAATGTTCCACGGAAAGATTGACAAATCTGATAGTGAGAAGATTGCGGACACCAGGTAAAAACACATTGGAACTTTCAACTCCCATGGTGGTGGCAGAATTGTCATTTTCACTGTGGATGGACCATGTTCTCAACCACCATGATTGGTACATGTAAACAAGCTGTGACGCTACGAATGCAACAAGAATTACAGTCCATACTTTCCAGCCACCCAACACTTTGGCATAATCGAGATATACTTTTGAACCAACGACACCTTCTGCTTTATTCTCTTCTTCGACCAACTTACCGTTGGATTTTACAAGCGGCTCGTCTTCCTCGTCATTCTTCAACTTGTTCAATTTCTGCTCAATCGTAGCAGCTTTGGCCTTCATGTCTGCATTCTTGTCATCAAGCGATTGCAAGTTTTGTGATGATTGAGTTCTTGAATTCAAGACTGATGATTTAACCAATTCGTCATCGCCTAAATCGCCTGATTCTAATAATGCTTCAGTTGTACCTTGGTTCTTGACTCTTCCATTCTCCATGACAACAATCCATTCAGCATGTTGAGCAGTCAACGCGACATTATGAGAAACCAATATACACGTTCTTCCTTGCATCAAAGGTCCAGTGATACAGTTTTCGTAGATCCACAAGGCGGTATGGGAATCAACAGCTGACAAACAATCGTCAAGAAGCAAATGCTTTGAGTTGGAGTACAATGCCCTAGCAAGAGATACCCTCTGCTTTTGTCCACCCGATAAAGTGATACCCTTTTCACCAACTTCGGTTTGATCACCAGCACTCAAAATTTGCAAGTCACGACTCAATCCACAAGCTTCAACAACATCGTCATAACGTTTTTGATTAAATGGAGCTCCAAAAGTGATGTTTCCTCTGATTGTATCGTTTAATAACCAAGCTGACTGGGAGCAATACGCTACAGACTCTGTCAATCCATTTTCATCAGGGGTCAATTCGTCACGGGGTAAAATACCAGGCAAAAACACTTTACCTCCAAGTAGATCCATTTCACCAAGAAGACCCAAAAGTAAGGATGTTTTACCAGCACCAGTGGGTCCAATAATGACATTTAACTTTCCTTGTTTAAATGTAATGTTCAAGTCTCTTAGTTTGAAGTCAGACTTTGACAGAGCATTCCATGATAACGTAGCTTTTTCAAATCCAATATCGGGGGAGTTTGGTGTCTTTTCATTGGCCAATTGGTCGTATTTAGAAGTTTCTGCCTCATTCAAAAAGTCTGCAACTCTGTCCAAAGACACTTTTGATTGGATTACAAAAGATGTCATATCAGCCAATTGATCCAAGGGAGATCTCAACAACGTAAACAACGACAAGGCGGTAAACGCAACCGGTGCAGTCAAGGTACGTCCCTCAATCATTGTATAACAATAGAATGAGAGTAATGTAATCAATGTTGGAGTGATAAACCACACAAAAGATGCCGCACACCAAACAGCAGATCTGTATTTCAAATACCTCAACTCTTCATTCCTTATATCCATTGCGCTTTGGAAAAACTTATCTTCCCATGCAAAGAATTTGATAATTCTGATACTTTGAAAAGTTTCATTCAATTTTTGGATTCTCTTGTCAGTAACTCCCAACATTTGTTTTTGCAATCTTCCCAACCATTGAGCAAATTGGTAGTTTACAGGTAATAACACCACAATTGCCAAGGATCCAACAAGAGCACTCCAACCTAACAAGTTGTACAACAAAACTGTACAAAAAATGATCATCAAAATGGCTCCAACAAAATAGTGCAAGTACCCGCAAATCTCAGACACTTTAAACGCGTCAATGGCCATAAGGTTGATAATAGCACCCAATTCGGCAGTAGATTCCTTCTCTGTTGAATCTGTAGAGTCTGTTTCAGTAACTGTGATTCTTCTTCTCAAGGCTTTAGCGTAAACTTGGCCAATTATAACCGCCTTCATCCGAACACAAACTCTTCTGCCCAAGAATAATGAACACCCAGAACAAATTGAGTCCAATACTTTGACAATTGGCATCATAAATACAAACGTCCAAGCCAAATTTGCCGAAATTGAGTCTGGATCGGCCACATATTCCAAAACTTGCTTCAACAACACCGACGGGCCAAACACAAGCATGGATTCAATAATAGCCCAAAATGCTTGGATTGCAAACAAGTACTTGAAATGGAAAAAAATCTTGTAAGTGAATCTCAATGTACTTTTAGATGCTTCAAAACCTTTCAACACGTACAATGCGTAGTCATCTTGTCTCAATCCCCAAATATCGCCAAGCTTCAATGGCTGTTTGTGCGCTTTCCACACCATTTTATCCAACCAACTATAAGATATAAATGACGCAATACTTGAAACAGTTTCAGGATTTGGCTCAACTCCAGGAGTGATGTACAACTGAGATGGTTTGTCACCCACAGTGGCAGTCAAATTTAAAGTCAACAACAATGCTGAGAAAACAAACTGGAAAATGTAATACTGTCCAGTTTTGTTTATCAAAGCCGATCTAAATGTCAACAATGTTGGAAATATGTTGAAAAAGTAGAGTGCTGTAGTGTGTATCCACAAATTTGGTAATTTAATAGTGACGCGTTTCATGTTAATGACTCTAATTGTTACAATCGTGAACAAGTAGAACCAGAATATAACTTGGGGGATAGCATAGAGCTCTCTCTTGAACAATGCTGACACGTGCAACCCCAAGGATAGTATGACAAACACATATTCCAAGGAAACTCTCAAACTCTCAGTAGTGTTTTTGAAAACCTCCTTTACGTAGCCATGAGGAGTCCCATCAATGTTGGTGTCTGGCAATTTAGCAAGGTCAAAATGCAAAGCCTTTAGATCTTCCTTGGTCGTTGTGGTTGTGGTGGTTGTGGTGGTGGTGGCCAAAAGAGGACGCTCATCTTGCAATTTTATTCGTCTTCTAGAGATAAGCGACTGTGTTAATAATACAAGGAGCGAAATGGTAGTAAGTATAAGCGGTGGGTAATAATCTAGTTCTAGTCTTGCACATTTGGTAATGTCGTCGTAGTACCAAAATTGGCAATGCTTAGAACGTGACATCCTTGAGGTGGGGGGTGGGGAAGGAAGAAAGAAGAAAGAAGAAGAGGCAGAAGAAGAAGAAACGTTAGAAAACAGATGGCTAATTTAAAAGTTGAGGAAAAAAAAAAAAATTTCAAATTATGACTCTTTTGTGTACACTGTAGTGTTATCGCTGAATTAAAATATCCCTCCGTGCGACAGTTTGACGAGTGCTGTACGGAAGAGTTGTAGAGATGCAAACACTGCTTCGTTGCACACCACGACAGGACACTACTGAAACCTAAAAAAAGGAAGAAAAAAAAAAAAAAATATCCAAAATTTTATCAGATTAGTTTGTTTGTTTTTATTTTTTGTACTTGTACAGTAGAGCTACATATACATCTCTGCTTTGTTTTTACTTCTTGGAATCAACCGCAATTTCAACCCTGATTTCTCTACCATTGATATCCTTGTTGTTAAATTGCTCAACTGCCTTCTTTTGAGTTTCTTCGTCTTTGAAACTAACAAAAGCAATACCCTTTGACCTTCTACCATTTTTTGGAATATGAACCCAAACAGGATTCAATTCAGCAAACTCCTCCTTCAAGGTTCTTACTCCAACTTTGTAATCCAAGTTGGTTACAAAAATGGTATTGACCGAAGTTCTTGTTTTGGTAACACCTTCACCATTTGATTTCTCTTTCTTGTCTTCTCTAGCCTGTTTTTCTTCTCTAGCTTGCTTTTTAGCTCTAAATGCCTCAGCCTTGGCCTCCTTTTCTTCTGGCGTTGCTGGAGGGACGGCCTTTCTAAGAAAAATGTTCAATCTCTTGAAATGGTGTCCATTGAAGTCAGCAACAGCCTTGTCGGCATCCTCCTTTGAAGCAAATTGAACAAAAGCAAAACCGAGGCGTCTCTTGAAAGATCTCTCGCCCCTGGTAATTTCCTTGAATGGAATTTCGACCTCAGTGCTAAACAAGTTAGTAAAAAGAACATATTATTGGCAGTAGTATTGTCTGGTTATACATACACATTCAAGTCCTTGAACAATTCCTTCAATTCATCTTCAGTAGCCTTATAGTCAACATTACCAACGTAGACTCTGTCTTCAATGACTGGCTTGACAGTTTTAGTTTCTTCAGACATGGCTTTCTCTTGTTCTCGATTCAATTCAGTTCAGTTCAGTTCAGTTCAGTTCAGTTCAATTCAATTCAACTCAACAGGATCAATTGTATTGTGTTTTCTGTTGGAAAAAAAAGTCTTTGAGTGAGGTTTTATGATTTTTCTGGTGTGACTTATTTGCCACTTTGACAGAGAGAGAAACCACTAGAGAAAGAAAGAGAGAGAGAGAGAGAAAAAAGCAAAAGAGAGATCTCACGACATTAAAGAAAACCCAGTGTCGTGAATTGAAAATGTAAGTATTTTGCGACACTTTGTTTTTTGTTTTTTGTTTTTTGTTTTCCAGCCAATTAAACATTTGATTTCTGTTATTACGTTTCTCTTGGGCCCGCGCTGCCAGTTTCTTTTCCATTAGCCAAAAAAAATCTATAGGAAAAGTGAAAAAAATAAGGGCCATATACTGAAAGAGGTTAGCGAAACTTGTAACAACATGTCGTTCTTAAAGGATATCTACGAAAGCATTCTTCCAACTGCTTATGCCGATGAGGTATGTAAATTTTGAAAGAAAAACAAGTAACTGCTACATGTCAAATACTAATTATTCTAATAGCCAGCTGATGAGACTGACGACCAAATTGCTGATGACGAAGCCCCAATTGAGCAACCAGAAGACGCACCAGAAGAACAACCAGAAGAGGAAGAGGTAGAAGAGGGTGGTGACGACGAAGATGAGGACGACGAGGACGAGGATGACGAGGATGACGAGGATGACGAGGATGAAGAAGAAACGGCTGATCCATTAGACGTATTAAGAGAAGAGTGTGTCAAAACCAAAGCCTGCAAACCATTCGACCACCATTTCCACGAGTGTGTTGAAAGAGTCACCAAAGAACAAGAAGAACCAGACTACGAACACAAGCATTACAAGGAAGATTGCGTTGAAGAATTCTTCCATTTACAGCATTGCGTGAACGACTGTGTAGCTCCACGTCTTTTTAATAAATTAAAATAAACAATGTTGACGTTTGATATTTTTGGAATAGACAACCTCGTAAATAGGATATCAAGATAGTTATCTAGTCATAAAACAAACCGATTTAAACATGTATCTAGTTGTAGTGTTGCAAACCTTTTTAACTTGGCGAGAAGGGCTCAAATATTTGCAGCAACCTTACAGCAAGTTTCATCTTCGCAGAATTTATAGGTGACTATATTTAATCATATCACGAATGTTTATATCCTCATTGAAGATTTGTCTTGACCAGCTCACCCTTGCTTTTGTTTGACAACTTGCTTGACCGCAACAACAAACAGTGACGCAGAAAATCGGAAAGTTTTGCGTCCTCTTAATCTATACAATGTCCTAATAAAAAAAAAAAAATCGAAATCTAATTGTCTATGTCTATAATCTATATCCCCTTTGTCGCAATTTCATATATCTTTCTATTGGTGTCAAATGGGTTATCAATGTACAAATTGTGGCCACCCTCAGCGACTTCACCATATCTAAACTTGCTATCGGGTAACTTTTTACTCAATCTTTCAACAAGCTTTTGTCCTGCCTCTGAATTCATGAAATCGTATTGTCCGTACAATAAAAACGTATTAAAAGTGAAGGCCCGAGGGTTGGTTTCCATCTTGTTGATGAATTTGTCGTACAAGGGCCATTTACTTACAGTGGCTGGTGTTAACAAGTATTTGACATAAATGTCACTATTGGTCCCATTGGATGCTGAGTTGTACAAATATTCCACAATAAGTTTAACCTCCTTCGGTGAGCCATATACCTTATCATTCACACTACCAACTTCTCGAACCTCTATCCTGTTGATTTTAGACAACTTTGGCAACCACATTCTAAAGTAGAATTGGGCACCCCACGGCCCCAAATATGGCAATAAGCGCGGCAAAAAGGGAATCTTGTAATACCAATTCAATACGTGTTTCATGCTCAAGATAGGGAATCGACTAAGAAACCTGTACGAAGTTGGGTCCAATACTGGTTTCACTATGTTACCAGTTACCTCATCATTGGTTATTGCCATAACATGACGTTCCAAGCCCACGGGGGATAGCAAAATAAGATTGGTCACTTTTTCTGGATGAAGCAAAGCATATGATGCGCTCCAGTACCCACCAAATGAATGGCCAATGAGGCAATCAATTTTTGGAATACCCGACTCTTGTCTCCATTGCTCAATCGCCGAGGTGTAAAACTTTTCCATATCTTGAAGAATTGGCTTGAAACGACTTCGATACTGAGCAAAGCTTGCTGGGTCTAATTGGTAACCCTCAATGAGCTTGTAGTATTTGCGATACAATTTCGTAGTTGGTTCATTGTCAATGAGTTTGATCTTGGCCGTGGGCGGTATTCTCCAGCTGATTTGTGCATTGTCGATTTTTGGATTTGATGAAAGTCCGAATGTGATATTGTCGAGGAAGTGGACGTGGTAGTTGTAATTTGGATCTGACTTGAATTTGTCAATTAGTTGGAAATTTCGAGCAAAACATCCCAACGAAGCTCCATAACCGTGAATAAAGACCAAGTGCTTCGTTGGTAGTGCCCCATTGACAATCTTAAATTCCACCTCGTTGATGTGATCTGAGTCTCCAATATGTACTTTCTTGGTCCCCTTTTGAATATGTGAATTCTCTTTAGTGGTGGGGATCATTAAATCCACCAACTCCTTCTGCAAAATCTCAAGTCTGTTTGGTGATAATGACTTCCACCATATTGACAAGCTTTCTTTGAAAGAGAGTGACTTGAGAGGCTTGTGTCCCAACACATTTCTACTCCTCGAGGAGGAGAGCCAACGTACCGTTCGGAAACTCATTTAGACCAGTAAACGGGATTTCGAAATTTTTTTTCTTGAACGTCGGTTAAATGCGGAATAAATATCTTTGACAGATCTTTCTTCACCAGAATATCTGGCATTACCAAGCTTCGTGCTTATGTATTTTATCCCTGCAAAGGGCGGTATGATGCGATTCCCCTGTGTATTAGCGGTGTCATAGCTCTAACAGTGGCTTTGGTTAAAATCGAGCCACAGTAGTCGTTTATACTCCAAGATTGGTCCATGTCTATGAAACAATGCGAATTGAGCAGATGCAAGTCCTCATACCAGTAACTCCTGCTTGTGTTACTTACATTCCCTACATGCATTCCCCCATTATGCTCCAGTATTGCGCATGCACTCCACTCGTATACCCCATATTGTACTTCACTCAAATCATGAGACAAAAAAAAAAAAACATGGATTTCCATATAACCCCATTCCCCCCCACCAGCTATGTCCTTCAGCTCATTCGAACCCTTACAAGCGACAAAACTGGCAAACAAGACAAGCTCAGTAGCATCAGCAAACTTTGGCGCCAATTTGGACAAGGAGTTCATCACCTACTTGATACCTGACTTCAATGCAGTCAAGTACTTTCAAAAGGACTTTGTGGATTCAAACGAGTTTTATCTCATGGAGGAAACAGAAGTCAGCGGATTTGAGTTGTACTTGGTTGAGCAATGGGTGATAAACCGACATATTGGCTCTATTGTGACTGCCTTCACCGGTAACGAGCTGTCCAAGATTGTCGTTGTCAAGTTCACCATCATCAAAAAGCCTACAAAGTATTATCCTATACGGTTTCAGGAATATCTTACTGAGTTGATACAGAACCATTCGCGTATGAAGACAGTGGGGAAGTCAAGAGCGAATTCTGAAAATGATCTATTGACGATATCCAGCAAGCCAAAGGAAAAGACAGAGAACAAGAATGACGTGTGTTTTGTCACCAATTTGATGTCGCTTCCGCCTCAGTTGAACTTGATACCAGTAACCAACGGAGATTCCCGACTGATAGAAGCCCCATTCATTGTAAACTCAAATCTCAAAAGACTACAGTGTACCGGTAGATCCGTGTCACTAACAACTGACAAAATATCAGACGCTTGTGAAGACAAGTTCCGGCAAATGTACAAAATCTACAACGTCAAGGAACCAGTGAAGTTTGCCGTTAGAGAGCTTGTCAATGTGGTTCAAACTTGTCTATTCTACTTTGACCTTCTAGACGGGAGATATTGTACTGGATTGCTCTGTGTAAAGACGGAGGAAGCCATTAACAGCTGGTGGAGCTTGATCGGGCTCCCCCATTTCAATTCGAAACCAAACATCAAAGCTGGTGTGCTTCCTGCGCGAACAGTGGCGGCAATAATCAGCTTGGTCCTCAGTATCAGACTACGCTTGCAGCTTGCAGGAATATCCGATGTGCCCAAGGACCCATTTGATTTTGAAAACTTTATGCTATCCGTTGGCCTGTTTCAACGACAGCACAAGTTGGACAAGACTAGAAAGTTGGACATGGAGACCATGAACAAGTTGTTTACCTCGACAAATTCGCGATTGGCGCCTACAAGATCCGCCAATTATTTCTCTCCTTACGGGTTTGAAGAAGATTACTTGTTACAGAAATCACCACCAAAGCGGATGTATGGGAAACGAGAATTGAAGAAATTGACCAATGTAATGAAGACATCTGTCCAGGACAGGCTTGCTGCTGCAAGTAACAGGGAACATGACGACAAGGGCAAAAGTGGAGGAATCAGAAATAGGATTGCCAAGCTTGCCGATACAGTCAGTCCACTCGATGTGGAAACGTTGGATTTGGACAACTTGGTCAAGAATTTCCTCGTGGGAAAGACATTGATAAAGTTGTTTTATGGTGTGCAAGCAAGTGGGCTCACTGCCGAACCCGATCAAAAGGAGTATAAACGTAAAGCAAACGAAGTGGATAGTCATTTGTACACTTTTGAAAGCTTGCGAGACAAGATTATCCAAAACAGCCACATTCAATTATCGACAAAGTATAACTTTTCAAAGAGATTTGGGTTACAAAGTCGAAAGATGGAGGACAAGGTAGACTCCAGTCATCTTGGTCCACGAAGTGGAGGTCGAGAGCGCTCACTTCAATCGTCTTCTATGGTGGATTCATTTCTACAAATTGGTGACGATTCAGCGTCTGATACCAGTCTGATGGATGACCGTCGTCGTCTCAGCGTGCACTCAAGTTTCCAAGAACACACAAATGAGCCATTGGTCCAGTTCAAGCGGGACTTGAGTAGGAGAAACTCATGGCCAAGCTTGCTCAATAAGAATGAGGAGAATTTATCATCTTTTGTGCATTTCAAGAGTAAGAATTTGCTTAATCCGGAAGTTGTGGAGATGTCGCGTACAAGACCTCGCAGTTTCAGTGTTACTGATGCCTCAGACCTCTCGGTAGGGTCTATTTCAAAAGTATCGCAAATGTACCTAGACACAATCGACGACTTAATCAAGTATGAAAACCTTCGTGACTTTTACTTTGAAAATGACGAGTGTGTTTCAAATGCTACATTGACGAAAACGTTTCAGTTGCTAAATATTGACTTGCTAAAAGTGAAGAATCTCAAGAGTCAGGTATACACCAACAAGCATCGAATTTTGGAAGTGGGGGTTGCTGACCATTTGAACTATAACCTTGATACATTGACCAACACAATTGATCGATTGTCGTATGAGACGAGAATTGTGAGTAAAAAGATTAGCGAACTTGAGGAAAACTTTAAACTATACAGCAACAAACAAAGCGAAGCTGAGAAAAGATTGGACAAGTTGATTGGTGAAACCTTGAGTCACCCTGACATGAAGGTAATCTTTAGTGAACAGCAACGGCGAGACTTTGCTTTGAGATTGACCGGCGATGAAAACTTTGTTGAGTGTAAAACTGCCGACACAAGTCTGAAGGTGATGACATACTTGTATAGATTCTGGGACTGGGTTGCTTTGTAAAAGTGCTACTTAATGTAGCTTTTGATTGTATCTAGAAGTTCTTGATTTTCCTTGACCAATTTTACTAATCTACTATGAATGTAGTCCTGCTTCTGTAGTTCCATTACCAATTGCAACCTCTCTCGTTCTAGTTGTTGTACCTCGTCTGGTTTAACCATTTCATTTGGCTCCTCTTTCAGAATATGCTCCTCCCCCAAGTTTTTCACAATCTCTTTGATTTTGGAAATCGCTTCGTCGGACTCATTTACCCGGTCCGCAAGCAGGGAGGTTATGGTTAATAGTGCCTGTAATTCATCCGTTGACTTTTCACTCATGTCAATGTTTGCGTTTGAACACGTTCAAAAACGTGAAAGAAAAAAAAAAAGAATCAAAAATAGTCAACACTGTATCAACATTATATCCACACAACGATCACACCATTAAAATGGTTACAATTGGCAACGCACATGATGACATAATACACGACGCGGTGTTAGACTACTACGGTAAACGATTGGCTACCTGCTCGTCCGACAAGACGATAAAACTATTTGACATTGATGGCACTGACAACTACAAATTAATCACCACGTTGGTTGGCCACGACGGTCCTGTTTGGCAAGTAGCTTGGGCTCATCCTAAATTTGGATCGATCTTGGCATCTTGTTCATACGACGGTAAGGCTTTGATTTGGAAAGAGCAGCCAGAAACTCAACAATGGTCAATCATTGCTGAGCACACCATACATCAAGCAAGTGTCAACTCGGTGAGTTGGGCTCCTCATGAACTAGGAGCAGTATTGTTGTGTACTTCCTCTGACGGAAAAGTGTCAGTAGTTGATTTCAATGATGATGGTACCACTTCTCACGTTATATTTGATGCTCATGCAATTGGAGTCAATTCAGCATCATGGGATCAGACTTCCAATTCTAAACAACAGCAACGTCGATTTGTCACTTGTGGATCAGACAATTTAACCAAGATTTGGAATCTTGATCCATCCACTAACACCTACAAAGAGGAGGCCAAATTGGAGGGGCACACTGATTGGGTTAGAGATGTAGCTTGGGCGCCTTCACTCCGCCCATATATTGCCACTGCATCACAAGATCGCACTGTGTTGATATGGACGCAAGACAAGGACGGCAAGTGGCAAAAACAACCCTTGACTGAAGAGAAGTTCCCCGATGTGTGCTGGAGATGTTCGTGGTCATTATCAGGAAACATTTTGGCTGTTTCTGGCGGCGATAATAAAGTCACTTTATGGAAAGAGAATTTGAAGGGTAAATGGGAACCTGCAGGAGAAGTAGAACAGTAATAAAAAAGCGTCTATGTAAACTCTCTATAATTGATTTATAGTTGCCTCAATTATTTTTTCAACATCTTTGGAAGCCTCGTCAGCAGCTTCCAACACCTCAGCGTGACTCGCCATACCATCATCCAAGGCTACGGGGTTTGGATGTAATGCACTTGGTGGTTTAGCACCGACACCAGCATTGGTAATCAATGACAATGCAAACACTCTCATTCCGCAATGACGAGCAACAATTACTTCAGGAACAGTAGACATCCCCACTGCATCACCACCCAATGTCCTAATAGCTCTCACTTCTGCTCGACTCTCAAATGTAGGACCAGCTGCGAAAAAATAAGTTCCTTCGTGGATTTTTCTAATGACATTCAATTCTTTCGCCTTTTCTACAAATAGCTTCCGTAAGGAATGGTCATACGCATCGGACAACGGTAAGAATCTTGGACCGTATTCTTCCAAATTGGGGCCGCGCAAGGGGTGCCATCCAGCGAGTCCAGGGAAGTTGACATGATCCTCGATAACCATCAACTCTCCAGGCTTGTACAGATCATTGACACCCCCAGCGGCATTTGTCACCACGACAACGCCAATTCCCAAATCCTTAGCTACTCGAATGGGGAATGTTGTTTCTTGAAAAGTGTAACCTTCGTAAAAATGTAAACGACCAACCATGCACATCACTGGCACCTTATTGTCTCCAATTAGTCCAAACACTAGTTTCCCAGCATGTCCTGGCACGGTGGAAGTTTTGAATCCTGGGATATCTGAGTATTTGATCTCGACAATCGGCGAATCACTGTCGTTGTCTTTGGATAAAATATCAGCGATTCCACCCAATCCCGAACCACAAATGATCAATATTCGAGGCCGGGACAAGATTGGATGTGGGTCCAACTTGGATTGGATTGTTGAGGATGCATTGTGTATGGAGTGTAAATACTGTTCGACTGGGATTAAATCAGACATTGCGGGGAGGAGACAGCTGATCTGAGCTTGTCGAAGAGGGCTGAACGAAAAACCCAAATCAAAAATAAAGAAAAAAAATAAAATAAAATAAAATAAAAATAAAAAAATCGTCTGCTCTTCTTTTACATTGCTAGGACAAATAACCAAGTTAGCCAATCCCAAATACGACTGATATGCATGGTCGTTATTGTACACTCTCTTTTGGACAATCCACCTTTCCTTATGAAAGCTTATGAAAGCTCTCATAACTGTTTATTCATCATTTTTTACTACACCTGTCTTACCTGGATATCGTAAATGCAACCGAAATTAGTAAAAGTCTTATTGTTAGATAACAAAGATAAAAACTTAATCTGAGAGATATCAGTTCGGAATTTGCCGCTCTGGGGTAGAAGATCTCTTAAAGATTGTATAGTTGAGATTCTTTTTGCAAAAAAAAAAAAAAAGATTTGGATACCACCAATGGTAGCTCTTTCGGTTGCATCAAATTCCATGATGTCATGCATATCCTCGCGTACGGCGTTGACATAAAAGAAAAAAGGGAGCATCATTGCCTTCCCCTCGATGACACACTAATGCTTTCTCAAAAGCAATCTTCAACGGCAATGGGTGAAACAATCAGATCATGCAAAGCAATAACAATGGCCCTCTCCTGCTCCTCAATTCACAAAAGTTTAAATATTGATACGCTTGGCGGTTATGAATAAGAGAAGTAAAAACTCTCCGCAAGGCGTTTTTTTCTCGCCGCCGATTGGGCAAACATACACTGCCTAACACTAACAACCAATATATTGTATTGACTCTGTCTCTGTGTAGATAAACACAAAAGAAAAAAAGAAATTAAATGCTGCAATATTAATTCTTAGATAAGAAGGTTTGGAACCAATATCCTGCATATTTTGGAACATCCCATCAATACAATACAATACAATACAATACAATACACCTAGTAAAGTGAAAAATTTCATTGCTCTATATATATAGCTACACATGACCATCTCATCCTCTCAGCAGAAGTAGCTCTTCTATCTCTCCCACACCCAATGGCATTCTCCACCCTCAAAAAGGTTCTACTGAATGAACCAGTTCGATCTCGATCAATCACAGACGAAAGTGTCGATTCCTACATTGACCACAATGAACAACATCATCATCAACAGCAACAAGACGAGCCCACGACGCGGTGGGGCAAGTTCATCAGGTGGCTCGAAGTGCAACCAAAGGGAGACTTGACGGCGTCGCAAATGTTTTTGTACAACCACGATTTGAGACCAGTTGAAGAAGCCAGACGGCAATGGAGTTGGTACAATTATGTGTTTTTCTGGATTGCTGACTCCTTCAACATCAACACGTGGCAGATTGCCGCTACGGGGATGCAGTCTCCGTCCAATATGAACTGGTGGATGACTTGGTTGTCAGTGTGGTTGGGATACTTTTTATGTGGTATATTTGTGTCGATTGGAGCAAGAGTGGGGATTCAGTACCACATATCATTCCCAGTGGCAGTGAGATCCTCGTTTGGAATATATGGAAGTCTTTGGCCAGTCATCAACCGTGTTTTCATGTCTTGCATTTGGTTTGCAGTTCAAACAGCCGTCGCAGGACCTACATTCACATTGATGCTACACTCAATCTTTGGTAAGAATTTGCCACAAAAGATTCCCAACCACATCAGTGACCCTGACTTGACAACGTACCAGTTTCTTGGGATTTTCTTATTTTGGTTGTTTCAATTGCCATTCATTTGGTTCCCACCTCACAAAATTAGACACTTGTTCACTGTCAAGGCGTATGTTGCACCAGTTGCAGGATTCGGGTTCCTCATTTGGACTTTGGTGAAATCAAACGGGTTGGGTGATGTCATGACCAAGCCAAATGGCTCAAGTGGGTCTGATTTGGCATGGGCATTTGTGGAATCGACAATGAATGCATTGGCAAATTTCGCAACCTTGATTGTAAACTCACCAGATTTCTCGCGTTTTGCAAACCAGCCATCTTTTGGAATGAAGTACCTAGTGTACACATTGAGTATCCCAATCTGTTTCTCAATCACTTCATTGATTGGTATTTTGGTCACTTCAGGGGCCCAAAACTTGTATGGAGAAACATATTGGTCACCATTGGATGTTCTTGCAAGATTCTTGGATAATTACACTTCGGGGAATAGGGCCGGTGTGTTTTTCATCTCGGCAGCATTTGCCTTGGCGCAATTGGGAACCAACATTAGTGCAAATTCGTTATCTTTCGGTACCGACTGTTCAGCAATATTGCCCCGGTTCATCAACATTAGGAGAGGTGGATACATTTGTGCATTCTTGGCACTAGCAATCAACCCATGGAAACTAATCTCGTCATCATCCAAATTCACAACCTACTTGTCAGCATACTCGGTGTTTTTATCATCGATTGCCGGTGTTGTTGCATGTGATTATTACTATGTAAGAAGAGGATACATCAAATTGACCCACTTGTATTCACAAACTGCCCCCGAAGACAAATCACACAGATCCATGTATGCATACAACAGGATTGGCTGCAACTGGCGTGCGTATGCCGCTTACCTTTGTGGGATTTTGCCAAACATTGTCGGGTTTGTTGGTGCTACTGAGACTCACAAGGTTCCCATTGGAGCCACTGAGGTGTACAGACTCAACTTCTTTATGGGTTTTTGCTCGGCATGGATTGTGTATTCGGTGCTCAATTATTTCTGGCCGGTGGAGACTGGTATTCCGCCAACTAAGCCATTTGAAAAGGGGTGGTATGAAGAGTGGCAAGATGTGGAGTCGTTTGAAGACGAGTTGATTGGTCGTGAAGTACATCATGGAGTTGAAACTATTGATGTTACCGACATGAGTTTGACTGAGAAGGGTAAAGTGTAGAAAGGAGGAAGTGTTGCCTTTTGACCGTGTTTAGAGTAATATTAGTTTAAATGATAATTTCCGGAAAAGCTTTTGAATATTGTACGCCAGTCCTTTATTTTCATTAGAGCCGATGCATGAAAATGATACTTCTTCTATTTACTCCGGCCACCAATCAGGAACTATAGCTCTAGCTCCAACTGTCGTCTTCCCTTCAAAAGAAGGTATATCAATTTTGAAAAATGGTGATTTATCAACTTCAGCCATATTAAGTAAACAAAGTCCTGTATCTCCTCGGACTGCCAATACTTTGCCACTAGACGATTTCCGTTTACGTACAGGTTTCGAGGAGGATGCAAATGGAGATGTTGCAGTAACTGTTGCCGTAGCTTTAGCTTCCTCTTGTTCATTCCCCTCCTTCAGTTCGTCCTCCACCAATGGTGTCATTTCCAACCTCGTCAATGATGCGGATGCAACTTGATCTAAAGCGGTCGTTTCCCGAAATGCAATTTCCGCATCATCATCGTTATCAACCTGTGCTTGCCTTATAGCATCCACCGTGCCTTGATCCAAGTTGAAAAACTGCACTGGATAAATCCTCTTTCTGATGATACCATTGTTAAACGTCCTTATCGTCAACTCCTGACCCACATAACACCCCTTATCTAGTGACAACCCATTCGTATAGTCCAAATTACACTCAAATGGTAACAACGACTCGCCACTCGGAGCGTCGCCAGCTTCAAACACGCCATTTGCGAACCGTCGATTAATCACATTAGACTCAGGCACCACCAGTCCAACTCCAAATCGGTCCAAAAACTCACTCGAAAACACATCCTCCTCAATCCTTCCATCTTTCGACGTTTTGATTGCACCACTAGTGACAAACTTGAATCCGAAATTGGGTATTCTATTATCAACAGCAAACCCCAACACCCGGCTCGCGAAATCGCCACTGAAAACGACTTGATTCGCAATGAATGAATTGGCAGACTGTAAAGCATTCACAGGGTCAGCACTGCGGAAATACCGTGCTTGCACTTCATCTTCCAACCACACATCAAATTCAACAGAATCATTATAATAGTAATACAGCGACAATGAACTCTGTGGTTTGATATCAACCCTAGCGCTCAACTTGTGCAATTTCAACATCATCATCAACTTGCTCACTTGCCCCGTATCCACCTCCATCAAATAACGTGGCTCTTTCATCTCGGCATCAAATTGACCTTGGAAATTATGGAATGGATCACAATACAAGAATAAATCAGTCACTACTCTTCCTTTTGAGTTCAAAATCATGGAGTTGACACCTTCGCGAGTAACGTAGATATTATCGTCAGGGTCGTAGATATCTTCATGTATCAAGCCGTAGTTTGTCACGGGGTCAATCACAGACTCCAATTGCGAATGTTTGGCCTCATTGGCGCTGATTGTGTGTTGCTTCTTCTTGACTATGTTGGGCAATAATCGCGTCGTTAGTAGTCCATTGAGAAACTTGGTGGCGTCGGGACCTCGTATTGAAATGAGCGTTTTCAGTAGTTGTGATAGACCCGGTTGGAATACCTTCATTGGGGAGTATGGGAGATTGCTCTATTGGATAAAATTTCTGATTAGTGATGACAAACGGCAGATTTTGCGCGGAGATATTTTTTAAAGTAGTGAACCCTTGATTACGGAGACTTCAATAAATAAATAAATAAATAAATAAATAAATAAATAAATAACTAAAACGTCACCTCAATGGTAATTAAGCTCAAGCGCTCTACCAATGGATACTTTCCGTGGCGCACGCCTTTTCTTCTCTTCCTCCTCTGTGTCAACATCTCCTTCACTAGCAGCAGCTCCCATAGCTGCTTTCTCACCATTATTTTTCCCCGGCACATGCATACTCTCCTCACTAGGCGACATCAACTTATCTCTAATACGATCAGTCAAGTTCTGCTTATGCTTGATATCGTAGCCATGAGTCATTGCATACTTGGTCAAATTCGTTTGTGAATGCGATCTTGAACTCAATGCGCTGGATATCGCCGATTGAGAACCACTGGTAAAGTTTGATTGTGTGCGTGAGATATCCTCTGAACGAAGATCAAGATTTCCATAATCAAAGTAACCGTATCCACCAAGCAACTCGAAATCGGAATCTTCGCCTCCATCAGATGTGAATGAGGTGGCGGTCTCATCTGAGTTTTGACGCTCCATTGGCGAAACTGGAGTCGATTCAGTATTGTTGCCAACAGTCAATGAAATAGGATGTTTCAACGATGGATCAGTAAGACTAACATGACTAAGTTCATTCTCAATTCGTAATTTTTGAAATTCAATCTTGCGATTTTCCGATTCACTGAGATGCATGACAAAACTAGCATGTTTCTTGAGCAGGATTTTCAAATCGTGAATTACCTTGTGGAAAGTACCCAAAAATCTTTCCGTTTGACGATGTTTAGAGCAAACAGTGATTATGACTTTATCATTGTGGATAATGTACCCAATTCCGTACCCTTGGTCAATTGCGGGTGGAATACCAAACAAACGCAATGCTGGGTTACCACAATTTGAGATAAGAAGTTCAGGGTTCAGCAACTTATCAACGCAGGTATTAAACATCAAGGGTAATTGAACACGCTTCTCTTCCTCATCTACGTCAAATGTCGGAATTGGTGGCAAGTCCGGATTCATCTTGTTTAACCGTTTTGCCGCCTCTGGTTTGTGAATTACTTGCGCAATGGACATGAAATGACGTTCAAATCCTTTCCCCATCATTGCGTCATGGTACTGGATTCTATGCATATTGCAACACTCTTTAAAAGCAGCAAATTTCTCAGCCGAGTTGGCACTGGTGATGTACAATTTACACAAGTTGGCAACCGACTCATTTTGCACGGTTATCAATTCAGTTCTTGCGTCTCTAAACTTGCGTGTCATGATTGGTTCCAAAGTATTGACCATTCTTCCATACAAAGAATAATTTGTAATTTGAAAACAGATTTGCATAATTGAATCCACAGAAAGACCATACTCTTGAGCCAAGCGAGATTCCAACTTTACTGTATGCGTTTTGTACTCGTGTTGGTTGATTAAATCAGCCAACGAAGTTTCTGACAAATGAATAAGAAATTGTAAACGCTCAGTTAAATTGAATTGAATCAATTGTGGTTGAGGTTTGACAATGGTTGAGTTTGCAAAAGTAACTGCTTCGTCAAACAATGTGTATTCTGAACCGTTGATATTCTTGGCGAGTTTCAATACTGAGTCGGTGTAAATGTCACTAATGAAACGCAAGATGGCAGTGCTATCCATAGTCAATGACTCCCAAACAATCCCAGCTACTGAGTTCTTGGTAACTATCAACTGCAACTTGTCATACCATCTTGAAGTGCAAGTACCAGATTGAATATTTGATTCGGTCAATACTGATGATCCATGAGAAATAACTGAAGTTTTCTCCTGGTCCGTTTCAGGCGAGTTGGAGTCTAGTACAACAACAAACAATGCATCATCAATCAACTTCAACTGTTCAGGATTAGATTTGTTTAATTCCAATCTTCCCTTTTTCCAATTCTTCAAGGGTTGGGTTGTGATTGAACCAATACAGTTTTTTATAGAGTCTTGAGGAGGAATCTTGTCAGTTTCATCAATAATATCTTGGAAAATATCAGCCAATTCGTGATCATGAAATACAATTTGATGCTTGGTCTTGGTCTCCTTGTATAGCTCTTCATCAAACTCGGTTAAAACTTCTAAAGAATAGTACTGATTGTTTGCGAGAATGATGATGTGTCTTGAGTCATTGATGTGTTTGTACTTTTTCATACTAATGTCACTGGTGCCACCTTCAAAATCGGGGATTCTAGTGCAACCAAACAAGTGATAAAAACATTGCATAGTCAAGGGGACTTGGTTCTTGGGAGTTACATCTGGTTTGAAGGTGAAATTTCTCAATGTAACAATCAACTTCAAAGTGGAATTGACTAAATTTGCCGAACGTTCAGCTTGATTAGGTGGGTGGATGGTTTTAGCGTATGGATCATCTTCCAATATGAGATATGGATTTCTTGGTAAAATGTCTGACTTGATTTCTCCATAAATGGCAGGAGTCATGTCATTGTTTACAATATTGAGATAGCTTTTGTCTGGATGTTTCTTGTACAATGTTTCCAAGTGCAACTGAATAAGCTTGACAGTGTCATTGTTGACAAAGTCGCTAGCTTCTAAAAGAAGCTGCTGATACTCTTCTGGAGAAGAAATTGGTTTCAAAGCACCCAATAGTTGTTGAACAGTGTGGGTTAGTGAAGGAACAGGTAAAGCTGGAAGTTGAGCTTCATATTGGAAAGTGGTGTTGTTGAAGTCAGTGATAGTAGCCATTGGGAAGAGAATGTGTGTGTGTGTGTGTGTGTGTATATATATAACTTACTAACTATTGGTTGCTAAAAAGAAAGTTATTTGAATGAATGATTTGTGTTGTCTCCCCCCATCCCCAGTGAGTTGTATAAATATATATGATCTCATGTATATATACATATATATATATTATTTCCCCCACAAAAAAAAGAAAAAATAAAAAAAAAATTAAATTGTGTTATATGTATGTATTTTGTATTTGAAAGAGATGTTATATGCTGTGTGGTTATATAAAAATCAATTTACGAAGGAGTGTATGCATAATGTATACAGATGGGTAGTGTACACGGGATCAATTATTTTTCTCGGAGTTTTCACGTTTTGTGCAAGTTATACACACACACACACACACACACACACAGAGAGACCCTCTCTTCTTCTTCCCCCACAGAATAATATTCTCTGTTCTATCCGTGGAAAATTAACAAAGGAAGGGACAAATGGAAATATATACATATACACATACACACATACACACATAAAAAATAACACGTTCTTATTGGTTGATTACAAAATTATGTTACATCATAAATCATATTGTCACTAGCTACTTCTACTAGCACTACTCGTTGATGTATGGCACTTGCACAGATATACCATTAATTCTATTGCCTAGGTCTAGTTTACACAGAACGGACCTAGTTTTTCTATAAGATATATATCTAAATGTACCCAGACGTTTACTATTTTTTTTCAACTGTGGAACCGGGTATGCTTACATTATCCTTATCCAAGTATATAGGGATAATGCATCACCTTCTAATTATTCTGCTTTATTTTTATTTTTTTTTTTGACTTCATATTGGTACAAAGTTTTTCACAACCAACATCCACTGACACTATTGTACATAAAACACACAAATCAGCAAAGGGATAAAGGAAATATTGGCTCTCCGTCCACAGCAGATTCAACCACTGTCGGAATGGACGAGATTCCCAGTGTTCAAGAACCTGACTGAAATATTGCAAATTTCAGTTCACCCCTTAATCTTGCCACTTCTCAATCTATACAAAAGCTACTATACGTAATCAACCTCCTTCAAACCTCATATCCACATCCACAAGAGCATATTCACGCGTCCTCCTCTACCATAAATTGCGTTTCTGAGGTATCTTAAGTGTTGCAAAATCAACTTTTTTTTCTTTCCCCTAAGATTCCCTTTTTTTTTTTTTTTTTTTCCCTTCCTTAGCTTCGATTGGATTGCCCTCGGCAGAATTAATAGAGCCAAATACTTGCACCCCACCCGTTCGATCACTTGAATGACACATGATACATGAGTGGTATAGCTTTAAAAATCACAGCTCTTTTAGTGAGAACCATTCTGAAACCCATATCAAAAGCAATATCAACACAAGCTAAAAACAATGAAACATTTCGACAATATTGCATTTCATTTGCCAACAAGCTTCACAAGACTGATGTCAAACTACGCATGAACTTGCTAGGGGAGAAAAAGATTAGAGTTCGACCACTCAACGACAACAAGGCCATTGAACAGGGAGCAGCTTTCATATCGGAAACATTTATATTCAGTGTTGCTGGTGGTCTAATATTTTATGAAGCTTATCGAAGTCGAAAAAAGGCTAGTGACCAACGTGATGCGCTAGCGGATGATATCACCATATTGCAGAATGAAATTGAATACATCAAAGATAAGTTGAAGGATATGAATGTGAAGTTAGATGATTACAAAGTACCCGAGGGGTATAAACCAAAGTATGTCAAGATTGGCAACAACAATAACAGCAGTAGCAGTAGCGAGAACAACAACACAACAACCAAAACCAAAACCACAACCACAACCACAACCAACAACAACACTACGACTACCCTAAAAAACCAAAATCTAGAGAGACAAACTCAATGAAACAGATTTTGAACAAAAAAAAAAAAAACTTAGAATTACAAACTGTATATATATAATACAAAATTCAGAATAATCAAAAAACCACCACCACTACTTTCAAAGGATATCGCCCCAAGCTACCTTTCCTCCTTACTTGCTCTTCTTTTTCTCCACTTTCAACAACAAAGCCTTGTTAATATGTGGCAAAACACCACCATATGCAATAGTAGCCTTGATCAAATTATCCAATTCTTCATCACCACGAATAGCCAATTGCAAATGTCTAGGAGTTATTCTCTTCACCTTCAAGTCCTTAGCGGCATTACCAGCCAACTCCAACACTTCAGCAGTCAAGTACTCCAATACGGCAGTCAAGTAAATCGCAGCTTTCGACCCAACTCTAATCTTGTTTTGAGCATTCTTTTTCAAGTATCGCTTGACTCTACCAACGGGGAATTGCAATCCTGCTCTGGCGGAGTGGGATGTAGATGAACGTCCTGCAATTTCGGAGGATTTACCTTTACCTCCGTGTACTTTTCCTTTACCTCCTGACATTGTTAAGCTTTGGTTAGTGGTGTTGTAGTTATTTATGCAATCTACTTAAAGAAAGAAAAAGATGGTAGTTGTGGGTTTTGTTTATATTTTCTCAGCCGAGAGAGACAGAGAGAGTTATACTTTACACAGGAAATTGAATCTTGTAATTGTTGTGACTTTCACACATACACACATACACACACACACCTCTCTCTCTTTTACTTAAAACAAGAAATTTGTAAACAAACGCGCATTACATTTTATATTTACTTTTTTTTGATCAACTGTACACTACTCTTTATATTCTTCTTCTTCTTCAACAATTGACAACACTGAAAGACCCCAATTTCTCAATCATCTTTTCAACCTCAGTACGTGACTTTTGCAACTCTGTACAAATTGAATCAAAATGTTGAAACCCCTTCAACATCTTTATCAAGTATATCATTTGCTCCTCTTCCTCTTCATCATCATCCTCGTCGTCAGATCCACCAGTGTCTTCTTCTCCTTCTCTATCTCTGTCATCCACCCTATCTATGATCTTATCAGATCCTATTGAGCTGGATGTCCTATGTGATCTCCTGCTATTTTCCAGGATACGTCTCAGGTTCAGTCCAATATCAGACTCTTCACTCGAACTGTCACTTTCTTCCTCCACAACTTCACTCATAATACTCCAGTGCCTGCGAGACTGATCAAGCTGGTTCTGCAGCTTGATTACCAGCTGCAGTTGCTGTGACCTATCATCAACAGACGAGAAGCTTACACGTCTATTCGTATCCGTCTTCAAAGTTTGCTCATGAACTCTTGTCCTCAACAACAGCTCATCAGTTTCTCCTCCCTTGTGCATCACCATCAGCTTTGATCTGTGCTCCTTTTGTTTGATCCTACGTTTCATATTCTTCAAGATATGTTCTGGTTGGAGCAAATCACCACTTTCAATCGATCGTGTCACTGCATTAAGCACAGGATAAGAATACACTCGATATATGATCCCTCGTAGTACTCCAAAATTGATAAATCTTCGTATATCAATGTTTTCCAACAAATGTTTGTGCTGCACATACCATTCCTTAACAGTCTGGCCTTGGTTCAATGATCGATACAAGTGGAATAAACTCGTCTTTGTGGGCACTTTGACATTGGAATACTGCGCAAAGAAGGACTTGGGCGATCGAGATAGGAAATTTTGCAGTTTCATAAATGGAGACGTGCTGCCACCCGAGGGCATACTACGTCTGAAATTGAAGGTTTGTGGTGAAGTACTACTACCACTACTATCACCTTCATTTATTGGTTTGGGTGAATTTTGGGCTGGGGTATTGTTGAATGATGACGTACGCATGGAATCAGACGCTGACCCATTGGTCACAACGTATGCTTGGCACTGTTCAGCCATTCTTGCATCTGATTTCAAAAAATCACCAATATTGTTGGTGGGGGCATATATGTTGCTGAATTGGAAAACATCAATCAATTCAATACAGTTATAATGCATTAAATGTTGAATACACTGCTTTGTAACAAGATAATTGGCATCTGCCAATTTACTGATCCGTTTAACTGAGTTTATTCCATCAATGTATGGAAGTATTTTCACCATTGTTGGATCCCAGTTTAAATCAACTAATGATTTAAGCTTGACGGTGGCTATGGGTATTTGGAACGCTTTCAAGTTGATTGGGGGCGGTAACAAGGGAAATAGCTTGATATCAACAGAATTTGAGCTATCCAAAGGGATACAGCACTCGGAATAATTGTTCAAATCTTGATAAATTTGCTGAATCAATGATTCAATCGATGACAAAGCGATTCGCTTAGTTTTCGAATGGCCTGGCGCATTCACACTGGCATCATTCTCTGCAGAAGTGGCAGCCAATGGAGCACTGCCAGCCGGCAACTTCGACCCGCTTCCACTGGCATACAATTCCAAATCATCAATTTTCAAAGTCGACTCCATAATCTCTTGTACACCACTTTTCCCATCCTTGTAAAACGAATTATCTTTATCCAACTTACTCAATATGAGATTTTGTTCTTCCAAGACTTGAAACATTTGGCCCATGCGTTTTATGGCCGGCTCATAAGGACTAACATCACCCAACTCGTAATTGAAAACAAAACAAAAATTAAAGTTGAATGAATTTCTTGCATAATGATCATTCACCATGTTGACGGGGTACCCAATAAGTTTATAATTGTTGATTTTAAAAGAAAGTAACTGATTGCATAATTGTGGTTTTGGTATCACGTAGTTTTTCACAGTATCGAAATTGAATAACCCAGTGCTTAACTCTTCATCGTCTTCTTCCAGTCCTCCATTGGCAATTGATGCATTTGTTGATATCAAATTTTCTGGAAACTGGTGTACGATTTTTGTACCCTCTGTTGGATGAAATACCGCATAGAAGATAGAGACTATAGGGATAAATCCATCTGACATTCCATAGCACAATTAATGACAGGGATAAGGGAGAGACAATATCAAAGATTGAGAATTATTTTTTTCTTTTCTTTTTTTTTGGTTTTGTTTTTGCTTAATCGAGAGAAGGTAGCGTGCATAGCACACACTAGTACTGATCGGTCAACAGATTGATTGACCATTTGTAAATATTCCCTATATAGGTCTAGAACCTCATAACATTCACGTAGCCAGATAATTCTTCAACGTCGAAATCAACATCAGAAACACGTTTTGCGCTCTTTTCCTCTCTAATACGTGCATTTTTGGCTGATTTCGAAGCTGTTCTCAGCCCCTTAACCTGGTTGCTCTTTTGTTGATAAACAAGCTCAAACCCGCCCAATTTTCTCTCCTCAACTTTATCTTCTATCTGATTATACAAGTTCAACGCCTTGTGCAACAACTCAGCATCTTGGACTTCTCTGCCATAACTATTTCTCCAATCCAATGGATCATCTCCAAACACTTCAACGTAATGCGGACCCCATTCCTCAATGTACCTGACTGAGTTCTTGCAGTCAGATACAATAGTGAACTTTATGGCATTAAGACTTCCAAGTGCTCTTTTACCCTTGCCCTTTTTCTTTTTGAATTTGGCCAAGATCTGTAGCATTGCAAAAACAACTGCCCAGAGTTTGGCCCTTGCTGGCGTAACAACCGGCTCTTCTCCATCCTCTTCTTCGTCTCGATCAAGATACAGCAACTTGTGACTGCATGAAAACATTGGATAAACAGGACAAGATACTCCAATACCCGCGTATCCATCATGATTATCATTTCTGCCTGCTAAGTTCTTGTATGAACCTGAGACGTATATATTGACATTCTCTGACATTTTTTCTCTTGACATGTGGGGGTGTATGTGTGTGTGTGTGTGTGTGTGTGTGTGTGTGTGTATGGATATGGGGTCTTGAATCAATAGATGTCGATTCAGCTGAAAAGAAAGAGAAAATGTGTGGGCTTAATTAAGTGATAGGGGCAGAATAATTTTATGTTTATCTGAAACAAAACGTACGATATTGCAACACAAAGCCGTTATTGGAGAAAGTCTATGAGCCTTGTCTTTGACAGATGATATTACATGAGCCACTGGATGTATGGTGAAGAGGACTGTGTGACTGCCTAAGTGACAACAATAGTAGCAAAGGATAAAGGTTGGGAGATTCTTGAGAGATGGGAGAAGTAATATGAAAAATCATAGATAATACAACTCCGAAACACGCTTTTCAAAAATGATTCTATACACTGAATACTTTCTGAGCTAGGTAAAAGGCCAAGAGAAAAAATCCCAAATATTTTAATAAAACAAGGAGCTTGCCAAAAAAGAAAAAAAAAAAACCACTCTCCAGCTTTTGAGGTCTTGTGGCAGGTGGATCTATTGGTTTCCAGTTGTTGAACAAGAGCTTGTTAACTTGACTGAGGCTGTGGACATTTAACAATTCTTCGTCTCTCTTATTTGCAGCTTTAAGAACCCCCCTTTTTCTGAATCGTAAGCCAGTATCCATACTGTCCTTTTTTCATTTTATTTTGCCTATATTTGGTAAGTGTTTCAATATACTCCCCCCTACCAGTCAGCACTGTATTCTTCTTGATTGGCACCACTTTCAGCCCACTCCCATGCTGTACTTGGCCCAGTAAGGAAGAAATCCTTTTTGTGATAGACCAAGTCGAAGCTGTATAAATGACGTTCGTCTGCCAAATGCAACAACTCACAATACAAGTCCATTGCTTTATCAATCAAGTATGCATCTTGTAATGGTAGTCCTTTGGAGTTGATCCATTCAGACGGCTCTTTTCCATATCGGTTGATATACATTGGACCATAGTCCAATATCAACTTGACTGTTGTTAAATCGTCACAGACGAGTTCGAAAGCAACGCCAGTATAGTAGTTTCCTTTTAAAAACTCAATCAAAAACTCCATCCCTTTAACAACTGACCATATCTTGGTTCGTAAGGGGGTCTGCATATTGGCGTGACAATCGTCAAATGCCAGCACTTTATATGAATGGTTTAAGTTCGGGATAACAGGGCAACAAAGTCCTATCCCGCCGTATCCAAATCTCTTATCGTTCCTCCCATAACGGTCATTATAAGCTCCTGACACGTAATACCGGACCACCTCTGCCATGTTGAAACCTCTTTACACTGGGGGAGAGTTTCAGAATTTGACTGAAAAGAAAAAAAAACACAATATATTTATATACATACATCCTCGAGCTGTTGAAAACTGCGTTCCCATTCAGTACCGTGTCTTTTTGGTACAATAAAATTACGACGATTCAATAAGTACCAACTGAAATATGAAGATGAAACAGGATTGTAGACTTGCGTAGTATCTACAATGTCCTGAACTGTAGAGATGTTTGGTATTCATTCAAGGTGCCTACAGCTCAACGCTCCCTAAATAGGTAGTGTAATGTAGTACATTTTTGAAAAAGATAACAGTGGACGAGGAAGACAGCACCTAAGCGAACTCGCCGTAAAGGTCAAGCTCTACACCAGTACTGCAGCAAACTACCCTGTAGTACTCTATCCATTTTATAGGCTCTTTGCTACTCTCGAACGTGTACTATGCTGGTGGCTTAGTTACCTTTGCATCCGTGACGGTAGCGCCCTGCACATGAAGTTCCGTGTTATATGCACTACAGCACACCGCGGTTAAACTTCCGAAGGCGGGATCTAGCGATTTTTACGAAACAAAATGCGTCATTGATAGCTATTAACATGTATTAAGAGCTGCAAATTGCTACAAAAATAGGCCAACCGTCCCCTCTTTCTCATTCACTTAGCTTGTTCTATCTGCATGCACTCTTCAACTATTCGAAAAACCTCGTTTAACCGGATACTTTGATAGAAGAAAAAAGAACACGAAATGCAACATTACTTAAATTTTATTCTTAACGTAATGACTTTTATTGTTTGTGCTTTAAATTAACTGGCAATGCTATTCACGATGATAAAGGAAATGTATTTGTTTAAAATTTACGAGTGTTGGAAACGTTCATTTCCACAACATAAACCCACCAACCGACTAGTGTCTTTACAGAAAAAGCACATAGCAGTCAAGTCGATCATCTACTGCGTGCGCAAGTTCTGTTTTCTTTTCTTGGTGATCTAGTATGTCACAACTCAAAGAGCCAATGTCACAAATCGATGAACAAGAGGTGTTTCCGTATTCACAACATCAATCCACCACCTTATCGCCAATAACTTCGGCATCCTCGTCTGGGTCTACTGCACTACTGTCCCAACATGCACTCCATCCCAGGACAATACTAGAAAATTTTGTCAACTCGTTTAAACCATTCAACTACGATGATCTACCTCCAGTCTATCTTGACCATTTCCGCAAATTAGATGAAAGGCAAAACCAAGGTGACGTCGAGTACACGCTGAGCTTACAAGATGATAATGCAAATCTACAACAAGACAAGCAAGGAGCCCATCTACACCCAGCACACCCCGACTTCGACTATTCCACATTTAGCCAATTAGAGAAAGACGCCATTATCACCTCAATGAATCCCCTAAGCAAGAGTCTACGAACTCGCCACCTAACTTGGATTTCACTTGGAGCAAGTATTGGACTGGGGTTGTTTATTACAACGGGCTCATCTTTAGCGCATGCTGGGCCACTAGGACTACTACTTGTTTGGATGTTTATTGGAAGCTTTACATTCACAACAATGGCCAGTTTGTCTGAGTTGGCCACTGCATTTCCCGTGAGCGGTGCATTTGTTACATTCCCCACCTTGTTTATAAACAAGTCTGTTGGGTTTGCTATTGCGTGGAATTACGCTCTTCAATGGTTGGTCACAATGCCGTTACAGTTGGTTGCAGCTGCTCTAAGTATTCGATTCTGGAACGATCATCTCCATCCAGCGATTTTCGTCACCATCTTTTACGTTGTGATTGTGCTTGTCAACTTGTTTGGTGTCAAGGGGTATGGAGAAATTGAGAGTTTTCTAAGTTTGCTCAAAGTGGTTGCGGTTATTGGGTTCAATATCTGTGGGATTGTGATTGTTGCCGGTGGCGTACCGGGTCAGCCATATATTGGTGGTGCCAACTGGCATAGACCTCAGGGAGGGTTATTCAATGAACATTCGCCGTTTAAAAACATGTGTTTTATAATATCGAATGCATCATTTGCGTTTGCAGGGATTGAGTTGTTTGCGTTGGGAGCTGTGGAATCAGCCACTCCCAAAACGTCAATCAACAAGTCAAGGAAACAGATTTTTTACCGGATTATTGTGTTTTACTTGGTGTCAATTGTCATGATTGGGTTTCTCGTACCGTACAAGAACCCCGACTTGAAAGGTTCGACGGATTCAACAGATGGGCTTGTTGACACAAACACATCACCCTTTGTCATTGCAATCAAATTGGCAAACATTAACGTGTTGCCGTCGATTATGAATGCGGTGGTTATTATCACCGTTATCTCAGTGGGCAATGCATCGGTATATGCTTCCACTAGGGTCCTTAATGCCATTGGTGCTTTGGAGCAAGGACCAAAATTCCTCAACTTTGTTGATCGCAAAGGTCGACCCATGGGGTGTCTCCTTATACAATTTGGGTGCGGATTGCTAGCCTACCTCGTCTGTATCCCAGGTTCTTCGACAACCTTGTCAATTTTCGAGTGGTTGCTCAGTTTGAGTGGATTGAGCGCACTATTCACGTATTTGGTGATTAACATTTCACAACTCCGGTTCCATGCTGCGTTGAGCCATCGTGCACGCGTTGCTCGTGATGAACTACTCTACGTCTCCCCCAATTGGGTATCGTGGTATGGTATAATCACAATTGTTGTCACGCTTGTGCTTCAGTTTTGGGCTGCGTTGTGGCCACCAGGAGGAGGGGTTGACGTTGTTTCGTTTTTCCAAATCTACTTGGGCGGGATAGTCTTGGCTGCCAGTTACGTTGTTCATAAAGTTTACGAGTACTGGTACAATGGAGTCCCCTTGACAAAATTGTGGTTGTCAGTTAACGAAATCAATGTCGATATGGGAAGGCGACAAGTTGATTTGGAAGCAGTGAAACAGGAGATTGCTGAACAGAGGAACATTTTACAAAGTAAGCCCTGGTGGTTTAAAGTGTACAATTTCTTTTGCTAGGAGATAATTTTATGTACAAACCTAATATTACAGATTGTAACTTGATAAGAAACACCAAACTATCAATATTATTTAGAGTATCAAAGAAGCAAATCTCCGCTACAAAACAATGTGCATGCTCAGACTCTCCTCAACTAGAATGAAGTGACGTGGTATTGTCATCGCTTTGCTCTCATTGAACACTGGCGAGAAGAGAGTTCTTAAACTCATACCAAGTATCAGCTATTCTCTGCACCCTTCTCTGCACCGGTTGTCCGAAATGGGGAGTAGATGCCGTAAAGTATAAACAGAAAACGTTTTTTTTGCTAAAATGCTGCATACACATGACTTTCCTCCTCTTTTTCGCCCTCCCCCTCGCTCTCTCCCCCTCCATTTTTTTTTTCTAGGCCGATATCGCTCCCTTTCACCCCGCTCTGCAAGAACAGAAAAAAGAAAACATGGGGTAATGCAGAATGATTATGTCCGAAGAAATAAATTTAGGCAACAATCTCTTAGAAATGACAAACATTCCTTTCCAGAGGGGAGAGGGGAGAGGTAGGGGGTAAAAAGTATATGTAACTGTGTGATGTCAAGACAGACAGTCTGGTCATATGCGGGGGGAGGAGGCAGTCGAATGTTGTCAATATATGTCTATCTTGCAGTTCACTCGCCTCAAACTGATCTGTTGTATTATCAACTATTACGCGTAATCCAGCCAGTTAGATGAGAAACAGCGTCATTCGAGGGAAGTATAATGTTCCTAAAAAGCAAACAATTACCCAGCGCGTTTAATGTCAGTCTCTAAAAATAAAGACCTCTGTTGAGACATTTTGACTTCAGCGTTTTCGGAGTTGTGAAAAATTATCCATAGAGATCTCGTTTTCAGAGATTTGCTCCACACTTTCTACAGTACCTTCTTTGAATATCAAAGTACATGCATTATAAACCTATAAACCCTAAACCTATGAAACGAATCAAAAACAAAAATAACCCTACCCCAAAATGCAATAGTCATAAACTCTAAAAAAGAACCAGCTTTTTAAAAGAGTCCTCTATGCAAAATGTACCAACCATTTTCTGTAGTTTACTTCTATCAATTCATTGTTTTTTGTTATTAGATCGGGGATTGTGTTGCAGTTGTGCTGTGAGCTGAAAGGCTTCAAGTTTTCGTTGCAGTACGGGCATTGGTACATTAGTGACTCGTCGGTTGTTTGACTGTTTTCGTTGACAAATTCCTCATCCATTTGGAATATGTCATCCAGATTGTTGATTTCAAAGTGATCCATTGCGAAAGCTATATCTGACCGGTGTAAGCAGTAAAGTTGAGTGTGAGTTGATGAATTGAAAAAAGATGTAAAGATTTGAAAAGTTATCTTGAAGAAGATTCTTATCTATTTATATATACGGTACCTACGCAAAGAGTGTCTTGTATATAGTAGTTACACAGTTTAAGTGAAAACTGTGTCTGTTGTCATTTTTTTTTTTTTTTGTTTGTTGAGTATTACACAAAATGTATAAGAGACTATGCAGTAACTGTGTGTATGTGTGTGACTGTGACTGTGACTGTGACTGTGACTGTGTACGTTACTGTGGTGGTTGTGTGACTAATGCGCATGAGTAATACACGTGACTCTACACAATAATACAAAGAAGCCACAAACAAAAATCAATCCCAAAACCCATAAAGGGAAAGTCAGTTTTTATTATGCATTCTCCACAGTAAAAAAGTTGTGAGTGATTCACTTTTGTTTTTTTTTAACATACACTGTGGTTGCAGTTGTTGTGGTTGTTGTGGTGGTGGTGGTGGTTGCAACAACAATCGTGGCTACTCGTCCCACACATTTGCAACAAGAAACTGCTTCTTTACATACTGACTCACGCGAATTTGGAAGGGACTTGGCATGCGAGTGTATCGCAACTTTTTACTTTACTACAGTCCTGTCGTTGCCATTGGCTCCTTTCGTAATCTCATTTTTTTTTATTTATTTTTTTGTATACCTCGGGTTTTAAAGTGCGACGAATTGGTTGGTATTGCTGACATTTTCTGTTTTAGTGCCTGTACATCAATTTGTTTACTTAGTCAGTGGTGACGTATACACAGCAGTACAGTATCTCCCTACATTACAAGTTGCGGAAACCTCTCCCTATGAGCAATTTCTTTTTTTTTTATTAAGTTTCGCAATTCAATGGAAAGAGGGGACTTGATTGGCTCTGTTTCGTATACCGAAATGAGAAGTGCGTTATTTTTAACAGTCTGAGGGATTTCGAAAACACACAAGTGCATATCTTATCTCTCTAGCGTTTGGGTGAGGGATTTAGCAGAAACACGTGGACTGACTCTTATCTCCTACTTGCCATGAGGGATTTTAACAAAGAACAACCCCCCACCTCTTGTTATCTTTTGGATTCGCGCTCAAATTTCCTTTTTTTGGCAAGAGAAAGATTCCAGATCGTTCGTTGTGTCTGAATTTCATATTCCCCCATGAGCGAATTTCATCAATTGGCGCAACGAGTCTATTCCCTCCCCCTTTTTCAAATTACGACTTCAAAACACGACACGGACTTTGGAACAAATCCTGTACACAACGGGCATGTCTAGAACTTCTCTGTATATAGGATGAGTCTTTACTTTATTTAGAAACACGTGAGGAAAGCTCTATGCTTCAAGCAGCACAGCCAACCGTTTGTACACTTGTCCTTTGCTCTTTTTTTTGCAGCAATATTGGAGCAAATGAAGAACCCCTTTCGATTGCTTTGACGCTTTCAGGGAGAGTATCTCTCTCTCTCTCTTTCTCTCGAGTCCAATAAGATACAGCCCTTAGTTGTCAACCACGTATGTCTACATGGGAGTCATTTATTTCAAGTTCTCTCTTTTTCACTGTCTCTATCTCCCTGGGTTTGATGGAAAAGATAACCAGCGAGGGGCGAGGCGAGCTTTGAAAAAAACAAAGGACAAATCAAATCAAAACCGCATTCTTCATACTTCACCCCATCGTACACCTTTCAATGGCTGAAGCACCGGTTGCTTTGGATGCATACCAGTGGGACATTCTACTGAATATTCTAGTCTTTGCTGGTGTGGAAAACTTGATTCAACTACTACTACCTGAAAACCGTGATTTTCTAAACCTAAATAATAATTTAAAACGAGCAATAAACAGTGTAATTGAGGGTGAAACTGGCCTACAGTACAATAATAGGACAGACAGGTACTCCTTTCTACATATGTACTTGAGGACCCCAAACTGTATTGACAAGAAAAGATTGAAATTTTTCACTGACAAAGATGCATTTCTTATCCTTTACGATTATTGCACACAGGAAGGCTTATCGGTCACTTTGAATGTGGCATACTACTTGTGGACTTCTAATGATTTGATGAACTTTAGAGAGCTAATAGCCAAGTTGAAGTCACCTAATATTCAACTCAATATTGAGCTAGAATTTGATCCAGCTTTCAAGTACAGTTTCCATGGTGAACAGTTTATGGAACCATTTGTTCATATTGGAAAACAAATCAAGTCCCTTGTACTCGGTCATTGCAAAGAACACTTAAAAATTGATATGATACAGTTTCCCAACTTGAAACATTTGTACTTACTTTTCTGCTCTGTGATAGTACAGAATTTGAAACTTCTGAAGATCGAGCTGTTGGACATCATGCACAACAAAACCAAGGCAAAACAACCTCTTGATGCTTTACCAGAAACTTTGAAATCATTCCAAGCTGATTCTGGTATTGCTTGCTCTCTCTTCCCAAGACTCGTGGACGAACAATCGAGTTTGCCGAGACTTGAAACGATTGTACTATGGGTTGAAAAGACGAGAGACTTGTATATCTTACTTGTGTTTGTCAGTCTTTTATGTTCCAAATCTACAAAGATTATAGGCATTTTGACTCACGCTTCTGCTCCTGAGTTTCCAAACGACTTGATGGCAGTGTTAGATGAAAATATCAACGAGGGAATGATGTTGAATCTGCTTGAACTAATGACCGGCTTGAACTTACCATTAACCACATTTCCAACGACGAGTCTAACTATTCAACAAGTTGCAAATCCAGAGATCCTAGGTGAGTTGCAATATCCCCAAACGTTGAAAAGGCTCAACTTGGCTAATAACTCGATCCAGGATTTGTCACCAATATTGCAAACACTTCCTGTTGAACTTGAGTTTCTCAATTTTGATCATAATCCCATTAGTTGGAGCACGTGTGTGCCCAACTTTTCAAAGTTTGAAAAATTACAGTATCTAAGATTGATGAATACTCACATTGGTAAAAACTTTCTGCAGTTCAAATTTCCTGACTCGTTGGAGACTTTATCGCTTGAAGTGAACCAAATTGAATCTATTGACGAGGTGAAATTCCCAGCAAAGTTGAATAATTTAGGCATTGGATCAAACAAGATTAAAGTGGTTTACAAGCCAAGATTCCCGCCAACAATTGAAACGGTACATTTCACAGAAAACAAAATTTCGAAAGTGGATCTTTCGACAAACCACATTGGTCAGCCATTGCAATTGAAAACTTTGTATCTCAACTACAACAAAATCAAGAGCTTGAATAATGTCAAGTTGCCACTGACTTTGGTCAATCTCAACTTTGACAATTGTCGAATCCGAGCCTTGCTGGACATTGAGTTCGGTAAGACGATTGAAGAATTGAGCTTTAATGGTTGCGAGATTGATGACTGGACAACCGCCACTTTCGAAAGTGGGTCAAAGTTGAGGTATTTATGCTTATCCGACAACAAACTCAGATCGTTTGGTCTTGCCCTTCCACAATCTGTCATAAACATTGACCTTTCACTAAACAAAATCAACAAAATTCCTCCTCGATTGGCTAACTTGCAAAACTTGAAATATTTGAACCTTTCGCAAAACAGAATTCGATCAGCCAGGTATCTGTTCCAAACTACGTGCTTGGAAGTTTTGGATCTTTCATTCAATAGTATCGAAATGCTCGGATTATCATTTCCACCAAACTCCGAAACCAACCTACTGCTGCTTGATTTAAGTGGAAATATTCTAGATGAATTTTCCTTGGAGGCGATCGGCCATGACGAGAACAGAGGTGCTTTGCACAGCCGATTATTTGAACTCGACTTGGCAGGAAACTGCATCCGTAAACTCCAAGTGTCTTCCTTGTTGGATCACTTACCACCATCAATCCAATGGTTGTGGTATCAACGGGATTCACCGTCTGATCATGAGTATGTGAGAAGCTGCACGCCTATGGGGTTTCTTTTTCGTAAGCGATATGACGATCCGACATATATATAGAGAGAGAACAAGGCGGGAGATCAGATCCCCTTTCGTATTAGAAGAGACATATTGCAGAGACGTTTTATTTTAAACAATTAGAATAGATGCGAATGGCTGAGTGTCTGGTAATGTAAGACGCTCTCTCTCTCTCTCTCTCTCTCTCTCTCTCCTGGTGCTACCACTTTTCTCCTCTCCCCGCAGTTTTGCTAAATATGAAATTCATCTTTTTGCAGATTTTCAGCCTTGCGATGGGTTGATTGCTAACCAAAAATGAAACTCAAACGAATACTGCACCTAGTTCCGCTTCTTGCCGTCACACAAGCAAGGCAATTCTATTTAGACACAGGGTCCAATGCTGTGTGTTTTGAAATTTCAAATCCAACCAGTATCAAAATCACAAGAACTTTAGGAACGGACCCACTCCCATTGGCACTGTTTGAATATAATCACCGAGCTGCATTGCAAGGGTTACCTAATTTCGATTACCTTGTAACTGATGCAAAATTGGATGAGTATTTTGAGTTTGGTGAGTTTGCCTTCAAGACTGATTCACGGTTTGCAACTAGCAAAATCTTGGAGAAGGAAAAATTGGAATTTGATGTCGATCCTGGCATTTGGTGTTTGTATTCTCCCAAGGTACTGTCTTTTGAATACAAGGTTGATATTGAGGAATCTGGATATTATGAAAAAATTGATGATTTATGGTGGTTAGTCGCCAATGTTTTAATCAGCTTGTTTCTTGCGAGATTGTTCAGTTTTGGATCTAATCCTCCAGTATTGTACAAATTACAAGTAAATTTACAATTGATTAAAGTGGCACTGTTGCTTGTGAGCACAACTTTGGTGTTGTTCAATTTTGATGTTGCAAAGTATGCCGATTACATTTCGGCAAGTTTAGATGATGCATTTACCATTTTTTACATACTTGGCTACGGACTCATTCCTTTCAACGTGCAACTGCAAACCTCCAACAAGATGGAGCTTATTGCGTTACTATGCGTGATCCCAGCCTTTGCTACAAGATACTTTGATTTGAAAAACAACATACAATACATTGTGATCAATAATCAGAATTACAATGTCATTCAAGGAGTTTTGGGACCAGAGGTATTTGATGGGATTGGAAGAGTGGCGAAATTAACTCAAGACAACAGGGTAAACAAGTTGAGTGGGCCCGTTACTGTTCTTTTTGCAGTATCCAAGATTGTCAAAATTGTGACGTACATTTATGCAATACGCAAGACTTTGAAACAGTTGACAGTTGCGAATCCAACTGCCAAACCGTATTATATCTGGACAGTTGTGATTTGGCTATTTGTGTGGCTGTTGGTGAGTGTGGGGATGGCTCCGGATTTGTTCTTCAATTATCCCAACGTCACTAATTATGCAAAAGTGTTGAATGAGTTTTTGATATCTGCTAGAAGGAGACGCTTTATTACGCTCTTATGGGATGAATCTCATTGGATTGTGTTCTGGTTAATCTGGTATACTGGTAATGGTTCATTAGTGAGGAAAGTAGATGTTGTTAAAGTGCAAATAAATTAGATAGACTATGTGTGCATTTTTGTGCACAAAATCAAAAGTACTGTCGTTTGTTTACAATTTGTTTCAAAGCATTCAAACCATTCCTTCTCTTCGTCAAGCCATACTTTATTCACCAATAGACTTTCACATGTCCAAAAAGAGACCGTTAGAGGAGATTTCGCAGAACACAATGTGCTCTCCTCCAAAGAGGCGATCTTCGCTTGGATTTGAAATGGCCAGCATACCAACAACAACAACAACACCACCACCTGCAACGACAAATGAACCTAATAGAAACTCAAAACTTCCTCAGCCTTCCACTACAAAAAACTCCAGCACTGAGTTGACCAATGAGAACGACTTCCAAAGCAGGATATTATCGATACAAGAACGGTTATCGAAAAAACCACCGAGGACCACATCAGCTGCATTTGAGTATGGGAATTCCAGTTCTACACCATCTTCATGTGGATTGAATGAGCTACAAGAGTCTCTTTCTTCACTTCATCAAGAGTGTCGAGACAAGCATCGCAAATTGGAGCATCTTACTGAAGAATTGAGTCGGTTGCGCAGGATACATCGCAATTACCAACAAAAGGTTGAAACTACCACGAGTGAAATTGACAATGCTTGTGCATGGTTGGAGTATATGGAGGAGGAGATTGTCAAGTATGTGGCGAATGAGGAGAAGTTGATTGAGATCAAGTTGGATGAGAATAGGATGAAGTTGGAAAATCAGTTTACTGAGATTGAGTTTGAGATGGCGAATGAGGTGCAGGAGGTGAGGAATTTTGATTATAATGAGTTGGTTGATAAGATTGATGAGTTGAAGTGTGCTGAGGTGGATTTGAAGGAGGAGATTAGGGTGCTTCTGTTCGATCATGAGGGGCGGTATAATGAAGAGGTTGACAAATTGAGACAAGAGTTTGAAATTAAGACAAGAGAAATACGGCAACTTGAAGATGAATCTACTGCGAAACTAAATAAGATGAAGGAGGAGCTCGACAAGACTTCCAAAGAATACCAATCTCAATTGTCTGTACTTGAAGTACATGTGCAGCGAGTGGACAAGTTGAAATCCGAGATCACCAATATTGAAGAGACAATGAATAATTATACCCACCTCAGAAGAGAAGCAGAAGTAGAACTATCACAACTCAAGCAAACATTGATGGAGAAAACGTCACGCGACAAATTGGAGCAAATGGAATTTGACACTGTTCAGCTCGAATATAGCAACTTGCGTGACAAGATATCCAATCATGATGAGCATCGACGGATTTTGGAGAATTCGATAATGGAGTATCGGGGGAAAATGAGAGTATATGCAATCACAAATGACCTCGAGCACAAGATCATTTTCAACAAAGTATTCGCAAGTGATGCGCCCGCCAGCTTCATCATTGATGAGTTTTCTCATCTTGTGAAAAGTCTAACTCGAGGCAATAACGTTGGTATAATTAGTCAACATCTACGGGGGAGTACCATAATTTTGCAAACTATTCAACAACTAGAATCCTATCGAGCCCAATCGACATCATGGCAATTTGAATTCAATTATCAGGCAATGTCATGCAACTCATGCGTTGATTTATTGAATAACTCGTTGCCATTTGCTCAATCAAACTTGTTTGAAAGTCAAAAGATGCGCATCGATGATCCTCAGCAAGTGAGCAGTATCATAAATGGGTTTAACACAAACAAGACTGATGTTGTTGTCCATGTGATCACCGTGAATGGAATCAAGAAAAACAAGGGTTTTGAGAGTCGGTTGGTTGTGATTGATGTTACAGACGTTGGTTGCGAGGAACAAATGACGATTTTGCTGAAATTGATACGGAATGATAAAGTCACCTACTTGGACAGAGTGCTTGATTGGGTTTCGAGCAAGAGTGCACCTTTAGTCATTTCAAAAGTTACCGATTCAAGTACATTGAGTGTACTAAAAACAATCAATTCGACTGCTGTTAATTGCAAAAAAGCAGTGCATACAATGTAATTAGTTTTAGAATTTAAAAATTACATATTAATACAGAGTCATTCTAATTACATTGTAGAGATCAAGTCGTGCAATACCCACTTCAACTCGTCAGTGGTACCAATATGGGCATCAGGACGAGGCAAGCTCTGCTGTTGTTGTTGTTGTTGCTGTTGCTGTTGGGGGCGTTGCTGCTGTTGTTGCTGTTGCTGTTGTTGCTGTTGTTGCTGTTGCTGTTGCTGTTGCTGGTTCTGCCGTTTTTGCACTTCTGATTTTTCACCCTCGTTGTTCTTAGATTCGCTACTCTTGTCATCATTGACACTGCCTTGACTCTGAGCCGTAATGGGATCGGTGGTGCTATTTCCAGACGACGAAGAAGTAGAATTAGACGCATTTGCATTCACAGATATCCCGCTATTAGTTGCACCAGTTGCAGATTCCGTGTGCAAGGCTGGAGCTGGTGGTTGATTAAATTTCGTTCTGTTTTCCAAAAGTGATGCTGGTTTAGGTGGCAAGTTATAGCTCAAGCCCTTTTCTTGACAATCATCGTTCTCGAGTAATACATTACTCAATCTCAATTTCGGTCCACAAGGTTCAATTATATGTGGAAACATTTCAAACGTATCGTACAAGTCCTCCACTGACAACACAGTGTCTTTATTATGTGTAGTTTCAGGAAATGAGGGAGCTTTTGAACTGGATCCATTAGCAACTACTCCATTGATAGTTGCATTACCATCATTGTCAAGTGGCACATAGTCCCTATTGGTATACTTGTTTTTCCTATACTTTGCCACATCAATCGCACTTTCAACAATGTTTTTCATATGTGCTTTCAAGCCTAGAAGTATAACTTCAATCACGCCTGGATTTAACCCCCCAGTCAAGCCATGTTCTCTCATGGTCATCAAAATCTGCTTGGAAAGGGTATCTGCATCAGGTATTTCATAACTTTCGGTAGCGATGGGGGCATTTATACCATTCAACACATCCTGTTGCCACTGCACCAAATTGTTCACTTGCAATTGCTGTTGTTCCTTGTCTTGAATCATGGGGATCTTTGGTAATAAAGTATGACGAGTTAAAGTTATACCAGCTGTCAATTTGTTACGCTTCCCACTGTCTCTAGTGATGTTTTTGATACGCCTTCTCTCCTTGATGGGAAGTCCCATTATATTTTGCTTAAACTTCTCATACTGGGTGCTTCGTACATTTTTGTTGACTTTGGAGAATTTCTTGTTCCAAAACGAGGCCAATTCATTGGGGGCATCCAAAGGGCCATCCTTTAAAGAATTGGCAAAGTTGAGCATCAACAATTTATTGTGAAATCGAAACAAGTTTTGTGGTTTCAAAAGTGGGGTGATTGTAGACACCAATTCTGGTCGCGATAGCTTACCAATGAGGAAAAGGCTCAATGCTTCATGGTATTTCTCCCAGTTTGGGCCCAATTTACTCTGAAACTCTCGTATTAGTCTCTCCAATTCTATGCGTTTTCCTGATTTTCCCTTGTGTTGTGGAGGGTGTTGTTGTTGCTGTGGCGCTTGTGCAGCTGTATTTGCAGCGACTGTGCCATTTCCAATGGCCACGGTATTTGATGTTGGAGCAGTTGTAGTTGATGTTGTTACTTGAGTACTCATTATGAAAGTAAATCGGGGTTATGAATAAAGCGTCTTGATTTTGTTGCAAAAAGGATTTACCGAAAAATTTCGATTGCAAATCGATATATGGTGTGTTGTAGTGGGGGTGTGGGGTGTGGGGTGCTGGAAAAGCAGGAAAAAATAAATTGGCCTTCAACTATACTATGTGTGATTGTAAAATAAAAAAAAAAAAAAATGGAGGGGGAATAAATGGCTCTTTTGGACTAAAACGAAGGTAAATAGGAGTGTGTAATGGTATAGTGACTATGTGATATGATGAATCAAGTTTATATTATAGATTGATTGGGTTGATTTGATGATGTATTTAATGCTATACTAAAAGGGTCTATCTTTTGTATGTGATTCAAAGATTTTTTTTCTTAATTTTGTTGGGAACAGAGAGACTGAGAGAGAGAGAGAGAGAGGAAGTTATTGAAACAATTTCAATGTCGCAAAACATCTCTAAATTCAGTGTCGTCAACTTACAAATGTTGCGACACACTACTGAATCTTGAACATCCCACAGAGAAAGAGATTGTCACCAACTGCAAGTAGTAGATGAGACAAATGCAATTGAGCTGAAGTATTAAAGAGTTTTTTTTTTGTTGTTGTTGTTGTTGTTGTTAGTCGATGATGCTGCGGCTGAATTGGATATTGTATACACGTAAGTTGCAACTATCGAGTAGTTTCTCATACAGGGTGACAATTGTTATATGTGACACATAAATTGGTGATACCAACAAACTAGAGAGAGTTGCGTTACTAGAAGGTAATGCAATAGAAAAGCATACGAAGCAATACATAGTAACTCATGGTGATACGTTCACAGAGTTTGGAATTTATTCCAAATCTAATAATTACCGAAAAAACTATTCTGATGCAAAGATGATACGTCTATTAAGGAGAGTTTATGAGATGGACATTCGGTAAGTATGGTAATTAACTTGTTGACTGCAACAGTAGCTAGCAATATAGTTTAATAAATCGGCAACTGGTAAAATTGAAGAGGAGGAAGAGCTACGGAGAGAAGTGCACGGAAGAGGCGATCCGAAGCTACCGCTTTCTATCCCGAGAGAATACAAAATTACAACTCCAATCCCTAACAACTGCAACTGCCTATAGATTAAATTTTAAAGAAGAATATTTGTCCCTCGGGATTGCCATATCCTACTACATGTTACTTGTATTTATTTTTATTTTTCATTTTTCATTTTTTTTTTTGTTTTTTCTTGTTCTTCTCTATGTCGCAAGATACGAATTCTCCGAACGCCGATCGCCTAACGCCGTGTTAATCCCTCTCTTCCGCACATGAAAGTAAAAGGCATCAATGATGATTACAAATATGTACATGGGATGTGAGTGTAAAGGTTTCTTTATACTTAGTGTTTTGTTGTTGTTGTTGTTGTTGTTGTTATGCGTGACTAGTTTTCGGGTGTCACTATTACAACCTGCAGAAGAGAAAGAAATTCGGTACCAAACAGGTGTTTGTGATAAACAAGAGTGGTGAACGATGTAAGTTCAATTGAGTTGGAGTTGGAAAGAAGAAGAATATATGAGAATACACTGTACTAAATCTTAGTATATATAGCTGTGTTTAAAAAGAATAAAAGTAATGGTTAGTATACTGATAATGTATATATGTATATATAATGTATATATATATACACGTCAAACATTCTCAATTTTACGAACTTTCAATATCTAAATTGATGTTGTTATTGTTATCGTTGTTGTTGTTGTCGTTAGTGTTAGTGTTAGTGTTAGTGTTAATGTTAATGTTAATGTTAATGTAATGTAGTGTAATGTAAATGTGACATGATTACACAAAACAGGGTTTATTGCTTTTTCTTTTTTTTTTCTCCTTTTTCTTTTGTTTGTTTGTTGTTTGTTGGGGGAAGAAGAAAATTTCTTTTCACTACTTTCTATTTTCATTCACAAATCGGTTTCCGATATTTTTGTTGTATTTATAATCAATCAGTCTTTATTTACTACCACTACTCCATATATATATATATATATATATATACATATTTCTTCATCCCCAAAGCACCCAACTGTTCATTCATCACACACACACATACACATACACATACATACACACACACACTTTCTCTCTCAACTGACTAAAACTCAAATATTCTTTATGGGCAGTGACAAGAGTGAAGACATTTCCAACCATTCATTGGAACAAGACAGCGATACTTATAATATGGATGATAGACAGCCTAATCTTGCACAACAGAGGCTAACTGAAAACAGTGACTCCTCTGGTACTCCAGTATATGCTGGACACGCTGACAATAACCAAGAGGACAACGCTGTACAACAACAACAACTTAATGCAAAGGTATCTGGTGCTGATGATCAGTCGGCACCAAAGGCAAATGAGCAAGATCAAGCCTTGCTGCAACAACTGCCTGCTTCACCACAATACATATCATTCTTTAGCAGGGACTATAAACCACACAGAAGAAAAATACACAAACGATTTCTTTTGATCAACTTGTTGATGTCGTCTTTGATATTGATTGCTTTTTCCATATATTGGGGTTCATACTACGACATCAACGACAATCTCAAAAACTTGAAATTTTTGGTGGTGATTGGTGATGAGCAAACTGTAGATGGAGTGGAGCCAGTATTTGGTAATGCCATGGATGATATCCTACAACGACCTCAAGCGAAAGCTAGTGGCGATTGGCATATTTACAAAGAAAGCGAGTTTGAAAACTTGGCAAATGAGCACAACAACACCATTAGAGGAGAGATTTTGAGAAGAGTTCATCATCAATTGTATTGGTCAGCCATATATGTCAAGCCAAATGCAAGTTACAACTATGTTCAAGCATTGAAAAAGGGAGATACTAGCTATAATGCATCTGATAATACAGTTACTGCATATTACGAAACTGGACGTGATTTTCTTGCCATGAGACTGTATGTCACACCACAATTGCTGAAGATTCAATCGATGTGGTTTGAACAACAACCAAATCTACTTTCACAGTTATCGGAAAATATCACAATACAATCACAACAACAAAAACAACTCTATGCTCAGCCTATCCATTTCACCATGGTTGATAGAATACCATTTACTGATAATGTCCTTAGTGCTCCATTGCAAGTTGGGTTCATTTACATGATTATTGTTTCATTTTTCCAATTCAATTTCTTTGCTGATGCCCATTTAAAAGTGGCAAAGTCACCAATCAATAGACTCCATTACGTTGTCTACCGTTATATCTCCTCCATTTGTTCATTTTTCTTTCTTTCATTGATGTTTGGATTGGTTACATTGGCTTTCCAAGTTGATTTCACGCCAACTTATGGCAGATCGGGATTCCTCGTTTACTGGTGTATATCTTTCCTAACCATGTCTGCAGTGGGGCTAGCCACTGAAATAATGGGGATGTTTATCATTCCATTTTATCCTCCTTTGCTTGGGTTTTGGTTGATTTTATGGGTTATTAGTAACATTGCACCTACATACACGGCAATGGCATTAACAAACAATTTCTTCCGGTATGGGTATGCCATGCCTATTCACAACAGTTATGAAGCAGTGAAGACGGTGTTTTTTGATGTTTATAAGGGACAGTTGGGTCGCAATTTTGGAATATTGGTGGCGTGGGTGGTGTTGTTGAGTGTGATTTTCCCATTTGCAGTGATGTATTTTGGAAAAGCTATGGGTAAGAAGGCTGCTGTTGCTGCTCAACAAGAAGCTGCCAAGCGTGCTGAACTGGAAAAGAAGACTAGTGGGGATGTATAAATGTTGATTGAAGAGAATATGATATTCTGTTGGATAAAATTTATAGACTTTTAATAACATAGCGTTGGTGTTTTAGTCAAGTAAGTTTAATTACATTATGGTTCTCTATGTAGTTGTCTGTACAACATTAGATGGTACTGGTTAAGCTCGTAAAATTTGTTCTTAAATTAGAAACTTTTTTTTTTTTTTTTTTTGGGAAGCAAGTTGCAAACAAATCTACAACTACGTATTTAACAAACATTTATTACTATTTGCTTCAAGATAGGATATCACCCAAACTGGAGAAACAGACAATTGGGTGGTGGGGTATTCTAGCGGTGCTCCAGTTCTATTATGCTGTTTGTAAGTATGCTAATCTAATGGGCTACCATTTTAAAGTAGCAATCAAGCATTCTGATTTTGTGTGATTGCGTTTTGTCCATGGTAGATCTGAAATCTCTCTTGTGAAAAGTGAGAACAACAATGGCTTTAATGATAGCCATTGATCGCATTGGGTTGTTCTGTTGCATATGTACCCAGTTAAAAAAAAAAAGTACATAAAGCTAAAGTGACGATTAAAGTAATTCTTGTACTTCAAAAGTGACGTATATAGTTTAAAACTTACTCAACATTTTAGTCCGGATTATATCTCCTGTTCCTTCTTTCGCACTCTCTCCTTTTTGTAATCGTTGTTGGATTTTTCTTTATATCTCTCTCCAACGTTTTCTTCTTTTGCTACTTTCTCATTTCACAACCGCAGTGTTTCTATTGCAGTCCTTTCTTCATAGACCCAATCGCCTCCTCCAAGTACCACCCACTCAACAATGCCTGGCTTAACTGCAGAAGAAGAGAGGCTACAAGATATCAAGTACAGACAATGGGGTCCATACGTTTCTGAAAGATCTTGGGGAACAGTTCGGGAAGATTATAGTAGTGATGGAAACGCTTGGGACTCATTCAAGTTTGAGGATTATGCCCGTGTTTCCCGTTGGTCACAGGATGGGTTGGCTGGTGTTTCCGATAGACGCCAATTGGTCAACATCACTATGGCGTTATGGAATGGTAAAGATGACATTTTGAAGGAGAAATTGTATGGTTTGACTAATAATCAAGGTAACCATGGTGAAGATGTTAAGGAATTGTATTATTATCTCGACAACACTCCTTCACATTCATACATGAAGTATTTGTACAAGTATCCACAAAACAAGTTTCCGTATGAGGAGTTGAAGTTGGAGAATGCTAAAAGATCACGATTGGAAAAAGAGTATGAAATCACAGACACTGGATTGTTTGATGACAACGAATATTTCGATGTTGTATTTGAATGTGCCAAGGACTCACCCGATGACTTGTACTTCAGAATCACCGCTTACAATAGAAGTGATAAGCCAGCTCCTTTGCACTTGTTGCCAAATGTTGTATTGAGAAACACTTGGGCTTGGGGTGTCAAGGAGAGTGTTAATGAACCCAAGCCTCATTTGAAACAAGTAAACGATTACACCATCGAAGTGGAGACACACAAATTTGGTAAACGTTACTTGTCATTTGCCCCATCGGCTGGTATCCATGAGGATTCCCCCGATGTGGAACCAAGACTTGTGTTTACTGAAAATGAAACAAATACCAAGAAATTGTATGGACAAGAAAACAAAAACAAGTTTGTTAAAGATGCTTTCCATGAGCTAGTTGTTCATGGCGATGAAAAAGCGGTTAATCCAGATAAGGAAGGTACACAAGCAGCAGCTTGGTATGTTTTTGACCAAGATGGCGGTGTGCCCCCTGGAGATTACGTAACCATTCGTTACAAATTCACAAAGGACAATTCTGATGTCGATGAATATAAATTGGATCAAATTTTCAGTAAGCGTCAAAATGAAGCTGATCAATTTTATTGGAAAGTTTCTCCGTTGCCAATTAGTGATGAATTGAGACAAATTCAAAGATATGCATTTGCGGGATTGTTGTGGTCAAAACAGTTTTACCATTTTGTTCACAATTATTGGGCATACGGTGATCCAAATACTGTTAAACCACCAGTGAACCGTGCAAATGGTAGAAACAAGGAATGGAAGCATTTGTATATCGATGATATTTTGTCATTGCCTGATAAATGGGAGTACCCCTTTTTCGCTGCTTGGGATACGGCATTCCATTGTATTCCCTTTGCCATGATTGATCCATGGTTCGCCAAGAATCAAATTGATCTCTTGTTGAGAGAATGGTATATGCACCCCAATGGACAGATTCCCGCGTATGAATGGAATTTCAGTGATGTTAACCCCCCGGTGCATGCCTGGGCTGCTTATAGGATTTTCAAAATTGAGAGGAAAATGTATGGACGTGAAGATATTGATTTTTTGGAAAGAGTGTTTCAAAAATTGATGTTGAATTTTGCATGGTGGGTTAATAGAAAAGATGCTGAGGGGAACAATATTTTTGAAGGTGGGTTCTTGGGGTTGGACAATATTGGTGTGTTCAATAGGTCGGAAGCTTTGCCCACTGGAGGTAACTTGGAACAAGCTGATTCCACTGGATGGATGGCGTTCTTTTCGTTGCAGATGTTAAATATTGCGTTGGAGTTGGCCAAGACTAGACCCGTTTATGAAAACATTGCCTCGAAATTTTTTGAGCATTTTGTAGTTATTGCTGATGCATTGACATTTAGAGGTGGTGAAGGTGATAATGAGTCGTCTACGAAAAACTCACTTTGGGATGAAAATGATGAATTTTATTATGATGCAATTAGATATGGGGATCACCACACTCAATCGCTTCCGGTCCGGTCATTGGTTGGGTTAATCCCTCTTTATGCTTCTTTGACGTTGGAGCCCGAGTTGTTGGAAAGATTCCCATCATTCAAGAAGAGATTGGACTGGTTTGTACATCATCGGAAGGAAGTTGCTGAGAGAAATATTGCCTCGATGGAAACTAGAGGTGTTGGTGAGAGATTGTTATTGTCGTTGGTGTCGAAGGAGAGACTTGTGGCGATCTTGAGCAGGATGTTGGATGAAAAGGAGTTTTTGTCGCCGTATGGTATAAGATCAATGTCAAAGTATCACAAGGACCATCCATTCACTATGGAAGTCAATGGTGAAGTATTCAAAGTTGAGTATTTACCTGGTGAGTCTGATTCAGGTATGTTTGGAGGTAACTCCAACTGGAGGGGACCAATTTGGTTCCCCACTAATTTCTTATTGGTGGAAGCTTTGCAGAGATTTTACTTGTACTATGGCCCCGACTTGAAAGTTGAATGTCCTACGGGGTCAGGTGAATATCTCAACTTGGCGCAATGTGCGCAAGAAATTCAGCATCGTTTGATTCACTTGTTCTTGCCTGATGAAGATGGCAATAGAGCATGTAATGGTGATGATGACTTGGTCAATAAAGACCCCTTTTTCAAAGACTATGTCCCATTCTATGAATATTTCGATGGAGATACAGGTAGAGGATTGGGTGCTTCTCATCAGTGTGGATGGACTGCAGTTGTTGCCAAATGGATTCATGATAATGGGGTCACTTGTAGAATACCAAAGACTCCAAGAACACCAATCAATAGAAGAAACTCATCGGTGTTGTTGCATGATAGCGCAAGCACGGAGGAAGATATGAAGAAATATAGACCCAAGTCAGGCCCATTCTCGGGTAAATTGGTTAGAAGAAAGTCGGGTAAGTCGTTGCTTAATTTAACTGTCAACGCATTGGATCTCAATGATGATGAGGAGGAGGCCACGGCAAAAGCTGCAGTCTGCACCCAGCTCGATGGATTAGACCATGGTGTTTGTGTTACCGATGATATTTTGAAGAAGGAATTGACTGAGTTGCAAAAGACTCAATCTGGGACATCAATTGATTCAGGTGATGAAGTTGATGATGAGTTTTTGGAGCAAGTCAAGGCTGCTTTCAAGAAATACAAATCGAGGACAGATGACGATGAGAATGTTTCTGGAGATGAATTTGAGACTAGACTCCATGATAAGTAGAGACCAGGAAGAAAGAGAAAGTTTGAGTTTCCGTAGAATAAGTAGTTTTAGAGCTCGAGGACATTATTTTCAGTATTTTGGTAATGGTACACGCCTATCAGATTTCGAGTTTTCGTTTGCGTAACTTTTCCTGCGACTACGTTGTCAGTAAATTGAAGCAATCATTTAACAACACAGAATACTATCTAAACAGACAAGCCCCATAGAGATGTCTGACTCCTTCAACACTTATGAGAGTGACTTCCAACTTGCTTTGCAAGAGGCAAAGACAAAGATATCTCAAGTAGAATCAGTACAAGGAGGTATGTGATTATACCAAGGAGACAAAGTGTACTCTCCGTCGCATCTGCTCAATTCAAGATACTAACAGAGTTACCTCTTCTTTTTTCTACAGAACAACGTCAAAGTTATCTCAAAGCGATTGAAGCAGCCACTGATGAAGCATTGGAGGCACTTGATCAGATGGGCATTGAAGTGCAAAACTTGCCAACAACACAACGATCATCTTACAATACGAAAATCCGTCAATACAAGTCACAAATAGATGAAGCTAAGGCCAAGTACAAGAAACTCAGTGATTCTCAAGACAGACACGAACTATTTGGATCAAGGTACCGTGATGAAGATGGAGGTGCAGGTGGCTTGAATGGAGTATCCGATTCGCAACGTAAACAATTACTCAATAATCAATCCTCATTGGAGCGGTCCTCGCAGCGATTGCAAGATAGTCAGCGGATCGCATTGGAGACGGAGAGTATTGGCGGCAATATCTTGAATGATTTGCGGTCGCAACGTGAACAAATTGGTGGCGCTAGGAATACATTGATGCAAGCTGATACATATGTTGACCGAAGTATTCAGACTTTGAAAAGTATGGGGAGAAGGTTGACTGCTAATAAGTTTATCAGTTATGCCATTATTGCCGTGTTGATTTTGTTGATCTTTTTGGTTCTTTTTAGTAAGTTTTCGTAGGGTGGAGCGTGTATTGTCTCTGTGTGTGTGTGTGTGTGTGTGTGTATGTTTTTCTCCTTTTCTTTCAATAAATGGTTAGATGTTATGAGAGAGAAAGTGTAATGTGGAAGTAGGTGGTTTGTTCTTGGATAACGTTTACATGTAGTTGTTGTTATTGTGTCTAAGAAGTTATTGATAATCGGATGTATCTCATAGGTTGGAACGGTTTTGTTCTAGAGCCATCTCTCTCTTTTGACAATAATTATGTAAGGGATCCAAAAAAAAAAAAAAAAAAAAAGAAGCAAAAAAATTCCAAGAAAAAAAGAATTTCAGAGTCATCTTCAAGTCATATACCATCATTTGCAGTTACACACGTTGATCTGTCTGCTGTAACCCTCAAGATTTGAAAGATGATCAGAAGCATATTCCAAAGGCAAGCAAGGGCCATAAATCTGTCTCTTCTTGGGTCCATTTCACACTCGCACATTTCCCGCATCACAACACCACGCATCGTTTCTCCATTTTCCAAATCACTTCACACATCACCAATACTAAGCCACGGTCACCTCCACAAACCCAAACCGGGTGAAGAACTCCACATCACCTTCATCACAAAAGACGGTCAGCAATACACTTATGAAGTGGCTGAAGGGGACAATATTCTAGATATAGCACAAGCCCACAATTTGGACATGGAAGGTGCATGTGGTGGATCGTGTGCATGTTCGACATGCCATGTTATTGTTGATCCGGAATTCTACGACGAGATACCTGAGCCTAGTGATGATGAAAATGATATGTTGGATTTGGCGTTTGGGTTGACGGAGACTTCAAGGTTGGGGTGCCAGGTTAAAATGTCGAAGGAGTTGGATGGAATTAGGGTTGCCTTGCCGGCAATGACGAGGAATTTACAAAATAAAGATTTCAATTAAAGGGAAAGAGAGGGGAAGAGGAAGAAGAAAATGGGTAAATGAGACGCTTAGGGTTTGTATATAGAACGATTGAGAGGTACACACAGATCTAGATGAACAAGAAATATTATAGACGAATGAATATCTATGTGCGTAGAATAGACATGTCTGAGCTGGAGAAGATTGCCCAAGTCTGGTAATAACGTAGTGATCGGGTCAACTGTTTAGTCACAAATAACAACGGAAAAGTAAAATTCAACAAGGGCTCTCCTTCCCTACTTTCACAAACTGTCTTTGTTTCATTCTAATCAAAATATAGGCAACGACTTTAGATACAGATCCGTCTCTTGAATAAACCTACCATTGTTTATCTTTCCATAAATTTCATTCTCGCTCAACTTGTCATCATCCTTCCACTTGAATTCTACCGGCAGCAACGCATTCTCAACAACGTACTTGATAAAGAAATGAGAGTATAATTGCCATAGTTCATGTTGTAAAGAAACCACTTGTAAATCAGTTATGATGACGAATTTGAATCTCGTTAATGATTCCCAAAAATGGATTCGGAATTGTCCAATTGTCAATTGTTTCAATTCGTTGAATGTAGAGTCATCCGACACGAGCTTTGCCGCTATGGTTTTGAGGGAGTATAGTATACCGAATAGTAGTTTTGAGTTGTCTGCGTCGTTACTCTTGTTTATTTGGCCATTGGCTTTGTCCTGAGATGTTGGATTCACGGAGGTGTTGTATTCGCGGTTGTATACACAGTTGCAATGACGGTCGAATATTAAGAACGAGTGTATTGTCATACTATGTCAGTGCCAGCATATGACTTGTGTCTGATTGTCTTTGGGGCTGTTGGGTTAATTGCGACTTGTGTGTTTTTCTCTCACGAGAACACACAGAAAAAGAAGAAAAAATTCTGTATATCAGGTCATGTGATCAGATTGATACATGTCTGATTGAGTCTGCAATAAAGGGCTATTGATGGCGTTTGCAGCACGCAGTAGTCACCCGAATGGGAAGGAGCCCCTTGAAATGTGGTATGTAAGCTCTGCAAGAGATGAACTGATGGTGCTAATGGTCCTGTCTAGCCACGTGCTCTATTTTCCCCTCGGATGCGAATATACACTAGCAATTTGCACAATATAATACCAATAATTATTGATAATGACGTGATCATATTACAATACTCACTCAGCTGCATACTCTTGCTACGGAAACTCCCGTACTTGTCTGTCATTAATAAGGGGGACGTGTATTTCGGAGAGCAAAAAAGACGGTGTTTTTGCAAAAACAATAGAGGACATCACAGTTTTATTGTTTCGGCTAACAATAGGCTAGACATTAAATTGCCGAAACGTTACAACCAAGATGGCCCACGTGCGACCAGGCATGGATGCTATATAAATGGGTGTAAATGTAACAAAGTAGACGTGTATGCTTCCATGTAAATGCCTACCCAGCAAAAAATGTTTTCCACATTGTCCACACTTGTTGTGGTATTTGTCAACTTGGCAGTAGCTGCTCAGCCAAATTACCTTCCAACATTTACATCCTCAAAGCAATTTTTCCAACAAAGCAACCCATTGGTGCCTGAGTTCTTAGTTGATAATTCAAAGTTTGGGTTGAATAATGGATACACTTGGAACGATGTTGTTTCAAGTTTAAACTCAAACCAAAAGTTATTCATCTTGCAAAGACATGGTGAAGGTTGGCATAATGTCGCACAACAGGACTTGCACATTGATCCTATCAGCTGGCAATGTTACTGGTCGCTTCAAAAAGGTAAAGATGGTATTGAATGGTATGATGCTGAATTGACTCCCAAGGGTCATGATGAGATCAAACAGTTGGTCAATCAAATCAAAAATACCACGTCATTTCCTCACCCAGATAAATTCTACGTGAGTCCTTTGAGAAGAACATTGGAAACTTGGCAAGAAACATGGTTGAACTTGCCTCATAAGACAGCAACTATCAAGGAATTTGCTAGGGAATTGTATGGTATTGACACCGAAAGTGAAAGACACGACAGGTCCTACATTGAGCAAAAATTCCCAGGATTTGACTTTGAACCAGGATTTCAAGATGAGGATGTACTTTGGAGTCCTGTTGAGAGGGAAAGTCTCGAAAACATTTACTACCGTGCCGCTTCGTTGTTGAATGACATTTTCCACGATGCAAAAGATGACAAGGTCATCAGTGTTGTTTCACATGGAGGTCTTCTCAATGCTATCTTGGCTGTTGTCCAACACAGATTGTACAGCATTCCAACTGGGGGTCTCGTCCCAGTAGTGATTGAAATCCAGGACAATCACAAGATTTACCCATTAGACCATGCTTTCACTGACTTTTTCTTGTGGTGTCCATTGGCCCAACCAAATATCACTACACAAGTAAGTGACGGCTCTACAACAGTTACCACTGTGTCTGCATCGTATTCTGCACCATCTGGATCCTCACCACTTTCTGTTACTGCTTACAAAACTTCGTCGTAGATGTTCTTTTTTTAAAAAAAATTTTTTTTGAAATTTCGTTTATATTTTTGTCCCATTAAAAGTCGTAATACAATACTATTTACTTGTGTCATCTTTCTTTTACTACTCAGACCCAGTCGGCTGGGGACTTCAACACTTGCAACAACTTGTCCTCTTCAGTTCCTGGTTCAGGGTGATGATCATAAACCCAGCTAGCTGTTGCTGGTAATGACATCAATATACTCTCCACTCTCGACCCTGGAGTGTGTAAACCAAATTGGGTTCCCCTATCCAAAACCAAGTTGAATTCGACATATCTACCTCTTCTGATCTGCTGCCATTGCTTTTGTTCAGGGGTGAACGGTGTATCCTTTCTCTTTTCCACCAAGGGTATGTAAGATGGCACAAATGCATCAAAGCAACTTTCAATGATGTGCAAAATCTCATCAGCTGGTTTTGAGTCAAAGTCGTCGAAAAAGATGCCCCCAATACCTCTAGTCTCTCCTCTATGCTTTATAAAGAAATACTCATCACACCATTTCTTGTACTTTGGATACAAGGTTTCATCATACTTGTCCAATGCGTCCTTGTGCTTTTGATGGAAATGTTTGGCGTCTTCTTCGTACAAGTATGACGGTGTCAAGTCTGCCCCACCTCCAAACCACCAAGCTTGAGTCTCTCTAGTTTCAGGGTCAATGGTTTCAAAATATCTATAATTAGCATGGGTTGTAGGTGCATGTGGATTATGAGGGTGAATCACCAAGGATAACCCACATGCAAAAAAATCAACACTTCCATCACTACCAGTACCCTTGAGATTTGCATGATCAGCTTTCATCCGTTGGATTGCTTGTGGGGGTAATTTACCATGGACAACTGATATGTTTACACCACCTTTCTCAAACGTAGTTCCATTTTGCAACACCATTGATTGACCTCCACCGCCATTGTCGCCTCTTGTCCACGAGTCGGTATGGAAGTCCACAGTGTCAAGTCCTGCCAATGCTTGTGTGATCTCCTGTTGTTTCACACGGACTAGAGTCTCCATTCGCTCTCTAATTGGCAACGAATTGTCATGTATCTTATCTGGGGAGACAACCATTGCTGCTGCTGTGGTGAAGGGTGTATACGTGTAGTGCAATGGAAGCAGTAGGGTGTCTATGTAGCGATTATAAATTAAACGGAACCAAAACTGGTTTAGCAGATCATGCCACATTCGAGGAGCGCACTTTTTTTTTTTATCTTTTTTTTTTTTTTTTCACTTGGATTAACCGTATGATCTCGTTCACTGTGTCGCGAGGTACAAAGACATTACTTTCGTCTCACGGCACATGCAGAGACAATAACTACTGTGATCCGTAGTTGCATTTGTGCAAACTTCGCCTGTTTCATTTCCGGCTTATAACTCTCTCGATTGTCTATTTACCCACTATAGTTCATCATGGTAGAGTTCATCGTCCTTATCGCCCTCTTCCCTTTCATCGAGGGAAATTTCCTCTTCTCCTTCTTCTTCCACTTCCACTTCCACGTCTCTATTGGTTTCCTTTACTTGATGAATCAAACGCGACACTTCTTTCTCATACTCTACCCATTCCGGAATCAACCTCTTTGCGGTATTGATTTTGTTCTCTTTTGTTAATGGATTATTGCACAAGTCAACCATCTTTGCCTTGTCCAACGTTTCACTAGAGCACCAAGTTTCACACCAGAGCCAATCTTGTGGCAAGCTCTTAATCTTAATCTGCCTTTGTATATTGTTTGGCAAATCTTGGTCCAAGTTGCTCAATGAGTTTGGATCACTTGACAATTTCTGATAATGGGCACGCAATCTATTACCAGCCTCAATTGATTTAAACTTGGGCAAGTCAACCACAAACAATGCACTGATGTGGTATTTCAAGTCGTCTTGCAAAACTTCAGACCAGTATCCCAGCTTCCAGAATCTGAACCCTTCCGTTGCCTGATTTGACTCGCACATAGGAGTAAAACCGTATGGAGCACCTTCCAAATCCATGTTCACCAACTCACCAAGATCTGTTCGACAGATTTGATCAGCATCAATAAATACAACACGGTCAAGATCCTGAGGGAAAAGAACATCGAGGAACAATATCTTGTAAGCCCAAATTTCCCTCTGTCTGGTACTCTGTTTTCGCAAAAAGTTGGGCCATTTGTATGTCACCAATTCGATCTCAATTCCATACTCTTTCACCAATAGTGGAACCAATGCTCGGAATTGCGGAGATATGTAATTATTCAAAATCCAAAACTTAATCAGCTTACCTGCGTTATGTGTCTTTACAGAAGTTATCATAATGCTCATAAGTTTCTCATATTCGTGGCCACCAGCTATTGTAAATATATTGATATCCGCATGATTTATCCTTTTTATGGCTCTTTCCCCATTCGATGTAACCCTCACTTGTAGAACAACTCCGTCCAATGAATACACAGGCACCGAAATTGAGTCAACCTCAACAATGTTTGGATCAAATTTATTATCGGATGCAGATAGCAACGAATAATTAGATTTGACACTGAGTGAATGGTCGCCGGGTAACACCTTCAATTGGAAATAATTCAAAGCTGTCATGACCAACGTATCATCAATGTTTGTTCCATTAGATAGTTGTAGTTGTAGGTTTTTCGGTGCTTTTCCGGTTTGAATATTTCTAGCATTTCCTTCAATGAGCAAACTTGATAATTCAAATGCGACTGAGATGGAACGCTTTCGCAATTGGAAACTGTTGATATCAACATCCAACGGAGAGCTTTTTGCAACAACCACCCAACGTTTAGGAGCATCCAAATGGATCGAATATGTAGCCAGTGATAGATTAGCGAGATGTGCCAGGTTTTTATCATGCCAATTGCCTCTTTTCTTGAATTGGGGTGCCGATGAGGGGAAAACCCCTTGATAGAATCTGTCATTCAATTCATCTCGTGTGTATTCGAGTTTAGGCTGGAGTAAAACTCTTAAGTTGACAAAGGAAAAGTCTTTGACTGCATTGATTACATTGACTAGTTTCTGTGATTTCGATTCAAGCGGGTCAATTATTACTAGTAGGTCGACTGATTTCGATTCATCGTACTTTTCATAATCAATCAGGTTTGACATATCCAAGGACCCAAAATCAAACCTGTTCACATCATTAATAAATGTCTTGTCATCCACATTGAACGACTTTGTAATAATACTGGATACCAAATCAAACCAATCCATGTCATCTATCCCAGATTCCTTTGAGTTGTATTCGTATAGAGGTTGTGGAAACTCATCAACATATGTAAGAGCAACTTCATTTATCAATTTCAATCTTTGGCTATGCTCGTACTCGATTAGTTGCCCCAACTCTCTAACACTTAAAATGACGGGGTCTAGCCTTATGTATCTTGAGTTGACTAACATGTAAGAGTGTCGAACTGGTAAATGCTTTTTCTCCAATAGATATACAACATCATCATTCAAACCAGTTGATAGTTCACCCTCCCTCAATGCTGATACTATATCATTGATACCTGCATTTGTCAAACCCGCCAACCTCCTCTTATCCGCCAATTTCGTGAATAGGTTCGAGTTTCCCACATTAACAACGCGTACCTGAATTGGCTGTCGCTTCATGAGATTCAACATGTTGACAAGTTGATCTATTATTTTGTAATCACTAAAATCTGAAATTAGCCACAAAGTGGCGTGGTTCTCCAAATCTTTGTCAACTTTTCTGAAAACTGTGGAAGCTCTTACCAAATCTTGATCAATTTTTTTGTAAATGATTTCGCTGGGATCCAAAGGATGAATTCGCAAATTTCGTTCCAGCTTAGCATTATTGTACAATACATCCTTTAACTTGCCCTTCACTTCACCCAGCTTCAATTGGGTCTTGACAAGTGCATTGTCCTGTTCAATCTGTTTACTCATTGCCACTTGCCAATTGGATGAGAAAAGGTCATGAATCACCCCATTCACAATGACGGAAGGTTGATCTATTGAAAATTTTTCCAACACGTAGCGACAATCCACTGCAAACCCGGTAGGTAAATTCACTTTATCCAATAGTTCTTGAGTTTCGTCTGGGCCAGATGATTCCATATACTTATAAAGCAATGCAAGTGCTTCTTTTTGATCCAGTAGTGCGGCAATGTGGTAGAAACGTGTAGCTAGCTGCTTGTCTAGAGGATCGTCGCCAATAATTGGCAAAATCCCAACCTGTTGAGGAATGCCTGTATCCAATATAATTTTTGAGAATTTGAAAAATACTTTCAACTGCTTTTTGCTTGCCAAGTTCAATGCAAATATCAAATCATGCACGTTCTCCCTTAATGGAGGGATCTGATTCGGTTGAAGTTTACGAGATTCGGCACCTAGATATGCCTCTTGAGGATCTGTCAGATATTCACCATAATTTTCATCACCTTCAATATCATTTATAAACACAACACCACCTTTGGTTGCATCTCTTCGATTGAAAGTACGTTGAAACACCCTAAATCTGTTCTCGTTGTTACCCATCAACGTGTTTCCGGTTCTGAATTGAGTCTGTTTGACCGCAGACAATAAGCCAAATTTTGATAACAAGAGTTTTGCTTGCACGGCATTGAATCCTAGCTTGATTAGATCCTGAATCAAAAACAATTCCTCTTGTAGTTTATCGGCAAGTTTGTACACATCCAACTCCAACGGATGAATTGGAGAGCCGTTTACGTAAATTCCATAAGATTCCTTTGACAATCCCATTTGTTCGTTTCCTACTACCTTCGACTTGACCTTTTTATAGTTGATCAGTTGTGGTAGTTTATTCAAGTAGGAGTAGAACTTTGGCAAGTTGTTCAAGACAGTCTGTATCAAATCAAACCTTGTTAATTCAACCCTGTTGGACAAAAGAAATGAAGTAAGTTTGATAGCTATGTCTGTAACATCCTCGCCAACTTTTGCAATGGAAGAGGAGCCTGCAATCGTTTCGAAATCTCTGTTCAAATCATACTTGGCACGCGGTGAGTAATCCGCGGCCGTCATAGCTAGCTCCACCGCATATCCTGGTAATGTGTCCACTTGTTTCCTTACCAGCGGGACGTATCTCCATACAAACCGCAACTTCCCGCTACTGGCCTCTTGGTACAATACTTTGAGGAATTCCTTGGTTTGCTCTACAGTGGGGTCACCGTAAAACGCCAACAATGGAGAATTATCATTATGCCCGATTATCCTGTCGAATGGAAAAGTCTCTTCATTGGATCTGTCAGTTTGGAGTGCAAATAGATCATTGACCGAGCAGTAAAATTTGTTATTGTACAATACCCATGCAGGGGCAATCCCATTTTTCGTTTCAACATCATTACCAAAGGAGTCTTGGGCGCATTCAATCCTCAATCTTGATCCTAGACGGTGTATAATGTGATCATAGTGAGTGTAATGTGTAGCCACGGCCGGGGAATACTTTTTGTTGACGAGGTTGAAATTAATAAAGTCAATTGAGGGCGGATCAAGTGCCAAGTGATTCAATACCAGATGATATATCGCTTTGTCTGTTCTCTCCTCAAGTTCCTCAAATTCTCCAAGACCAAAAATAGCCTCCAATGTTGGTGTATATAGCGAAGAATTGAATCCTGCAACACTTTCAATCAAGTTTGACACGAAGTCAACTTTTTTCCAAGGAGCTTTCAAGTCAATTGTCAAGGAACTGGCATCATCTGCCAAACAGTGTATGCTGTAGAACAACACGACATATAAGAGTTTATCAATCCATCTCCATGGTATCATGTTTTCGAGGAGTAAAAGAAAGACAGAGTGTAGAAAGAGTTCATTGAAAAATAAGATAAAATAAAATAAAAATATATTACACGTGTATTAACATTGTACTATTCAATCACAATAGTCTGATTTGGATCATCACTTCCCCTTGCATCACCTTCTTCAGCTTTTACAACCTCAACGATTTCCACATCGGAGTCACTACTTTGTTCAGCATCATCATCATCATCATCAAGTTCCACAATTTCCAACTCCTTTTCATCTGGAACTTCGCTTTGTTGCTCCCGATCTGAATGGCATCGTTTAGAATCCTCCAATCGTCGAAGTGCTGCCCCCAACATTGCCTCGCGAGGGTTATTTGGTTTAGTAATTCTTGAATCCAGTCCAAGAACTTTTGTCTCCGTTTTAAACCCATTCTTGGTCATTGCTGTCAATCGTTTGGCCCTTACATCGACCACACCTGATGATAGTCTTCCCAAGCCGAGTCTATTCTCTTCACACCAATAGTTGGAACGTACCTTGCCGTACCTAATCTCGTCAAATCGTTTCTCCAACTTGGCTAAGTAGTCGTAAAAGTTCTTGTCATGTTTCCCATGCACATTATGCGTTAGCTCATGCAAGAAAGTTCCCAAAATGTCACTCATTGGTAAAAACAGTCTTTCGTTGTGGTGATACCGTAGTCGTAGCATAATTTTCTGGCCCTTATTGACGTTGAGCCCTAGTAGGTTTTCACTTTTGGGAAACATTTCACATACTAGTCCTACTTTGAAATTGTATTCGTGAATTAAAGGTGCTAGTTGCTTAACCGCGTCATGTAGTAATGAGTTTGCGTAATCTCGATCCGGATATCTCATGAGCGAACCTATTTTGCCAACGTTTGCCACTGGAGACGGTCTGTCTGGTTTCCTAATGGGGAATTGGCCTCTTCCCTCCTTCACCATCCTGGGCTGGATACTGAGACCAAAGAGATATCGGTTCAATTCGCGTTAAAAAAGGGGAACAAAAATAGAAAAAATAAAAAGAAAAAAAATAAGATTGTTGATGGCAAAGAACGCATCAATTATGATTGACAGTCTTGAACTCTGCCCAATCTATATATCATATTCTAACTAACCCATACATCTAATCACTGTCATAACTGTCATCCTCTACACCTTCTCTTCTGGGTTTTGCGAAACCTCGCTCAATTGGTCGAGGAATGAAATCATGAATGAACCTGGGGATTTCGATAGCTTACCAGCTTCTGCACCAGCTCTGTTATACAATCTAACTGCTATTTCAGTAGCCTTTAAGATATCGCCTCCAACTATAGGGCTGGCGCTCTCAGCTGCGAGAAATGCAGCGATTGTGCTTCCCAAGGAACATCCAGTTCCCGTGATACTACCCATTAATGCATCTCCACCAGCAACCTGCACTGATCTCTTGTCGCTGCCTATTATGTAATTGATTTTTCCAGTTATCACAACTGTACAGCCAAAAGTAGTGGCAACTTGGACCCCCTTTTCCAAAACCTCAGCATCCTTAGCATTGGAAATGGAGTCCACGCCTCTCATATGACTCTCTCCAGTGTCCACATCTTCTTGATAGAACGGAGTGAGTTTCCAAATGCTCATTATCTCTCCGACATTACCCTTTATAACAGACACAACCCCTTGGTTCAAAAGCTTGCGACAGCTTTCGAGTCGAGCCCTTGAAGCTCCGCAAGCAACTGGATCAAACACAATAGGCTTATTGTACTTGTTGTACACAGTCAATGCTTTGGAAAATACCTTCATTAGCTCAGCATTTGGTGTTCCCAAGTTGACAACAAGTCCGATATTAGGAATAGCTGATGCAAACTCTTCGAACTCCTCAGGTAACTCTGACATAATTGGCGATGCACCAATGGCTAACGTCACATTTGCGCTAAAATTTTTGACAACATTATTGGTAATATGATGTACCAATGGGTGCTGGCTTGTCATATTTTTTACAACAGCGTGGTTAGGGATGCGTTTGTCAAATGATCTGACCACTGCCCATTCTGGTGTATGGTCCAACTCGGCACGTAATGTTCTGGTTGCCTTTGCTGCATCTTCACTTGCCATAATGCAAGAAACCACGGCTATCCCATCAAGCAGTCTATCGCCAACGCGGCATTGATGTACAACTCTGTTCGCATTGGAATGGTTGATTCCACCAATTGCCACACAACGAATGTCTTTGCTCAATTCATGCATCTGCTTTCTAATACCAATGGGACCAACTCCGTCTGGGGTCTTTACATCTTTTTTAGTGTTTGTGGCAAATGTGGTTCCTAATCCGACATAATCAGCAACTCCTTCACGAACAACCTGCCTCACTTCATTTGGATTTGAACATGTAACACCGAGAATCTTGTTTGGTCCAATTAATTTTCTCACCAAAGTGGCTGGCATATCATCTTGACCTACATGAACACCCTCTGCATCCACCGCCAATGCAACATCAACTCGGTCATTGATGATCAAGGGGACATTCTTTGGCTTGGTTAATTTGTGGACCTGTTTTGCCCTTTCAATGAAATCCAATGTAGAGATTTCCTTTTCTCGCAATTGAACCAATGTGGCCCCATTATTGACTGCATCCTCCACTTGCTTGAGAAAAGTGGAGGTGCTTGGAATCATGGTGGAGTCAGTCACCAAGTATAATGAATAGTCAACTGTCATTGATGGATTGTGAATGGTCTAGCGAAAGCTCCAAGTTTTGATCAAGTCTGGCATTTTTCACTCTTTGTCGAATCTCTGTCGGTTTGTAAAGGTTTCCGAACGGAGAACAATGCAAAAATGCATTTTATGCGCTTACAGGGTCAGTCCCTCTCCCCCTCCCCCTCGCCCACCCCATTTATGTTGTTTTCATCAGACAATTGAAGTATGTGATGGAGACGATCTTTGACTAATCAAAAAGGTGATTAAACTGTCTTGACCTTACTATATCACATGATTCTCTCTAGGATGTTTGCGGCTATGTCTACGTATGACTAATCTATGGCTAATAGTTGTGTTCGCGTATAATTTTTCGCGGAGATGGTAACCCTATACACAATTGAGTCATCGGAGTCATTTCAGCATTTCAGCAATATAAAAGCACTTTCACCGCCAGTTTATTGCCTATAAAGCAGCTTGTCAATGTCTTCTGGGGCCTCACAATGATTCAATCGCAACACACGAGGAAACCTGGGTTCAATGAACGATATTACATTTGTCGTGGTAGTGGGAAATTCTACAGTAACTTTAACATCACAGTAAAGTATGACAAGACAATCACCAAAAGCCACTTGTCTCACGCATTGAGGTCTCTCATTTTAAAAAATAGCTGGTTTGTTCAAAACTTTTTCAAGATTGAAGGAACCGATAGTGAGAAGGAGAATTTTCACAATTGGCGAGTACAAGTACTCGATAGGGTCTTATTTGAAGATGTGGTGAAGTATGAAAAAATTGACAAGTTTGATGAAACTACGCTAGAGCGCCTAAATGGGCTAACGCTAGATATGGATGTTCAAATGCCGTTGTGGAGGCTTGTTGTGTTTGAGGAGAAACATGGTGAGCAATTGATGACGGTTTATGTAGACCATTCACAATTTGATGGCTTATCCGCTGTTCAATTCCAAAAGGATTTGTCAAAAGAGTTAGCCAGAGTAGCAGATAATGGAGAGGTGGAAAATGTGTTATTTGACTATGTTGCAGATTTCAAGCACTTGCCATCCAGCTTGATCCCTGCTTCAGAAATTGTGACCGATTTGTATTTTCCCAATTACGGCAGAATTTTGAATTACTATTTTGAGCAGTACCTTCCATTCTATTCAAAATTATCCAATTGGATCTATTCTAATGAGAAAGAGTTGCCGTTGTTCCAAAATCCCAAACCAGTCACAAAAGATTTAGACACAAAGTACAAGATAATGAAATTTGATGCTAAAACAGTAGATAGAATCACTACATTTTGCAGATCAAAAGGGGTGACACTTACCGGATACTTTGACATTTACTTCATCAAAGCATTACAAGAAACTATATTCAAAGCAATTGACCCAAATACTGCATTCCGAACAAACTCATATGTTGCCATTAACGGTCGGAGGTATTACAATGATGACATCAAAGACTTCAGGTATGGAACAATGGTATGTGGCAACCCCATTATTCTTCGCCCTATTGATAATGCCGTAACAGCTATGCGCACTTTCCATGCACAACTTCAACAGGATATCAAATCCAAATATGGATTCAGGACAATAGGAATGTTGCAATATGCCAATCTTGTGAAATTTTTCAATAACAAAATTGGTAAAGTGGGTGGTGGTCGCCCTACTGTTACAATATCCAATCTTGGCAAAATTGCTGACTCGAATAAAGTATACCGATTTAAGGATATGTATTTTGGAGCTAATGCTGGTGTGATGTACAATTTTGTCTTGAACATGACGACAGTTTCAAGTAGTGAGGTGACTGCTGTGATTGGGTATCTACCAGAATATGAAGCCTGCACTTTCAATGGCATCAATGCAATTGATGAGTTTTTCAAGTTGTTCAAATATTATATAGAAAATGGGGCAAAATAGATACAGTAGAGTACTTCAAAGATGGTGCTTTTTCGACTCAGCATCAGGAAAGAAGGAAATCAAGGTATAACGAGCATACATCCACCTTTGTAGCCTGACTATGTTCTTTTCCGTCTCAAGTGTATGCCGGATTCTCTAAACCGATTGTTATTATGAAAACATGTAACAATTCATTGTCGTGAAAATATTATCAATGTCGCAAGAAATTACCAAGTGTTGCAAATTCAATGGGTTAATTTTATTATTCACACATTTGAATTGTATTGTTTATATATACAAGAACATGATTTATCATCCTACATAAATCATTTGAATAGTTTTCTAGAGAATAACCACGTATCATATTACAATTTTAATACATCTACTTTTAGATTATTGATACCAATCAAATATCAGGAATACACACATAGCAGATCATTTAGACGATCTCAGTTGAGGTTCTCACATTAAGCCATACTACTGTATATCGTCATACTTTGGCAAACATAAGAAAGTTAACTAAAGATCATCATGATGTCAGCTTCACACGTCCATCTTCCCGTTTCCTCCCTCTCTTCATATCCGCAATATCTTCCCTTTTGGCCCGTCAAGCCTTCTCATCAACTCCCTTGACCTCTTGATGCTAAACTCTTCACACTTCTTGATGGTCCCACTAACATGCACACAATTAAAAACAGCATTCTGACTGTCAATCTTAGTAACCAAACTCATTGCCGCCACAATCATTTCGAATTGACCACGACCACATCGTATTATCCCTGTAGACGTCTTGTTGGAAAAATACTTTAGCGTCATCAACATACCTGCTGAGCCAGAGCCATAATCTCCATAGTAGTCCTGTAGGGATTTCCTTATTGCGTGAAGTATCGTCTTGTGGTTGAAGTTTGAAGGAGATGACTTGTGGAGTGTTAGTAGCGCATTTTTCTGTGAAGTTGTGAATTGAGTTGCTTCGTTGAGGGAATCTGTAGATGGACTTTTTTTGATGGTTGTGGTTATTGTTGGTGGGTATATTATTTCGAACAAGATGTATCTATGTTTTACTCTGACCATGTTCTTGTTGATGATTATATGTTGTGTAGGCTTCAAAGGCTTTGAGGTATTTTTTTCGATAAAACGTTTTCGCATCAAAGAAAGTTATTTACAAACTGCACCTTTTACACATCAAAATGCAAATACACAAATACCAATTATACTTCTACATCGCTAAATACTTTTCAGTCAAGTGTCGCGACATTTGCGAGTTACCATTGATACTGTAGATCAATGACAAATTGTAGGCAGCCTCCCATTTCAAGTCGTAATCATCATCGATATTCTCATTATTATCCAGAATTCGCAACACCGAGTTATAATGGCCAACTGCAAGGCTTGTTAGTCCCAACATATGAAACAACCTTCCAAAATTGTACTCAACCTCCTGTATCTCATAGATTGTTGGAGTGCTGCAAAGTCTATTCGTCTTGTACTCCAACAAAATGCTGATCCCTTGTAGCAACTGAATGTGTCTATTTGAACTCAATCTTTGCATGGACCGATGGACATGGGCCAAGCCTAGTACAAGACAAATCATTGGGTCTTTGGAGAAGTACTTGTATGCCCGATTGAGGTAGAAAACCAAAGACGAATGACTTCCCTTCCCACCCAACAAGTTGGCATATATATAGGTTAAATCAGGATGGGAACGGCCTAGTTCGATATCCCTCACTTCGGCTGTGATGTTGGGCATACCCGAAACGTGTTCTTGCTTAAAACAAGAATCGTACGCTTTGATTTGACGTAGGAAGAACTTTTGGTGGTTATAACATGAAAAAGTTTCTGCGAAAATGGCTCCTGAAGCATAACAGCAAAAGAATAAGCGACACATGTAAGGTGAAAACTGATTTTGAAGTAAAAAAGTCCTTATGTTGTGGAAAACCGTAGTTGCTGCTTGTTCTTGTTTGATTCCAAACATGAGTTTTAGTAACCTCAACATGGCATCTTTGCTCTTATCATGCACAAATATGTTTACCGATAATGCAACATTAATGATGTCATCGGCATATTCAGTATTGTTTTCATATTTGGACATGACTAGTCCAAATTGAGCAAATATATCAAACCATTGATCATATGTCAATCCTCTAAACTCGGTTTTCGAAACCAAAGTTTGACGAGTGAAGGTCTCCTCTAAATTGAAGCCTTCTAGCAAATTATAAGCACGAGCCAATTTTTCATCCAAATCAATGTCTTTACGAGTACGATACCGTATGATACCTTTAAATCTCCTTGATCTATCTTTAGGAAAAAAACTTTTGATACTGGTAAACATTTCAATCAACTGTGATGCCAACTGGATCCATGCAGCAATGGCTATCCGATCACCCGAGTTCATTGACTCCTGTAGCCTTTCCATACGACCATATTTTTCCAATACTTTCCTCTTGGCATTAGCTTCTATTTCTTCTTTTTCCTGCTCTGATAATTTGGTCCTTTTGGGAGTTTTGCGAATCTTATTTCTAATCAAAGAGAATCCCTCGGCCTCCCCAACTTCGTCCACAGCTTTTTCCCTTTGCCAACTTTTCCTATTGCGTTTTTGAACCTCATTGATTAATGCCTCGGCTCGAGCATCATCTCCCAAGTGATACAATGTTTCAGCGAGAGCTAATTTGAAATCCACGTTGTTTGGCGAATGGCTCAACAATTCTTCGTAAGCTTCTTTCGCTTCTGCATAGTCGGCAATCTCAAAATAACACTTTCCCAACAATGTCACTAGATCAAAACTGGATACCAATTCCTCATTTCCAAATGCACGAGTGAGAAATGTCAATGCCTCCTCATAGTAACCATATTCCTGCAATTGCTTACCAGCTTCAAAGTTTAAATCGGCGATTTCAGCTTGGTCGTCATCTAACAAGTACTCAAAATGATGCATCGCCTCATCTTTTTGGTCTGATCCCAATCGAAGGATTCCTAACTTAAACCTTATATCTATGGGAAGTTCGTAAGGCTTGGTTTTGAAATCAGCTAAATCACGAGAAGATTTTAACTGGCTCAACTTTTTGAACCGTCTCTTTGAGTCAAACTCGGAGTCATCATTTTCGTCCCACCATGTTTCATCCATTCTGCCTTGTATCCATCTAGCAGCTAATTTCAATACATTGATACCCAATTTGAGAGAACGATGTTGAACATGCAACTCCAACAATATATTCAACTCTGGCCAGTCAAATTTGGGATACTGTTCCTCGCTATCGCCTTGAGTATTGATATTCTGGTCCAAAATCCTCATGTACAAATTTATGGCATCATTTAACCGCTTCTGTTCCAGATAAACTCCCGCCAAGTACTTTACAATGTTGGCGTCTTGAGGGTACAACTGTCGAATCTTTTGCAATCCATCCAATGCTTTACCAAACTGTCGCTTTTCCTTGTAAAGGAGTGCTCTTTCAAGGATGAAATTGGCACTTCGTCTTGTATCTGAGGTGATTGCTCTGGTATAACAATAAATTGCTTGATCAATGTGGCCCAACTCATTTGATAATTCTGCCACTTGACCCCAGAAGTCACTATCCCAAGGATGTAAATTAGCAGCCAAGAGCCAAGAGCTGCAACATTCGTCTAGTTTCCCCTGTGACTTGTAGATTTCTCCAATTGCTTTGTAAGCACTGAAGTTTTTGGGATCCCTTTTGATAACATCGACGTATAATTGCTGAGCACTTTGTAAATCATTGCGAACAAAGGCCTCATTTGCAAGAGACAAATTCATTCGCACTTCTGGGTCTAATTCACGGTTATCTGCCCTCATCATGCGTTTCCTGTAGTATGACTTGTTGTGTTTTGACAATTTTTCTCTTCGATTGCGTACCTTGAAGTTACTAGCACCCTTAAGGGCGTCCTTAAAGTTGTATTCGTCATCGTAGTCATCTTCGTCGTCATCGGATATATCCTTGAAGTCCTCATCCTCCTCTTCATCCGAGGGAATGAATAAAGGCTCACCACCGTCATAGTCGTCACCATCATCTAGCCCACCAGCTTCCATGTCAAAGTCCGACATATCCAATTGGGTAAGCGCTTGATCAATCTTGTCATCATCATCTGAATCACTCAATTGAAGTCGATGGTCAACTTCTTGTGGTTCCTCCACATGGTCATCAAAAATTTGGTTTCTCGGTAGTTGTCTTTGTTGGCGTTGTTGTGACATACTATTCAATTGAAGCAATTCGTCTGTTTGTGGAAAAGGGAATAGTGAATAGCTCAAGGCAATGCTGTATAAATAAGGACAAACTACTTTGTGGGTTTTCTGTTTTGGGTTTTACTGTGTGATTATGTAAGTTATTACGTAAATATACATGAGTGGGTAATCACGTGCACAACGTTTGTTACTTCTCCTAGATCTTCGCTTTTGGTACGCCACTTTTAAGCTACAAAACAGAACAATGTGCGTGTGTGTGTGTGTGTGTGTGTTCTTGGCAGAGCCAAGTCTTCCAAAGCCAGCATTCATATGTGCTCCGAAGAGGATGATACAGTTGTGCAGTTTTGATGTTTTTTTTTTTTAGCTGAATGAGATGCGATTTAAATGAAAGGCATAGCTGTTTTCAGCGGATAAAGTGGTTAGAGAGTATGCCATCAAAGATTCTTTCAGGTGTGATTGTGGAATGTAGTGGATAAATTTATTTGTTATGCTTACTACGTAACGTCACAAGTATGGTAATGATCATCCTCATACGAGAGTTGAAAAAATAATGACGTAAAAAGTGTTGTTGCGACAATTGAACTATTTCTGCGTCACTCGCCCTCTCCCCTTTTTGCACACAAGATTATCACAAGAGAACAACAACAACAACAACAACCGTATGATATACATTTGATATTGTAATAATAACTAACATCATTTAAAGAGTTACATTGCAATCTAATAGTATCTACTGGTCACAATCAGCTACTATCTTTATCTTTAGCTTGTACCACTACAATTGCCATTGCTCGTGTTACTTTGATTACACGTCCCAGTTCCAATAAAGATCAATTCAAGCGCTCTGCCCCGCCACTTATTTCACTTTGCATCGGCATCCTTTTGGTAACAGCTTACTGCAAAAGACAAATAACAACTGCCATGTCTGATCTTAGACGAATTGCTTTATCCAACACAAACATAAAGGGTATGGATGCGTCAGCCCAAGGGCAAACCCCTACTCCACCACAACTGGGAAAGAATTCCGACCCTGTGCCCGGTGAAATGGTGAAAACTGATTCCGAAATCAATTTAACTCGTCCAGAATTGTACAGTATGTACAAAGAAGACTCGTTTGTGGATTTCAATAAAGACATTGATGATTCATCTGTGCTTGACTTAAACATGTTGAGTACTGAAAAGGCCAATGCCGACGGGAAGAAACAGAAAAAAGCTTCAGGAGAAGCTGCTGCTTCAACTGCAGAATCATCCGAATTGACATTGTATACACTTCCATTACCTTTGAAATTGGCAATTTTGGCCATTTCTGCATACATTTACAACCAAGTGACGAGACATATAAATTATAACCATTTTAGTGAAAACCAATTGGTTCATTATCCATTAACAATAACTCACGTTTTCCTTTACGCATTTGTTTCGAAATTCAAATTGAGCAACTATATCCAAATCAATGATGATCTTCTAAATGCTGGTGATGAGATTATGGCATTGACCTTACAAGGTTTGATTATGGCTTCTTTACACCCCATTTTGGATAGAATTTTACCGCGTATTTTGACCAAGAGATTACTTTCATCAAACCCCAACCCAAATTCCAAAACTCAAGTTTCCAGTGATTTGATTAGAGCTGGGATCACTTTCCTAGGAATCAGTTATGCTATTCGCAAAATCGAATGGAGCAGTTTTCTCCAAGTGTCGATTATTTGGTCCTTGATTAATCCCGGGTTATGGTTATTGTTGGATGGAACAGTCTCGGGGTTTTTGGCTTCATTGCTTGCTTCGAGTGTGGCTTGTGTCAGTATTTATTCACAGAACCACAAATTCATCAATGGGTATTCCAGAACTACTGATGATGTGATTGCATTGTGGTTGTGGATTGGAAGCTTCTTCTTTTGTGGAATAATCATTTTTGGTAAACTCGGTAGAGGTTTGTTTAGTAGCAATTGAAACTCGCTGATGTACGTTTCGGGATAGAACCCTTTTATACAAATACAAGTATAAATAGAAATGTTTTCTTACTTTCTTCAAAGAAATTGGCTAAACTCCAAGTCTTATACTTTAATCTTCTCCTCGGCATCTTCTTTGATGGCTTCTTCAGGGCTCACTTGTTGCACTAATCCACGTATTCTTCGATCATCTCTCAATTGCAACCACGCTATTGCAGCCACGACAAAAACAGTGGCGGCAGATGAACTTATGAGAGCTATAGCACCATTGCGGAATCTAGGAGCTGTATCAGCAGCAAAAAACACAATTGACCACCATGCATTCATGGTATTCCCCAACATATTCATCGAGCTAATAACAATTGCCCGTTCTTGCAAGTCATCAGCACAAACTATATTGGCCCAGCCAAACGAAACAGTTTGTGCCGCGTACGATACACCACTCAAGTATTGGGCAACAAACACATACTTCTTGGCGAATGGCCGACATAGTTGAATCACTGGTGAAACCAACACAACTAGAGCAATAATCAAGGACACATGCCAGTACAATTTCCCATTCCCCACATTCCTTATATAATATGCTGAAATCGCAGTTGCCAACACACCAACAGCATACACACCCATGGGAAAATGGTTTCTATCCAGAACAGAATAATCATAGTACTTCAACCACAATGCAAACACACTGTTGGTGGCAAAAGATTCATTAATTGCTCCAACAATCCACAACATCCCGAATAAATACCAGTGCCACTTGCCAAACACCCTCGTCACAACATCCCATCCAAACTTGTCGTGTTTGGGTTTCACCAACCTTTCCAAAGCCATGGCATGTTCTTCCTCGCTGAAATAGAATGGCTTGCCAATATCTGGAGCATCGGGGAAGAAAATGTAGCCAAATATGACAATGGGGAAACTACATATGAAATCCATAATAAACAACACTCGCCAACTGGCCAAGCCATGCCAACCATCCATGTTTTGATGCACTGCCGCTTGTATCACTCCAGAAAAGATTTGCCCTACAAGTCCACTTGAAGTGAATACAAATGTTCGAATAATCAAATCTCGAGCATCGGTGTAATACGACCCCAAAATCAAATGTACACCACCAAAGATGCAACTTTCAAACATCGCTTGGACAAATCGGATAATGCAAAGCTGGTAAAAATGGGTAACTTTGTATGTGGATAATGTGAGTATGGACCAGACTCCAGCACATATCGTTAACCAATAACGAGGTCTAACTCTCAACAAGATTAAATTATGCGGAATCATGGAAATGATGTACCCCACGTAGAAAATTGTGTTGATGATATTGAAATCGTTGCCGGAAAGTCCTAAATCTTCTTGCATTCCAGAGACGTATGCGTTGGCGACATTGGCACGGTCGAGGTAGTTGACCCAGTAAAGAAGACAGACATAAGTGAGAACAAACACATCTAGTTTGAACAAGTATCGGCGTTCTTTTGGATCCGATGGAGGTTTTCCCCAGAGTGCGTTGCGTAGTAAGGTGAAAGGTTTAAGTGTGTTAGTGATCATTTGAGTGGTGGCGTAGGCGAAGGTTTCTTGTGCATAGACATTCAAAAGATCATTTGCGGCTGAGCCACTAGTCTTATAGAAGTCTTGCGAGAGACTTATGTTTCGAGTAGAGGGGATCTGCGTGGAGAAGAGGTATTGTTTATCTAATCTTTCTGTATCAAACGGCGCTTTTGATAATCTTATTTAGGAAATAGCCGCTGACATGTATGGGCATGGAAGGAACAATAGAGCTGCAAACTATTGTCCTCTTGTTTTGTGTTCTCTAAATTGTGGTACTTTTGGTTTTAGTGTTGGTGCAGCAGAAGGTTATTTCATGATCAGAAGAAACGTCCTCTGATATCTATATATTCAACACATTACCACAAGGAAATATAACAACCAGAACGTCTTGTAATGCAGATTATCAGCTTGGGTATGCTAAATACAAGTAAAAACAGATGCTACTCTAAGTTATGTTGTTGTCGCTGCTATACATGGTTGCGAATTGCATACTTTAAATGCTTGATGGGTAGCGCTTGACATTTTTTTCTTTTTTATTATTATTATTTTCATTCTTTTCTTTCTGTCGTCAATTTGCCTCGGTTCTGAATAGACAGGCCAGTAACTCCACTTTTGAAAACAGCGGCCACGCCACTTTGCAACTGTTGCTAGCACTCACCACATCCTGTGTTCCACGCTCAAATGTCCAATCTATATAGCAAGCTAGGTCCACAAGGACGAGCATTGTTGAACAACCCGCAGCAACCTTCGTCACCTTACACTTACACAAATGATGCAAATAACCAACCACCCCCGCAAGATCTTGATTTTGTCATTGATGAATTGAGGAATCCCAAACCAACTACTACTGTTAACAAAGTATTGGGGTATTTATACAACTATGTTCCGTATATCAAACACGAAAGGAATTTGGGACTTGTTGTTGCCAGTTTTTTAAACAGTCCCGTGTGTTTTGGATCAAGCACTACGCCATCACTGGCAGCAACAGCAGCACCACCACCACCATTTGAAGAGATTTACATGATTATCGAAGTGTTCAAATTGATAACTGATAAGAAGTTGGAAGTGTCTCAACCTACATTACCCATTAAGGAGTTTTACACAGTTATTAGAAAAGAGTTGGAGAATTTTGTGTGGTACAACCCTCAAGCTAATAGTTGGAAAGTTTTGCCTATAATTTGTGGAATGATGTTATCTAATTCTCTACGTGATGAATTGTATGTTGACGCCAATTACTTCCAATATAGGTGGTTTTTCGACGAGTGGGATGACAAAATGAAGAGTTTGTTTGTTCGTTGTTTGGAGTATAGTTTAAGCAGTAGCCAATCTGAGGACATTGTCTTTTTGAGTGTGACTAGTTTGGCTTTGGTTTATCAAAAGGATGAAGATGTTAATAAATACACCAAGCGTATCAGTGATGGTCTTATGGTGGGAGTGCTTATGAATATGATTTTCATGTCTCCCAAAGTGTCAACATTGCTGTATCAGCACTTTTTCAAACTCAATCCTCAAGATGTTAATGTTAACAATGATGCTAATAAGCGGATTTTGCAAAAACCAGTGATCAAACATTTGAACAAGTTTTCTTTCTTACTTGCTGCATACTTTAGTCAATTGAGGTATAATAAACAGAATGAAGACTTGATTCTCGCAAACTTGACAAAGATGGCCGATTTTAACAAGTTGCTAAATCACATTTGCGCATCTTCCATATTCAATACATTTACTAGTGCCAAGGAAAACAACCCCCTTTTTCAACTGTTTTGGTATTTTATGAAGAACTTGTTGTTTTCCGAAGTGATTATTTTCCAAGGTGTTTTCACACGGTTCCTAACGGGAAACAAGTCGAATTTCATTTGGTTCAATAATCGAGATTTGATTATTATGCAACGTGCTTATAGACAGATTGCATTAACCACAATTCCCAGTTTATATTATCTCAACTTCATTCTACTTTCAATAGGGCAAGGTGGGTTTGATAATTACAATTTTGTGTATTACCTCAGTGTTGAGTTGGCATTATCTACGGCACTGCATTTTGAACAATTGGCATTGCGGTTGTTTCTGGATTATAATGAAATAAACTTGTACCCGGATGTATTGGACCACAACTATATTATGCAACTGAAGGTGTTGTTTGTATTGGGACTATGGGAAAATTGTCTACAACAAAAGCCAATTCAAAATGAGGCGTATGCGTCATCGATTTATACTAATGTTCGCGATTTGGCCAATGATTCCAAATACACAAGCAATGATTTGATCGAGGCTAGTCACTCGGTGTTGTTATTTTATTTCGCCAATAGCAACAAGGTTGATTTGAAAGATTGCATTGAGTATGTTAATTTGCTAGTTAGTCAATTCCCACACCGATTATCAGCTACACAATTGTGTATCGCTATTGAAACTATTGGAAAGAAGATCTTGTCACATCCAAAGCCATATCGTGATAACTCCATATACAATAACTCAGCTGAGGAGTTTTTCCATTTTTTGGTTAATTTATGTGGACCTATCCATCGTGGGGTACCAATCAAGCCCTCCACTACAAACACATCTTTATTAAACAACAATCTGGACAATCCTAGCTTCACCTCAGCACAACCAATTTCGGAAATTGAAGCTCATGCAACTTTAAACACCTTGGAACAGGACAAGAAAATGGATGGCGACATTATCCATGAAAACAAAGCCAAGAAGCCCAAGGATAAAGTTGTACGTGACTTGTTGCCCCGATTCAAAAGGGAATACAAGTTTGAAAATCGACTTGCACCAGAAACCGTTCGGGAAGCGGCAGTGTTGGCTTTGATTAACTTGGTGCCATATTTCCCCCTTTCTGTGTTTGTTGCGTGGGTGGAACGGATCTGGGATTTGATTGTAAAGAGTAATGTGCTGGAGGCCAACTACTTGACTGGTATGTTGTGGAAAGTGATGAGTGATAGTCTTGATTTGAATCGGGTTGAATTGGCAATGAGGTGGTGGTATGAGACAAAGCGGTTGTCGGAGAGGAACTATGTTGATGCAAAGATGTAAAAGAATGGAAAAAAACTGGGGCACTTCTTTTTTTTTTTTGATTTGTGTATGTAACGACGCTATATAGATTGATTGTTACGTTGTATATATTGATGGCTCAAGTTTCTGTTGGAGTAACTTCTCTTTAGGTCCATTAGATCATGAGCTGCGCCGAAATCTTTATGAGAACTGCTGCCGTTATCATTCCTGTTCTGGTTATTGCTGCCGTTGTTGTTGTTGTTGTTGTTGTCGGGAAACGCATTGCCTACGTCGAACTTTATTGAAAGTGATGTGGCCGACCCTGAAGTCGATGATGACATTGGTGTGTATGGGTTCTGAGTAATGGAAAGCGGTTGCTGCTGTGGCGGATGCGGTTGCGGATGCGGATGCGGCTGTTGTGGTGGTGGTGGTGGTGGTGGTGGTTGCTGTTGTTGTGGTTGGTGTTGCTGTTGTTGTGGTTGGTGTTGCTGTTGTTGTGGTTGGTGTTGCTGTTTCAGCTGATTCTGAGTCTTTTGCTTCACTTTCGATTTATTATACTGCTCCAATACAGATTGAGATTTGTACTTGATGAATTTACAAATCTTGAGATACTTCAAATCCTCATCCAAGTTCTCATTATCCCAATCGATGCTCTTGTAATAGTTCGGTCCTTTGCCATTAGCAAGACCAACAACGTCTGCATCCTCTTCATCATCGGTATCATCATTTTGCAGCTGTTGCTGTCTTTGTTGTTGATACTGTAGAATCTCTACTTTCAATTCATCCTTCATCAACTTGTCAAACAAGACATCTTCATTGGTTCTTTTGGAATTAACACCCGGTTTGTAATTTAGGAAAATAGTAATGAACAAATCAACTGAGTGATGAAGAAGATGAACCGACTCAGTGATGTTGGCTATCAATTCTTGTCGTTTCAAGCACTTCATTTGACAAATCAACAAGTACAACATTTGTAAAACAATGCATTTTTTCAAATTTATTACCGTCAATGACAATCCATTCAACATGGGGTTGAAAGGTGACATGGGGATCTCCTTAATGACGCGTTTTGCTGAGCTTGGTTTAGCGTTTGATCGTCTTCGTTTTACTGAAAAATCATTGATCACAAACCCATCTTCATCCACATCCAACCCAAGACTTTGCATCACAATTGCATTGGAGTTGATGACGGGGTCTTCATTTCGTTTTTCATGGGATAAACTAATATGATAAAATATCAAGTTGAAATATTGCAACACTTCCAGCGCAATCACGGCAATTTCCTTGTAATACACAAAATCCAACTCTTTATCAACAATGAAATTCAAGTAATTCATGGATCTAATGAGGACATAGTGGAAATTGAGTTGGATTTTGATCAATTGCGAAGCGGTATAAGTATCAGGTAGTCCAGTTTGATAGTAGTTTAACATCACCTCTTGCTTCAAATGTTCTTGTGTCATGTCGTGATATAAATTGTTGTGGGAAACGTTTACCAAATTGGGTAATCCCAAATCCAAATTGAGTGGTGTTAATGAAAAGACCTTGTGCTTTAAGGACTGTCTCCAATCAGACAAGTTTTTATCAATTGTTAAAAACTGGTTGAAATTGTAGTTTAAATTACCATCATTACCATCACCATCATCTTCATTCAAGATCCAATCCAAGCGATGATGGTTGTGGGAGTGGGCCGGGTGGTCTTTTTCCTTCTTTTTTTTGTCGAGTTTCAAGTACTGATAGTAATTGGGTGAAAATGAAGATGGGATAATGATATTCATAAGATTTAAGAACTCAATGCTTGGTTTCAACAATGTATTGAAAAGATCATCGTTATCGTCAAGTAACGATGACAATTTCTCTGGAGTTAGTTGAAAGTATCGATCAATCGTAACTGGGTTGATCACTGTAGTGTTGAGACTTGGTTTGAATCCAAACTTCAAGTTGAAGCATTTCAACAATACTTTAAAAGTCCAAAAGATTTTAACTCTATTGCGTCGTTGATGTACATTTAATGACAAGTCGTTAAAGAATAAATTTTTCGAGTTCAAATTGATTCCTAGTATACCAATGAACGCATTGACAAGTGACGATAAGATTAGTGATTTTTCTTTGTTGTTAGTCAAAAGTGAATAGTAAAGTAAAAGTAAATAAGTTTGAAGCTGACTTATGGATATTTGAAAGCCATTGAAATATGGTAATATATCGTATAGTGAGTTCAATATTGACTTGTCTCTGTTTATTGAATAGTGAGGATCCGAGTGGTTTAATAACAAGTTTAGATTGATGGTAGGGTTATTGATGAAAATCATGGCGTAAGTTTGAATGATTGTCATGAGAAATCTATTGACAATTTGATAATCACTTGTATTGGACAAATTGAACCCATTGATGGTAGAATCGTCGTAGGTGAAAATGAATGGATACATTGTGTGAAATGCGTCATAATTTTGTATAAACTCATGATAATCAAAAATGGGGATGAAGATGTTGTAGTTTAGAAAGAATTGGGTAACTTGTGCATCTAATTCCTTTTTGGACTTGAAAACTTTTTTAAAATTGTTGATCAACTTTATGAACAAATCATAGACATCATGGGGTAACTCATTTACACCGGGAGTATCAGGAGCACTTGGATTAGCTCCAGTTAAGGGATTGAAAACCAAGTCCAAATCCTTGTTGTGAAACTGATTACTTCTTGCTTGCGAAGGGTCGTACAAGTAGCTATTGGGATCATTTAAAAGATAATTGTGGCTATTAGTTATCTTCAAGAACGGCATTTGTAAGTTGATCAACAAGTGGTTGAATTGTGACTCAAAATTGAGATTATCGTTACCAATAATGATTCCTCGGTCATCAAGATTGAAAATTTGGTCAATGGGGTTGTTGATTTGCACGGATTGATTTGTAGTTTGAAATAAGACCTTATCATTTGTGGTCGTAGTCGTGGGGATAGCCACAGAAGCTGACGCAGTTGCTAGTGCTGCTGTTGGCTTTTGTGGGGTCTCAGTACCATCCTTCGTCACTGCAAGGCCTTGGTCACCAGGTTGTTGATTTTCTCGTAGAAGACGAACTTCCTCCTCCAAAGCCTTGACTTTTTTTTCAAGGTTTTCGGTATAACCTTTGGGGAACGCTCTTCTGGTTAGTTTATCCGAAGTTTTACAATCAAAATTTGCCTTTTTACAGTTGTGACAAGGATATAGTCCATCGCATTTGATTTTTTTAATTCGACATCGATCACAAGCTTGAGACACTCGTACTCCACTCGAAGTATTGATTAATTTCAAACTTGGTGTCGTTTGATGTACATTGTTTTGGGAGATCTCCATGGGTAGCGAGTGATTATAAGTGGCAAAGTGAGGTATATGAGATGTACTGATGGTGGGGGTGCTGGGAGTGGGGTACTATAAGTGAGTAAGTAAGTAAGTACAGGCTATAATGTCTGTAAAGTTATTTGAGTTGGAATGACGCTAAAGTCTGTTGTTCTTTGTTTCTCTCTCCCCCAGATTTATTTTTCGTCTTCTTTTTTTTTTTATTTTTTCTGCTGCTGCTGCTGCTGCTGCTCCTCGGATGAATGGCTTCTATCGTTCTCTCTTTGTTTCTCAATATATACTTGTTACTTGGTGCTACCAGCTTTTCAAATATCATGAGATTCTAGCTGCAAAAATAGTCAACAAAGAAGAGAAGATACACTATATCATTCACTTCCTTATTTTTTTTATTTTTGAGTGGCGGTTAGTCTACTAACAGTTAACACTTATCTTCTGTGGTAGAGGAAATGTGGCTGTGTATGTTTCAACTCGTGGTAGCTGCCGCAGATACCTGAATATCTTTTCAGTGCTTAAAATGGTTGCACGCCTTTCCTGCAGCAGGTTGTAACTAAGTCAACATTTCGCAAAGTCGTAATAAACGTATCTAGCAAAGGCAAATAAAGAGCTGAGAGCTTGAAGCTCAATAATGCATATACATAATAGAATGAAGACATCAAAAATTACTTGGAGTACAATCTAGATCAAAAACCAGAAAGGAGTCAATACACGTCATCCAGAATTGGCCATTGCAGTAATAATTCCAAGCCATATGGTGCTGCCACTAGCTAGATGTCAAAAGGAAAGGGTATTCTTTCATCAACTGTCTCTATTACACTAAATTATGCATCATAACCGTCTTCAAAACAGCTGAATAATTCCAAATCCCACAGATTGAGTTTCTAAATGGTCTCCATACATACACAGTTTGTTTTTCTAGTAAAATGAACGCAAACACATGCCATCATCAGTAAAGATATTTCACAATCCACATTAAACTTTACCATTTTAATGTAACTCTTAAATGCCCCAGAATATTTTTCTTCAACAAAAAGCCTGGCTAGCTCAATCGGCTAGAGCATTCGACTCTTATATACAAGACATCGAAAGGTTGCGGGTTCGAGTCCCGCGTTGGGCTTTTCTTTTTTTTTCCCCCTTCATCATACTGTCTTACCTCTCTGTATTCACCTCAGGGTGTGCATTCCAGAGTAGTCAAGGTTAACCGATAACGCTATAGGTGATTTCAGCATTGCATGTGTAGATACACCGAGAGGTTGTTGCCTTATTTTTTTGAAGTTTCGTAAATTTTTTTGCACTTAATTTATTACAAATATGTAAAGATTTTTGATATGCAAAAGCAACATAATGAGAACTTCCTTTCATGTAAGAGACTCACTCTCAGTAACTTAAGAGCTGCTTGATATCTTGATAGTATTTGGTGGATGGCCTTGCTACAAAGTAGGTGGAATTTCTTCGTACTACTATTGTATTACGTAATGTATTACATAACAGACACGTCTCTCACCCAAAACAACACTAAAAGAAAAAAAAAAAAAGGAAAACAAAAAAACAAACACCTCTACCAAAAAAAAATCGTAACTCTTTTACCTCAAAAACACTATTTACACCACAGGGACAACCGATCCTGACTACACTAAAACCAGCATATTTCGAAAAATGGTACAGCCACGCAGGTCATTGACAACTTCGTCTCCTATGGACATGAGCAGCCAAACCAACAGCAGTAGCAGTAGTAGTTTGCATTTCAATAAGCGAATCATTAGCACAATCAAGCTGAACATCAGCAATAAAGAACTAATCACTAGACTTATGGAGCTACACGAGGAACTTTCCAACTTTGATGATGAGGAGATTGATTTAAATTCCCTCAAGCTGGTGACCAAGGACCTCATTGACAAGAGATTGTTGAATCACCCAAGTATCGGCGTACAAGCATATGCTTGTTGTTGCTTGTCAGATATCCTTAGACTCTTTGCACCAAATGCACCTTATCTGGACGAGCAATTGTATGTCATCTTTGACACATTTTTCAAACAGTTTACAAGAATCGCCAGCACTGGTAAATCGGAAAGGTCTCAATACTACTTACAATATGTCTATTTGTTAAAAAGATTGGCCGAAACGAAATCCATAATCTTGATCCTTGATCTTCAGGAGTCACAAAAATTAATCAAATCGTTATTTGAGGCTTTTTACAACATTGGCACTAAACAAAGCTTTCCCAGGGAGTTGGAATCTTTGGTTATTGATATTTTGTCAGAAGTGATTTCAGAATGTGAAGCTGTACCACTAGATATAATCAAAATGATATTAAGCAAGCTTGAGCTACATGGATTGAATAATCAGTTACTTCTGGAAAATATAACAACGCCTGAATTCAACTTTTCCTTAGCCGTTTGCGAAAACAATGTTGATAGAATGGCTAGGTTGGTGGCCCAGTACTTTTCCGAAATCTTGTACACAAACTCAAACAAATTGGAAACTGGCGAATCCAATGATTCAGAGTTTCAAAAAAGAAGTGAAAATGAGTTTTTGAAAGCCTTGGAGGCTTTGAAAAAGATTCATCACTTGTCAGTGCAGCTTTGGACATTTGTTCCTTCCATAACGTCGTCAGTCATTTGTTTAATCGATGACGAGTTGAATGCAAGTGATGAAAGGATACGTGCTTTGGCTACAAGAACTATTGGACAGATGTTGGGGACAAAAAGTTATAGCCCAACTATACCATTGCATAAAGTCAATTTTTTTGTCATACACAACCCAATCTGGCTTAGTTGGCTAAAGAAAACAAATGACATATCTCATTACGTTCGTGCTTTATGGGTGAATCTAATTCCCGATATTTATATCAATAACCAATACCTTACAAACGATTTGTGTCGTGTTCTTGCAAGCGAGCTAAAAAAGTGCATGGTGGATACCGACCACAGAGTTCGAGAGGCTGCCTGTATTGCCATTAGCAAGATCCCACACGACACATTTATTACCAAAGTTGCCAATAAGGAAATTTTGCAAATTTTGTCGCAATTGATTAGAGAGAAGCACAAAAATATAAGATCAACTGCGATCAACGTGTTGAGTTCGATTTATCACCACCATGCACAGCTCCAAGCTGGACGCGATGATGTTGATGGTAGCCACAACCATGAGCAACTCCTATTAGACCACGAGCTTGAGCAGATGATTACAGATATCCCCAATCAAATATTGTCATTAATCTACATAAATGACAAAACCATAATTGCTTTAGTTGATGAATCATTATTCGAAAAACTTGTCCCCGTTTCGGAATCAAATTCAGCTAAGCGAGTAGACTCGTTGGTGAGGTTTTACTCCACTTTGAATGACAAGAGTAAAGAAGCATTTACCGCTATTCTTAGAAGGCAAAGCCAGATTGCAAACGGGGTTGAAAACTTTTTAAAAATTGCTGATGAATCACATAAAGCAAACTCCTTAGAAAAGGAAAACAATCCGCCATCACTGTCGGACCAACTCAAATCAAACTTGGTCAAATTGGAAAAGATTTTGAACTGGCTTTGTGCTTCGTTTCCTGACGAGCACAATACATACTCCTGTTTAGAGAGGCTCTTTAAACTCAATAGAGCTCGATTCTATCACTTGATAAAAACCTGCATCTCATCTGAGTCGGATCTAACCACCATCAATAGAGCGTTCAAGGAATTGGTGAATAAACTTGCAGATCCAAAGAATCTCAAATGTGATGACACAATCAGTGTTACTCCCGTGGATATGGTTTACAACACCAAGTTATTGATACTTAGAGGTTCGCCTTTGTTGCTTAATAGATCCAATGTTGAACAGCTCATTTTGCTCTCAAAGCTGCTGCTGGTGCAATATTTCAAAATACCTGCCAACGAGTTGTTGCAGCTAATGTCAACTATATCACCCGCAGTGTTCAAGCACCATGTAAGAGCTTTGGTTGAATTGTGCATGGACGATAATGAAGCAAACAAGTCAGGACCACTCAAAACTATCTACCACTTTGTCAAAAAGTATCCAGAGTCTTTTCCAGGTGAAATATTATTCACTGAACTGTTGGTCAAATTGGCAGTTGATGGATCACCTGAGGAAGCAAAGTATTGTGTAAAACTTCTCGGTCTTAGTGAACGAAAGGAAGTCTGCTGCAACGACATTATCGATAGAGTGTATCCATTGGACGTGATTGATGGTCAATTTGGAACACATTTGAGCAGTGTAGCAGAACTTTTCTTGGTTGATCAATATTCTGTCAGCGACAAGGAGTCCGACATAACTGAGTACGTGATAAAGAATGTGTTACTTGAAAACACAGCAGCAGACAAGCAGCGAGTGTATAAACTCTTGGCTATTCGGTACTTTATCAACACATTGAAGAGCTACGTTGATGACCCTGAGACAGCCAAACAGAAAGCGGGGCCTGTTATTAAATTGTTATTATCTATAATTGGAAATGAGGGAGAGATAGTCAACAGGAATAACGAAACTTGGCCCACTCCTGAGCAATACAAAGTGACGTTGAGATTAACGGCTGGGGAATACTTGTTGAAATTGGCAAAGATTCCAATTTACAATGAAGTTATTTCTTCCTCTACAGTGAGAAAGCTATGCGTTTTACTAACCGATGAGGATCTTTCAGTGAGAACCCAATTTTCAACAAAATTGAGACAATATCTTGCATCAGAATCGATTTCAGAAAAGTACCTATCTTTGGTGTTTTTCATGGCTGTTGAGCAAGACAATGCATTGAAAACTGAAAACACTTTGTGGGTAAAATCCATGTCCAAGAGATCTGAAACATTGAAAAGCTTAAAGTTTGAAAAGTCCTTGGTTCGGTTGATTCACAATATTACTCACCATGAAAAGTTTCTTTCAATTTTGAATGGCGACGAGGAAACTTTGGCAAATGAAGAGGACCAAAGAATGTTGGAGTCGTTTTCTTTTGCAGCTCGTTTCCTTATTTACTATGTGCAGTTGATAGCCAAAGCTGAAAACATATCCTTACTCTACTATTTAGCCAGCAGGGTGAAGCAACATCGAGATGCCACCATACCAAGCGAAGAATATGAGATGTTGAATAAACCGCAAGAGGTGCGTAATGTATATCGCATTGCTGAGTTGGCCCAGTTAGTGTTGAAGACGTATAGCGATTATAAAGTCTGGCCCATTCAAACTTGGACAGAGAAGATCAAATTGCCGCAGGACATATATGCCCCAATGGCTAGTGCTGCTGAAGCACAATCTGTCGTGTCTCAGGTATTCATACATGACGGGTTACAAGGTAAATTGGTGGCTTTGATAAGAAAGGAGATTTCTGACACGAAACGGAAACAGACTGATGACGTAGTTGTTGCAAATACACCCAAGAGAGCAAAACGAGCACCAACTTCCAACAAACGCAACAAACGCAAGAAAAGTGCTCGAAGAGTTGGAAAACCTAGCAAGAAGGTTAGCGTTGAGCCGATGAGAAGGAGCAGCAGAATCAGAAATAAGATTGATTACAAAGACCAAATTGCTTCAGAGGATGATGAAGAAGAAGAAGAAGAGGAAGAGCTTGACTCAGAAATGAGTTCGGAGAGTAACTCAGAAAGTGACTTTGAGTGATTGATGTAAATAGCTTCTTAACCTTTATGTACCGCTAACTTTCCATCTGTTTCAATCCTTGTATCACGCCTTTGGTTTGCCACTCTTCACCCAAAAGTCTCAACCGTGCTGCAGCAGGGAACTTTTTATCAGCAACAGCATCAACAAAAACACCAACCATCACAAACATCAATTTCTTACTTTGAACACCAAACTCATTCGCAAAATCACTTCCGGTTGCCTCCCACCAATTAGCCAATAGTTCAAAATGAGTATTTCTGATCAAGTTCAAATCAGTGTTCAAGACTCTTGCTGCAAATTGCCAAGAAGATCTGTATGAATATATGCCAATTTGTGCTTGTGATTGATGCGTCATCACTGCCCACACTGTGCAAATCCCGCCTACTCGTTCATCATATTTCACATCATCTTCCCACTTATCGTCCTGATTACGCTTCCACCCCATTCTCTTCCTCCCTTCCTCCGAGTCGATTCTGCATGTGTAGCCAAGTATGTAGGGGCATTTCTTGATGAACCTCGCAGTGAGGAAATATTCAAATTCAGGGAATTTTTCAAGAAAGAAACAAGCTAATGTCGCCAAAGGTCTCGCGGCAACAGGCCTCACAATTACCTCGGTTTCAGCTTGATCGATTATCGCTTTTGCAATGAAGTTGAGGATCCATTTATAGACGAGCTCGTTTGATTGGGTGGGTACAACAAGATTGTAAACTTCCATGCTTACTGTTCTTGTGTGCGACATTGAATTTGATAATTGACCAAATTTGGGATTGATTTTACGTTTGTATTGGTTCACTTGTTTCTTCAAATCTTTATTAGAGTCCAATGCTGCAACAACTTGGGTTTTGATATCTTGTATATCCTGCTTATATTTGAGAAATTGCTTCTCTATTGATTTGAAGTTTGTTGTCGATTGCTCTTGCTCCTTTTTGAGTTCTTCAGCACGTTGTTTTGCACTCTCGGCCTCCTTTTGAGCCTTTGCTTCTTGTTCAGACTTCAATCGAGCTTCTTCTTCGCGCTTGCGCTGTTCCTCCCTCTTTCGTAACTCTTCAGCTTCCTTCCGTTTGCGCTCAGCTTCTATTTGCTCCTGCTCTGCTTTACGACGTGCTTCTTCTCTTCGTCGACGCTCTTCTTCTTCCCTTTGTATGCGTTCCTGTTCAAGCTTCCTTCGTCTCTCCTCCTCTTCCAATCTTCGCCTCTCTGCTTCCTCAGCTAACCTCATTCTCTCTTTCTCATCTTGTATAACCTTCTCCACTTGTTGAGCTTGTAAATGTAATCGACTGTTGAAGATATCTGTCAACGCCTGAATGCTGGAGTCCAACTGATCCTTGGCACGTTGAATTGAAGCAACACTATCGCTGGTTTGATTTGCCATACCACGCGCTTTCTGTTGCATCCAGTCATTAGTTTGCGCAGTTATAAGTTTATACATCACATTCACATCATCTAGACTGGGCGGCTTGATAACTTTTGGTACAATCGGTTCAATTGAGGCATTAGAGACGGGAAAGTTTACCAACACTTGTGTAGATGCAGGTCCATTAGAGAAATCCAAGTCATCAGGCAATGCAAACTTCATTTCACACAATGTGTTTCACTTCGGCAATGATACGTTGGCTGTGAGTAATTGTTGCAATCTTGTGGTACTCTTCTTTGATCACTGTTGATTATATTGATTGAGGTGAAGAAAAAAAAAGAAGCGACGTTCGCATACCACAAAAGCCAAAAGAGGTTTTTTTGAAAATTTTTTTTTACATCAAAACCATTCGTATACCATAGAGAAAAGCACACACCAAATGAGCAAGACATTCGTGCGTCAACTCTCGCAGTCCAGCATACTATGCAGACCAGGGTACTCAACGGTAAACCCAGTTCACCATTTAGTTAAGGTTGAGAAATCCAAATTGAAACCAAGTTTGCAAAACTTGTTGTTGCCTGCTGACGATATCAGATCAGTCAAATTTAAACCGACGGAGATATGCCAAGACAGAGTTGCTGACTATTATAATAACACCTTACAATCAGACTTGCTTTTGCACTTTTACGACCATGATGCTGAAATGATTGAAGGAAACAAGAGAAGGTCCTGGGGCACTGACTCGCCTTACAAAGTCTATCGTTCATCAAGGAATCCACGTGGTGGAACTAGATCCACCAAGGATAAACATCCAATAACTAGTAAAAATGTTCCTGAAATCACCAGTGTCGTTGTACATTCATATAATAAGTATGCATTGGAGCATCCATGGTTGAACATTTCCACCAGACTTCAATTATCAGTCATCACCAACGTCAAGGCCAAGCAAATATTCAACAAGTCAAATATCCTACCATGGAAAGTAAGAGTCGGAAGACCATGTGGAGGAAAAGTAGAACTTTTCGATAGAGACATGAATCAATTCATTAGCACATTAACTGAATTGGTATTACCGAGGATCAGAGCATTCAAAGGTATAAGATTTAGTTCTGGTGACAAGAATGGGAATGTCAGTTTTGGTCTCACGGCAGAAGATGTGCAGTTGTTTCCCGAGTTGGAGAACTTTCAAGAATTGTTTCCAAATTTGAATGGTATTGATATCACTTTCAAGACTACTGCCCAAGATGACTCGCAAGCAAAGACGCTATTAAGTGCCTACGGTTTCCCATTCTCTAAGGAGTAAGCTCTGCGACGTATGTCAGAGTCTGTGTATATGTGTGTGTGTGTGTGTGTGTGTGTGTGTATGTACATGTATACAGTCTTGTAAATAAAAAGAATAGATTTTGTAAGTGTGCGTGTGTGTGACAGAGAAAAAAACTTGCAACACGAACGAGTGCAAAGAGTAGGAACTCATCAAAGACATCAAAGGCATAAGCATCACTACCATGGCCAATCGTCGGTCCCATGACAGCCACATAGGAAGCAAGGCATCCAATAGTGGCAGCAGTGGCAGCAGTGGCAGCAGCGGAGGCAGCGGAAGCGGCTCACACAAATGGATTAATCAGCTACGGACATTGCCATCAAACCCACAATCAAAAGATTTCCTCAAACTAGAATACATTGATGTGAACTTGAACAATTCTCGGAAATTGATTACCAATTTGAACAACTTGACTAAGGAGACTAGTGAGTATGTCAAAAACCTTGACGTACAAGTGAGTGGAAACTTGGTGCAATTGAATCAGGTGGATAAGGAATTAGCATGGTTGGAGTGAGTGAAATCTGGTTGCTTGACTGGCTCAAAGTAATCGCTACAAGAGACAATACCCAACTCAGGACTAATATATATTGAAAGAATTAATCTAAACAAAGAAATGTCTCTCTACTACAAACTACACTAGACGTATGGGTCAGTTTCCTTTTCAAGCCAGTCCCAAAGTTTATCGCCAACTTCATCACTCAACAAGTCCTTTCTACCTTTGGCAGGAGTTCCAAATGAAACACTATGGTCACCATCTTTCACGTTTGGCGAAAAGGCGGCGTATAATTCAGTATAGGCACCGTATCTTTGTGGGTGAAAAAGGTACCTGTAAATGTATCTTTCCACTGGCGATGAGTATCTTTGCAACTCAGTGTTCAAATATCCAGGACAAATTGAGCTACTAATAACATTTGGATAACCGTGTTTTCTTGACCATGTGCGAGCTTGAATCAAATTAGCAGCTTTGCTTTGTCCGTAAAGTTGCAACTTAATGTTTGTGTTGAACTTTGGTACCTTGTCAAAAGCGATGTCGTCCCAGAAAATTCCACCTCTAGGAGCAGACATGTGACCCGTGGATGACAACCACACAATTCTTGATAATCCTGGTGGGTTTGTTTTTGAAGTCTTGATGAAAATAGGATCCAACAAACGTTGCAACAAGTGATGACCCAACACATTCGTACCAATTTGCAACTCATACCCTTGTTTAGTTTTTGCTCCTTGTGGTGGCATCATCACGCCGGCGTTGTTGATGATAATGTCTAATCGGTCCTCTTGCTTCAAGAATTTCTCAACCGCAGGCTTGATGCTGGTGAGGTCACCTAAATCGACTTGAATGAATCCAATGTCTCTGTTTGCAACGTTGTACTCTTTGGCAACTTCAAGTTGCAACTTCTCAATGGCCTTGAGAGTCTTTTCCTCACTTCTTGAAAATATGTAAAGTCTTGCCTTGGTGGTTCCTGCTAATGATTTGACAGTTTCATAACCAAGACCAGTGTTTCCTCCGGTAACAATAACAACCTTTCCTTCCAATGTAGGATAATCCTTTTCCGTAAACTTTGGCTTGCCTGGCCAAAAACCATGGAATACTTGCCTCCATTCAGCGAAACTTTTGCTTGGAATATCGGGGTAGGACATTTTTTCTTATGTGAGAGTGTACTGTGTTGTTTGTTAGGTAATTGATAAGGTTTAAGAACCGCCAAAGATAAAAAAATAAAAAAAATTTGAGTCGTTTTTTGTAGTTATTTATATGTACTGTTGGCAAGCAGAGTATGACAGGGTTGAACACACATAGATTAGCAAAACCTTTGACACCGCACGCCATAGTTTCCTTTAGCCGCTATGCGCTTCTCAGTTTCCTTCCACAATTAGCCTCGTTCCATTTTTTTTTATTTTTTTGTTTTTTTTTTGTTCAGCTGCTGCATTTTGCATCCGCTCTCCGCACTCGCAGTTACCGCCTTCCGCTGTGTAAATTAAATAAGAGTTTGCACTTACAACTCTCATGTATGTGAAGGAAAGACTACTCTCAACCCAAGCGGGTAAAACGTTTCCATGTTGTTACCCAAAGGCACTTTGCATCCGCAGTTACCGTCACCATGCATTTAAGATCAATGAAGGTGGAGGCGACTTTCTCGGCAAGACACTTTTGTAGAAGATCGGTGCCGAAGTTTCATTTGCATATGCACAACAGTGTAGCATGCGCCTAGCCAGAGTCAGGGGGCTGTGTCTGGCTAGAAGCGTCTTAGTTACCATTTACACTCTTCACAAAGGATGCAACTTTTGCTGTATCGTTCAGAAATTTAGCTCTTAGTATGCTAGGGGCCGGGTCCGATGTACAAACTCGGCGGTTGAGGCAATGGAAAATTCGGCCGCATGAAAGAAGAAACTATACTACGGCGGATGGAGAAGAATCATTTATGATTACGCTCAAAGAAATACAGTCTATAAAATTTACACGACAATCTATAATGCCCTCACTCAATGTCCTTGCGGCGCCTTTCCACGACTACTTGAGTCACTACCTGATTCATCATCGTCCTCATCATCGGTGATGACAAAATCTTGCATGACAATTGAATCACGATTCAATTCGTTATACTTACCGTTTCTCTCAAGGTCATTTTGGCCAGGAGGTGCTGCCTCAGTCTCTGTACTCTCAGGCTTAAACCTTAATATAATGGCTGCGTTTCCAATTATAAGGCCAATACCACAAAATGACAAGATACCTGGTAGGTGATGCCAAATGGTTAAGTCCCAAATGATGGCAAACACCATACCTGAGTAAGCCATTAATGACGCTCTAGAGGCTTTCACTCTCTGTACACCAGCAGTAAGACAAAATTGCATAAAGAATCCAGAAAATCCTATTACTGCAAACAAAAACCATTGGTAGCCGTTTTGAGGCAAGACAAACGACAACGACGGCACAACAAGGGTAGCAATGAATGTCACAATACAGCAAGTCAATGAAAAATAACTGACGGAAAGTAAAGGATGGGCACTCATTCCAATTTTTCTCAACACGATGTAAACACTTGAAGCACCACACACACCTATCAACCCCACTGCCGTTGCCAAAATTCTCTTTCCAGAAGAAGAACTTTCAACTGACTCGTCGGTAGTTTCTTTCTCAGACTCTGCGCCAAATATAAATGAGGGTTTTGCAATCAAAATGACACCGGCGAGTGATAATAAAGAACAAACACTTTCCAATACTGAATACCTCTCCTTCAAAATTACAAATGCCAAGAAAGCAGTAACCATGGGAACAAGGAAAGTAATTGCAACGGCGTCTGATAGACTTAAATACTGCAACGAAAAGTACATTCCAAAGACTCCAAAAAATCCAACAACTCCTCTCATTACCAACAATATCCTGATCTTTTTTGGTCCGAATGGTGCTTCCTCAACCGCCCTTGTCACATACATATAAACCAAGCAGCAAACGTAAGTGATAAACATTCTGACAAACAAGATTTGCACCGGATGTATTGGTTTGTTGAAATTCTTATCCGTAACCAATAGTTTACAGGTCGTAACCATTATGCTGTTTAGAAATTGTGATAGGAGCAATAGCGAAATCCCTACGTTTGGTAAAATTACACGGTTGTAAAAATTGATAGCTTTGTGCTTCACTTTTTGAATGTGGCTCTGTTGATTGGAACTCCATTCTGCTGAATCATAGTCTTGGTCATCGATCTGAAATGAGTCTATCGAGCTTGTATTTCTTCCTTGCGTATCCCCAGTCACTGGAACAGCTAGTGGAGTCGCAGTATCGGTATTGTCATCCTCTGTTTGTATTACTAAAGGATCTTGAACCAAAGGTTGGTTGTTCAAGATAGTATTATTGAAATTGGGTTGTATTGCATTTTCGGTCATCAAGGATGGTAGAATTGGTGTCTCTTTTCCTCTTTACTCTTGTGGTGTGTATCTATAGGAATATGCTTCGTATCAGTTGTCGATGATGTAAGCGTACAGCAGGTTCTTTCAAAAAGAAATCAAATTGGAAGGAAGAAACAAAAAAAAAAAAGAAAGGAGAGAAATGTGGCTTTGATCGGTGTCTATATATATAACTATGGAAAAGTTTTAGATATCCTGCTCTATGTGTTAGCTGTGGCATAATTCCTGGAAAAATTTAATTTATTTTTAGCGCCAGATGTCATTTCTGCAAATCTAAATTGTGACGGGGGAGACGGGGGGCTGGACTTAGAGACCTACTTTTGTATGGACTATTGAAAGTATCAGTAGTGCCGTTTGAAGTCTTTGCTAAGTTACAAACCTTGTTTTGTTTAGTTCTTGGCATTTAGTAATATCGGGTCAAGATAATTCAAAATTGGCATTTATTATATACGGAGGTGTCTCTACAAGGTTTTTCAAAATGGAAGGGCTCTTTTTATTCCACCGCCCTTCTAATTCTCCTTGGCTCTGAGCTTGTGAAAGAGCAACCTCATCAAAACAGATATATTTTTTGACGTCTATAATCTGTTTCTGTTCTTGGCATTGCATTATGTGCGGCACGAACTGATAAGACAAATGCAGTTTTGAACGAAGGGGGAGGAGCTTTTGCTCATGGAAGCAGAAATTGTTCACATTCCACATAACCATTTTTAATGGACCGTGGTCTCTTGATTCTAAATTACATTCTCTGTATCTCTACTCAATCATTACAGTTTTCCATCGGTATTTGATCATTCGGAGTTTCCTTGTCGCTGTGCGAAAAGTTTCTTTTTTTTTTTTTTTCTTCTTTTTACCCCCGATCGAAGTGGTAAATAACTCCGATAGGCAACTACTGTTGATTCTACATAACGTTTCCTGGAGAATTCGCAATCTATTTTGCTTTGAGAGCTTCAAATTATTTGTGGCAAAGACTCAAATAAGTGACCGTTGCCTTTGTTGACACAAAAGTTTTGAAGTGAGGTAGAATTCCCATGGATTTTCATCATATGTATGGACTGCTTCCAAATTTAGGATGTAGCTTACATAGTCAAATTACATGATGAGTTCAAATGCCTTTCTGAAAACTTTTTTCAAGACAACAATCCATTTCTTCTTATTTGGGATGGATACAATATTGTAAGTGTGTTAAGTACGGACTGTATGTTTTCTTTTTTTTTTTTTTTTTTTGGCACCAAAATGATGGCAAAAATGAAGATGTAAGAACAACAATCTCCCATGAACAATTATTCCGAATGACCCACAGATTAGTATATACGCATTTATCGTATCAATTGGCATATTTTGACAGAAACAGATCTCACGTAGTAAGTACTATGCAGGCAGGGGGATTATTAAAAGTTAATGACTGCTACAGTAGTTACATCGCTTAGTTCCCAAATTTCTTGAAGTTGGAAACAAATATGCGGAATTGGTCTTATTTTGAACTATCTTCATACTGCAGAGATGATTTATCATGATTCCCAGCACTTTTGAATGCTATAACAGGTTATTGAATCTGCACAATCGTCTGACCTCAAAATATAAAAACTCCAGAAATTGGAAAGGTGGCCGAGTTGGTCTAAGGCGCTAGACTCAAGAATTAAGTTTCTTACGACTTAATAAGTTGTGATTTCTAGTATCGTAAGATGCGCGAGTTCGAATCTCGTCCTTTTCATTATTTTTTCCATTTTTTGTTTTTTTTTCTATTGGTGTCGCTCTCCCTTTTTTTTTTTTATTTTTTTTTTTCTTGCTTCTCTTTTTTGCAACTGAAGTTGCTCAAAGTCTAAGAGATTTGTCAAGAAGGATGGGATGCTTTTATATCTGATAAGTAGTACCTATAAAATTAGATCAAAGCTCGAAACTTACTGTTATCTTTTCTAAATTGCTTCGCGCATTATAAATATTTTTGCCTACCTATCTATTCACTATTGTTTGTCAAATAAGCTGCTAAGCCTCCCCACGTTTGATGCAGATTTTCATAAAATCGTGCAGCACTTATCATTCAGTTTTGAACCTTGGAGTAAACTCAATCTCGTTGCATACTCAAATATATCATCAACACCCTCACCAGTCAATGCTGAACTTTCTAAATATGTCTTTGCCCCAATCATACGGGCCATATCTTCACCCATATCGACTTGAACAAAACGCCGACGGTCCTTTGTATTTACTCGTAAATCCTTTTTCAAACCACATAAAATATACGGTGTGTTGGGACAGTATTTCTTAACCTCTTGCACCCATTTGGATCGCGTATTCTCAAACGAATTGGGGGTATCTAGTGCGAATGCAATTAAAATGACGTGGGAGTTGTTGTAAGATAGGGGTCGTAAACGCTCATATTCTTCTTGTCCTGCAGTATCCCACAATGCCAATTGCACCGCCTTCCCGTCAATGCGACAGTCAGTCACATAGTTTTCGAAAACAGTTGGTATGTACTCGGTGGGGAACTCTCCTAGGGTGAACACGTATAGTAGTGAAGTTTTGCCACAGGCTCCATCGCCAACAATGACCAATTTCCTCCTTGCTACTTCTTCTTCCATGTGAGCGTATTCTTTTTACCTTTTTATCTTTTATCTTTTATCTTTTCTTTTTTATTTTCTTTTTTTGATATAGTAAATGAAAGACAGTTTTCTACTCAACGCCAGTTGCCTTGATTTGTGTGTGAGTTGGATGGTAATGTGGATGTGGGTCTATTATTCATATGACGTGGATGAAGTCTATCAATGTACGCTCTTTGTGGTGCGAGCAATCTCTATTTCCTGATGACGTTGTTATACTGCAACAGCCGTCAAGTATCCAAATTCAACTATTTTGTCTGCACCCTTTCATTAAGCGATACCTGTTCCCAATGGTTGGAGATGGGTTTTTGGCTGTCGGCTTTGAGGTACAAATGTCGCTCTTCTTTTTTTCTTTTATTTTTATTTTTATTTTTTTAGTCTCGGTTTTTTTTTCCTCCGTATTTGCTAAATGAAAATTACGAACAAGAGAAACCAAAAGTGTTTTACATAACTTCACAACCTTTAAAGTAAATCCTAGTTGATACTATAGAGAATCGCTTAGTTGTTCCAAAGCCCGTCAACAAATCCACTTGTGCTGGACTTTGAACTCATATCACCACCTCTCAAATTTATCAATGGTGGATCAACTGCAAATCCAGGCAGCGAACTTTTACGAATTCCTGGAGGAGCAAATCCTCCAGGACCAAAACTTTCTTGCAGTTGGAATAAAGGTTGTTGAGAAAAAGCCAGCTGCTGTGTTTGTGACTGGACAAAACCAGGTGGTCCCGACGTGAATAATTGGCCAGCTGGAGGCGAATGTCTTGCAAAGGCACTAGCTCCCACTTTCACATGTGTGATTCTACCAAATGCATCAGATACTTTCTCAAATTGATATACATTTCCGGATTGACATGAATGCAAGAACTGGTCCATTGTCAACAGCGGTCTATTGGCCACGGTTTTCACATCCTCAAACAATTGCATCACGGGAGCTTTACCGTATTCCAATTGTTGTGAATTTGCCAAAAATTGGAAACAACGAGCTGCCGAAGATTGAATCAAAACCATTTCTTCTGGGCTAAGAACACTACCTCCAACATGAGCAGCACCATTTGTGCTTGAGACATTATGATCCATGTCATGCGAGAAAAGAGGACCTGTCTTCAAATTCGAGTTGGCAAAAGGAGTCTCACCGGGTGCTGCACCGCTTGGATTGTTCCAAATAAAGTTGTTCCTCATGCCACCAGTATTGACAGCATTGGGGTTGGAAGACCATGGTTTTGGGTTGGATTGCACCGAGGAAATTGGTTTCCCAGGATCATTGGATATAGCAAAGGGGTCGAAACGGGCAGACGACTGCATTTGTTGTTGAAGGTTTGTGGCGCTAACTTTGGGCGTCAAAGTGGCTTCATTGCTAGGGAGAAAGTCAGCGAGCGATGGTTGGTTCAATCCGAGCTTTCCTGTCCACGGGGATAATGGGTTGCTAGCAAGATTACCAGAAGCAATGCTCGAGGTGGGGGCAGTAGCAGCAGCAGCAGCAGCAGCAGCAGCAGCAGCAGCGGGAGTAGCAGCAGCAGCAGCGGGAGTAGCAGGAGCAGCAGACAAGTTGTCAGTGAATGAGGAGTTGATCGCAGAAATGCCATTACCCAAATTAGTGGATACAATCTGCGGCGAAAAAAATTCTGAAGATTGATTCAAAAATTGATTCTGAGTTAGTTCACCAGCATATGGCGGTTGCTGAGAAATGGAAGGGAGATTCGAGTGTAGCTGCCCGGTAGCGAGACCTATTGAAGAGCCTCGACTGGAAAGTGATCCAGTTCTAAGTTGAAGTTGCTGATTAAAAGATTTGTCGCTAGAAGTAGGATCCACAGAAAGCCTAGCTCTCTCTGCTTCAATTTGATGAGCTAGGTATTGATCAAAATAGACGTCCGCTGAGTTTACAGTGGACCTGGTGTCATAAGTGGGCGCCGAGTTTAACGATCTGGCTTTCTCTTTTTCAGCAATCTCGTTTTGACGAGCAATTTTTTGTCTTTCTTGTTCTTCTTCCTTTTTCTTCTTCAACAATGCCTTGCGTTTATTCTCCTCCTCCTTCTGTTTTCTTTCTTGCTCAGCCTTTTTACGACGCTCCTCCTTCAATCTTTTCGCTTCTTCTTCCTTCTTCTGCTGAGCCTCAACCTTTTTCCTGTGCTCCTCATCTTTTCTGCGTGCTTCCTCAACCTTCTTCTTTCTTTCCTCCTCGCGCTTCTTTCTCTCCTCCTCTCTTTTTCGTCTTTGCTCTGCCTTTTGCTCCTCTTGACGTGCTTTATTTTCCTCCTCGATCCTCCTTGCCTCTTCTTCCTTTTTTCTTCTTTCTTCTTCTTTTTGCAATTGCTGCTGTCGTTTCTTCTCCTTCAACTTTTCCTTAGTCTTCAACTTCTTGGCTTCTCGTTCCTTCCTTGCATTTTCTTCAGCTTCCAACTCCTCAATCAATTTTTGAGTGTTGTCCTTTGAGACTTTCTCTTTATAGGCATTCTTCAAACGCTCTTGGAACAATTTGATAACTTGGATCAAAAACAATCGACGAATCTCTTGCATCTTCTCTTCTTCAGATATTTCCGACTCGGTATCACTGACATCTCTTCCATGACCATCCTCTTCAAATTCATCGTCACATTCCTCTTCGTCTTCATACTCATAGTCGTATTCGTCGTCGTCGTCGTCGTCGTCGTCATCATCCTCAATGTCATAGCCATCAGCATCTTGATGGTGGTGGTGGTGGGAACGATGATGATGATGGTGATGATGGTGATGATGATGTGCACAAAGTGTGTCTTCCTCTACATCATCGTCTTCATCAACCCACCGCGACTGCGGGTGCAGGTCTTGTGACAGTGGGTGACTACCAGTAATGCTCACGCTCTCACTATGCATGCCCTTTAAAACATCTTCGCGGGCTCCTCTTGATTCGGTAAGGGATTCCATCATATTAATAAAAGAGTTGCCATCATTATTCAACAAGTCTTCAGCAAATGTTGAAAGTCCCTTCCCAAAATGCTCAGTAAATTGTTTGGCCATAAATTTTTGAGCTTCTTCCGGACTACTGGCTTTCATATTGGCTATATTTGAAAAGAATTTGCCCATGTTTTGTACATACTGAGCTCCCCTCTCAGCACGCTTCCCATCATGGTTCTGCAAATCCTTGACAATTTCTTTGAGTGAGCCTGCTTTTTCCAACATGGCCAACTGTGCGGCATTTTGAGGATCCAAATGAGCTGTCTCCTTCATCTTTTGTAAATCCAAGCTCTCTAAGGCTTGAAACAATTTCGGGTCAAGTAATTTATCAAACAATTGGGTTTGTGACGAATTTGAGGTTTGGATTGATGCACTGAACTGCACATTGGGTTGAGCTCTTTCCGTGTGTTGATGATGCTGTTGATTCGATTGGGGGTTTTGGGAGTTTTGGGAGTTTTGGGAGTTTTGGGAAGTTCGTGCCTGGCTCGACGCAGATTGCATGTGCGACCCTGACTGTGCCTTCGTATCGGCTTGGGTTTTTGCCAGTGCTTGTGCTTGTGCTTGAGCCCGAGCTTGAGCTATTTGCAACTGTTCCATCTCTAACTTGATATCCCTCATTTGAGCCTCGGTTTTGGCAACCAGTTTCTTGGCCAATTCCAGACTCTCATTATGTAGTTGTTTTCTCCTTTGTAGTTTCCTCTCTTCCTCTAACATGTGGAAGCCACCAAATAATAGCCCAGGTAAAGCATTCAAATCGTTTATATCTCTAACTTCGTGTATAAAGTCGATGATGTCATCAAAATGATTATCATAAATACTTTCCAACTCTTCTTCAATAAGGTGGTTTCTCCTACCACAATATTTGCATGTACAGTTGTTTGGGGTTGAGGACGTACCACCACCACTACTACCCCCATTCGAACCACCTCCATTCTGCTGCTGCAGTAGTTGTTGCAAGTGTTGCCTCGTTTCATTCTTGAACATTTTCATGATAGAATCTTTGTCAATTTTGACCAATTCTAGTTTCTGAGGCTCTGCCAAAGATTCCCAAAATTCTTTCAACTTTTCTTGTTCTTCGACTGATGCACTATCCCACAAACTACTATGCACGTCATGGCCGCCGCTTCGCTTCAACGTATGGGCTGCACTGGCCCTAATAGCAGGATGGGGCAAGGGTTGCTCATGGTGCTTGTGTTGATCGAATTGAGGCTGACTTTTATCATTCGAATGCTGTTTATGACCACCATGAGAGGTACGAGGTGCTTCGCTTTCTCCATCCGAATCTTCATCTTCCAAACTCTCAACAATGACATCTCCATTCGGTGCTTGTTTTATCACCCTGGACGTGGGATACTCCAGATCAGGGTCATTCAAATGCGCATGAGACGTGGAAATCTTCGTAGTTTTCTTTCCCTTACTCTTCTTTTTCTTCTTCCCTTTACTAGTAAGGGCACTCGGGTTGTGTTGCACACTGTCACTGTTTGCATTGTTTGCTTGGTTGGTGGGTCGACCAGATGCATTGGAAGTTTTGGAATTGGATGATTTGTTCCCATTGGTGGTAGTGTTACTAGTGCTGGCATTTCCATTGGACACCTCAAAATGAACATTATCTCCTACTTTGAATTTAGTGTTTGTGCCACCACTATCTATTCGGTTGGACATGATTGTGGTGCTGCAAGAGTGGGTAAACTAGCGAACCAAATTGATGTATAGAGAGAGATAGACTCTTTTGTTACAGAGTATTTGGTACTAAAATTTTTTTTTTTCTTTGTTTTTTGTTTTACCTTAATTTGTACCAAATAAAATGCTGTTTTCCTTCTCTCTTTGCAAAAGCTTTATATATACAATATACAATATACAATATACATACACTTCTACATGCAGTACACAACACCTAATTAAAAGTAAAAGTCGTGTTGAACTGAATAATTTTACACGCTTTCTCGTTACATATTATATATATATATATACCTTACTGGTACTCAACACACACACACACATACCCCACTTCCATCGTTCAAAACATACAAATATCTTGCATTCAACTGCTCGTATATGTGAGAGTTAGCATACTCAGTAGACCCAGCACTTCACTAGAAACGAGAAGAACAAAATTAACACGGATTAACGATGAATTAATAGAATAAAATAAGCGAAATATTTATGATGTAATTTTCAACAAGAAGCTTGTAAGTTTGATTAAAAAAAAAAATAGCGCAAGCACTTGTTTAAAAGAAAAGAGCTACACCAACACTCACTCACTAGATTTAGCCTCCAACCGGTTCTTTAACTCCTTGTTCTCCGTGATAACCAACTCTACCATATCCGTCAATTTGTCAATCTTTTTGTACAAATCGTAAAATTGCCAATTTAAACCAACTTTAGTGGCTTCCTTCACTGGCTTGGCAACGGCCTCCACCTTTCTTTCGAATTCAGTCAAATTTATCATAAATTCGCCGTCTTCCCTTTCACTAGCTCTTTGTTCCCTGAGTTCCTCGTTTATTTCGGAGGTACGTGCCCTTACTCCTTCAATAGGACTTTCGTGATGTTGCGAAGAATCGGCCCCATCACTTGCCTCTCCAAATCCGTCTGTCAAGTCCCACTCCGTGTCGTGCTCATTTGCATCATCAGGTAAACCCTTGTACCTGTTATAAGTGATTCTCCTTGCTGCCGTCAACTCCACACTTGTAATATAGAGCAACAAGGGTGCATACATCACAAGCATCACGTAGTAATTCACAATGTCGAAAACTCTTTTTGAAGTGATCCAACTGATTGGTGTTATTACAATTTCAATCAAGTTCAATGGAGGCACATAGATGTTAGTATCAGGAGCTCTAATATATCTCAAGGTCTTCTGTGCAATTAGCGCCAAGTATTCATCATTTGCATTATCCACAACTGCGGCATAAGCAGTCGAATACAATGCAATCAAGATATTCATCAATATAACACTAAGCAAGAATGAGTAAACGTAGTAAAGGACTGACGCATAAGGTGGCACCAACTTGCCCATCTCATCAAAAGATGAATTTCCAATGACACCCTTGAACAATGAGGTCAAAATCTTGACGGTGGCATCACTTTCCCCATCTGAAGCATCCAAGCCAAGGAATCCTTGCAAGAACCCAATTATAACCACACCCAACAAGACAAAAAACAAGATCGATTCCTTCATCATAACTTTCATAACAACCAACATTGCCCCTACAAATTTTTCTGCATCCAAAAATAACAATAATCTTGACCACATAAAAGGGGCTGCACAACTCAACAATCGATAAGAAATCTCATCATACCTATCTCTTAAATCACCTTGTGCATTGATACTGGCAAATCTAAACCCAATGGAAATGGTGATGATTGCATGCATGGAGTCATTAAATGCATTCCAGAATCCCAAATAGTTCCATCCAACGTGATAAAACTTGACACATTCATCCAAAACAGATCCAAGTGTGCACAAATAAAAAATCACTTCAAAAGCATTCAAGTTGGAGAATTCCTTTGAGTTAGTATTCAATATAATTGAGTAAAGCACTAAATAAACAAAGCTGAAAAACACTTCCAAAATGTTTTGATAGAATGGGGTCTTGAGTCTTGCTGGATCAAAGTGAGTTCTAATTGAATGGGAAGCAACTCCCTTGTACAAGACGTACGAATGAGGATCTACCGATGATTGAACGATCCAGCCTCTCCACAACCACTTGATACATCTTTGATACCCAGAGGAGCTTATAACTGCCGTAGAGTGCATATCAACTGCCAATTCCAAAGCGCTAACTGGCTCAGCATCTTTGCCATTCAAACAAATCGAATACCTATGACACAACATACTCAAAAATAAGTACTTCTCATCACTCTCACGTTCTATGATAATAGCTGCTAAGGTCTGAGCACTCAATGCACGCAATGAATACAAATCGTTGTCACTCAATTCATATTCACTTTGTTGCCAGTACCAATCACAAACCTTCAACAAGCAAAACACAAGACATGCACGGTATTTGCGAGATGATGTGCCTTCCTTTCCATCACCTTTACCTCCAGCAGCAGTATAGCACAATTTAATAACGTTGTCATTCAAAACAGAAGAGTCAGGTCTCAAAATTTCCTCCTTATCGAATAAAATAGGCACAACTTTGTCAATCAACAATTTCAAGTTTGTGCAGATCCTCCAAACTTGTCTTGGATTAGGGCAATTCAACTCTAGTCCATATATTGACCCTTCTTCTTCTGATGGGGATGCAGGAAGCAACGGATTGTTATCCTCTAGATCTAACATGCGGGGCTATGACAACTTGAGAATCAAACTTGATTCTTTGATAGCAAAAGAAATGGGTGAAGGAGAACAAAAACAAAGATTGAAAAAAAAAAAAAAAAAAAAAAAAAAAAAAAAAAAAAAAAAAAAAAAAAAAAAAAAAAAAAAAAAAAAAAAAAAAAAAAAAAAAAAAAAAAAAAAAAAAAAAAAAAAAAAAAAAAAAAAAAAAAAAAAAAAAAAAAAAAAAAAAAAAAAAAAAAAAAAAAAAAAAAAAAAAAAAAAAAAAAAAAAAAAAAAAAAAAAAAAAAAAAAAAAAAAAAAAAAAAAAAAAAAAAAAAAAAAAAAAAAAAAAAAAAAAAAAAAAAAAAAAAAAAAAAAAAAAAAAAAAAAAAAAAAAAAAAAAAAAAAAAAAAAAAAAAAAAAAAAAAAAAAAAAAAAAAAAAAAAAAAAAAAAAAAAAAAAAAAAAAAAAAAAAAAAAAAAAAAAAAAAAAAAAAAAAAAAAAAAAAAAAAAAAAAAAAAAAAAAAAAAAAAAAAAAAAAAAAAAAAAAAAAAAAAAAAAAAAAAAAAAAAAAAAAAAAAAAAAAAAAAAAAAAAAAAAAAAAAAAAAAAAAAAAAAAAAAAAAAAAAAAAAAAAAAAAAAAAAAAAAAAAAAAAAAAAAAAAAAAAAAAAAAAAAAAAAAAAAAAAAAAAAAAAAAAAAAAAAAAAAAAAAAAAAAAAAAAAAAAAATTTAAAAGAAAAATTTAAATGAAAATTTCGAAACCAAAAAAGTACGGGATGACGTAATGAAGATATTACTGCACAGTCAATGAGACACAGAGAGTGCTATCGCATGTAGTATAGAGATATGGCCATATACCATACTATAAGAAAAAAAAACAAAATTTGTTTTTTTTGGCCCTTAGGCTACATGAATATGGATTGTGTGAAAGAAAAGTATTTGCTCAAAATCTTAAGTCATGCATATACATATATATATATCAGGCACGGCGGATTTGGGACTTCAGCGCGGCGCCGATTTTGCGACGTCTTTTTGTCCTATAGTTGCACACACAACAGTTCCTCCTCCTCCTCCTTTTTTTTTTTGTTTTTTGTTTTTTGTTTTGTCACTTTCAATATGTCGATATCACACATTTTGATGACATTATATGGAAAGCTACTACTACATTGAAAGAACTGCATACGTTTATATCCAGTTCAGCAATACTTACAACCATACAGGATGCATCCGCCTAGTGTGAACGAAGCGTCTTCGATTGAACTTTTGTGTAGCACATCACAATACCATGGAGATAGCGATTCGGATAGTGAACTTTCTCTTACAGACTATAAGGATTATTTGATTCAGGAACACCAGTCGAAACTTTCACAATTGCAAGAAAGTGATTTGCCCATGTCAGCAGTGAGTCTGCCATTGTCGGATGAATTGGAAGGGAAGCGTGAGAAGACAACAAGGACATCGGACCATGGAGAAGAAGATAATGGAGACACGGAAAACTTCAACGCTGCTGGTGGTCCTCCTTCTATGAAAACTCTACCCGAGGCAAAATTGCCAAGAGCTAGCGGCTCGATACGAAGAAAACCACCTCCTGAACTAATTGATGACGATTGCGAGGGCGATTGCGAGGGCGAGGGCGATTGCGAGGGCGAGGGCGAGAAAGCTGGAAAAATGAGCAATGACAGGGGTATAAGTAAACCGGTAAGTGTCCCGTTACTGCCGACAGTGTCTCAAGGTGGCAAGACTAGCAAGTTTAAGCGGTTTTCTAGGGGGAAATTCAACGACTTTGGAAAGTTTATGAACTCATTGAGAAGGTCTACAAGCATGAGGACATTTGAACAACCAGAGTCGGATAGTCACACCTATGTAAAGCCTCCAAACACAGACCCTATCCTGCAAACACCGTCGTTTGCAACCTCACGTTCAAGTTCTACAACAATACCGACCACATCAGCAAGTACACCAGATGAATCGCCATTTTGGAAGTATCACATTCTCCGATTTGGGAAAGACTTGTACCTCACAACTAACCCAGGATCAAAATACGTCTGTTGTCGAAATGGTCCCGGTTTTTATGTGGAGATTGTCTTTGACTCGGCACACAGCCCAAATGTGGAGGAATATACATTAATCTTCAAAGATCCAGGTAACCTTTCCCAAGATCCTAGACATTGTATGGCGATATCGAAAAAGCGAGATCTGAAACAGGGGTATTTCAGTATAAGGGCTCCCAAGAACACATACTTGACTGCAAACGGGACAATGGAAAAATATGGAGATTTGACAATGTTTAAGGCTGTATCGTTTCCCCTGAAAATCAGTCGAAGGCAATTCCCTTATGATGAATTGCGAGAGAAGAACCCAAATTATTTCACCAATTACGAAATTAAGGACTTGCAGAATACAGTGTGGAATGTGGGATCGATCTCAAGAGTCAAAACTAGCAGGTTTAATAAAGTTAGACAAAGCGTTAGGAATGCTAGTAAGGATCTCCACGAAAGGAGTGAACAGGAGGAATTGAAACTAGTGGGTAAGCGCAACATTTATTTCCATCGCAACTATGTTGCCAACGAAAATACTCTGGAGAGCAAAGTTTTCGATGCAATGACAGATTTTCCTCCCGTTTTGAGTATGTTTCGTCCAAATGAAAATAGAGCAACAAAGAGAGTGGTACAATCAGTCAAGCAATATCAGAAAAGTCGCGTTCACACATCAAATGTACGTATAGCAGTGGACAATTTTGAATCTTCTCAAAACGACACCAAAACTTTTTATAACGGAAGTGATGGTCTCTATTATCTGCATGATACTAGTGACGATAGTCCTGATGAAAATAAACTGGGGTGGATCACCATATATGAGGATTTAGAGGTCTTTGGAGGTGTCGAGAATAGGGGGATGTTTGATATTGTATTGGGAATGACCTTAGCTGTCGGGTTTGATACGTACTTGAAGAACCATATGGGTGCAAAGAGATGACGAGAGCTAAGATGGCTTAAAAGTTCATGGAGTCAGTTGCATTTCCAACTTTCGTTATTTCCATTTATATTTTTTTTTTTTTTTTTTTTTACTGGGTATTTTTTCTTTTATTCTTTTTTGTTAGGGGGTTGGGGCGAACCATGTTTTGGAGTTTACTTTTCATCACCCCTTTCGTACTTTCACTACCTAGTCAGTCACAATCATGCATTAGCAACGCCGACATACCGTTTACTGGATACAAGGTTGAATACCAATTGAATATGAATTTGTGGAAAGGCACCTATCATTTGTTGTATTGCAATGATAACAAATTAATTTACGACCTAAACTTGAACGATAGTATTCCCTGGACAAAACCTATTGGATTTCACAGGTTGAACGTTGGAAAAGGTGATTTTGTCCTTGCACGAAGGAAATCTTTTGCTTTGAGAAGTTTGCCGATATTCTTACCTAATACCTTAGTCGGTTCATTATACTGTGGCGACTCACTAACAAAATTTCAAATGTACAACAACACAAACTCTCCGTTGAAGTCAATACCGTTGATTGCTGCGAACATGTTACATAATTGGTGTGAAGTGAGTTACAAGTTGGATTTGGTGTATCATGTGCCAATTTTGACTACTCCGGGGATAGACTCGAAATACTATAGTTTTGGATTCTTTGATGCAAAGCGGAAAGGCAATGACTGGGACAGGTATATTTTAATGCTGGAGCAATACGATTATAATCATGATTCACGCATACCCTTGAGAAAAGCCCTAGATACAGTCTTGAACCAGGTTGACAAATTCACCGAAGGACACAAGGTGTTGAAAGTAAAGTTGAAACGAACAAAAGCGGTCCAAAGGGTTACCAAGCTTTGGTGGAGCTTGATTGTGTTGTCCAAATTCGTTTGCAAGGATACATTCATCAAATTGATCACTAAATTAGATCAACTTTTACAATGAAATATGAGAGGGTGGGGCCAGAAGGTGCCTATTTTGTGACAATGAAGAGAACTTATCTGGGAACTTTAACCTGCTAAACGCTTCTCTTATGGGGAGGGGGGAGGGGAAGTAGATCTTTGTCGAACTATGACTGCTATCATGGGTCCACAAAACAGATGATTAGAATGTCTCAGCCGCTTTTAGTAGGTTTTAAAGTCTTTTTTTTTTCTTTAAAAAAAAATGATACGATTTGGTGGTTTTACTTTCACGCAAGTCAATGCATGTCTTTTACTAAAATGGTTTTCCCTCGGTTAATGAGGTGGAGTATACCCCAATAGTTGTCCCTCTTCAGTAGATAATAAGTCAGACTCAACCCTGGAAACTTTGTAGACCCACTTTTCATTTCACTTCATTGGGTTTGTGTAAATCTCTGTAGTTTCTCGGAAGTAGTTTCCCAAAATGGAATTTGCCGCTTGGGAATCTTTTTCAAAAATACATGTAAATTTGTGTTGTGAAAAAAACCTCCTTGCACACTTGAACTACACCCGACGCTTCTTTTGCGACCATCAAGACCAATTTATTCCTCGGACATCTAACTTAGTTCAATTAACCTACTATCCGTTTGCACAAACAGTTCAAATCAAATCATGGGGAAACCAAAAGTGTTAGTCATTGGATCAGGTGGAGTCGGTACCATCTCTGCTGTATCATTAAAACACAACAACCAGTCTGAAGTGACGTTGGTCGTTCGTTCCGATTACGACTTGATAAAATCACAAGGTTACTCGATCTCATCATGTACTTATGGGAAATTGACCAATTGGCAACCACACAACCTTGCTAAATCAGTGGAAGATGCTGTTGAACGATTCGGTCCCTTTGACTATATTCTCTTAACTACAAAGAACATCCCTGACGGACCAGTTACTTGTGAGGACATTGTTGCACCAGCAATCAAGACTGGTGACGAAGTGATCATTTTATTGCAGAATGGAATCAATATTGAGAAAACCATGTTGGAGAGATTTCCAGGACATTTGGTTCTCAGTGGAGTATCCTTGATTGCAAGTACTTACCAACATGGTCATGTTGAAAATAAGGGCCCAGATAATGTTTTCCTTGGAGATTTCGTAAAACCAAGCCAACATCCTTTGTCGAAAGCTAAAATCGATGAATTTATATCAATTTATCACAATCCCGATTACAACAAAATCGCCATTGATAACGATGTTCAGAAAACTCGATGGGAGAAATTGATCTATAACTCAACGTTCAACACCATTACTGCGTTGGTCGACTTGGACGTCACTAGATTGCAAATCAATAATGCCAATGAGGAGTTGTTGCGTCCAGCGATGAAAGAAGTTGTTGCCATTGCCAAAAGTGTCGGTGTCGAATGTGATGTTTCCAAGATTGAAGGGATGATCCATATAGGCGATGGAATTTTCTATGCTCCGTCAATGTGCGTTGATATGAGAAAGAAGCAATTGATGGAGTTGGAGATTATTTTGGGAAATCCAATAAGGATTGCTAGAGAAAACGGAGTAGCTGCTCCTGTCTTGTCGGTGATCTATTCATTGTTGAAAATGGTTCAATTTAGAATAAAAGAGGAGAGAAAGATGTTTACGATAAATGAGGCTGATTTCAAGGGCAACTCCGATGATTATCCAGCAGTTTTCAAACAGAAATATACACATTAAGATACATACATACAAACCTACATACATATATATATATATATGTATGTATATATAATTAGAAGGATAATATAGGATGTCTAGGTAAATTTTTAATAAAGTAGAGAAACGCACGCGCCAGTTCAACACCACGTAAAGACGGGAGGCCTTGAGTCCTCTCTAACCAATCGTTCGATAACAACCTTTGCGCCTTTTGCAGGAGATGTCTCAACAGTTCGATTAATCCGCGAGTATCCTGATTCATATGGTGGAGGTGTGCTCTCGTCCGTTTGCAGCGGGAAAGATAGTATTTGCAGATTGTTTCCACTTCCATTCGTGTTCAATGGAGCAAGCAATGGCGTATACTCATCCTCACCATTATTTACGTCTTCCGACAGCACTTCACTCAACTGGGACAAATATCGGTGTCCATTTCTGACATCAGACTCATAGCAAGATGAGAGCATCAATGGCAAGCTCCGCCTCCGTTCTCCCAGCTCATGCCTGGGCATATACATTAAATCATCAAACACCAACAAATTTTGACATCGTGTCAACTCCAAGGGCCCAGCAAAGTTTAACTTTAAAGTTTCCACTACATTGAATGCTTGCCCTTTCAAAACAGCCAATTGTTTGTTCCATAAACGGTCCTTAAAATCAGCATCCTTCATAAACACATTCTTTAGCTTGACCACGGTTGTTTCCCACCATAATTTAGAAGTAAGCAATGGTAGATAATGTTGTCTTGTCCTCTTACTGAACGGCTGTCCAATTAAAGATAAAGGGAGAAATAGCCATCCAAATGGGAATGATCTCCATTCATTAGGATGTTTCCATGGAAAAGCCAAACCTGAATCTATTGCTCCAATCTTCAAATATGGGCGCATCGTTTTGCTACTCTCTAGTCGACGCACTTCATGCCATTCCAATTTGATCATCCAGTTATCCATCCCTCTATCAGTGTTTCTCATAATGTAATCCAAAATGACCATTTTTTCCAACTCTTCTCGAAATTGACTCATCGAGCCACGACTCCACAGAAACTTGCAACTATCTACATCACTGTCGATGCCTATTTCGGTATCCAGCGATTTAGGCAATAGATGCTCAAGTGTTGGTATTGGATACATTTTGAAAAATGAGTCAGCATTCACATATCCGTGCAAAAACATTTGAAATGAACCTATCTTGTACAGTAATTTGGTGACATCATTTGACTTATCCCAAAATTGATAATAAAAAGTAGGCGCTCGCAAGCGAATCACCGCCGTGTACGGCACAATGTATGACTGCAATTGACAATCAAGGACACATGCAGCAGCTTCACTGATGTACCCTAGATTGGGGATAAGACAACTTCGACCAAAACAGCAAGGGAAGAATGTGCGGTGTAGCCATTTGGTCCATTTAGGCAGTAAAGGACCATATGGCTCTTCACTTTTGGGTTTAAAAACTCCAACCTTTTCATATAACAGCGTTGACTCGATGTTCCCAAACACAAAGTAGCTACCTGATGAGCCTGTCAAAATACGTTCAGGATAAACATGATCTTCTTCAATTACATCCTTCAATTGATTGATCAAAGCTTCGAAATCAAACTCAGTGATGTAGTTTTCCGGGAGTTGCGCAAGTTCCCCCGAGTCGCGACGCAGGCTTTGAAAATGATTGGAAATGTCCTCTTGAGTAACTAAAGTGGTCGTTCCTTCAAGAGATTGGAAAACCGAGTACTCAATCCTGTATTCATCTGGCTCCTTTGTTTCATACTTTGACTTTCTTTGGATCTTTGTAATTGGTGAATAGGCCCACTTAGCTGCTGGTAACAATATAGACTTTTTGAATTTTGTAAAGTTGTTATTGTCTAGTAAATTTTCATTTAGGCTATTTCGTCTTGCGTCTTGCATTGCATTGCTAGAATACGCATGTGACTGGTGGTGGAATTGAGGCGTGTTTGGAGCTGAGTATGAGCGCGAGTACAAGTTCCTTTGCACAGTTTCCGTGCTTGGGCCATTGCTATGATAAAGCGATGTGGGTGAAATTGGATCTTGATCGTTGGCATCGAGTGGTGGAGTTTTTGGGGCAGCATTGTTTGTAGTGTTTCCTACCTCTTCATTATTGGCACGCTTGTGCTTTGCAAAGCTGCCATTATTTGATTCAGACATGTTATTTCAACCTTTCAACTGAACATAATCAGCCCGTTTCTGGAGAGTATAAAAGCTTTATGCTCCATAAGGGAGAATCCCTTCTTTTTTTTTTGATAAGGTTGTTTACGCCAAGAGAATAAGAGAAGCGCATCTTTTGTTGGGATCTCAGTGCTACCAAGATATTAAAAATCAACAAATTTCTAGACATCTACAACTACGTTGACGTTGAAAACTTTGGTATTAAGCTATAAAATTGTATGTATAAAGGGACTGTCTGCTACAATTTAGCAGTATAGTCAATTGACGGAAAAAGTGAAATGAATGTAGAGCAACGTGTGGAAATAAATAACAGACACTCACATGGGATGTGCTTGTTTGGAAAAACTTCTTTTCTGCAATTTTTGGAGAGAGGTACCGAGTCCTTGCTTCGATTGCTTTGGAAGCTCTTGCAGTGATTGTAAACGGTAGTTGATTGTGCAACTCTTCAACCAGATTTACAAAACAAACACACCGACGAGCAAAGCAACTTGAGTGAAAAATAAAGCCTTCATGGTGAAAACATTACCCGCTACACCTGAAGCATCATTTGAACTTTTTGATGAACGGGAGACAGCACTGTTTGTAGGTGAGACACTGGCAACGACACTTGTCTCTACCTTCTTTTCAACAACAGAGCTCGAAGATGCGGTGGCACTAGCTGAGACAACTTCTCTTCTAGCGGTTGACGAAGCAGCTGAGGTTTGAGTGGCTGAGCTGCTGGCACTGGAGCTCGAATCACCAAAGATGTAACTGTTCAAATTAGCAAACAAGCCAGTAGCTTCAATATCTCCAATAAGTGACTGAATAGCTCCGGAGTACTTACTCATAACGCCAGAAAGAGCACTAGAGTTTCCACTCAACAAGCTACCGACAGCACCAACAATCGTAGATGGATCGCCCAAAACTGTGTCAACAAGACTGGTGACATTGAGTCCACTGACATCAATGTTGATGGTACCAGAAGATAACAACGAGTTAGCAAGTGCTGCAGTCATATTGACGTATGCGTCATCAGACAAGAATCTCTTGACAAAGTAAACAGCAAAGCCGGTGTCATTCAAAGAGTTCAAAACATCAGTTGCAATAGTGCCAACAACGTTTGATCCCAAAACTGCCCCAGCAGCATTTTCAACAAATGATCCCAAGCTTCCACTATATTCACTTGAGCTAACTGAACTAGTACGTGACGATGACGTTGTAGCAGCTGCACGTGATGAAGAAGGGCTAGCGGATGAGTTGGCAGAGGCTGTCAAAGCAGTAGATGCGGCAGAACCCAATACTGACAAAGCTGATGAAGCGGAGGCAGACACCTTTGAGTTAGCAGAAGTTGGTCTGGCACTTGATGAGGATGAAGTAGCTCTCACTGAAGACGATGCCCTTGAGGATTGCGTTTGAGCAGCTTGGGAGTTCAAATTCATGAGTGACGAAAAGATATTTGGATCAATTGTGAATGCTGATGGGTTTGACGAGCTTGTAGTTGTAGATCCACCCTCTGCATCAGCAGCCCTGAGCAAGCTCAGCCATAAATTGATATCTTCTTGGTCAACACCTGCTCTTTTCAACAAGTATTCTCTCTTTTGGAACACCGTACTGAAAATGTACAACAACAAATCTCTTTGTGACCAAACTACTCTATTGACGATGTCGGCTAATCTTGGTCTGAAATTAGAGTCTAACAAAAGACCATCTGCCAAGGAAGTGACCAATCCACTGTTCATAACTGCGTCGTAGATAGCAGTAACATTGACATACTTGGTTAATGAAGACATTGGACTGTTTCCGTTCAAGATATCAGCAACATTGATGGTAATGTTCATACCGCCGAGTAAAGATGAAGTCAAATTAGTCAAATAATCAACTCTGGAAGGGTTATCAGCAATAGTGTCTAACAAATCCCAAATGATACCAGATGAATTGAGTGTTTCAATAACATAGTTGATTGTGTTTTGAAGGTTTTGATCATTGTTGTCGTCTCTCTTGTAAAGCAAATCTTCGTCACTAAACATCTCTATCAATTCATGGTATAAGCTAGCATCGTTGGAGTCCAATCGTGACTCCACAAGCTGATCCAATTCCTCTTTAATGGAAAGCTCCGGACCTTGTGCAATTAGTGAAGTGGGCACACATTGGACCAATGATGTGAATAGACAGAATAATGTTATGAATATGTTTGTTAGATACATGTTTGTGAGATGTAGACTGATTATGCTATCGTGTGCTTCGGTGTTGTTGAGATCTGAGTAGTATACAGATGTGGATTCAGCCTGAGATAATAACCACCCGGTATTTCTTTATTCAAATTTGAGATTGCCTTTGCAAAAATCAGGAACCAGTGAGTGTGATACTCCCAACAAAAAATATGGAAAGCGAATGGATCAAATCCTGTAAGGAAAGGAAAAGAAAAGAAAAAGTAGAAGGAAGTAGTTGATAATTTGGAAAGCTTAATAAATAAGTTAGAAAGAAAATATTGGTCCTGTGACGTCTTTTTAAAGAAGGTATAAACAGCAGGAACCTCGAAGGAGATTACCTTAATAGGGATGGTGGAGTTGCAACTGCGGTCAAAACGTAAACACAATGAAAATTCCCCAGTTACAAAGCTTCAAAGGAAAAGTTCTTGCCTTGAGTCCATTGTGTTTTAGCTTATTTTGACGAAGGAGACGCATACCTCCGGTTTGGTTTATAACTAAATCTGGTTATATAATTGATGTTCTTGAGCACAAAAGATCTCAAAACCATGGATGCAATAATTTTGCTTGCCTAATTAGGAAAGAGTTGATCTTATTGTGCTTGGCTTGGTTGTATGCAGGATTTATAATTTTTCTTTTCGCAACCGACTAAAGAACAATCACGTGCTGTGAAGATGGCGCTTACTAATTTTTCTATACAATAAGGGAAAGATATGGTAAGCGTGGATGTGTCAGAATAACCTGTATTGTGTGAGATCTGGTGGTATGCTAAAGTGGTCAGATTTCGATTGTAAGAGATATCGTCAGATGCCAAGCTATGTATGTCATCATTCATGTTCAGTGTTTACAAGAGAAGGAAAAAGAGAAGGAAAAAGAGAAAAAAAAAAAATAAAAAATAAATAAAAAATAAATCAACAAAATTGCCCAATTGGGAAATATAGAGCTACCATGCCAGTCACACTATAGCAGAAGCAGAGACTTGGGATTGACCAAATCCAGCCCTGACTGGCTCATCAGATGGGCAGCCATGCTCAAGAGACCAAGTGGCAAGTTGGTGAAGACTGGAGATCCAGTACTACCTAGTGTTCCAGTTGAGAGGTAATGCACACCGATTTTCGTACTCAGAGATGTTGATATGTTGCATAGTTACGTAAAAGAAAACGTGTTATGCGTGTGATTACGGAAAAAGACCATCTCGTTATTTGTTACAGCAATCTCAGTGAATAGTACGTTCTGCTATATCCGCACTCTTCCTTTTCTCCCGTTAGTATAGAAAGACATGCAATCTGTGTATGTTTTTAGCTGCCCTGTCAATGATTGCCCCAACTCAATATCACACAAAATAGACTTTTCTTTTTTATTTCTTTTTTTGGGGAACAATCAAACTCTAAGAGAGAGAAAGAGAAAGAGAGAGAGAGAGAGATTCAGCGTCTAATTTTATTACTACAAATCCAACACAAAATACTAACCATTCAAATACTTTACTAAATAGAGAAAAGAAAAGAGGAGTAAACGAGTTATATTTAATTGTGGTTTCATTTTGCATGAGGTCAGAAAACGCAAAAGGTTTAAAGTAAGTGTTGGTTTTCCTTGATATTTCAATCATCTTTTCAGTCACTTACCCATCACTTTTTTTTTTCTTTATTTATTTCCCCTTCTTTGAAACTCAACCTAAGGGGTCATCATTTATATACTCGGTAGAGACGCAACCGTTCACACTACACCCCCCTCCCCCCCTCGCTTTCATACGTTCATCCCAGGGTATTACCCAGACGACACACTACTCAGCTAAAAAAGGGGTAACAACACTTACAGATCTATTATACCACCATCCTTTTCTGTTTACTTCGTTTATCAAAACCTTGAAGCCCCTCCCCCCCCACACACACACCACGCATCCACAACTACATTTTATCTTTAACCCATGAAGTTTACATCACTTATACCCACAGCACTTCTTTGTTGCTCACAAGTGGTTCACAGTTTTGACTTTCTGCAATACGATGACATTCTTGAAGAGATATCATCCTTGGGAGACTTCAGCTCAGATGCATCGTCATCAGCTGACAGTGGCTCATCCGTATACAAAAGAGACGACAATAACTTGACCTACAACCAGGCTGCAGTTGACCAATACGTGCATCTCTTCCAATCCATCGAACAATCAAACTTGATCCCCAGCTTGCTTGAGGAGATTTCCAACAACCAAACCCAAATCAACAACTTGGTTAGTTATATTGAGCTCTTGTTGTCGGGAAATAGCACCAGCGAAAACAGTACTCTCAGTCTCAATGGTATTAGCATCAATCTCAACATGACTCAAATCATGAATGCAGTAATGGAATCTGGAATTATCCCATCAACTTATAGTCAGTTATTGGGCAACAAGACAAACAACCAGAAAGTTGCCGATTGGGCCGGCAGTGCATTATCGTCACCTGATAATGTTTGGATTGGATGGTTGTTGACTAAATTAGGTCAAGGCATGCCGCTCACTGTTCCTGCTCTTGCCGATGTTATTCTCAACACCACGTCAAAGGCCAACACTAATGATACCAACAAGTCCGAAATCAATGTCAAACAAACACCTCCATTAGCGGAAGATGTGGGAGTGAGTCCAGATGGAATCAATAATGACGGTACTACTAAAGATTCTGTCTACATCAATTTAGACCAACAGAATGCAAGAAGAGTCAAGAGAATGGAAGAATACTTGATTTCTAAAAGAGCATCCGATGTCGATGATAGGTACTCTGGGTCATTGAGCCAGTTCTTGAACAATGCCATCAACACCGTAGTCAATTCGCAATTAGTGTCGTCAAGTATCAATGACATCGTTGTCGCTTTGAACCAGTCGAACATAATCACCCCTATTGTGCTTCAAGTTCTTGAAAATGACAACTTGAGCCAGTTGATTAACCCCATTGTCAAGACATTGTATGAAAACGGAGCCTTCAACAGCTTGCCTTTGAACTACTACTTTATCTATGCTAAGGAAAGAGGCATATTGAGTGATTCGTTGCAGTATTTGTTGACTGATCCTTTCTATTCTCCTCCCATTGCTAGATTGTTGAAGAGAATGGAAGATATTGGAACGTTTCAGTATTTGCAGGATAACATGTATGGACCCCACAAGAGGAATTAGAAATGCCAGTGAACCAAATACTTGTCGCGGCCCGAACAACGGTGGACCACTGCCGAGATAAGGGCTGACCGCTTGACAAAATGAAAAAGGGGAAGTCATGTCATGGAGTCTGACTACATCCCATCAATTGTTGAGATTACGCAAAAAATCGTTATTTTCTATCTATATTTTTACTTCTATTATTACGTCGTTATAATTTTACAGCTTATACCTTACTTGTCTTGTATCGCAACAGAAGACTACTATTTATTGTGAGTTCTGTAGGCATTACAAATTGGTAGTGATGTTGCCACAACAATAACGTTACGAGCAACAACGTAATACATTATAACACCGTCTATAATTTTCGTAGTCTATATGAGCAAAGTTGACGATATTACAAACTACAACCTCCCCCATCTAGTAACAGTCCGACAACATTTGATTCTAAGCATTGTGTTTACAATTTCATCTCTTTAAATTCACCCTCTCCATCATAGCTGTAAAACTCCTTTGCTTGAATGACTTTCAACTCAAAGTACTTCATCGTTTCACCATCATTTATCTTGCCCACAATCTCATCTTGTTTCCCATTGGGTATTTCACTAGTGTCGACAGTAGCCTCATGGTTTCCATTACTATCTAAACTTTTGTTGTTGTTGNACAACCTCCCCCATCTAGTAACAGTCCGACAACATTTGATTCTAAGCATTGTGTTTACAATTTCATCTCTTTAAATTCACCCTCTCCATCATAGCTGTAAAACTCCTTTGCTTGAATGACTTTCAACTCAAAGTACTTCATCGTTTCACCATCATTTATCTTGCCCACAATCTCATCTTGTTTCCCATTGGGTATCTCACTAGTGTCGACAGTAGCCTCATGGTTTCCATTACTATCTAAACTTTTGTTGTTGTTGATGTCGGGCACAGCACTGGTTGCTGCTTGTTGCATACCCAACTTATGTGTAAGTTTCAACGTTTTGGCCATGATTGTCAAGACTTGATTAACTGATCTCGATAATCGACGCAAATCGTCGTGTCCATCAACATTGCCTGAACCTGCTCCCGCATTATTAGCGACAAACTTGTCCAACAACAATGCCGAGAACAAATCGCCAACACCAGTGAAATAGGACCTTATTGTCGGTATTTGAAACATCCTCATTTGAGCATTAGAAGTTGGATGCGGCTTAGTCGAAATGACACAATATATACAATCTTCCTCTTTGATGTCGCCGTCGTCGTTGTCGTCTGAATCTCTCTTCATATTCATCACTTTTGACTCGACAGATGTGATGACAACGTAAGGAATATGACACTGGTTATGCAAGTACTCGATTGCATTTTTGATAGATTCACGATTGGTGATTTCATAATCCATAAGTAGTTCCAATTCAAACTGGTTGGGTGTTATTATATCAACAACATCACTATGTATCAACTTGCGATATTCATCCACACACGATTGGTCAACGTACATGTAGTTGTTATCCCCCATCACTGGATCCATCAAGTAAATCAAAGACGGAGTAGTCGATGTCGAACCAGCATCACGTAGTTCTGATTGTCCATTACCACTCTCACTTCCACTCTTTTGTATCACCTTGCTTCTCGATTTCTCCTTCATGGCAACGATATACTCCCTAATACACAGTATCAATTCAGCATTGGGTGCATACCCAGTGACAACGGCACCATACTCAATTTGCAACTGATTAACCAATTGATCCAAAATCAGCCGTAACTCTTGCCGGTCCAACTTTTGACCTTTGAAATGACCGTAGCCAGTATGGTTGGAAAAATGGACCGTGTTTATATTATCTACTTCCCAGCCTTGTGTTTGCAAGGGGAAAATCGCCGCTCGGCCGCCAACGTAGCCATGCACGACATGTGATTGAATCGATAGCACTGACTTCATTGACAAAAATCGTGGGACTGGGGAGGTGAAAGATGAAAAAAAAAAAAAAAAGGAAAGGGATTAGTGGTGGGTAGGAATTATGACTGGAGGTAGACAGTACAAGGAGGAGTTGGTAATGCTAGCAGCGGGAATGTTGTGGATACTTGGGGTTTTGCTTGATTTAATTTATGATTCATAAAATCTAATCGCATCTTCGGCTCAATATTTTTTTTTCTTTTTTTCTTTTTTATTTTTCGCTCTTCTCGTTTGCAAGTGGCAGAATTTTAAGCGCATATATTATACGAAAGACGTTTTGTTATCTCCATGATGCCTGGGGAGTGGATCAAACTCCTCAGTGATGAAATGGGCCAATATGTATTTTTTTTTATCACTTTTACTGCGTAATAGAACATTCGATCTTTGTCACTGTCGCGTGTAAGAAGGGCAGGGGGGCAGGTAGCACAGTGATGGAAAAAAAAGTGGTTCAATGTCTCATTGTGAATGAAGAGACATGAACTGCTACGACAAATTCGCCTAGCAGCTGTATTCTATATTCGTTCTAGCTTTTGAATATATGTTTTTGTCTATCTTGCTACCACTGAACCACGTAAGATTTAAACCGAAATTCACGTTCGTTGTAATCGAAATTGAATCGACTTCTTTTCTTTTCTTTTCTTTTCTATAAGCCTTGCTGCAAAAGTGAACTTTTGATGATCAACTCTCGGGCCAGTCCTGTCATTTAGTGTACTAATCGTGCGGTGATTCAACTGTATCAGGCTGCCTCAATTGCGTAACAACCGAAGCGAAAAAGAGGAGTGAAATCTGAAACTTTCATTCAATATTTGGTTCTGTTTTGAATGAAAGATATATACTACTACCTATCAGTGAGTTATAGCTACTTAAAAAGACGATTTGGAACTGCGTAGTAATAATACACAAGTTTTAGTTTGAAGTGAACAATCACTTCCAGCTTTTCTATTCGTTTGAATATCACATGCAGCGGGGGGTTGAAAATTGGATACACAAGCTTGAAATGAGAGTTTCTTTGGGTGCTAAAACTTTCATGGCAGAATTAGTGTTTAGTTACACTGCGTGTACGTGATAGAGATACACAATTAAACTTTTATTTGGCAGTAGTTAGTGGAGTGCGTTTAGATTGAAGATGGATTACACTTTCATGAGCTATTGCAGCTCTGAACATATCGTATGAGTCTAGAATTGCGCTTCCAGGAGGAACTGAGGGAGAGTTACTTTTTTGTCACATAATTTCACTTGTACTCTTTGTGTAATGTTTAGCGATCAAGGACAAAAATCGACTCTCGTATACCAGACAACTTGGAGGCTGTATTTGGACTCGTGAAGGTATACTTGGGGAAATAGATTATCAAGCAAAAGAGTATGGTAAGGAGGTTACGCCACTCTTGTTTAGGTAGTATTAAAACCACGTCACTACTCCTTTCAAGTAAGATCTCTCTCTTCCAAAGATTCAAGAGCATAACAAACTAATTATTCTTCAATGTGTTACATTTTCTATTTAATATTTTTCTAACGGGAAAGAGAGATTGAGTGTAACAAAAACAACAAAAAAGTATCATGACCACACGTGTGTTGGGAAAGGGGTCAAGTCTCTATGTATTTCTTTCTCAGAAGTATGTGGATTCTAACCAATTGGTATAAAACGTAGTGGGAACTGAAAACAAGGTATATAAACAATTAAACAGATACAACCATAACCCCTTATTACACTCCACCGACCCCCTTTCATTCCCATCCCATTCCCTTTCCCAATATGTATGTATCAACTTTTTGTCGCGTCAAATGTAACCTCAATATTTTGGTGGCGAATGTACCCAGTTGCACGACCTTTTATTTTTTTATACACACAAAACAACAATGCTAAAAAAATTTTGTAAACATTTAGAGGCTGTGCTATTAATAGTAGTGTACAATATAACAACAAATAATTTATTAACTCGCCGAAAGAGAGAGAATTATAAAAAGAGGACAACAAATCAACTTTTCCAAATTATACAACTTAGAAGTCCTTTTCTTTTTACAACCACAAATATTTTATCATCTATCACACTGATTTGGTGTTGGATACGGACATGGACATGGACACGGACAAGGACACATCTACAGCTGCAACCACCAACACAGCTACTACTACACCTCTCAGTCATAATGATGACACTGCCACAAATATGAACAACGATACCTTCCTAGATTCTTCCAATACCACCACCACCACTACAACCACTGCACTTCCACCCAGAAAGAGGGCTAAAACTCAAGAAGAGAAAGAACAACGCAAGATTGAACGTATCTTGAGAAACAGAAGAGCAGCCCACGCCTCGAGAGAAAAGAAGAGAAGACACGTGGAATACCTTGAAGTCTATGTGGTCAAATTGGAGGAGAATCTACAGAAACTATCTTCTGGTTATCAACAGTTGTTGAAAAAGTTATCTGTGAAGGATCAAGTTTCAACTGAAGAGTTGGGATTGGAGGATGTGTCTGAATTAAAGAGTCAAATTCACTCCAATTTGAATGGATCAAGAAGAGGAGGCAACAGTGGTAGTCGAAAGGGAAGAGGCCAAGTAGAAGAAGATGAAGATGAAGAATGCGAGGAGGGTGAGGGTGAGGGTGAGGAACACAGTGATGAACTCAATGAGTCATCACATGAAGTGGAATCTACGCCTGATGTTCATGTAAAGGTTGAATCAAATTTACAATCGCCACCACCTTCTAAGAAGAGAAAATACTCATCACCAAAGAAGGACAAGACCAATACTACAACCACTCCTCCACCATCAACTAGAAGCTCATCCATCACCTCACCACCTGCTCATCGGGTCAAGGTCGATGAAGCCGAAGCAAACAATAACTCACTACAACCACAAGCTGTGAATGATAAAACTTTTTACAACTACTTGTCTCCAATAAGTATACATTCATCAGCCAGCTCACCTATGGATTTCACATTGAACAGCAAAGCTGACTTCAACGATTTTATATTTGGTGAAGTCAAACCCGCAACAAGGGAACAAGAATCAATCGAAAATACTACTACATCACATTCAACCAACACTCTCAAGGAGTTTCCATCTCAAACACCATCAATTGAAGTCAATACTCAAGAATCAAACTTGTCACTTTATGAACTGGGGCAAAATTCAGCAGTAATTTTGTCTAATGAAGAAGAAAAGCAACAACCTCCTCACACATTAGTGGAAATATTGGAAAAGGAAAATAGAACGATGCGTCTGGCTATTTCTGTATGAAATGTTACAGAGCAGTTATTTTAGGGGAACATTAGTGGGATTACAGTGCTCTGCTTGTCAAAAGACCAAAAACATGACTGCTTTTGATTTGTGGACGTGTCGCACTTGTTCACGTCTGTCAATGAATATAAGACGAGAGAAGGAAGTATATTAATTTGGAGCAGTATGTGCCAGGTGGTCAACTGTCTTGAAATTAATATACGTGGAAGAAGCCTTCTCTCGACATTGGCTTGACGATAGTGAATCCATGTGTGACATCGAAACTGACTAAACAAAGCATTATGGAGGCTCTTTTGATTTATAGCATCGAAGCAAAACTGTTCTTTCCAAGGAACCTATATCGACTGCCAACTGGCTAATGACCATTGATGACGAGCAATCTCATCTACTTTTTCCACGTTATATTTTCTGCTTTAGTTGAAGGGGGGTTGGGTCAACCAACTTTGCTTTGCTTTACTTTACATTACATATGGTCCGCAGCACCATTTCAGGACTTGTTTGATTTTGAGTTGCAACAACATGAACATATGGAGATGAACCCAGAGGGTCAAATGTTTGACGAGATGTTGGGAAGTTACATGAATTTTTGAGAAATTTAGAAGTTGAAATCTAATTAATGATTGATTTTACAGTTTGTTTGTTTTTTTTCTTTGTTGTTTGATACAGGGTGGGCTTAATAATTATACTGGTTTTAGTTTGCTTTTCTTTTTTGTTTTGGTTCAGTTGTGCTAAGTTGGTGACGAGATTGGATGGCGAGACCTGCATCTACATCATCAAGGTCTGGCCCATATTGTCTCCACACTCGAAACTTATTAATAATGTTTGAGATTCAGATTGTACACTAGTTTTGATGTTGACTTGATATGTGAAAGAATAAAAAATGAAAAAAAAAATGAAAAAAAAATAAAAAAATACAAAATCCCTAAAAAAAACAAGCTATGTTTTTATATCTTAGGGAGAGGAACTTTGTGGTTGCAGCTGGCAAAAGGTTAAATTTTGATTCTGCTTGATAGTCGATTCTATCCGGCTTGAGATTGTGCTTGTTCGTGTCTACGTTTTGGTTCTCTGATTGATTGATTTCTGCTGGCAATGAGTTTTAGATTTCCTTTTTGGAAATGGGTTTTATTGGCGCCCGTTTGTTGGTTTGCGACGATTGCTCATGGACAAAGAGACTAAGCTCAAAGAAGGTTTGGATCTTTTATTTTGGACAAAACGTTGCGCGACATGTTGTCTGTCTTGAGTGTCTGGGTTATGCAACTTGACATTGAGAAGCAGTTGAGTGTTTACTGGGATTGACGCTGACGGCTAAGGTTTGTGTTGTGTTTACATTTATAGAATGCATCAAAGGAAGTGTTTTTAGAATCTTAAATATACATTAATCGGTTAATTACAATCAAATGTGAACAGTTTTGTTGCCACACATGTAGTGTAATTTTCAGTGTACATACACTTTGATGCAAGTTGCAAAGTCACCTATAATCTGTTTCCCATTGAATACATGTGCACTATAGTGAGTCTCTTCACTTCTCACTTCAGGCATTTCATCACTTCCCTCCCCTTTGTCGGTTTCCGCAACATCCACTGCGTCAAGCCCCGTGTTCTCATTGATATCTTCATGCAACACGTCATCTTCATTCTCTTTTTGACTACGCTCTCCCTTTTTGGGAATTTCCTTGACAACAACCAAATTAAACCCACAATCTCGTAGATACTTGCGAGCTTCATCGTATTCAACTAGCCCCAATTTATATCGTACTTGATAGACAACATCAACAGGCACAACCACTTTCAAATTGTCAACTTTGAACGTACTTGTTTTTAGATGATCCTCATTATTGTATACACCATCACCAAATTGCATTCGATCAGTGCCTTCCTCTATTGCATCATGCAGTTCCTGCTGCTGTCGCAATTGATGATCGTGGAGGTCGTAGAATATGGCGTTTTTGATCTGGAGAGATATTGAGTTCACCAATTTTTGGATTTGTGAGTCGTTCAATTTGGCGTGGTGGATGTTGTGGATTGTTATTGGGGATTTCTCATTGATTGATAATGATGACGTAGTTGGATCTTGTGGGATGCTTTTGATGAATATTTTGACAGGGATCACCACCTCCTTTGCTACGTTTATGAACGTGATTTGAGGTGGCATGGTCGGTTCAGTTGGAGTAGTAAAGCTTGGTCTCAGAACGTGTTTTGTTGTGGCAATGATGCGTCAACTTTTCAAAAATATTTTGTGGCAAAAAAAAAAAAATAATCCAAATCATGAACCTTCTCCTTTCACAGCAACAACAACAACAACAACAACAACAACAACACCCACCTACACATTCCTTCTTCAACATGTCCATAATACTTCGATTCAGGTCCAAAGATGGAATGTTTCGTATCAACACCGATATTTCATCCCCCTTCCAAGCAGTAGTTGACCAATTAGCAACCAAAGTTCCGACTAGTATCGATATCAATGAAGTGACTATATCTGACAAACCAAATGGCAACAATACAGAGACTCCCACTAAACTCGGCTCTTTGGTGAGTAAACTGGTACTGGATTTAAACCTCAAGAATGGTGACTTATTATATATCAACTATGGAGGTGCTTTACCTACGCCATCAGCTTCGACTCAAGGTAGTTCAGCCCCTGTTAACTCAGTCAAAAGTAACACCAACACCAACACCACAGCTACTACTTCAACTAATAGCGTACCCATCACTAAATCCTCAGCACATGGACCTTTGAATGTTGCACAATTACCAGTTGATGACGAGCTCGACAAGTTGGATGGAATGATCCAACGACCAATATCATCAATGTGCCGTCACGGATCAAAGGGGATGTGCGAGTATTGTTCTCCTTTATCACCATGGGACGAGTCGTATCGGAAAGAGCATAGCATCAAGCATATATCTTACCACGCGTATTTGAACCAACAAATGGCAAAGTTCAATAAAAAGGAGTTGGCGTCTTCGTACATTGCACCATTGGAGAATCCCGATTATGCAATAAACTTATCATGTAATGAGGGACATCAGCCTTACCCAAGAGGTATTTGTTCCAAGTGCCAACCGCCTCCCATCACTTTGCAATTGCAAAAGTTTAGAATGATTGACCATTTAGAATACGCCAACCATTCTATATTAAATGATTTCATCAATGTGTGGAGAGTTTCCGGTGTTCAACGGTTTGGATACTTGTATGGAAGGTATGAAAAGTTCGACAAGGTGCCAATGGGCATTAAAGCAGTTGTTGAAGCCATTGTTGAGCCACCGCAACTGGATGAATTGGATGGTATAACATTACTGGAATGGCCCGACGAACAACTCGTTGATGAAGTTGCTGCTAAATTGGGCATTTACAAAGTTGGGATTGTGTTTACAGATTTAACTGATCTGGGTCGAAATGATGGAACTGTACTATGCAAGAGACACAAGGATAGTTATTTTTTGACCAATTTGGAAATCTTGATGGCGGCAAAATTCCAAATTGCCAATCCGAATTCGACAAAGTATAGTAGCAAGGGCCAATTCTCGTCAAAATTTGTAACGTGTGTAATATCGGGTGGATTACAAGGAGAAATTGAACCAAGGTCATATCAAGTTAGTACTAGTGGCGAGGCTTTGGTTAAAGCTGATTTGATCACTGGATCTACTCAACCATCACAAGTTTACGTCAATGAAAGCAATGATGTACGATATGTTCCCGATATCCAATATCTGAAAATTAATGAGTATGGACTAGAAGTGAAAACCAATGCCAAGCCTACATTCCCCGGTGAGTTTTTATTGGTGTCTTTAACCGACTCATTCCCAATAGATCCACATCCAATGTTCACCACTACGCCAGGCTACGTTATTGAAAATCGAGATTTCCTTGGTGATGTCAATCATGATTTCCAGAATTTGTCAACATTGGACAAGTTTTTGAAACTGCATGGATCTGATTTGTTTGATTTCCATTTATTGATTTATATTGTGAAATTGCGTATTTTGAGTCAAGATGAGTGTGAATTGTTGATCAAGTATCTCAAGGATAGAGAAGAACAGGACTATTTGCAGTTGATTGGTAGTGGTGGATGGATGTCGTTATTGACTATATTGGAGCACAGCACGTAGATGATAGAGGGGGGGGGGGCGATTTTTCCTGTATAGGTGTGTATTGGTCAATCATGCTACATCTTAGAATAATTGGTTGAGGGGAATTTTATTGCAGTAAGACGTATGAATTGTTGCAAGGACAAAATATAGTTTCGGATTTATTAGTCCGACCCACGTGCCATTTGGGTCATCGCATCCCTCTCTTCTCTTGCTACATTGTTACAAAGTCTACAGCTTGTATGGTCGTTGTCGTTTGCATTGGGTTCAGGGTTTACAAAGTAACCATACTGTAAAATGGGCCCTTGTTCAATTGAAATGACACATGCATAAAACGTGTCTCTATCTTTGGTAGAATGGGTTGGAACTGGTTAGAATGTTGAAGAATAGAATAGAATAATGAGCATAAATACACGACTATATCGCTACCAGAGACATACTATGTACTATGTACTATATAGTTTATATACAGTAATTATATATACATACATAGTAGAGAAGCGATGAAAAACTTTTTTCTTTTTTTTTTTGTTTTTTTTTTTACAACAACAACAACAACGACAAAAGAGTAATAGAGAGAGAAACAGCGTTTGCATTTAAATTCACATTTCCTTTATTCTAGTTTTCACTTTCTTTTGCTTATCAACCAGACTCCAACTAGGTTTTTACGTCCTTTACAATTGCAGAGACTACCAGACAAGAGAACAAAACAAAAATATAGAGTTTTAAGAGATGTCTGTTCCATTTGGTGTTGATTTAGGTAACAACAATACTGTTATTGCATGTGCAAAGAACAGAGGTATTGATATTGTCGTTAATGAAGTATCTAACCGTTCTACTCCATCCTTAGTCGGGTTTGGACCAAAGTCTAGATACTTGGGAGAAACCGCCAAGAACCAACAAACTTCAAACATCAAAAACACTGTTGAGAATTTGAAGAGAATTGTTGGATTACCACACAATCACCCAGATTTCAAGATTGAGCAAGAGTACTTTACTATCCCATTGGTTCAGAACAAAGCTGACCATGGTGTTGCTGCTAAAGTCAAATACTTGGGTAAAGATCATGAATTCACCGCCACTCAATTGTTAGCCATGTACTTGGACAAGATCAAGGATACCGCAGTTAAGGAAACCAAGGGAAACATCAATGACATTTGTTTATCTGTTCCTGGATGGTACACTGAGAAACAACGTCGTGCTGCTGCCGACGCTTGTAAGATTGCTGGCTTGAACCCAGTCCGTATTGTTAATGAAATGACTGCTGCAGCAGTTGGATACGGTGTCTTTAAAGCTGCTGATTTACCTGAAGATGATTACAAGAAAGTGGCATTTGTTGATGTTGGTCACAGTTCTTACCAAGTTTCGATTGCTGCTGTTAAAAGAGGTGAGTTGAAGATTTTGGGAGCAGCTTATGACAAGCACTTTGGTGGTAGAAATTTCGACAAGGCAATTGCTGAATATTTTGCTGATGAGTTCAAAGGTAAATACAAGATTGATGTTAGAGAAAACCCAAAGGCTTATTACAGAGTTTTAACTGCTGCTGAGAAATTGAAAAAGGTTTTAAGTGCCAACACCCAAGCACCTTTCAACATTGAAAGTGTTATGAATGATGTTGATGTTTCATCTTCTTTGACTAGAGAAGACTTGGAAAACTTGGTTAAGCCATTGTTGGAAAGACTCAATGTTCCAATTGAAGCAGCTTTGAAAGATGCTGGTTTGAAAGCAGAAGAGTTAGACTCTGTTGAAGTCATTGGTGGTTCTTCAAGAATTCCAGCAGTCAAGACCAAGATTTCTGAAGTCTTTGGAAAGCCATTGTCATTCACTTTGAATCAAGATGAAGCCATTGCCAAAGGTAATGCTTACATTTGTGCTTGTCACTCTCCAACTGTCAGAGTTAGACCATTCAAGTTTGAAGATTACAACCAATACACTGTTTCATATTTCTGGGATAAAGAGGACAATGAAGATGAAGATCATTTAGAAGTTTTCCCCAAAGGTGGTTTGTTCCCAAGTACCAAACTCATTACCTTGTATAGAAAGGGACCTTCATTTGAAGTTGAAGCTAAATACACCAAACCTCAGGAATTGCCAAAGGGAACCGAACATTTTATTGCTAAATGGAAGATTGGCAATGTCGAACCAAGTGCTGGTGAATCTTCAATTGCAGTCAAGTTGAAGTTGAGAAACGACCCATCTGGATTCTACACCATTGAATCAGCCCATACCGTTGAAGAACAAATTGTCAAGGAGTTGATTGAACCTAAAGAAGGTGAAGAAGCCAATGGTGAAGATGATGACGAGGAAAATGAACAACCATCTGAACCACAATACAAGGAAGTCAAGAAATTGGTCAAGAAGAATGATTGTACTATTGAAGTTGAATGTGCTGCATTGCCAGAAGCTCAATTACAAAAGTTCATTGAAGAAGAAGGACAAATGCTTTCAGAAGACAAGTTGGTTGCCGATACTGAAGAAAGAAAGAACCAATTGGAAGAGTACATTTACGAATTGAGAGGTAAATTGAGTGATCAATACAAGGATTTTGCCAAGAAGGAAGAAGTTGAGAAATTGACTGGTTTATTACAAAAAGCCGAAGATTGGTTATATGAAGACGGATACGAATCAACTAAAGCCAAGTATATTGCCAAGTACGAAGAGTTGGCATCTATTGGTAATGTGATTAGAGGTAGATATTTGGCCAAAGAACAAGAAAAGAAGGAGCAATTTAGACAAAAACAAGAAGCAGCACAAGCACAAGCCATGGCTGAAAAGATGGCCAATGCTAGAAAGGAAAACAAGAATGGTGACAATAAGAAAGATGCTGACGGCGATACCAAGATGGATTGAATACGACGAAAGTTGAAGAAGTTGAAGGTGAAGAGAGCTTAGTAAAGAAGATAAATTTATAAAGCAATTTTTTTATATTATTATTGGTGTACTGATAGCATTCGTATATAGTGGAATTTTATAAATTTTTATAAATTTTTATAAATTTTATGAATTTTATAAACTTGATACAATTTGAAAGTCTTCTTGGGCATGGAAAAGTCAATTGTTTTGCCGGAGATTTCGGTGACTGAGTATTGCTCGATAGTGTCGAAAACTCAATGTCGGAATATTGCACTCTGCGACAATTGTTTTTTTTTTTTTTTTTTCTCTTAAGAAAGCCCACATGCCATAAATTGTAATCATCATTGACTGTAATAACCATCATCATCGTCATTATCATCATCATCTTTATATACACACAGATACAATCACATACACCAACAATTTTAAAAGCTGGCCATTCAGATCAGTCGCATCTTTAATCCATACATTCCCCAATTTCAAAAGTGCTGATAGTCGAATCAACTAGCTAGTCCATATTTTATTTTATTTTTTTTTTTTTTTTCACCAACTACTTGTTACACACAAAGTGTGTTTTCATAACACATTCAAACCAATTTGCTATCATTACAAGCCACTAGGCAAGAAGCCAATATCAACATTTTCTCATTTTATTTATAGTCCTCGAACATTTCTTTCATGCCAAACAGGAAATCAAAGCTTTCATTAGCTATACAACAAGCCGAAAATTCTGCTTCAAAGCAGGACCATCAACAACAACAACAACAACAACAACATCATCATCATCATCACCAGTATATACATCTGAACCACCTTCATCTGAATCAACAACAACAACAATCATTGTCTTCACGGCACAGCTCACTGGATGGACACGACCCTTGGAATACAAATGATGACACACCCAAGAAACGACACCATTTAAGGACAAAAAGTGGCGGATCCACACAGAGCAGCATCAACATTAACAATGGATCTCAATTCTATAGCTCCAATGTTGATATATCGACCAATGCCGGCAACAATTTTGCTGAAAGTCAAAACGGACATAGTTTCAGACCCATCCCAAGTCCTTCTTTACTCCCCAACCTAATACAGCACAGTTCACCTTACGTCTCAACAACGCCATCTTCTGCAAAGCACTTCAAGCCAGAATTGTCACCATTGAAAACCACGTTTGATGAAGAAAAGCGACACTCCATCATTGAATCTCAATTGGAACTGCAATATGACAATGAAGGTGGAGGGGTATGGGATGAGGCGCAACAACAAGCGGATGACGAATACGAACTTGAAGTAAAGTCTTCAAAGAGCCGCTATCATTTACACCATCAGCTCAACCAAGCGCAGGGCAAAGTTCTTGATCAGAAGAAAAAGAGAAGGAAGGATGGATCGCATAGTACCCTTGGAGTAACTGAATTGGAGAGCGAAACAAATCTGAAAGAACAGGAGCAGTACGAACTGCAAGTTCAAAGAAATGAGCAAGGTGATATTGATGATGGCAACAACGACAACGACAACGAAGAAGAAGAAGAAGATGACGACGATGACGACGCTCCAGTAAATCCCGCTGAGGAGGAGGATTTAAAAGATTATGTTCCTGGAGGATATCATCCGTGTTTTATTGGAGAAGAATACAAAAATGGAAAATACACATTGGTACGAAAATTGGGATGGGGTCATTTTTCAACTGTGTGGCTCGCAAGAGATAACGATAAACAGTGCCACGTGGCCGTGAAGGTGGTTCGTTCAGCAAAACATTACACTGAAACTGCGATCGATGAGATCAAGTTGTTAGATAAAGTGACCACTTCTGACATTCAACACCCTGGCCATCAGCATGTAATTCAGTTGTTGGATACGTTTACTCATAAAGGTCCCAATGGAATTCATGTTGTTATGGTGTTTGAGGTATTGGGCGAGAATCTATTGGGGTTGATTCGTCGGTACAAGCATAGAGGTATACCAATTGTGTTTGTCAAACAAATAGCCAAGCAATTACTATCAGCTTTGGATTTCTTGCACCGGAAATGTGGAGTTATTCATACAGATTTGAAACCGGAAAATGTCTTGATTGAGATTGGCGATGTGGAGCAAATTGTTCGCATGGTTGAGCAAGAGAATAAGGAACGTAAGTTGCAGCGCAAGTTACTGAAATCATCCAAGACTTCAACAGCAAATAGCTCATATGGCAATGTTAAGGAAACGGAACAACAACCCAATCAACGTGCTAGCACTAAGCCATCGTCGTCATCATTGGCATCTCCAACAAATCAAATTGTATCACCATCGTTGGGAAGATCAGGAAGAAGGTCTCGCAGACAAACTTTGATAACCGGATCGCAACCGTTGCCTTCTCCGTTAAGAGCTTTTAATAAATCATTTACAAACATGTATGGATTTTCAACCACGACCAACACTCCTATTAAAAGTTTGTCTATCAACAACTCCACTGGGAATACTAGTGCCACCACTGACTCACCTGTTCAATTATCTAGCACGGCTGAGCACCGTGATGAAGACCACGACAAAGACAAAGACATAGAAAGAGATGAAACTTTGAACAATTCATTGAGCTCAATGTCAATCTCCAATTCAAACAGCTATCAACCAGTTAATGTCAATCCAATGCAAATTCCCAACGATTCAAACTATCGACTCGACGATTCATCCACCAACTTTGATGATGTCATCAATGAAGATGAATTGATTTCAGTCAAAATTGCTGATTTGGGTAATGCCTGTTGGACAAATCACCATTTCACAGACGAGATTCAAACACGCCAATATAGGGCGCCTGAAGTATTGCTCGGTTATCACTGGGGCTGTTCGGGTGACTTGTGGTCGTTTGCTGCACTTATCTTTGAGTTGCTTACTGGTGACTATCTATTTGATCCAAGAGATGGTAAATCATATTCTAAGGATGATGACCATATAGCGCAAATCATTGAGTTATTGGGCCCCTTCCCCCGCATGATGATAAAGGAGAGTTTCTACGGCCGCGATTTCTTCAATTCACGATTCGACATGAGACGCATACTGAAGTTGAAGCCGTGGGGGTTGAAGGATGTTCTTGTTGAAAAATACAAATTTTCAATTAGCGACTCGATTGAAATTGCCGATTTTTTGTTGCCCATGTTGCGCATCCAACCAGAAGAGCGTGCTGATGCGGGTGGAATGATTAATCATCCTTGGTTGAGGGATGCGTTGGCGTTGGAGAATGTCGTGTTGGAGAGACCGGTGGGCGGAAGTGGAGAAGATATCCCTGGGTGGTCAAAGGAATTGCCGCCACCAGCACCATCATCCACTAGTCTGTTGGCAAGTATCAAGCAAAAGTTTCAATATAGATGAGTTTTGCGGTGATGCTGTTGAAAGTTTATGGTGTGGGGCGATTTTATAGAGTAAATAGTGTATCGTTTTGTCAATAGAAGAAACGACATAAACGAACTAGAATGATGAGTTGGAGTAGGAGAAGGAAAAGAACCAAGGTGGTGCGAAATTTGCAATAACTTTGGTATTTTCTGTTCTTTGCAGTAGGTAGTGTACTTTTGGGTAAAATCTTGTTACCGACCGTTTTCATTATCCAACAATCTCTAAATTTCTTTGCTCAAGCCAGGACTTTTGGTACGTTAACTTACACACCACAACCACTACCACCACTACCACTACTACCACTTAACGTACGCTACAATTCACATCCACATTCACTGAACACTTGTCACACTGCGCTTTGGTTCCAAAATGTTACAAATTGAACAAAATAACTTGCTTATACAAAAGACATTGACGGAAAGATTATTTCCTGAATCCGATTCATTGAAATCCTTGGACCGTATTATAACTGACTTTGACTTCACCACATATCACATTAGCACATTACCCGATGACAAATCGAAATTGCTCTTGTCTTTGAATTTGAAATGTTGGAACGACTTGGTTTCTTCCGATGTTGAGGGTTACTTGCAATCAAAGTATTCATCGTACCTGAATTTGACAATTTTGCCTTCAAATCAAGTTGAACAAGGTTACAATTACTCAATTGTTTTGGATACTGCAAGCTCCGCATCTTCTGATGACGAGGACACGAAGTTGCGTTTGATTGACGACTTGAGTTTGTTGAAACGTAATGCTATGGCAGCTGCATTCCACAAGGCTTTCAATAGGTATGATGAGTTACTGGCTAAATATAGCAATTCCAATACCTATTCAGAAGAAGTGCAACTGGAATTAGCCAGTGAGCCAGTAATTGTGATAAAGTACCGTGGTGTTGATGAAACTATCTACTTGAAACCTTCTTTTGACCGAGTCACTGTTATTTTCTCAACCATGTTTCAAGATGAAACTGATAAAGTGTTTGGTAAAGTGTTTTTACAAGAGTTTGTTGATGCTAGGAAAAGATCGGTTCAAACAGCACCACAAGTGTTGTATAGTCAACTGGAACCGCCATTAGATATCGCACGTTATGTTCAAGCATCCAAGAATGCCAATGACGAAAATAAAGGCTATGTTACATTTGTCTTGTTCCCTAGACATTTGGTGAAGGGTGACAAGAGAGAAAATTGTATTTCCCATATTGAAATGTTTAGAAACTATTTCCATTATCATATCAAATGCGCCAAAGCTTTTATGCATTCGAGAATGAGATTTAGAGTCAAGGAGTATCTCAAGATTTTGAATAGGGCCAAACCTGAGAATTTGGATGATGAAGGAAAAGTTATTGAAAATAGGAAAACGGCAAGTGGTAGAAGATTTGATATCAAGGCATAACCTTTTTGATCAAGTTCTATTAGTTTAGAGGATATCTATGTTTTCTCATTATAAAAGAATGCGCCTCTCAGTATATGTACAATCATATATATATATATATATATATATTTCGCCTGTCATCTGTGGGTGGGGTGTGGGGATCTCAGTTTTATTGTTTTGGCTTCTTCACACCGTATTTACTCCTCGATGTGGATCTGTTAGCAACTCCAACCAAATCATAAGCACCACGAACCAAATGATACTTGACACCAGGAACATCCTGCACTCTACCACCTCTAACCAATACCACATGATGCTCTTGTAAATTATGGCCTTCTCCAGGAATCAAAGCACTGATAACCTTACCATTCGTTAATCTGACTCTACAACATTTTCTCAATGCCGAGTTGGGCTTCTTGGGCTTCAAGATCATTATACGTAATATAACTCCCTTTTTGAATGGGTTTCCTTGCAAATCTGGTGATTTGGTAACGTTCCTTTTGGGAGGTTTGTAATGTTTAAAATGCTGGATTTGGTTTATAGACGAGTACCGTAACTGTTGAAATGGGAAACAGACGGAGGAGTGTGAGGTGTTGGGGTGTGTCAATGCTGATCTAGTTGGATGTATACGTTGAATTGATCGGAGATATGATGATGTGGTGGTGGAGGTGGACATGTGATGCGGCTTGAGCATTGGTTTTATTAGCGAGCTCAAGCTGGCTCCTATATTAGTACGAAACATTCTGGCAAACAAGTTCCTCTGATGGTAACTGCCAATCTTTTGATACACTCTGTTCTAGGAAATATCTGGAAAATTTTTCAACCAGTGAGAAATCAATCAAACTGGAAAAAGGCAGAGAAAAAAAAAAACCACCCCCCGAGTACATGAACACAACAATCGAGGTTAAAACACCAATACTATCAGTCCAAACCAAACCCTATAAACCATGCTTAGAAATAATATATTGAAATCATTGAGAGCAACACCCGCTAGATCTTTATTCACCAGATCATCTTCAACCAAGCTCACAACTTTCAAATCCATCGTACCATCAGTTGCTCAATTACCAACACACAAAAAACACCAACCCACACTTAATTTCGTTCGTTGTTATGCTGGGTTCCCTGCATTGACCAGAGATGTAGCTAAGGAAAGAATTATAGAATTGTTAGAAGGGTTTGACAAGGTAGACACTGCCAAGGTTGGAGAGATCAACGAAGCAGCCAACTTCACACAGGACTTGGGCTTGGATTCCTTGGATGTTGTTGAAGTTGTGATGGAATTGGAACACGAATTTAATATACAAATACCTGACAATGAGGCTGATTCTATCAAGACTGTGGGACAAGCAGTTGATTATATTATGAGCCAACCAGATGCTTGTTAGGGGGCAAACTTGCACATTGGTGGATAGTTGCTGATTACTGGAGTGAACCAAATATGCTCGTTACGGTAGTTTTAGCTATTTCCGGGATGCTTTATGGAGACAGTGTAGTTATAAAATTGGTCAATAGGTACATTGAAGGTATTTATTTTAGCACCTTTGTATACTCTTTTGCGCTGGAAAGAGTTCTTCTATCATTGAACGAAATATCACAGTCTATACTAAATTAGCCTAGTAGAAGTTCATAATCAATGCCTACAGGACATAAACTTGTTGTTCATTCAAAGTGGACTGGTCCTTAGTGTCGTGACTCAATGTCGCAACCAATTGGCGACACATTCAATTCAATGTTTTTCTTTTTTTTTTTTTTTTTTTCTCTTTTGCAATTTCCACCCAATAAGAAACAAGAGGAAAATAATTAACCTTCTATCATTAAAGACTCAATCAGTACACATACAACTTCAACATACCATGGTTTCAGTATGTCTATATACAGCAATACCATTGAAGCTGGACAGAAGAAATTGCAATTCTTCACAGCGGGTAATTCTCAGCTCATTTGTCCAATCCTAGAGGAACCCGCTTTTTTTCCCTACGCTCATCAAATACTAACCATTTTCCATGCTTTAGTACGTTAGAGGTCCAGCTTACAAAGCTCTTTCACATTTCGGTAAATTAAACCCACCATTAGTAAGAGCATACATTCCAGACTTGGTCTTGTGGGGTGTCGCTGCCGGTGCTGGTGTTGCTACATTCACTGAAGGATGGCCATTGTTTCAACAAACTTTTTATGACAAGATTCCATACTTTGGCCAACACTGGATCCACAACCCTGATCCAGAAGATGTTCCAGTTTAAGGAAGTTCGACTCTAAGATGGCAAATAGAAGAGGCAAAAGAAAAGAGTTGTCAGTGACTGCAAGTTGAAGATAAATTTAATTGATGTGCGTTATACAAAATTAAGCAATGTATTCAATTGTATCTCTAGTCTTTCTCTTGAGGAACTCGTCGGTTATCAACCGCTCTATAGCCGATTTAAGATCAATTACCGGTACTGGACGACGCTTTTGCAAAATTTCAATACTTTGATTCAAAAGATCGGTCATTGTTAGTGATTTGGCTTGTTTCATGATCCGCACAACAACTGACTTGAATTCATCATTTCTGTTCTTCTCTATAACCTCCACCATTTCCTTGTCTGTAGCATCCACCTTTCTAGAATTAGAACCTTGAGCAGATTCCTTGATAATTGGCAATTTAATATTCTTGGATTTGTCTTTGAAATTGTGATTGTATTTGATCACATTACCTTGTTGTTTCAATATTTTGTACTTACCAGTAACCATTGTGTTTAATACTGCTTGCAAAAGTGGAGCATCCATTTTGGTCTTGTCAATTAGCTGCTCAAGTGTGTATTCATCACAATCATTAAACAAAAGAAGAATCATGGCTTGCAACATGTTTGCAGTTATCGATTTTTCACCTCCACTGTTGAAATGTCCGGCAATAGTCAATTGGTGCAATTTGTAATTCGACCAATCCAAACGCTTTCTGCCATTCCTTTCATCTGATTTACAAAATGCTTGACCGAAATCATTCAAAACATTGGCAAGTCCTTGAGGTAGTGGAATTGTCGACAAGTTTTGGCTTGGAATGTCAGTCCATACTGACTTTTCTAGAACAAGGGGCTTAAAATCAATTGCAGGAACATTTACCAACTTGGCATAGACCTCTTCCGATGAGTTCAAATCCTCAAACATACTGTTGATACTTGCACTAGTTTCTTTTCCATGCAATGACAATGTAAACCAGCTTGCTAACAGATATTCATCGGCTAAGCTTGAAGCTTTACCTAATATCAATCTCCGAGATAATTCCTTCTTGTAAGCTACGCAAAAATCGTCCCTGTTTTTTAATGCATGATAGATACTTTTGACGGAATGCCACAAATCGCGCGAAGTACCGAATGCGGGTCCTAACTTGGACTTCAAATACAAATCACAAACCTTGCACAATTGCTGTATAATGAAGGTGTTGTTATCAAACTTGTTCACCACTTCTTCCACGGATTTAGGCACAACCCCTTCAAACTCATGCCAACCGGTATAATGTGAGACAACCTTTTGCAAAAGATCCTCATAGACAGAGTTCAAGTATAGTATTGCATTCGGATATAGCTCGTGATCAATCAGAGAAGATCGACATTTGTCAATGGCTTCTTGAAACTTTCGCTTGATAAACTGTTTCCACACATATGCTAATTGCTCTTTTGCATTGAGTTCATAATTAGTTGCAGTATCTTCGCACATTTTATTTAACAATGCCATTTCCTCGGGTGAATTGCTTAGTTCGTCAAAACTTTCTAGCACCAAGTCAACAAAGTCATTTTTGAAAATCAAAAGGAATTTTAATTTGGAAACTGTGTCGTCGAGAATCTTCTTTTCGGTACCAGTTTTGATATGAAATGAAATCTCTTCATCGAGAATCATAAGTCTCTGTTTGAATCGAGAAGCTCGTTTGAACGAATCAGTACAGAACCACCCCTGCCAGTTCTGTATGTCGAGATTATCAAACTTTCGCTGTATTACAATTTGGGTATCAAATCGCCACTCTTTCCTATTCGGCACTAAACGATTCCTCAAGGTCATTAGATCAGAAAATACAAACCGCGTTCGATTTGAGTAATCATCAGGAACGCAATGGCTGTACTTCATATGGTAAAACGCAAAACCTAAAGCAAACAACAGCTTCCACACATCTAGCGGCCACTTACCACTATCCCCAATCTCGTTGAGGGAGCTGGGAAACTCAGGGAATTCCGGCGGTAAAAACTGCAGTTTCGATCCAAAGTACAACTGTCTAAATTTTTCCTCCCCGTATTGCTGTATGGACTCTCGTCTATGATGTGGACGTAAATAGCTCTTCTCAAGAAAGGCAAAAACTTGACTTAGTTTTGTTATTGCTCCGTTCCAACTTTTCCAATCATCTATAACTCGCTGACCAAAATCCAAAGGTAAATCTACCTGTAGGTCATCAATACCCCCTTGTGGAGCAGGTGGGTATGGCACCGCAGTCAATTTTTCAAAAAAGGCATCAAGTTTTTCAAACAAGTAGTCAGCTAGGGCCTTCTGCTCATTGTGCTTGTATCTGCAAACAGCTTCCACACGGCCGTATAAGAACGACAAAGAATGACCCAAGATTTGTCCATCCAACACGCGATCAATAACATTGTACAATATCTGCTTGCTAGCATCTAGTTGACGCTGAGAAGACTCTGACAAGCTTGTAGATGCAGCACTAGATTCTTCATCTTGTATAATTGGCGTTCTTTTCCTCTTTTTCGGTCTGTGTTGCAACAAATGACTTGTTCTGATCTTCGACGTGGAGGGGGTAATTGATTGGCCCAAAGATGGTGTCGATGCCATGCTGGGTGAGCCTTCTCCATGCGGGTTCACTGAGAGTGAAGATGACAATGATGAGGTAGATGAAGAGGGTCTAAAGTCAAGTATCTGTGGGATCGTCTTTGGCATTTTTTAAAGGAGGAGATGGATCGGTAACGGATTTGATTTGATAAGAACTTGCAACAAAAATTTGCAGAGCTTGCATACAAGAATACAAGCTATAGTGTCACCTTTATGTAACACTTACGACTCAATAGCAGTAGTAGTACAGGCGGTGATTCCTTCTTACAAAAGAATCTTGACATTTTGTGTGAGTGAATGGGATATGGGTTTTTTTGCATTCACACACGACATCAGAATTCTTGTAGGATAAGGTCGTATCAGCAATACTTTCCCATTTCACCAAGTACCACCAGCAAACCCCTTCACGACATGTCCAACGACAAAAAGCAAGAGCCACCACCGGTTAAACTAACAGACCCTAAACAACTAACCACAATATACAAAAAGAACGGCACGTTTGATGCCAAAAGAAAAGAACTTCTATCCGATTTCAAACAATCGGAAACATGTCAAAACTTGCTACTTAAATTACAAATCATGGTGGAGTCCAAAGTCAAAGCTGATCCTCTGATATTAATGAAGAATAAAGGTAAGGTGGCTGCTTTGATACAGGGTGAAATTGTTAATCAATCAAGTTCGAAGGATACGGCAGCATCACATATAAACACTAACGATAACAGCGCTGCTGCTGAAGGCGACAACGCGGCCAAAGACGAGGCCGGGATTTTGAGCATTGTAGATAAAGATATCCAAGAGAATGTAATTGATTCTTCATCCTTTCATGAGTCAGTAAAGGAGGAATTGATGGATGTACAACGGAAACTCATGGGTATCAGTGATGAAGAGTTTGAAAAGATGAAACAGGAACTACGAGCCAAGAGGGAAAAGAAGGAGAAAGATGCATTGAATAGGAAATTGAGGTTGGAGAAGGAGAAAATGGAGTTGGATTATCGAAATAATTTCAAAATTAAGGATTTGGCGAACGGGAGTATTGCAACTAACGCACATCGTGTGAATAAAGTTCCACGGATCAATTTGAAGAGCAGTACAAGTAATGGTGGTGGTGGTGGTGGTGGTGACGGTGGCGACTCCGTGTCCGAAGCCAAAGTTGAAAAGAAGAAGAAAGTGACCAAGATGATGTACTGAGTAAAAGAGTGGAATTCCCCACAAAACTCAAGCACCTCCGGATATGTTTCATGACAAAGAGGGTATTAATGATTAAAAAATTATGTAATTTATACAAATCTCAATGAAAAGAGGAAACGTTGAAACTCTACTCTTCATCAACTTCAAAAATATCGGTGGCGATAGTCATCAACTCTTCGACAACTTTACTCTTGAAACTCAAATCCTGAGCACTTGTTGAATTATTGTTAAAAATCACCGGTCCCCAAATGATGGACAAAGACTTGGTATTCATTCTATTCCTGGCTTCATTAGCAGCAATTTTGTTCAAATGGAAAATTAAAGCTCTCAATGTGAAATAAGCGCCATCGGGTAGACTAAACACCAAATGGTGTAGCTTCTTGTGAATCAAATGCTCATCGTTCAACTTCACCGTGTCGATAAATGATTGAGATGCAGCGGAAGTCACTAACGGTTCAGGCAAATTGGCAAAATAATACTTGAGTAAAGAAGCAACACAAAACACATCCGAGTCAATGATATTTGATTCATCGATATCTTTACCAATGAGTAAATAGTTGGTGAAATTGGAATCAATCGATTCGCGTAGTTTCTGCACTTGATTGACATTGGAACTTGTTCTGTATATACCAACAAGATCAATTCCATAGGATTCAATCACATCAATGCACCTACGTACAACTAGTGGCACATTGTCAACACCAGCAAATTGAATGACATCCTCAATTGAGACTCCAAATGTAGGTTGCTTAAATGAAGGCGTCGAGTTGAATGGCTTTGGTCCATTGAGGTTTGGTGTGGATGGTTGGCTACCGGGGTCCAATGAAGAATAGCCCAGGGGTGGGTTGCCCGCTTGTGAATCGGATGTGGATGAGTTCAATGGGGTGCTGCCGCTGATTGGTTTTGGCGCGGCGTAAACTCCAGCATATGGAGCTGAGTTGGTGGCGGATTCAGTACTTGATTTGTTGTTGGTTCCCACACTGTATCCACTGTGATTGTTACTATTGGCATGGCTAATGTTGCTTTTGTCATTGATGTTTGCGTTTGTGTTTGATTTGTCGTTGTTCCATTGGTTGCCTGACACGGCAGCTTTTATGTTGCTGGCACTATTGGAAACATTTCGATCATTATTGGTCAAGAATGGTTTACCAATATCTTTGGTCTTCACTAGTGATGGGTGTACATGGTAATCAATGGGTACAAGTGACTTGTTGCTAGTATTAGAGCCATTTGCCAACAAGTACTTGTACAAGTCTCGTTCATTGTCTATGGAGCTGGCCATTGCTTTCATTGAGGATTTTGTAGCTTGTAAAGGACTGATTAAAACACCCGAGTTCATAATCAAAGTTTCGTTGTATGTGGCATACTTTTGAAGTTGTACATTCAAAGCAATGTCCATCTCCAAAATCAAATTCTTCAATTTTTTGGCATTATTGGGACGATGCAAGACCAATATTTCATCTTTGAGTTTCTTGCATGTGGCAACTTTGGATTTGTACTCTTGGTCAGCAAGGTCGACTTTCCGTTGCAAATCATCCTCTTGTTGTTCAACTGTTTTGTTTTTCAAACTAAATGACTTTTTAGAAGGGTCTGAACTCTTGAGTCTTTCTAAATCTTCGCACAAGTGATTGTATCTCGTCTTGGCTTTGTCAGCTGCAGAAATGGCATCCATGCACTCCTTATCTTTTCGTCTGTATTCATCCTTGATTGTCTTTCTCGATCTGGTTATGGTGTGTATCAAAGAGGTCAATTCGTCATACATCGTATTCAACGCAGTCACATAACTCGACCCAACTCCAGATAAACTTTCGTCAAATCCAATAATCTTATCCATTTGATGTTGTAGCGAGTCGTTTTTCAAATTCTTGCTATTATTCTTCATACTAGTTCTAATATGACCGGCAAACTTCTTCAATTGAGTATAGTGATCATCTTCTATTTGGGCTTTCTTTTTAATGAATTTACTAAACTCTTCAGCTGACGATAAACTTTGCTTCAAGCGTTCCAGAAGTACATCAAGTGCTGAATCGCTGTTTAAGATTGCTTTTATCCTGTCGTTATTAAGTAGATTGGTCGAGTCATTGGAGGCTGTGTTTTGGGTAGTGTTGTTTGCACTGTTGTTCTTATTGTTGTTGTTGTTGTTGTTAACACTGTTATTAAGAGTTGTGCCAGAGTTTAGCGATGTATTGGATACGCTTACCTTTGGTGCATTTGAGTCGGTATTTGACGAAGTTGATGTCTGTGCAGGGATATTTTGTTCTCTTTTATCATCCATCTTTTGTAGCTCAGTGGTATGTTTCAGCTGTATAGGTTGAGTTGGAAGTGTCTATAGAGGTTGGGAGTGGGGTTGGGTACACAGCAGTTATCCTATATATATGTATATATATATATATATACGAGTGATAGGGTCTGTTGTGATAACAATGAGATATAAGTTGATTCTTTCCGTATGTCAGTTTTGATTTAAAAAGGAGAATTTTTGTTTTTGAAATTGTTATATTGTCTGTAACTTTAATAATTAGTATTTCTTTTTTTGTTTTTTTTTTTTTTGTAAAAAGAAGAAGAAGAAGAAGAAGAAGAAGAAGAAGAAGAATTATGGTAAATAATGTCGTCATAAAATAATGTTAGCATATATATACACATAACTTGCATGCCACATAGAAATATATAACCACTATACTATAGAATATATACATACAGTACTTTTCTGTAATATAAATTGACCAAATTTCCACTCTTCCACCCTTCCACTCTTCCACCCTTCCACTCTTCCACCCTTCCACTCTTCCACACTTGCACATTGCTAAACTTCAATACAATCACGATTCTATTCACGATAACTGCTCAGCCACTCCCTTAAAATGCCTGACGTTCTAAACTGCAAAGGAGCGCGAAAAAGAAAAACACAACCTCCCCCCTTACATCAGATTATTGTAATGTCGCGTGTCTTTTATAAAATGTTGTTGCAAAATAGTGTGGCATACTAAAGTATACAGTTTAGAGATCGCAGCTCAGATACACTTGTTTCAACATTAAGAAGAGGCTGTTCACTTGAAGATTGTTACTCTACACATTTCAGTGCAGAAACTGCAATCAAAAAGCTAAGGAGAGAATACCTACCTTTGCCAACAACAAGGAAATTCTAGTTCGATTAAACGATAACTTGATATGAAGTTCCAACTTGTTTCACGTGGCCAATATAATGTGTACCTGCATTTCCTTTGGTGCGTTGGCTCCCCTTGACATCCTGAGGTTCACGAAACTTCCTTTGGACTTTAAATGAAGATTGATTTTCGAAAAGCACGTCTCATGTTATACACAAGTATAATCCATCGAATGAAGAGTTCCTGCTGTGTCTAATTATATAAGAGAGAAAACAGGGTGGTTTGTGTCCCCACATACAAAACATACAAGGGCATACGGAGCTACCAATCCGGGAATGATCTAAAGCGGAGTTAAAGTGATATAACACCCCAATAACGACTACAATCAATATCCGCGCGAGAACCCCGAACTCTCTCTTTCTCTCTCTCCTAACCCCCACCCTTTTTATCTTTGCCCCCGCCCCCAGTTTATTATTTGGAGCTAATCGGAGCGGATTTATACAACAACCAAAAGTTTACAACGCACAAATATGCAGAGCCGGCTGGTATTTGCCGAATACAATAATAATAATAATAATAATAACAAAGCACCACCCTGCTCACCCCCACTTTTTGAAATAAAGATGAAATCAACTGTTGATATATAAATGTCTACTCGTCCGTTTCTTTCTTTGAATCCACTTTCAATACTTCAACAGCCAACCCACACACACACACACACACACACACATATACACACACATATACATACAAACACACACATACATAGTTCCCCTCATATACCATTTTTCTTTGCAATGCCTACACAAACTGGTTACGGATACGTCAAAGGTGCCACTGAGATCACCAAATTTACCGACTTGCCGATTCCAGAGCCGGGTCCAAGTCAAATACTTTTGAAAATTGAGGCTGCTGGGTTATGTTTATCTGACCCCCACACTTTGATTGGTGGCCCAATTGCTCCTAAGCCACCTAAACCAATGCCAACCAAGTTTGTCATGGGACATGAAATTGCTGGTAGTATTCACAAAGTTGGTAGTGAGTTGGCCAACTCACCTCAGTACAAGGTTGGAGGTCGTTTTGCTTTACAAATTAATCAAGGGTGTGGTGCCTGCAAATCTTGCAGAGCTGGTGATGATGGTAACTGTACTGAATCTTACCAAGCATATGGTTTGAATGAAGATGGAGGATTTCAACAATTCTTGTTGGTTAGAAACTTGAGGACGCTTATACCCATCCCAGACAATGTTTCATTTGCTGAAGCTGCTGTTGCCGTTGACTCGGTCTTGACTCCATTCCATGCTATTCAAAAGGTTAAGCACAAGATTAAGCCCAGTTCCAAAGTACTTGTTCAAGGATGTGGTGGGTTAGGTCTTAATGCCATTCAAATCTTGAAGCAATACAATTGTCACATTGTTGCTACTGATTTGAAACCAGATATCGAAACCATTGCCAAAGGTTATGGAGCTCGTGAATTTTACACTGATTTAAACAAATCCAAACACGAACCAATGTCATTTGATATCATATTTGATTTTGTAGGTATTCAACAGAGTGTTGATATTTCCAATACATTTGTCAAGAGAAAAGGAACCGTATCACAAACTGGGTTGGGTAGATATAAATTCAAGATGCCAAATTATACCTTTGCTTATAGAGAAGTTGAGGTTTATTACAACTTTGGTGGTAGCTCTGCTGAAACTATGGAATGTTTGGAATGGATTAGCAAAGGCTGGATTAAACCAAATGTCCAATTTGTTGATTTTGATAACTTGCCCCAAGCAATGCAAGATTTGACTAATAACAAAGTGAGAGGAAGAGTTGTCTTTAGGCCAAACCATAAAGCAAGTAAGTTATAAGCGTGAAGTGGGGCTATTTAAGAGTAAGCAAGTATATAGTATATGGACTGTTTTGTTGCCTAAAGTACATGTAAGTATGCATTTACTTTTCCATAACTCGCATTTAAAACTGCAAAAACTACACACAAATGAAACAATTGAAGAAAAAAAAAAGAACATTAAAAATCATCATCGACTTTGCCAACGCAAACAACTCACACTCACACACAACTCACACTCACACACAACTCACGCTCACACACAACATCCCCACTTCACACACCCTCCCTTAAAACAATGGCTAAAAAAACAGGAGAAAATTCTAAAAAGGCCGCAGGAAATGCTCGTAAAGCAGAACAGGCCAACAAAAAGAAGCAAGAACAACTAGACAAGTTTGAACAAGAAGAAGCTTCCAAATGGGACGAAGGATCGAAAAAGGGCAACAAAAAGAAGGAAGAGGAGCAATTCAAAAAGGAGGAAGCTGCACGTAAGAAGCAAGAGAGAGATCTACTCCTTGCTGCTGAGGAAGCCAGTTTACCTTCCAAGCCAACCAAGGCGAAACAACGTGGAGCTGAAAAGGTTGCTTCTAAACGTACGGGTAAGATTGATGACTTCCTCGATTTCAACAAGGATACACCCGAACTCAGTGCTTCAGGACTAGATAACGCGTTAGCAGCGTTGGCTTTGACGGGTAAGGACTCTGGTGTATCTAACAAGGATATCGATCGTCATCCTGAACGAAGAGTGAAGGCTGCATATAATGCGTATGAAGAGAGGAGATTACCCGAGATTAGAAAAGAGAATCCTGGATTGAGATTACAACAGATTAAGAATCTTGTGTTCAAGGAGTTTCAGAAACTGAGTGAGAATCCAATGAACCAGGACACCAATGTGCATTACAATGCTAGCAGGGAGGAATTGGAGAGTAAAAAGAAAGAGGTTAGAGATTCAAGGGAAAAGAAGTTCAACTAAGGGGAACTTTGTGGACTTGTTGTGGTCTTTTGTCGTATGATTACTGCAGAGTACAGTACAATACAAATATAACAATGTGACGTATTGATAGGTAGGAAAGGAGTTAAAACAATGGCAACCGCTGGCATAATCATTCTCAAGATCAAGAAATTTCGAGAAATTGCCGATAAATTGTATAGTAACATACAATCTCATATAAATTTTTTTTTTTCTGAGTTTGAAATTGAAGATGGATAAGAGAAAATGTCGTCACGTGAATAGTGAATCCTTGCATGTCGCGTTTTATTTATTTTTCTATGCAGAGCGTAAAACTAAATCAAAATGGGATGATGACGTAATCAGCGTATAATCTGTTCCTTGAGAATGCTCCGGGGACAACGAAATATGCTGAGAAGAGATGAAGCACGAGAAGACGCGTATAAATACAAACGTAGACATCTAGAGAACACGATATAAATACAGAGGGATAGATGTACAAAACTTTAACTTAAAAAAAAAAAATGAAAAAATTACATAGTGGTGAAATTCATCAATCTTTTTTTTTTTTTTTTTGGATGATTTGATTGGTTTGCGATGGGGGTGGAGTGCGAGAGATTTACGTGTAAAACTATGTAAGTAAGAGATGGATCTCTGTTTTATATATAAATAGGAAGAAATGGAAGAAAGAAAGAAAGAGAGAATGAAAAACAACAACAACAACAACAGAAAAAAAAATATAAAATTTTTAAAAAAAAACCTCAAATTAGAGTTTATCAAAAGTACACGACCAAATTTGCAGTCGTTTATATATATATACACCATCCATCAACATTCATCATCCATAATCCATCAACATCGGCCAAAAACAACACACACACACACACATATATCAGCATAACAGCAAAACAAACAACATTATTTTTTTTTTTCCTTCCAGCAACCACGTATACCAGGACGACACTACACTTTCAGTCCTTTTGTCTTACACACGTTTGCACAAACTCTTTCACCTATGATTGACTACTAAACACATCATTTGCATCATGTCCAGATTAGATAGATTAGTAGTGCTCCTAGAAACTGGATCAACGTCATTTATCAGAAACACAGCTGCAGATCAGCTATCAGACTTGGCTAAAGCTCACCCAGAAGACATTTTAAACTTACTTGCACGCGTCTACCCGTTCCTCAAGTCACCTAAATGGGAAACAAGAATTGCAGCAGCTCGAGCGTTTGGTGGAATAGTCAACAATGCACCCGTGTGGGATCCAAACTCACAACAACAGATTAAGGAAGAAGTAGATGCAGAAGATTTGGTTAAACGCGAAGTTGAAGATAGTCTACCTTATGAATCCAAAGATTTCATCAAACAGGAAGCACACGAGGAGGTGAAGATCAAGATTGAACAGGATTTGGAATTGAACAAACTTGATGATTCCATATCAAACTTGTTGCTGTTTAGTAACTTCGATTTAAATGAATTGATCAAGAGCGGAACAACTTTATTGGCTTCAAAGTCTGACAATACATTAAATAACAGTGAAGAGGTTGACGAGGACGATAGAACCTTAATTGGTAGGATAAAGAGGCATCGGGCCAGTACTCTACCGAAACCTGAGAATACACCCGAGTCTGAATCTGAAGGTGTCGAGTCTGCAATGCAAAGTAAAATCAAAACTGAGTCTGACCCATTGATTAAGCAAGAACTTGAAAGTGGAGACAAAACGTCTTGTGGTTTATCTTCTCCAAACCCGTCAAGGCCACCGCTTGACCCCGCGACAAAACCAGTTTCCAGTGCAAGATTAAAAGCAATGCAGAAAAGGAGAGCCAAATTCAACGCCAAGTCAGGTGCAACCAACAAAATGAACTCCATCGACTTTTCGCAAAGTTCCATCTCAAGACAAATGGTTGAAAGCGGAGATACAATGGATATCGATTTTGAAAGTAATGCCAATACTACACAACCACAATTTGATGTAACTTCCCAACAAGGTGGAGAAAAACTAGTTGTTGAGGCCAAAATCGAAGAAATTTCGCCCCTACTTTCATTGCATAACAAAGTGGCGGGCTTGATTTGGCTTTTCCAAGGTGTTTATGAGTTATTGTTGGCCGATTTATTCGATGACAAGTGGGAAATTAGACATGGAGCAGCATTGGGTCTTAGGGAATTGATTAGAAAGCATGGGAAGGGGGCAGGACGGATTATGAATAAAACTAAGGAAGAAAATGATCACAATAATGCCCTGACTTTGGAGGATTTGGCGGTGCGATTGTGCATCTTGTTTGTGCTCGATAGATTTGGTGATTATGTGTCTGATACAGTTGTTGCACCAGTTAGAGAGTCCTGTGCCCAAACATTAGCCGCGCTTTTAATCCATTTGGATGACCTGACTGTTATCAAGACATTTGATTGCTTATATACAATGACATTACAAGAAGGCATACCACCTCCAAAGTGTTGGGAAGCCAAGCATGGAGGCATGTTGGGGGTTCGTTATTTGGTGAGTGTACGAACCGATGTATTATTAGGCAAACCCGAAATGTTTGATCAGGTATTGAACTTGGTCCTCCATGGTCTTCAGGAAAGTGATGACGATGTTCAATCAGTAGCAGCATTGACTTTGACACCTATAGCCTCAGAAGTTGTTTCAACCAGAAAGACAGTTATTCAATCTTTATTGGCTGTGATTTGGGATTGTTTGGTTAATTTGAGAGACGATCTATCTGCATCCATTGGATCAGTTATGGATTTGTTGGCGAAATTGTGTAGCCACAAGGAAGTTATTGATATAATACAACTTGATGCCGCTAAAGATGATAGTTATTCGTTCAAACACTTGGCACCTAGATTATACCCCTTTTTAAGACACTCCATCACAAATGTGCGAAAAGCGGCCCTACGAACAATATTAGAATTCCTATCGATAACCGAAGACAATATTACACCTACCTGGATTGACGCCAAGACGCTTAGACTTGTTTTCCAAAACTTATTGGTGGAGCAGAACCCCGATGTCTTGCAGTTATCAATTACGGTTTATAACAAGTTGTTGGAAGAGGTTGACAAGTACTCGATGGATTTGAAGAGCTTATTTGTGTCCCAGGCACTGGATTTATTGACCTTGACAATGACACCCATTGGAATAGCAAGAACCAATTACCAGATGGACACTGCGTTGATAATGAGACCATCAGGCCAAATGGTTGGTTCTTTGGATAATGACGAGTCTCGCCACGGCAAGAAGCGCAGCAGATTACAATCACAGAATCAAGGAGCCATTCATGAAGCTAGTGCTATTCCCATAGAGGACTTGAAAATCAATATTGACGCACCTATGTACAAGGGGGATGTTATGCTTGTTGGATTTGAAAAAATGATTGCTACTCGATGTGCTGGAGCCAGCGCCATTGGTAAAACTTTAGCCTTGATCAAAGATCAGAGTATATTGGGTCAAACACTTCAACTTTTGGCTTCTTATTTGAACTCGCCTTACGGCACGTCACGGTTGTTGAGTGCATTTGTTGTTGAAGAATTTGCTACGGCAGTAAGACAACAAGATCGAAATCCTGAAGATTATGCAAGTGCAATTTTTGCAGAAACTTTACTGAAAATGCTCCAAGATACAAGCGCACTTTCAAATATGCGTGAATTGATACCGTCACTCAAAGCCGTGCGAACATCTTGTCTACAATTGTTTGACTCATTTGTGTCAACTGCGAGATTATCACCTTCGAAAATACCACAGATTCCCATCCTTGTACAAGGCGAGGCTGATGCGGGTCCAAATGCATTCACGCTAGAAAGTGCAGAGAAAATTACCGGTGAGATTTTTGAAAAGTTGAAAAAGAGTTTGTCAAGTAGTCATCGTTTGGCAGCGAATCAAGTTCTAGAGGATGCCAAACACAGAGTCACACTCGCAATTGATGACTGCAGAAGTTTGATTGGTTCCAAAACTACTGCAATTTTGGCATCGTATGCCGGTGCCACTTTGGCATTACTGGGTATTCCCAAAAAGTTAAACCCGATCATCAAGTCTTTAATGGAGAGCATCAAATTGGAGGATTCACTTGTTTTGCAAAAGAAATCAGTTTCTTCAGTCGCAAATTTGATTCGTCAATTGAATGACACGGGCAAGAAAAGTGTTGCCGATAAAATCATCAAGAACTTGTGTGCATTCCTCTGTGTTGATACTGCTGAAGTGCCTGAATTTCGTCACAATGTTGGATTCAAGACAAATATACTATCATTGAGGAAAGAAGAAGGTGCTGTCGATCATGCGGATGCTGCTGCACATGAACGAGCAGTTCACGAAGCGAGAATCAAGCGCCGGGGTGCGTTGTTGCTGCTCGAGGAGATTATATTAATGTACAAGGAAAACCTATTTGTCAAAGTGCCCAAATTGAAAGAATTGATGGTCGCACCTTTGAAGGAGTTGGCAACCACGAGCAGCGATGAGATTGTCAAAGATGAACTCAAGGGACAGGGCATAATTGATGCGTTGGGTATACTAAAAGCATTGTTGCCCAAAATCGATAAATCTTTACATTTGGAAATTACTGACCATTTGGATCTTTTATTGCCTGGGTTGAAGTCTGAATATTCAGTTTTCCGTTATTCGACAGCTAAATGTTTTGCCACTATTTGTTCAGTTGCTCCAACTAAAGCATTCACATTCTTGGTGAATTCGATTTTGCCAATGTTGAAAAATGCTGGAAGTGTTATTGAAAGACAGGGAGCCATCGAGACGATTTATCATATTTCTGCTGTGATGGGTGCTAGCATTTTGCCGTATGTGATGTTTTTGATTGTGCCAGTCTTGGGAAGAATGAGTGATTCAGATCATGATGTACGAGTCTTGGCTACAACCACTTTTGCTTCAATTATCAAGTTGGTGCCCTTAGAGGCTGGTATTCCAGACCCTGAGGATATGCCGCAAGAATTGTTGGAAGGTAGGGAACGAGAACGAGATTTCATATCTCAAATGATGGATCCGACAAAGATCAAGCCCTTTGATCTACCAGTTTCAATCAAGGCAACTTTGCGTAAGTATCAACAAGAAGGTGTCAACTGGTTGGCATTTTTGAACAAGTATCATTTGCATGGAATATTGTGTGATGATATGGGGTTGGGTAAGACGTTACAAACGATATGTATTATCTCCTCAGACCATCATATCAGAGCTGAAAAGTATGTCGAGACTGGCGCTGTTGAGTATAGGAGATTGCCATCTTTGGTGGTTTGTCCTCCCTCGTTAACCGGACATTGGGAGCAAGAGATCAATCAATATGCCCCGTTTATGAAGGTGTTGGTGTATGCGGGAAACCCAAGCATTAGAACACCGTTGAGAAACCAGTTGCCACATGTGGACGTTGTTGTGACGTCGTATGATGTTTCAAGAAATGATGTCGAATTTTTGAGCTCAATAGATTACAACTATTGTGTGTTGGATGAGGGTCATATCATCAAGAATGCAAATTCCAAACTTTCCAAATCGGTGAAACGAATCAAAGCCGAGCATAGATTAATCTTATCCGGTACGCCAATCCAAAACAACGTCTTGGAACTATGGTCATTGTTTGATTTCTTGATGCCTGGATTCTTGGGTACGGAAAAAGTGTTTCATGAAAAATTTGCCAAACCAATTGCAGCAAGCAGGAACAGTAAGACCTCATCTAAGGAGCAAGAAGCTGGTGCATTAGCACTTGAGTCCTTACACAAGCAGGTATTGCCATTTATGTTGCGTCGTCTAAAAGAAGACGTTCTTTCTGATTTGCCACCAAAAATCATTCAGGATTATTACTGTGAATTGAGTGATTTACAAAAGAAGTTGTACAAGGATTTCGCCAAGAATGAAAAGGATAGTATCAAGAATGATGTATCGTCGTCTGAGAAAGAAGGCAAAACGCACGTTTTCCAAGCATTGCAATACATGAGGAAATTGTGTAACCATCCAGCATTGGTTGTATCACCAAACCATCCAAAACACATTGAAGTTGAACAATTTCTCATGGCAAGAAAGTCTCAATTGAGAGATATAGAGCACTCTCCAAAATTGCAGTCCTTGAGAACATTATTACTAGAGTGTGGGATCGGAATCCAAGATTCAGATTATGGAAAGTCAAGGTACAAAAAGACTAATGATGCACTTATGCCTCTCGAAGGTGTCATATCGGAACACCGTGCATTGATTTTCTGTCAATTGAAGGATATGTTGGATATCGTTGAAAATGATTTATTGAAAAAGTATCTCCCATCGGTGTCGTATATGAGGTTGGATGGTAGTACCGATCCAAGAAATCGTCAAGCAATTGTGCGAAAGTTCAATGACGACCCATCAATTGATGTATTGCTTTTGACAACCAAAGTGGGTGGGTTGGGGTTGAATTTGACGGGTGCTGATACTGTTATTTTTGTTGAACACGATTGGAATCCAATGAATGATTTGCAAGCCATGGATAGAGCACATCGTTTGGGACAGAAAAAGGTTGTCAATGTTTATCGTTTGATCACTAAGGATACCCTTGAAGAAAAGATTATGGGATTGCAGAAATTCAAGATGAATATTGCCTCTACTATCGTGAACCAGCAAAATGCCGGACTACAGTCGATGGATACTAATCAATTGTTGGATTTGTTTGATGTTGAAGACGGAGGGGCCAAGATTGAGGAAGGTGGCGATAATGTTGACGAAAATGGAGCCAATGGAAATGGAGGTGGAAGTAATTTGAATAATGGCGGTAATAATGTCACAGAGGAGCTTACAGGTGGCTTGACAGGTAAAGCTGCAGGTGCTGTTGGCGAATTGGCTGAATTGTGGGATGAGCAACAATATGAGGACGAGTATAATCTTGACAATTTCATCAAGACATTGAAGTGAAGATATTGAAGAATAGGAGAATTTTGTAAATATGTAGGTGATGATGAGTATTATGTACAAGTATTGCATTAGGTTTAAAGGGAAGGGTTAATAGAGTTGAAGAGGAACTGGTAGTCTGGAGTACTTGAGCGGTCAAGTCAACGCCTTACGTTACCCAAGCTTCACAAGGTAATTAGCTTTAAAGTCCAGTCCTACTGCAATTTCTCAACCCTGATGAAAAGTTTTTTCATAAGTAGTGACACCTCCTGACACAAATCTGATGCAAAGGGAAGGAAATACTGTCCTTGTTGCAGTCAATTATAAATGTGCAGCATCTACTACGATTTCTTTGCAGGAATATTTTTTTTTTTTTTCATCTCTTTCCAGAAGGGGCATTGAAAGAGGTCTTGCATCACACAAATCACATACACTTGTACAAACTCACAAAGCAAACCCTTTTATCCATTGGGGTGGCCATATATATATATTAAGAAGACCCCGTTCGTTAAGTCTACGTGACACAGGTGACCTCACATAGTCTAGATTCTTTTTTTTTTTCCCCCTTTGTCATCCAGCTAGACATCCCCTCACAGTTAGCAATCACACGATGACTTTGTCGCCGAAGGACCAAGATAAACTAAGACGATTAGAGAAAGACGCCGAAGAGGCATATGTATACATAGCTTCTGATGAACAATCATCTACCTTCAAGGACAAAGAGCTCATTTATGAACTCGATTCAGCAGCTTTAAACCCACAATCCACCATCACCTCATCTCGAATCTCAAAATCAGAAACAAGAGAAACTAAACCGTGGGTACATTTTGTGGCTGGTGGAGTTGGTGGAACTGTGGGTGCAGTTGTGACGTGCCCCTTAGATGTCGTCAAGACAAGACTACAATCAGACGTGTACCACAATGTTTACAACACAACTGTGAAGTCCGGTAATCCTATAAGACAAGCTTTCCAGCATTTGGCCGAAACTGGCAGTGTATTAAGAGGGATGTACGTAAACGAAGGGGTCGCTTCTTTATTCAGAGGTTTAGGACCAAATCTAGTCGGTGTGATACCGGCAAGGTCAATCAATTTCTTCACCTATGGAGCAACCAAAGACTTTTTGATACGAAATTTTGGAACTGCAAACAATGGGATTGAGAAAACAGAACAAACTTGGATGCATTTAGTATCAGGGATAAATGCGGGGTTTGTAACTTCAACAGCAACAAACCCAATCTGGCTAATCAAAACAAGATTGCAATTGGATAAATCCAAACTGAAAATATACAAAAATTCATGGGACTGTCTAAAACATGTTGTTAAGAATGAGGGTTTTTTTAGCTTGTATCGAGGTTTGAGTGCTTCTTATCTTGGTGGAATTGAGAGTACTATACAATGGGTGCTTTACGAACAAATGAGAATGTTTATCAACAAGAGATCATTACAAATACATGGAAACGATCCAAGCAAAAAAACAACTAAAGACCATGTAATGGAATGGTCAGCTAGATCAGGGGCAGCCGGGTTTGCTAAATTCTTGGCCAGCTTAATAACGTACCCTCATGAAGTTGTGAGAACTAGATTGAGACAAGCACCTTTGGAAAGCACAGGGAAGCCAAAGTACACTGGTTTGATCCAATGTTTCAAATTGGTGTTTAAAGAGGAAGGTTTTGCCAGTATGTATGGTGGGTTGACGCCTCATTTGCTTCGAACCGTTCCGAATTCGATTATTATGTTTGGAACATGGGAATTGGTCGTGAGGTTGTTGTCGTGAGATGGAAGTGTTTGCAGGTGACCACCTTTATCCTGCACGCGCCCACGAAGATGTATATTCATTTGGGTAAATGCTTGTAAATAGATGTAAAAAATAATAGACTTTACCCATACTTCACTTTTTTCAAGTCGGGTTCATCTTCCAGCTCCTCATCGCCCTGATCCAGATTTGAGGATGAGACTGAATCTAAATCTAAATCAGATTCGGAATTGTGGTGTCGGTTTCTTGAATATGGTTTTGTTGCTAAAGATGGTGACTGCCTTGAAGTGTCGTTTGATTCGGCTTGATTCGGCTCTTGTTTCTTTGGCTTTTCGGTATTTTGAATCAACTTGTAAAACTTTGGTGGCTTCCCACTGGGTAATTTTACATTTAACTCTTTGATGAGTGGATCTGGCTCATAATGAGCCTTGTCACGAAGCGGAAGTGTCAAATTTTCCAAATCTCCTTCGATTTCCTCCTCTAGATTACTCACATTTGGAACTTTACCCAATGGATTCAATTCTGGGTTGAAGTATATTGATTTCCTACCCCAGAGTTTATTCTTTAGCTTTAGTCTAGCCAGTTCTTGTTTTTCAATATCCTCGAGAAACTTGCCTATCTTTGCCTTATGTAATCCATTCTTTTCAATGAAATGCCAATCCTCTTTTAAAGATGTCAAATGGTCCTCATCTCGATTTGATCTAGGTTCCCTTGACTCTAGATTTTTGATCTTGTGGTACAACTTTATGGGGTCTGCATTCTTGAGCTTCTCCAATTTATGCTGGTGTTTCTGTCGTTGTTGTATTTTCGACTGTTGTTTCCTCTCATTCTGTTTAAACTCCTGCGCTAGACTCCAATTGCCCCGTATCATTCTTGTGAGTTGGCGGTGGTACGGTGGTCAAAGACAGCTTTAAAAAAAATTATTGAAATTTACGAAAAACAAAGTTTCATGGATATCAAGAAGTAGTCTTCTCCCCCTACCCCTCCCCCCTTCATCAAGATGAACCATACGCCAGTGCCCTCGACTCCGACTGCTCCTGTTCAACTAGACTTTAGCCAAATTCCACTAGATGCACTTGAATCCATTCGTAATAGACTTAATCAAATTCATGTTTCGCTACGAAAGCTTTCGGACCAAATAAACTCACACAATAGACACCCAACCAAGGTCAAATTACCCACATTTACTCATTTCCAAAATCAATTCCAAGTTCTCATTACTCAGCTAACTTCGATTGCCAATATATTATACTCCAATGGTGAGCTTCTCTCAAGAACAAATGTGTACCCTACAATCAATTTCCCAACAAGTCAACACGAGGGCTTGCTCACTACTTTGCTAAGAAAAAAAGCATTACCTGAAGTAGACGAGTGGATTGACTCCTCAGCAACTGCGCTTGAAAAATTGCAGGAAAAGGGACCAGTTGATTTTGAAAAAGAAGACGAGTATGTCGCTTGGAGTCTCATGAAGTTGCAAGAGCTACGTGATGAATTCCAATTTTACGGTTTCCATACTGTGGAGGAGTTGGAGTATATGGACACACCAGAAGGTAAAGCGGAATCCAAGTTGAAAAAGGAAGAAGAGAATGCAAGAGAAGAGGCTGAAAGCAAAATCACTCGTGGGGGTAAGAAAAGTTTACACCCAAACCAAGTTATGAAATTCATGTGTCAGGGACAATTATGAGAAAACAAACATCCGTCTTCTTCAAATGATAGTTTCTTCCTCTCTCTATATCTATATAAATAAAAGCAAACTTGTCTTGTCTAGCCTTCCACATGATAATACGCATCGTAAAAATACAAGATTGAAAACACGAAAAATGCAATGGCACCACCCAACGTTACATTTCTCATGGAAATCTTTTTAGCCAAAAGTTTTCCTCCGAGACAAGCGGCGGCAGTACACAATCCATGTCCTATTATAGCTCCGAGTATGACATACCAGTACTCAGATCCGGCTGCCATAGCAATTGTGGCGATTTGAGATCTGTCCCCCCACTCGCCCAAGAAAGTCATTACGAAAACTTGGATCCAAACAGGTGTAAATATGAATGAGGCCAAATTTTGTAGTTGTTGACCGATATTACTAAGCCATGGTTGATTTGAGTTGTTATTGGAGGGGCCGGTACCACCCTCAATATCATTCAACTGGGAATTGATCTTGCTGGATGCAATCTCTTCCTCAACTTCAGCTAGCTCCTCCTCCACTCCTAAATCCTTTGACATGCTCAACCCTTCCCTAAGTAACTTTGCTCCAAATATGACAAACAAAATAGCTGCCAAGAACTGAGTGACACGTTGCGAAATCAAAGTTGGTAATGCATGTCCCACAATACCTGACAACACTGTCATAACTACTAGCGAGGTGAATGCGGCTGTGAATACAATGACTCTCGAGTTTCTCATTGCCATCAAGGCAGCTATGAGGAATGTTTTGTCACCAATCTCTGACACCACAATCATGGACACTGACATGATAAATGCATCGTAATTTTGCGGCCCAGGTGCATCCTCACCCACTGTGCCCGAGCTTTGATAAGGATCCAAAGGTTTTTTCAAGTGGTCTGGTGTAGGATGATTGTCCTCGTCCTCCAATTGTTTAACTCCTAATTTGCTCTTTGATTTATCGTGACCTGCAGTTGTTCCATCGCTGGAAATGACGGCTGCACCAACGGAGTAGTCGTCATTGGCAACGGCACCCAAAACGGTTGCAAAAACGAACGTGAGTGGTACGATACAATTCTGATATTTCATCTCCCTTTGTTTAATTCGGAGTTTAATTCTCGTGCCTTAGATAACAAAACGCGTGAAGCAAGTGTATAAGATTGTGATAGACTACTAGCGGTGGTAGTCTTAGGTTATAAAGTGTGTAGTAGGATTCAACCAAGCACTTGTTGCAAGAAAATAAAGTGCTTCTTGTAATAGGATCTGGTATCGAACTTTTGATATGGTTGTAATCTGTTCCCTTTGTTGGCGCAAAAGTAGGCAAATCGAAAAAAAAAAAAAAATAAAAAAAGTTTTGGATCTGTTGATTTTCTCACAACTTTTTATGCACATTTCATCAACGCAAATTATCCGCACAAAAACGTGGCACGATACATGACTTGCAAAGGGCGAGGGTGAAGTAGAGCTAATAAGTATACGTTGCATTACCTTCTTTTTTTCCTCTTTAAGCTATGTATAAATAGATAATAGCATACACCAGGTTAATGGCCGTGGGGGATTGGGTTATCAACTACAACACCATCCTTAACTTTACCTCCATCGACCCATCCACCGTATTGCACTGGTCCCAAATCTGCGTGCTTCTTTTGGTACTCGTTTATCCTATCCACCATCACTGGTCTAAATGACTTGATTAAACCTTGAACAGGCCATGCAGCAGCATCACCAAGAGCACAAATGGTATGTCCTTCAATCTCTTTTGTCAATTCAAAAATCATATCGATTTCTCTCTCTGTTGCTTGTCCTGTTTGGAATCTATCCATCATTCTTTGCAACCAAGTGGTACCTTCACGACAGGGGGTACACTGACCGCATGATTCGTGCTTGTAAAAATGAGCAAATCTTTGAATTGCTCTTATTACATCTGTCTGTTTGTTCATGACAATAACAGCTGCGGTACCCAAACCGGATCCTACATCCCTCAATGCATCGTAGTCCATCAACACTGTGTCACAAGTCTCCTTTGGCATGATCGGGACCGATGACCCACCAGGTACGACACCCAATAAATTATCCCAACCACCTTTGATACCGCCACAGTGTTTTTCTAGTAATTCCTTTAATGGAATCGACATTTCTTCCTCGACAGTACATGGTTCATTGACATGTCCCGAAATACAAAACAATTTTGTACCTGAGTTTCTCTCACGGCCCAATGCATCAAACCATTCACCTCCTCTTCTTAAGATGGTTGGTGCAACCGAAACAGTTTCAACATTGGCAACGGTTGTTGGTCTTCCGAACAAACCTACACCAGCTGGGAATGGTGGCTTCAATCTTGGTTTACCTGCCTTACCTTCTATTGACTCAATCAAGGCAGTTTCTTCACCACAAACGTATGCACCCATACCTCTATGTACGTAAATGTCAAAGTCGTATCCTGACCCACATGCATTTTTACCAATCAAACCCGCCTTGTAAGCTTCATTTATAGCATTTTGTAGTATAACGGTTTCGTTGTAGAATTCCCCTCTGATATAAATATAAGCAGCAGTCGCATTCATTGCTCTACCTGCCAACAAACACCCTTCAACTAGCTTGTGAGGGTCTTTTCTAATAATTTCTCTATCTTTACAGGTACCTGGTTCACCTTCATCCGCATTGACCACCAAGTATCTAGGACCGGGGTTCTTTTCCCATCCAGGAGGATTCATAAAGGACCACTTCAATCCAGACGGGAAACCTGCACCACCTCTTCCTCTCAATCCTGACTTTTTCATCTCATCAATAATCCACTTGTCTCCTTTCAAGATGATTTCTTTTGTCTTGTACCAATCCCCCATTTTTTGTGCAGATTTCAAATCGTGTCCATAATTCCCATAAAGGTTTTGGAAAATACGATCTTGATCCTTCAAACCCCCATGGTGCCTGTTTGGATTTGCAGCTGGATCTGCTGTTGTTGCCAATCCACGAATTGAAACCAACTGACGGGGCCTTATTTTGAAATTGCGAAGCATATTTTCTGTGTGGTCTATGTGAATAGTAACGTTTCAAGATGCAAATGGAAGATCTAGGCTAGGGAGGCCTTCAACTAATATTTCAATGTACAAATGTCCACACTCTGTCGGTGCTCTATTTTTTCAAAAAAGAAAAAACCTGAGCTTTTTACTTAACTAAGAGAGGAATTTAGTGCACTCTTTTTGTTTTTTTTTTCTTTTCTCTTCCTTTAGTAAAAGGGATTTCCCCAAATCCTATTGGGCGAAATTGCAGAAATCTGGTAGCCCTTCCTTCATACCATGGCATATCAACTTTTGTCCATACAAAGCTTTGCGATTTCAATGATGGCATCATAAATATAGAGAGGACCGGTCATGTTACACTCCTCAAGCAAGTTCCCAACGGCCGTGCTAGGCAATTTGCTTACGCGTCGACAGCTAAATCCGTTTTGCTAAAAGGTGGTTAGTATTTTTGGGTTCCGAACAGAGGATTGGAATATATACACATACATGGCAATAACTGGCAATTTGTTGCAACAGTGAGGAAAATTCCAGCTCCGTCAAGTCTCCTTTGTCAAGTTTGACTCTGTTGAGACACATTTTTAGAACCTGTTCAATTTCGGTAACGCTTGGACTATTGAATTTGAAAACCCGAACTGTTCGATCAACAACGGCCGAGTCTATAATGCTGATAATATTTGTTGTTGCAATAATAACTAAATTGGAAAACCTTTTCAAGCGATCTAGAAACGTGATGAGGACGTTAACGATCCTCAACCCATCGGATACCTCATTGTTGCCAATCAAGTTCTCCCTACAGGTCGCGATTGTTTCCAATTCATCGATTAGAAGGAACACAAGTGAGGAAGGATGGTGGAGTGATAATTCCTCCACCGAAGAGAGCAATGACAGTAGCTTTTTGGGAGATTCTCCGAAATACCTTGAAAAGATTTCACCAGCAGCAAACTCCAAGAAAATGGCTGGGACATGGGTTTCTAGTTTCTGGCCGCCAACTGCAAGCTTTTGAAATAGGGCTTTTGCGAGTGATGTCTTTCCGGTACCGGGCATTCCCTCAAATATAAGAAAATTGCCAGGCTCAAGTCCAACTTTATTTGAATTGATAATCGTCTTGCAGCACTGCAAAATGGACCGTTTCATCCTTGTACCCAAGACTATATTCTCCCAACTGTTTAGTAGATCCTCGTGTGGGAGCTTACAAACTTTGAATCCTGTGTTTGTCATTAACTTGATTTCGTCAATCATACCGTTCACCTCGTCAAAAGCCCTCAAGCTGGGCTCCTTTTCGATCAAAGTATTCCTTGTGAATTCTGCTTGAGCGGCTTCAATGAAAGAGGCGTCTTCAAATTGTTGCGTCATATCATCCACGCTGACACTTAAGTTTGAATTTGCAACATAGAAATTTTCAAGCATGGATGGTATTGAGTAAAAGATGAACTGGAAATTGGTTGAAGCGTCAATTGAAATGACGTCCGGTAAGGCTCTCTTTTTACGCATCTCGTCGATTAACTTACTGGCTGGAGAGTTTGGTGTTAATATCTTCTGCGTTGTTGCAAATAGTGTGCTGACCACAAATTTGGATTTTAAAATCTGGTCGACTTCGGTTGTAAGCAGAAGACTCCTGTGTGTAGCGGTGCTTTCGATATAACGATATGTTGGTACGACTTTGATAACACACCCGTGGACTATGGCTGCCAAGACGGAAGGTGAGAATTCAGTCGTTTCCTTTTGAAAGTTCATTTGAGCAAACGTTTCCGATGACGTTCGTGTGGAATCCATCTCGTCTTTAGACAACACGAACTTTTCTACATCTTGTGTGTCTATCGTTAGTGGCTTGTCAAGTAGAATTTGTTGGTTGCAACTCCGTATATAGTTATTCAAATGCGACTCTAGAATCTCTCGCGCAGCAGAAGGATCCATAACAAATGGGACCTTGATACCTCCCGCATCACTCTCAAGGCACATCAATGCCAACCAAGGTCGAACGCAGCATTCAAAGATTATTGTTGACATTCAACTTTTTGGTGGTGTAAAAAAAAAAAAAAAAAATAAAGTGGTTGCCTTAATTTCGCAAGGACTGTTCTACGTTGTTGTGCAGAATTTATTAGCCACAATTTACCACTATAAAGTAAAGACGTTTTATCCTATATGGCTTACTATGAGTTATCTCTACAAAGCATTGATACTCTTATGGGGTTTGGCTTCCAAAAGTCAAGCCGCATTCTCCACTCTACAAAAAAAAAAAAAAAAAAAAAAAAAAAAAAAAAAAAAAAAAAAAAAAAGCACACATACAATAAGTTGGCATGTCAATTTTCATGTGGTGAATAATCCACTTTGTCTTGGCCCCCAAGGATGTTCAGCATTCCGGCAGTATTGGTTGTGGTGGCGATTGCCTTAAACTACTATTTTGCGTCAGCGTACAGACTGCAAGCCTCGCGACCGACAGATGTATCCTACACGTATAATCCCCTTGCCAAGGGCCAACCCAAACTAGCATCCAATTCATATCTACGAAAACGCTTTCCACCACGAAATTTGGAGCAAATTGGAAAGGAAAATGCCACCATGATAATGCTTGTACGCAATGGGGAGCTAGAAGGTGCTCTTTCTTCAATGCGGTCTTTGGAGGATAGGTTCAATCGAGAGTACAAATATCCGTGGGTCTTTATGAATGATGAGCCTTTTGATGAGGAGTTTGTTGAAAAAACAAGCCTAATGGCTAGTGGCAAGACCTACTACGAACTTGTTCCAGCCGAGCACTGGCAGCCACCACCTTATATAAACAGAACCAGATTGGAGGAGAATTTGAACACTTCAACAAATGTACTTTATGGTTTCCTGAGGTCATACAGAAACATGTGTCATTTTTATTCCGGGTATTTTTACAAACAAGAGCGATTGTTGAACTATGATTGGTATTTTAGAGTTGACCCGGATGTTGAATACATGTGTGATTTTCAATATGATCCATTCCAACTACTACGAGAAAATAACAAAATCTACGGATTTACCATTGCTATTACTGAGTTCGAAAATACGGTTCCAACACTATGGCAAAATGTTGAAGCATTCATGGAAAAGTACCCTAGCCTCCTCCATACAAACAATGCCCTCGACTTCCTAACAACTCACGAAACAACAATCACGCATTACATGACATTCACAGAATCTACATCGAGGTACAACTTGTGTCATTTCTGGTCAAATTTTGAAATTGCCAATTTGAACTTTTTCCGAAGCGAAGCATACGAAACATTCTTTAGGCATTTGAGCGAAGCTGGTGGTTTCCATTACGAAAGATGGGGTGATGCTCCTGTGCATTCAATTGGCGTTTCCCTATTGGCCGACAAGAACCAAATTCACCACTTTGAAGACATTGGGTACTATCACGCGCCCTTCTTGGCATGTCCGCATTCAGAGGATGTTATAGCTTCGAAGAGGTGCATTTGCAAGCCGAGAGATGCACATCATGACATGAACCGTACAATCGATGTCAATGCGCACAGTTGTTTGTCACGATGGTGGAAGTACGGAGCTGGAAAATCGTTTTTGAATGAAGCTGACTACCATCGGTGGTAGGGCAGACCGCACTTCTGCAAACGAAGTGTTATATACTTGCTGATTGATTGCTTATGTACTCTAGTACTGTAGTCCTGTATATAACCATTTGCCCTATCCAATGACAGTGTTGAAAATTTGTATTAGTTTTCAGTCGCACGAAAGAAAATTTAAAACAGCAGAGCGGGAAAGAGACAGCTTTTTCACATCTTACATTCAAAACATATCCATTGACTAGATATGGCAGGTCCACCACATCCACATACATATATGGGCTGGTGGGGAGCTATTGGTTCCCCCAAGCAAAAGTACATCACTCAATACACCATCTCGCCATTTGCTGCTAAGCCATTGAAAGGAGCTGCTTACAACGCTGTCTTTAACACCTTTAGAAGAGTCAAGAACCAATTCTTGTACGTCGCTATTCCAGCTGCTATTGTCTACACCATCTTTGATAGGGCAGAAAGTTACAACGAATACTTGTACACCAAGGAAGGAAGAGAAGAATTGGAGAGAGTTAACGTATAGAATGTGTTGAGCAAATACATGATATTGAAACCGCAGTCTTTTCACATTGCCATTGCAGAATGTACAATTACTTAGATCTTTTGTAAACCTTGTTCAAGAATGCTGTCAAGACGTCCTTTTTCAATCCTCTCGACTCATCAATTTGGTCAATTTGTTGTCTTAATTTTTGAACAATTGACTCCTCGTAGTCGTGATAAATCTTTTCAATACCCAAATCCTTGAACAACTGTTTACACCTAGCCTCTGACTCGTCGTCTTTCTTTCCGTAGTTGTCATCCAACAATTTTCTTTGTTCTGGAGTTGCATGCAATAAAGCTTGGTTAACAACCCAAGAACATTTGTTGTCTTTGATATCGGTTCCAATTTTACCAATCTGCTCTGGAGTTCCAAAACAATCCAAGAAGTCATCTTGAATTTGAAAGTACTCACCAAGGGGGATCAAGACATCCTTCACTTGTTTCAAGTCTTTCTCATTGTTTATGCCCGACATGTACATGGCCAAAGCGACAGGTAAGTAAAATGAGTAGAATGCAGTCTTGAAAATAACAATAAACGAATGCTTTTCCAAAGAGAACTTGTCCAAATCCACGTGCTCTTCATCTGCAGTGACCAAGTCCAACAATTGGCCCAATTCGGTTTGGAAAGTAACCTCGTGGAACAAATCCAATAAATCCACGTAATATGAATCTTTACGGAAATGTTTTCTCAAAATTTCGTATATGGCACCATCCAACATAAATGAGTCATTGATTGCTATGTTTCCAACACCTTCTTTCAAATACCAACATGGCTGACCTCTTCTAGTTTTAGACTGATCCATCATGTCATCGGCGACTAAAAAGTACGCTTGTAAAAGTTCAATTGCCCACCCCAAAATGGCAACTTTTCTATATGTTACATCGTCTAATTTGTCGGATGTGGTATTGTTCAAAATAGCATACGTGTCCACCACTGATAACCCACGATTCAACTTACCACCAGGTGTATTGTAGTTCAAATTGTTTTTAAACCAGGAGATTGCCTCTTGTGGCATCTTGTAGGAGACAAGTATGTCTGTCAATTCATCGACAATTCCTTCGAATACGTTGATAAATCTCGTTCTTGCGGATTCTTTGGACATGCTGACGTGGTATGTGTGGTACAGGTTAGCTTTGTTGATTTTGAAAAATTTACATGCAATAAAATTCTAAACGACGCGAACATTTTTTTACGAGCGAAGCCCACAATACAAAGAATCTTGACTTTTTAGTATCCAAACATATACATTCAATAAATGGATTGTGTGGCTTTCCTTTACTCAACTTCATCTTTCATCTATAGAGGTTTACACAAACTCGCTACCTCCTAGAACGTTTACTCTTTCCTGGTCTTGAAGATTTTCCCTTCATCTTCTTACTGGAAAATCCGGAGATATCAGCAGACGAGGCAGCGTCATTCTTTCTGGATCCACTCTTTTTGCCTCCTTGCCCATACTTGGCATTTTTGGCCATTCTCTTTCCATTGACTTTTCTCCTCTTGTTGTCACCACCACTGCGTCCTGAATGTTCATCTTTAGTGGCTTCTTCCAAAGCGATTTGAAAATCATCGTCATTACTGATCTCGTTGGCACCCCTCTTCTTTTTCAAGCTCTTGATCTTTTCCAAAGTCTCTTTCTTCTGCTTGGCTCTCTGCTGTAAAGTCTCGTGTTGCACTTGCTTACCGAATTTTTTCAATTGTCTTTGTTTCTTTGCATCCTCTGAAGCTTTCTTGTTGGCAGCTTCGCTCAACAATTTCGTCTTGAGCTTGTCCATATGTTCATCACTCTTGACCATCTCTGCAAAATAATCCACAGGACGAGAAAATGGTACCTTGAGTTTAAGCAAGGTGCTTCTAGCTTGTTTGACAGCATCCAACCCTTGCTTGTAAAATGCCAACTCCCTTTCCGTGTCGTCATAGATATCCTTTATTTGGGATTCGGCATTTTCTGCACTAGTAACAGATTGGTGTTCGGTAAAGGGATGTTTTCCCCATGGAAGCTGAATTCGTGCCAATGATTCTCTTAATGCTGCCATATTGTTTATCGTGAGTTTTGTGTGAGGCACAATGTCGGCATCTGAGTCATAATCCACGTCAGACAAAGGTACATCGTCTTGTTCCTCACCTTCCTCATCGACATTTTTTTCTTCTTCTTGGATTTCCTGGTCAGCTTCTTCGTCATCTTCACCATCTTCTTGATCTTCTTCGCTTCCACCGATGTCACTCTCACTCTCGCTTGCAGCTAATTTTTCCAAGTCCAACTCATCCTCTTCTTCGACTTCATCATCTTCCTCTTCCTCTTCCTTTTCCTCAACAGAATCGTGTTCTTCATCTACTTGAGCCTTTAATTTTTTCAATTTCCGAAGGTCCTTCTTTGACAAAGCACTACTCTTGTACTCATCCAATTCGCCACCAATCTTCTTTAAAATTGGTTTCTGAACAATGGCAGGTGTGATTTTCTCCTCCTCTTCCTCCTCCTCTTCCTCCTCCTCCTCCTCTTCTTCTTTCGACTCTACATTCTTGGTTTCAGAGCCATTCTTTTTCTTGCTCTTTAAATTCACAATGTCTTCTTTATTTTGTGATTTGTGATGCTTGAGCTGTTGTTTCAATGTACCTCTACCCATACTTGGCTTAAACTTAATGACTATTGAGCGTTGAGATCGAAAGACATTAAAGAGATGCCATTAGAAGAAAAAATTAATTTCGCAGAGATGAGAAGGGGATTTCTGCGCTACCTTCCGATACAGACTAACAACTAAAGCGCTCCCTTAGACAGTAGTTATCACTTTCCAAAGAGGTGCAAGTTCTACAACCCTTAGGCCCCCCTTACGTGTCTATCTCTTTATCCAAACATTGCAGATCTTCTTTATTAACCTTTTTGTATTAAATGTACAAACCTAAAACATTCTCATATCTCACCATCTCGTAAATACAACTTTACTTCAATTCAATTCACTTCACTTCACTTAACGCTTAGGCTGAAGCAGTCAATCTTCTTTGTGAGGCCAATCTTCCTCTTTGTCTAGCGTTCAATCTGACAGCTTTCTTGTCGGTGGCTTTTTCAACAACGTCATCTTCTTCAGTCAAGGTCAATTCAATGTGGGAAGGACTAGATTGGTAAGCGTTTATTCTACCGTGAGCTCTGTATGTTCTTCTTCTTTGTTTTGGGGCTTGGTTGACTTGGATGTGAGAGATGGTCAATTTTTCAGTGTCTAATCCCTTAGCTTCGGCGTTGGCTTGAGCGTTTCTCAACAAGTCCTTGATGAAGTTAACGGATTTGGCTGGCCATCTAGCTTTGGTAACACCGAATTCTTTACCTTGACCGGTTCTTCCAATAGAGTGGTTGAATCTTCTGAATGGAATAGCTCTTTGGTGGTCCAAAACTTGGTCCAAGTATTGTTGAGCTCTGGTCAACTTCCAACCGTTAATGGCTTGTGCGGTTTCTCTGGTGTTCTTGAATGAAACTCTCAAGTAAGATCCACGAGCAGATGCTGATTTGCTTGGGTTAGATGGGGTGGCAGCGTAACGAACCATTGTTGATGTGTTTGATAAGTTGTCGTAAGGGAAACTACTATCAGTTTTGAAAATTTTAATATCTGTCTTGAGATTTTTTTTTTTTCTTCTTCTTCTTCTTTTCCCCTGCCTTCCCTCGCACTGTGCAAGGCTCCAATACTTTGTTCGCTTAACTATGTGAGTGGTAGCTCTATTTTATTCTTTTCGAAGAAAGTGACTTAGGGTTACAGCCCTGATAGACTTTTGAGCCAAATGAATAGAGCTTGATTTCAGCATAAGTAATCAAAGAGATTGGCCGACAGCTAGAAAAAATATAGAACGTGAATTTAGATATATTCGAATTGACTTGGAACTTAATGGCTTCGTAGTCAATGCAAATTGCAGAGTGTGTGAATGCTATTTAACCTCGACCGATCCTAATATCGGTGTTATGAAATGGCTTATACGCTGCTTGTACCAATCTTCTATCAAAATGCGTGATTTTTTCTATGTAACGTCTCTCTGTCTGCAGACGCCGGTTTGCTTTTGATTTTGGTGTGTGGAAACCCATTACACAAATGGGAATTAGATAAGTTATGCAACTTTGTTGAGACTAACCGAGTAAAGGAAACACTTGAAATCAAAAAAGTCGATATAGATGTGTACCAAAGCTGGATGATCTGACTAATGTAAGACGCGATACAGAACAAACGAGTTGACTCGAGTTTCTTTCCAAGTTTCCATGTAAATACAGAGACTTGCGATTTTCTGTTCTCTTTTTGCAACCAAATGACCTAAAAAAAAATCGATGTAAGGATTGGTACTTTAAAATTACAAACTAAATGGAACACAAGACTTTGTTTAAAAATATCATCAGACTGGACCGACAGAAAGAAGAACAATAAGACAAAGACACAATATTTTGTAAAGTCATGGTTTCTACAAGGAGCGTAACAATCAATTTTCGGTGCAGAACCGAGCTACGCATTAGTTCCTAAGAAGAAGAAGAAGAAGAAGAAGAATGTACCAATACGGGACACTCCTTTAAATCACCACCATTCACAACAAATTGAAGCCAGTATGTCCAGGTAAGGTTTTTAAAGTACTAATTGCTCTTCCTTTCAAGTAGCAGTATCACAATAGTGCCTGAATACTGTGCGGAACTAAAAAAATATAAAGAGAGTTAGTAATCACCGGGGGTGATGCACGAACTCTAGGTACACACCTATGCGTACTTCAATGACCATTCTGTTGAGATACCTTGGATAAATGATACACTAATGTTGAGAAGCAAGCAACATGTTTAGTATGGGCGTGTACTTTTACACAATTTCTACAAAGACACGACACAAGAGCGACAAAGACAGAGACAGAGACAGAGACAGAGACAGAGACAGAGAAAGAAAGAGAGAACGAAAAACTGAAAACATATACCAAAGGCTTTCCCGAATATCTAAAAACCCGAACTATTCAAAACCTCAATCATTTCAAGTGACTGTGTACTTGTTATACTTTCCTTTTGCGCTTGACAGGTGGATTTTGCTGAATTGAATATAAAATTTAATTATCAAGTCACCTATTCTTGCAGATTGAGTATATGTTGTAGTCATCATATACAAAGTTACATTCACCACAGATAAAGCCAGACCAAACGAAGTACCACACTCAACAGTTTAAGAAACCCCTTCCAGTCACGGAACTCAAAAGAACATTTTGCTTTACATACGCAGGCGAACACGTCATTTGACCTAGCATCATACACAGCCCCCACTAGCAATCACACATTAAGAACATTGTCCTTCATATACTTGAAAGTGCGCTAAGGTATCATCCGGTCGTAGAATTAGACACAAGCAATGAGCTCAGTACCAAATGACGAAAAGATAAGACAAGCGGACGAAATAAATGACGGAGAGCAAGGCTCAGAGTCAAACTCAGTTCCTGCTCAAGCAATCTCAGAAGATGACGAATACACGGAACAAGGTCAGGTGGGGGAGCAACAACCCCTAACAACTGAGCGTTTAGATCAAAAGCAAGTGCAGGAGATGCAAAAATTGCGATCGAATAGCACCCAGGATGCACCACCCGATTTAGAACTGGAGTCTCTAACGCATTTAAATGCAGAAGACGTCAGTAGCAGAGGAAAGCATGATCATAATTTGGGGAACTCAGTAGATGGTGCTGTCATTGAAGAGCATGACGATAATAAAAATGGTAACAGTACTAATGACGAACAGTTTCAAGAGACTGAAAATTTTGAGAATCCAGAAATCAAAAAGGAAGAGGAGGAAGTAAGGCAAGATGAAAGGGAAAATCCCAATATCTCTCAACTTGAAAAACAGGATAACGAGGAGAATTTGAGCCACTCGAAAGATCAACAGCTAGAAGCGGATGTTGTTGTAGACACTGAACTACCTTCGATACCAGTCAACCAAGCACCGAAAGACGAGCCATTTGAAGACAAAGAGCACTACATAGAAGCAGTCTCGAAGGAAAGTGAGCAAGGTAATCAAAATGACGACAAGATAGAGGGACAGCAAGAAATTGTGGAGACTGAGCAAGACACAGAGGCAAAAAATTCTGAAGATAAAGACGCATCCAACGAAAAGGAAGATGATGATGGTATGGAATCTGAACAAGTGCACGCGGAGCCAACGAAAGACCCACTCGCGAGTAGTTTGGACACCGGGCATGACCAGATTCACAGCCAACAAATCGGAAGTGACCAACAATTTGAAAGTGACGCGATGGAAGTGGACCACCAGAATGAATTTGCTACAGCTGAGGGCGTAAAAGAATATGACGAGGAGGAGTTGAATCAGGAGTTAGGCGAAGCTGAAAATTTGAAATACACTCAAGCTGACGATCCAGCATTTGATGCCGATTTCAATGCCGATGCTGGCACGAATTCTAACGACAACTTTGACAGCTCGTATCTTGTTGGAGACGCCAATGATGTACCAGATGATGAGGATTCAGAAATGAAAGATGAGCTGACAGGCGAAGCCGAGAAGCAAGAACCAAGTCAGTCTCTCCAAGACAACCAGGACAGCATCGGTGGAGCGGCACCAGTTCACACTCAAACTACCCCATCAAGTAATTTACCCTTTGTTGGTGAGAACTTAGCGGAGCGCATTGAGGACTCGGTGAAATCTAGAACCACATCAGTGGTGGGCGATGAGGACGAACAGGAGCAGCTCGTGCAAGAAGAACTTGATGATGCCGAGAAAACTGCACCGAAGTTTAAGCAAACTCATTTGATCGTCATTCCTTCATATGCAAGCTGGTTCAACATGAAGAAAATACACAGAATAGAAAAGGAGTCTTTGCCTGAGTTTTTTGACTCTTCTCATCCTTCCAAATCACCGAAACTTTACGCTAACTACAGAAATTTCATGATAAATTCATACAGACTAAACCCAAATGAGTTTTTAACGTTGACTTCTTGTCGCCGAAATCTAGTCGGAGATGTGGGGACCTTGATGAGGGTACATCGATTTTTAAACAAATGGGGGTTGATTAACTATCAGGTCAAGCCACAATTCAAGCCGGGATACGCTATCGAAAAATTACCAAACGGACTGCTGGTCGATTTGCCTTACACAGGAGACTTCCATGTGAAGTTTGACACGCCAAGGGGTCTCTTTCCATTTGACACTTCCAGAATTCCACCGGAAAGAGTAGACATCGACAAATTGAAAAGCCTCATGCAGACTGATATACTGACGCATCCTAAAATAGAAAAGAATGGAGGTAGCAGAAAACATTCATTGAGTGCCGAGAATGAGCACAAAGTCGATGAGCCTGTATCAAAGAGACAAAAAAGCGACGGGTGGAGTCCGGAGGATGTTAGTAAATTGGTGAATGCGGTCAATAAGTACAAGAATGATTGGTATCAAATCGCCTCTGTTGTTGGAAACGCAAAAACCCCACAGCAGTGTGTTCTCAAGTTTTTGAAGTTACCTTTAGAGGACAAATTCAATCCCATTAAGGATGATGAGACAAGTGATATCCAACTTTTGAAATTTGCCTCGAGTTATCCAGTGAACTCTATAGACAACCCAGTGTTGGCTAACCTAGTGTTTATGACAAGATTAGTTGATAGCGATGTTGCCAAAGCTGCTAGCGAAGCTGCTATTAAAGCAATGGATGCCACAATTCGAAAGAAAATAACCGATCTGTATGGAGAAAAGAGTGACCGAGTTGACGAAGACAAGAGAGACACAAACTCTGCTGGAAAAGATCCCGGACTCAAACATGAGATAAACACGGATGATGCAGAACAGTCGATACAAAACGGACACGGTCGAGAAGATACCGCCGAAAGCGAAGCAACTGCTACTACCTTTGGTATTGTGGGTGCCCGAAGTCATCTTTTTGCCAATTACGAGGAACGGGAAATGCACAAGATAAGTGCCAGTATTGTTAATCAAGAGTTGTCAAAAGTTGAAACAAAATTGGCAAAGATTGAAGAGTTGGAGAAGATCTATGAACGTGAGAGACAGAATTTGGCAAGGCAGCAGGAGGAAAATTTCGTTGATCGATTAGCTTTGACTAAATCCACCCTTGACGTTATCAAAAAGCTTGAGGATGCAGCTCTGTACTTGGAGGCAAAGGATTCAAGTGAAGAGAACAAATTCGATCAGGACAAGTTCAAAAGTCTCGTTTCCGAAGCGAGAAGCTTGATTTATAAGCCGACAAAGCAGCTGGTAGAGGAAGTCAACACGCTGAGTGACGAGAAACCCGATTTCAAGAAGAATGAGTCAGAGGAATATGGAGGCGAAGATTACAAACCATTGTCGTTGACCTCCCCTCAGAATTTCACCGTATGGGCGCCGTGAATATACCACAATCGTTGCGTATCTCAACAACAACAAAAAAAAACAAACAAACACTGCTTTTAGGTATCTTTCGATCTATTTCAAGAAGAGATATTTCATTTATAGTGTATTGTACCTATGAATTGTATTATTGACTATAAATAAATACCTGTAAAACATCTGTATTGGGTTGACTAATTTTGCAAGCCCTATCATTGAGAACGACTATTTCGTGTAAAACGGCAAAATTCAAGAGAAGAGTTTGAAGAGCTTCAACACGAGGAAAAACAAAAGAAGGAAGGAAAATTGGACCCACGGCATTCTGGTTAAGGACAAAGCTTGTTCATCAAAAGTCATACTTCACCACACACACGCTCTCTCTCTATCTATCTATATATCCTAATTGGTTTTTTAGGGGTACGTACAAACTAAGAAATTCCTTAATTATTAACTTTTAGTATTAGATTCATCGGGTTTTTTTTTATTACTCCGACACAAGAGAAAGAAATACTCTTTTAAAGCACGCAAAAAGGAACGATTATCCACAACATGGACCAGAACGCAAACACCAATACTGAACATGGGGAGATTCAGGAAAACACTGGCTTACAAAATGATCCTACTGGTTCCATAAATTCAGAGAATGCGTCCACAACATTCCAGGCGTCCAATAGTATTGGCACAACCCAGCAACCAGACATTGTGGTGACAGGAAGCGAGAGCCTTGCAAGTGAGTTGACTGCAGGTAATGTTGTAAGTGGTACTACAGAAGAGGGAGCTACTGTAGTACATCGTGAAATCAGTAAGCCAGCAGGGGTCGCACAGACTGAGCAATTAGAAACCACTGTGACCGCAACAGTAGCGAATAAATCGAATGAAGCGCAAGAGACTCAGTTTGGAGAGATCCAAAACAATGTCAATGAAAGTCATGGTCTTGGCCAAGCAAGCATTTCAGAGGAGCAATTGGAGTATGATGACGAGGAAGAGGATAATGGCATTGCGCCAATTGAAAAAGCACAACCGCAAACTATTGGCGAGAGCATTGACACTGGGCTAGAAAGCAATATCGAGCAATCAAATGCTTCAGAGGTGGCTGAGGGGAACAATGACGACGTCGTAACAAGTGGTGGCGTTCAAGTATCTGATTTTGTTAATAATGGTGACACTAATGAGAAGGGTAACACAGAGAATGCGAAAGTGTCAGGCGAAGGCACTGCTTTAGCAAGCAATGGATGTCACGACAACAGTGCAGTTGCTGACAATCACGACATCAACAACAAGGACGAACCAAATGCTGCAAAAGAAAATGAAGAGGGCAACAAGGCAGCAGCTTTCAACAACAGCGAGACTATTGAAGTTGTAATGGCAAATGGTGAGGAAGAGAAAATCGAGCTAGATGCAAAAGTGTCCCACGAAGAGCAAAACCAACAATACACCACCCAAGAACAGAATCCAAATGAACATTTTGACGAGGCAATGGATGACATTAACACGTTAGTCGAGGATGTGCCAGATTTTAAAGAACAAGTCAACACCAGGATACCTATATACTTGAGACACAAGGATGTGGAATTTCTCTTGTTCCGGTCAGAAAATCAAAATGAACCTAGTCCAATATTTGAAGATGAGTCGAGTGAAGATATTTCTCTTGACGAGTTTTTTGGAATATTGCGCACAATTCCAGAATTCAATTTCAACTTGAATGAGGAAATTATACTTTCGATTCCTCAGTTTGGTGGAGTCACGGTGACGGAAGACAATGTGTATTGCAAAGACCTCCAGTTGTCTGATTTATTAGACGTTTATTACAAGTTGTGTGACTGTACGACTGAGAAGAACAAGATACCGCAGCAGTTGGATTTCAAATTGACATCTCAACCTCGTTTCATTATGAAGTACAACAATTTAGTGGATACGATAAAGCAGAACCGTGGATTCGAGAACATATTACCAACAGACCATTCTGATCATGAAGTGGAAGAAGAAGTAGAAGAATCAAGAAAGAAAAGAAAACTCTGAATTTATGGACCATAGATAGAATTATTTTATGCAAAGTATATAGCCCGAGACAAATGCAGCACCTCCCTCCCCCCTCTGTTTCAAACTCTTTTTTTAAGTACAACTATTAAAGCACCAAGTCTCGTTCTTTTAATCGGGAATAAAGCTCGGGCTCTATGTACTTTTTTAATGTCGGCTCTCCAGTTAAATCCTTTCTCCTTCTAGTTTTGAGAAGGAAATCTCGAGATAACGACTCCTCGGGAACTGGCTCCAATGTAGGCAATGGACATGCACCATCGAATGGATCTCCAGGCACAATGTCCCAATGCAGGAATACCATCGACATGGACACTTTGTTGTGGGCATGTAACTTTGCATCTGAAATCATGCCAAAACTATCAATGACAGGAACAAAGCCTTCGACGTGATACAATGGTGTACCTTCAATTGGCTCTTGCTTGCTAAAATTGCCCCTTCTGAGGTTGAGAATTTCCTTTAAAACACGTATAGCCTTGTATGGGCATACTGCGTCGACTTGATAAATTGGTTCCATGATCCGTGGCTTGGCAGTTAGTAAGCCGGCATAGCAAGCACGACGCACTAAGGGGATAATTTGTGCAGCATTCAAAGCAAACTGTGAATTCTCTCCAAATTGTGCATCGAGAATCTTAAACTTGACATTCCGGATTGGCTCATTAAGCAACGGACCTTCGTTGACGCTCCATTTGAAACCGGAAACAATCAAGGATTTCAATTCGGAAAGATGATCTTTGTCAGTTTCGCCATCTAAAGTGTCATCAAGCAAAATGTCCGGTCCGATTAAATCTTTAGGTCCAAAAGACCAAACTGACCTCGCCGCCAAAGCATCCCATCCAAATTTATTTTTCAAAATCGATGACATTTCCTTTTTACTTAGATGAATGTCAATCAATTTTCTTTCAATTTCAAAACTCAATGCCGCGTCATTCACAGGCTCAGCAATAATTGAAATAGAGACTTCTCCATTGGCAGTAGTAACGGGAATTTGTGTAAATGATTGCGCAATGCACGTCTCTGAGAAGATTGTCATTGGGTCGCTTACTCTGATTTGTAAGTCGTTGTTGAAGAAAAGTCTCAAATCATGCAACAAGCAATCCATGTAGAATTCACCAGGACCAACAACTGAAATTTCACCATTCTCTCCAACACTTAAAACGGAGGATAAATATGACCGAGATATCTTTTCCAAGCCCTCAAGTAGTAAGGGTCTCTCATTTGGGTTCATGGGCTCCACTGCAACCTTCAAGACCGATGTAACTGCATAGTCAGGAGGTTTGAAAACCGGGTCTTTTACATTATCTAGCGACACTACCGTGGCACCCTTTTTGATACTGGAGTCAATATCCTCAATCAAAACTATAGTATTAGAAATACTCTCCACTGGTACGTTATATCTGCCACCAGGTAAGTAAAGATGCTTGACAGTGGCACTAAGCTCCTTGACATCGTCTCCCTCATTTTCGACGTAAACCTTGATTTGATCGCCTTCATTTAGCGTTCCAGAATAAATACGACATAATGCCAAGAAGGACTCGCCATCGGGCGACTCCACATGCTTGCTAATTTTTCCAAGCAATGGTGCCTCAGTGGTATCTATAGGAGGAGATGGAATGGACGTTTCAACGGAGTCCACGAAACCGGTCTCATGCTTGAACACTCTTTGGAAAACTGATTTCAAAAGTATCTTGACATCCTTTTTATACTCGGATTTGGAAATGGAAACCCTAAAATGATCCCATAAAAGTTGCCCCAATTCTTTATGAGGTGGTTCAGTAGTTAAAACATAGATTGCAATTTGGTAAACTATCTCCAACGCAAACGCCACAAACGTATACGGGTACTTGCCTCCGTTGGAATCGGTCGTTATTTCATTTTTTTCGTAGTTGAAGAAGTATTCCCCCCACAATCTTTCCTGAAAGTCCCTCACTTGCATCTCCGATCGTTGTGTGTGTGAATACAAGTTGGCGAAACTACTCGTCGTGAACGAAATGCCAAATTCCGATGAGGCAAAAACAACGTTGCTTGAAGTGGGACATAGTCTTTGAGATTTAGTGTACTTCGTACCTCTGTCTCCATCAATGTATTGGTTCACGTCGTCGATTATATTGAAAAGCTTCAAGTACGCGTCCTTTGGTGGCAACCTGAGCTCTAATACCAATCGATCGATTTTGTTCAATACAAGCACGAACGGCAAGTTGCGATGAAAAATCTCGTCTAGTATCAATTTATCTTTGAAAGTCAAGCCCACTACCGAATCCACGACCAACACAGCTCCATCACATATCTCGAGCCCAGCCACAACCTCATCTCCAAAATCGGCATGACCTGGCGTATCTAATAAACTGAGTACATATGAAGAGCCTTTTACATTTGGAAGCATTAAAGTGATTGGTGAAGTCTTTATTGAGACTTCCCTCTCTATTTCCAATTTATGATTATCCAAGTATCTCTTAGGTCGTGAGTGTTTCGATTTCCCATCACTCTCCACGTGCGTTTTTTGCACAAGTTGGTCAAGAAATGACGTCTTTCCAGATTGAAAGTTCCCAACAATGCAAACATTTCGTATCCTTTCAGGAACCTCGCGTATAGTGTGAACCATGTACTCTCTTGAATAGGTTAATTGTGGTAGACTCTCCTCGTTGATGACCATTTTCATCCTCTTGTCCACCTTGGGGGCAATCACTGGCATATTCTGTGAAAATTCAGTAGGACTAACATGGATTATTTCTGAGTCCTCCGTCGGTACCGCATTGCTCTGAACAATTGCATTTGTGGATGTTTCTTGATGTTTGATGGGCGCCAATTCCTGTCCTGCTGACACATCTTGTTCTTGTGTCCCAGTGTCCAGATTAGACTCAACTGGTTCACCGATCAAGTTCCCGAATTCATCATATAGCTCTTCGTCGTTCATTGGAATCCACAATGTGCTGAGTTTTGAGCACAAGTGAAGTATGCATTGATAACAATTTTTTTTTTTCTGATGCGCAGAGAACTCTTCAGAGGCAATGAAGAGTGGATACTATCGACCCCTCCACTACACTATGTCACAAACTTGAGCCATAGATGCAATCCATTGTCATTCATTCTAATTAGTATAGTACAAACTTTTTCTTTACTCAATGAGGAAGCAATAACCACCTCTTTTCAAGAGCTACACACAGTAACATGTGTTATTACGTCAATGTTTGGTATTTCCTCAACTCAGTCAACAAACTTTGCAACTGGACGTCTGAAACTTTATTCTGTAAGCTCGGTATCAAACTCTTTGCTTCCTCAGCATCCTCGCATTCCAAAGTTCCCAATTGCGCAATTTCAAAAGGATGCAAATGCTCCTTGCAATGTTCATTGAAATCATTGAGAAGCTTCTCAACCGTTTCACAGCTTGACCTATTCTTGAATCTGGCGAAATTGGTTAAGTAATTTAATGTCTTGTGTATGATTTCGTTCAGGTTTGGTCCTGCTAGTTCCATATTGGAAATCTCATCCTCTTTAGTGTTGTTATAATCGTCATCCTCATCTGAGTCAGAATTCATCGCATCATCAGTGCCCGCTTGGGACAGTTGACGACCACGACTTTTGGCTTTTTGACTCTTCTTTCGTTCCTTCAAAGCTGCTCTAATTAACAATCTCGTCTCGGATAGATTGAGGGCTATCAACTGCTGCTCCTCTCCAGAGTTTGTTATCTGAGTTAATTGAAATTCAGGACCTAGTTTCAAAACCGCTGCATTCTCTTCGTCGTCAATATTCTGTGTAGCAACTTTCCTCCTTCTAACGCCCAATGCACTTGTACTGACATTCATTGAAACTGTGAAAAATGTGTGAATCGTATGTGTTGGATCTGGCGACTGGATCTATTAGCTTTTAAAATAGGGCTTAGTGGATACACTGCTCGGTCACTGCTGTCAACACTTGGAAATTTGATTGAGCTTTAAATTAATAAGTCAATACTTTGATGAAATATAAATGATGTTAAATCTAGTGAATTAAATGCTGCACAGGATACACAAGCATATATATGTATAAATATAATAGTTGGTCGTTAATTGATGGAGGACGGATGGTTGGGCTCGAGATGGAACTGTCGTTTGGGCACAACTTCAAAGTAAGAATGTTCCTGAGTTTTCACGATTTTTCTTTTCTGTTTTTCTTTTTCTTTTTTTTTTTTTATTTTTTTTTTCTTTTTCATTGGATTTCTGAAACATTGCACACGACCATACCGCCACTACTACAAGTATGTCCTATCTTCCTATACGGGCATCTCGATGGATTTCACATCTTGGACAAACGGGTGCTTTAATGCCTCCTGCGGTGTCAACCTTTCCAAGGGATTGAGATTGAGCACCTTTGTCAAAAAATCAACCAATAGTAATCGCTCTTGACATTCCTTTTCAACCATCAGACTGGTCATCTTCTTACTAGGAAGTTTGTAATTCAAAATAATATCCTTCAACAACTTGTGTTTAAAGTAGTTCTTGTTTGGGTGTTCCTTTTTGTGTGAATGACTCGGTCCACTTTCCATTTTGGCAGCTTGCAAATCATGTGAGTACTCTTCAAAAGACTTTATTTCATAGGTTGGTTTCCCATCTGGTTTCTCACTAGGTATCTTTTTGAAAAAACTCAATGAATTTCGACCTACTTCAATCATGTGTCTTGGTGGGGGGCCCAACATGTCAACAATCTTCCAGATTTGATTATACTCGGAAGTACCTGGAAACATTGGCAATCCAAGGAAAAACTCCCCCACAATACAACCCAAAGACCACATATCAATAGATTCCGTATACGGTAAACCAAGAATAACCTCTGGTGATCGGTAAAACCTTGACTGGATGTATGTGTAGATAGTTTGTCTCGTGAAGCATGCAGAGCCGAAATCAATTACTTTGATATTAGGTTTATCTGGTTGGCATAGCAAAATATTTTCCGGTTTCAAATCACAGTGGATCATTTGAAAATTCTTCAACTGAGCTAATGCATCTAGCAATTGCTTAGTAAGTAGCTTCACCAATTTCATACTCAATCCTTGAAATTGGTTCTGTTTGATCAACTCATAAAGATTCGAAGCCAAGAGCTCAAACACTAAACACAAGTGCTCCTTGTGCATAAATGTGTCCAATAACCGTATAAAGCTCTTTCCGTCACTGTTGTTGTTTAAAAACTCCAACAACTTCACTTCTGTCAAGGACTGGTTCATGTAAGCCGGTTTGGATTTGATAACCTTCACAGCACATACAGTTTGATTTATCAAATTTTGGCACTTAACAACCTGACCAAAGGTACCTGACCCTAATAAATCGAGAACCATATACTTTCTACCTTCTTCGCTTCCGAGAATATCATTGACATAAAGAATATAATCACTTTCTTCGTTGTCGTACCCGTTATTGAACTTTGGATCCAGAGGTTTGGTTAATACCCGTTTAGGATTCGTTGATTTTGAATACTGAAACTTCCTTGGCTGGCATATGCCATAAGACTCAGTTAAATACACCGATAATGCATTGAGAGGTGAAATATGAACGGAGTTAACAGAGCACCGTCTGTACTTGGGTTGCTGGTGGATTTTGGGACAAAGTTCTGATTTGTTGTGAATTTTCCTAGCCTTGGGGGCAGGTTTTCTTAAATTTGTTGCCTTTTGTTGTTGAAGTGCTTGCTTGTACTGCTGGTATTGCACGATAGAGCCCGATCTTCTAGCAGGTGGAGGATAGTATTGACCAGTTTTACTGTCGTAAATTGGCTGGTGCTGTTGTTGTTGTTGGTAATAATGATTAGGCATAACAGCTACTGATGATCTTCGGTTTGCGCCGGGTATAGGGGCCATACTGGGATTGATGAATTGGGATAGTCCAGGTGCCACACCTGGTACCACTGACGCGTCGGCGTTACTACCAAACAAGGCTCCATTCCCACCCTGTGCAACCAATGCCGGACCTGCTCTAGCTTGTTGGTTATATCCATACGGATTGCTGTAGGTTCCATCCACTGCCGCTGACATTCGACGGTCATTGGGGTTGTTGAGTGATACATCGGGATTGGAAAAATACTGAGTGAATGGATTATCGGCACGAGTTGGCGGTTGTACATAAGGAGAAACTTGAGGATTGGCGTTGGCGGAACTTTCATTTTCATAAGTTGTCAGAAGCTGATTTGTGAATGACAATCGCTTGTTTAAAGGCGGGGGCTGATGCTGTTGCAATAATGGTAAATGGTGTGACTTTGTTGGCGATTGAGACAATGCAGACGAAGAGGGGGAAGATGTAGCTGACAGGGAATGGTTCATGGAAAACCACGGGTTACGAAACCCCGGAGCTTGATTTTTGTAAGCCTGTTGCGGTAGATACATTTGATCTTGTACCAGGGTGTCATGTCTTCCATTGGGGTACTGCTGTTGCTGGTGCTGCTGTTGCTGTTGCTGTTGCTGTTGCTGCTGTTGCTGCTGAGTTGGTGGTGGTAAATGCCAATTACCTCCAATCGAATTGTGTCTGTAGTTGTAATGATTATAAGACATTGTTGAGGACACGTATATTGCTATTTCAGGCTATGTTCTCTGCCTTTATAATTGAACAGTCCAGGTGTACTGATATAGTTGTTGCGTTTTGCTCAGGAATTGAAATTCTGTCGTTGGTTGTTGAAAGATCAACTTGGATACTTTATTTTTGCTCACCCCAAATTTTGAATTCCCAGTTATCACACACACACACACACACAGACACACAGACACACGCTGTCTTTTTCCGATATGTTACAAGCAACTTATGTCGACCCAAGAGCTAGTTAGTGTGGACAAAGTATGACGTAGAATATAGTTGCTCAATGAATGTGTGTATGGTCATAAACTGTGTGCAGCTGTAAATAAGTAAAGAGTAATATACAATTAAAGGGGCTGGGCAAGAGGGAGACTGAGAGGGGAAGGAGAAATTATGAATAAATGAATGAGAAGCAATTACAAAAAGGAAAGTAGTATTTAACCCATACACAAAACACACACATTTGTTTAACTTACTTACGCCACAGCACAAGACACAAGACACATACACATACACACACACACACACACACATACACCATCATCGTTGTCGTCTTCATTTACTTTAGAGACACATCAACGGACTGTCAAAGTGTATAACAAAATCCTCCAGAAGTATCGCTGAAGCTTACATTTTACCCAAAGCGTTTTTGTCTCAGTATTTGTTAATCTATAAAACCAACTGTTACATTATCCTACTTATATACAAGAACAAGCACTCTTCCATACTCTTCCTCTCTTTTTTCTAAGCAGCAAGTTTGGCTGGCTCTTCAGGGTAGACTGGAGCCATAGTTGGCTGCGCTTGTAATCTTTGCATCATCATACCAACACCCTCGAAAACACCCAAAAGACATGCACAAGTAATGGCAGAGTTTCTCGTATGTTTCCAGCCTCCTCTAATAGCCAAAGCACCACCAGTGAAAAATCCAGCAATGACTGCGTTCCAAGCATCTTCTCTCTTACGTACTGCTTTGACTGTACAATCAAATGTCGAGAATAGTCCACCCCAAACACCAAAATTACCCCCTACTACAGGAGCTCTGGCTTTTATTGCAGAGAGGGCACCGTATCCTCTTTCGCCGTGTGGTGAGTTCCTAAACCCTTTTATACCGTGCCATACGCAACCACCAATGACACCCATCGCAAAAGCACCACCAAAATCATTAAGAATGACGATTGGACATGGATCTCTAGCGTGATCTGCAGACATTTAGATATATATTTTTATATGTTGTGGTAGTATGTAGACAGGAAACGATGAAAACTAGATGGAATTAGCTCCTTTTATAAGTGATATATTGTTATTGTAGAATGGTCTTTGCCTGGAGTTACGGAACCGAAATTTTTCGCCTTTTTTTTTTTTTTTTTTTTTTTTTCAAAATTTTTGCCGAAAAGAAAACGGNTTTTTTTTTTTTTTTTTTTTTTTTTTTTTTTTTTTTTTTTTTTTTTTTTTTTTTTTTTTTTTTTTTTTTTTTTTTTTTTTTTTTTTTTTTTTTTTTTTTTTTTTTTTTTTTTTTTTTTTTTTTTTTTTTTTTTTTTTTTTTTTTTTTTTTTTTTTTTTTTTTTTTTTTTTTTTTTTTTTTTTTTTTTTTTTTTTTTTTTTTTTTTTTTTTTTTTTTTTTTTTTTTTTTTTTTTTTTTTTTTTTATTTTTTTTTTTTTTTTTTTTTTTTTTTTTTTTTTTTTTTTCAAAACTTTTGCAGAAAAGAAAACGGGATGCTCTCCATGCAGGATGATTGATTTGCAGAAGTTGCAAAATAGAAGACGTTACAACAACACTGTCTATAGAGTATATAAAAATACAATCGATAGGGCCAGCTGTCAACCATTTATCGCCCCAGCTGTTTCAGTGGCTCATTGTCAATTTCCTCATCATTCAAATCTTCAATCGATTCATCCCCAACAACCAAACTTTCCGAACTCTCTTGACCAGTTGCCTCCATATTGTTCAATTCAAAATAGTCATCATCAATCTCTGGTCCCGTAAAAGACTTTGAGCCCCAAGTCACATAACTGAGAATAGAAAATCCCAAGAATAACACCAATACAACACTGGCATAATTCATTCTACTCCAATCTAAATTTTTAATCACTGGAGGAACACAAAGAATGAAAATGGAAAGAATAGTCCAAAACACTGATATTCCATTAACTAACCAGCCAAAAACCCCCAATCTAAAAGCGGCCCCCTTGATCTTTTGTCGTTTGTTCAACATCAACAAAAATACAGGTATTCCATTTGCAACTGTTAGTGAAACGACAGCAGCTCCCATGAATGCGTTGAATGCGGTCCTGGAAAGAAGGGACAACAAAGACAACACCGCACAAACAACAATTGACAAGTATAGAGCATTTTTTGGAATTGCATACTCCTCAACTGAACTCACCTCGGTCCATAAATGAGCCATTGGAAGACCCCCGTCACGAGCTAAAGCAAACGTACTCCTAGATGCAGTGGTGAGCGACCCTATACTTTGAAACATAATTGTTCCAACCAATAAACATGCCATGAGGAAGCTAATGATGAATGACTCTGTTGAAAGTTTAAAAATGATCTCAATTGGCATGATGTTGGTGTTACCATCTAAAAGAAGCTCAAGTTCTGGCAATATTGTCAATATGGGAATTATGAATATAAGCCCAGTAAGACTCGCCAACAACATTGAGTACAACATGCCCTTTGGCATGTTTCGTTCAGCGTTCTTGACTTCATCGGATATCGAAAGAAGCATTCCATACCCGGTTAGCAGAAATGCCGGTGCTTGAAGTCCCACCATAAATGCCAATGGGTCGGGCCATCCTGAGCGTGAGTTGTCAAATGTGGTCAATATCTGTTTTATGGAGTTTGTCCTCGGGGCGTAGAAAATAAGTAGTATGTCAATGGCCAAAACTGTGTAAATGGTCCAAAGGATGCTCGCCTTGTTGATTCGTTCCAAGTGTCTGAAAAACTTGAGGTTTATGAGGCCAGCAAGGGCTAGTATGATGAGAAAGACTCCATTCACCAACCACCTGCTGGCCCTGAACTCATCCTTTAGACTTATTATAGACAATGTGAACTCAGATCCAGAATAAATGATGCTGACTGCGTACGTCCAATTTCCAATGAGTAGTAGCCAGCCAGTAACCCAACTCCATATCGAAGAATACTTTTCACTGCTCAATAGGGCGCTGTAGTGATACACACCTCCTGAAGTCGGGAATTTAGCATTTATTTCGGACAACGACATACCTACACACAAGGACATTATGCTTACGATAATCCAGCCGTATAGAATCGTAACATTTGCACCATCCATCAATGAAATCCAAAGGGTTGAAGATAAACCAAAAGGGACTCCCATCAATGAGAACCCAAGACCAATAACCGAGGTAACAGTCAATTTTCGGTCAAGTGATTTTTGGTACTTGAAATGCTCAATATGTTCTGGCTCATTATCCCCCAAAATGTCTGAATCAATTAACGATTCTATGAATCTCACTGGCTGTGACGATTGAATGTCCTCGATGAAGTGATGGATGGGTGCATGCAATGATGGTTCTTGTTGAGTCGTGATTGATGCTTGCAGTGATGTCGTTTGAAATGTGTCTTGCTGTGGCAGAAAGGTCCTTGGATCATTCAGTTCATGTTGCATCTTTGTATCAACGTCCCTCACTCTAGCGTCAGCAGCGAGTATTATCGGTGCAGACTTCGGTCCCTTAAATCAGCTCTGCTCTTGGATCAAAGTTAGCCGACTTCTTTTTCACATTCAAAAGCGCGGCGCAGACACTGGAGAAAAAAAAAAAAAATAAAAATAAAAAAACACATTTAGCGTTTTCGGAGGTGCCGAGCTTCGGTTACTGATCAATTAACAATGAGTTATCCTGTGTTACTCATCTACCATACTATTACCACTTTCAACTCCATGGTGTCCCTATTGGACTCTGAAATGCAGACAGCCTTGTAGATAACTTCATCAAACAAGTGATAGTTATCCAATACAACCTCCTTCTCAGGGGGCCAAGATCTCGTGGCAATACTTTCTGAGAAGTCTATTAGATTCTTCGGCATTAGCTTCAGCCAACGACTCCGCTAATTGTCTACTCAACTTTGTGAGTGTCTTGGTCGTTAACAGCTTATCTTGAGTCGACCTTAAGTACGCCACCTTGTCCAACAATCGGCAAAGACGATTGTATGAGGATAACCAATGGGAATCAAAATCCGTGATAGCAATAAAGTGACAACAGAAGTTCTTTTCTAACATCTTTAAAACTCCAGACACCAATTGAGTACAAGAGCACCTCAGAGCAACGCATATAATATCACTGGAAGGATTCAACTGCACAAAACGATTCGTAGCAGTGAGTTTCTCAAATAGGAGTACTTTCACATTTCGCAATTCATCTTTAGGAAACAACTCAAAGGAGTCCTCCTTGGTTTGCTGTATCTCCTCTTTCCCTCTTTGCAATGATAGCTGCATAGAAATTCCTCCTCTTCTCCCACCCCCCTTTCCACTCAGCGTGTACTTTAAAATCTTCCAAGGTGTAGCTAAAGCAACCAGCAAAGCTTTTCGCATTGATCGTTGCACGCTTGTTGCGAGCTCCAAAAGCCTTTATCCCAATAACCAACATTCCTCGGACTTGGGTCTCTTCTTGTTTCTAAAAAGCAGCAGAAGTTGGGAATCAATCTCAATATACCATTCAACTCAACTTGGTTTGTTTCACGCGAAATGATACCTTCCTTTTGGTGTGATGAATTGGATGGAGTTGGATTTCGAATTAAATTTTGCTGTCAATTGCAATGAGAAGAGAACACCATAGATATCTCTCCCCTTACGTATCTCACTATCTAACCTAGTGGGATACCCCCAACGTTTATCCCTGAGTTCCTCTGGCTTGTGTGCAAAAATCACTTTGTCCTCTTGTACATGCTCTTACACAACTCGAACATCGTTGTAGTGTGCTCGCATTAGCACCTGCTAGAGGATAAATTCATTTTATTTACCCCTCGTGCTACCCCTGAAGACGCCATTTGTTACTAAAAGTTAAAAATTTTTGCAATTTTTATTTTTGCAACATCCTTTTTTTCTCATTTTCTCTTGATTTGCACTTTTCAGCTTGGTGGAATTAAGACCCAGAAAAAAAGGGACCTTCTTTTAGGCTGCAGGATTGGAAATGCAGGTGGTGTGACAAAATCAAGCTCAAGGAATGGGTGAAAGGATATTTATGCACAAGCATATGGATTAAAGATACAAACAATTATGCTATTATTAAAGCCACACAAACACAGTTAAATAATAATATCATTATTACTCTATATAGTTATTGTTATTACAATTAGGCCCAGAAATACAGCTAACAATAGCCAGATGGTGGTTTGGCCAAAGGAATATGTAAAGAAGGCTTCTCTAAAACCCGAACATCACCAATGGTTAATTCTGAACAATTTTTTTTTTTTCTTTGTTCCCAATCTCTCTCTCATTCCCTCGATCGCGCTCACTCTGTCTCCCCCTCTCTCTCTCTCGCGCGCGCGCGCTCTCATTATGACAAATTTTTTTTTTGCGAATGATGGACATCTCATTCGAACCGCAGACAATATTCATACACAATCTACTCATAATGACACCCCAATTTGTTCTAGGCCCCGATGCATACAACCAAGCCCGCACGTCGATTTCGGCATTAATCAGCCACCAAAGGTCCGAGGACCGTCCCGCATCCGCCATCTACCTCACGATCAATTTCAATATCAAATTGGCAAAATCCAAAGACTACAGACTTCGAGTAATACCAGTTACCCATAAAATTGATAAGATATCCAACAAATCCATCACCTTCATCTCAAAGGACCCGGCGAACTACTATAGGGGTATTTTGACGGCAAAGGACTCACCCACTGAAGATGCATTCAATGAAATCATATCGTTCAAGAAACTCAAACTGAAAGCCAAGTCTCAAAAAACATTGATCAAGCTATACAAAGAAAACGACATCATAGTTGCCGACCACAGAGTCCACAAACTCCTCCCTGATGTGTTGGGGCCTACATTTTACGCGAGGAAGAAGAAACTACCATTCATGCTCCAAATGGCCAAACCGGATCCGTCTGTACATCTAAGAAGGTCGCAGCAAAGCAAACTTAAAGATGACAGGTGCGATCCGGTATACATCCATAGACAATTGAGATCCATTGTTGGAAACCCGGCGTTTGCACCCACCACGAACGCTGGTGATGTTATTTCCCTCAAGATTGGCTACACAAATTGGAAAATTGATGATTTGCTTGATAATGTTGACGATATTGTTGGATACTTGACAAATGAGGAGAATAGAGATGCTATTGGAGCCACTATAAACTTGGAAAATTTGGTGAATATAAATGTTAGAGGCGAAGATAGTATAAGTTTGCCGGTTTTGGTTCGATCAAAGGAGTCGGCTGATGTTGAGGACGATAGTGACTTTGATTTTTGAAAAAAGGGGGCTTTTGTATACGGAAATTAAATAACCCTGTGTATGTCTCTGTATTAGGATTGTACTTTTCTTTTGGATCAATTCTGTAAAGCAACGAGTCTGTATGTGTTGCAGTGTGTGTTGTCGCAAATAAGCGAAGGTTTATCTACTCTGTTTTTTTACAGTACCTCGTCCATTACGTCCAGACACAACTTCGCTCTCACACAATGGGTTTTACTCTTATGTACTCTATGCACGATCAGTGAGAAACGAAACAAGAAGAAAAAAAAAATTGGTCAAGATTGAACAAACCACCACAACACAGCACAGCACAGCTTCAGCTTCAGCTTTGCCACCATGAACAACAACGGAAGTAATCAAAACACACATACGGTGTCAAATCTATCTGCTGGCCTCAAGTCGGTTTCACTTAGTGACCAGCAACAAATACAAGACAGCTCATCTTCACTGGAACACCAACACCAACAACAACTACAATCAAGAATAAGTCAATTCTTTCAAAATCAGCCACAGGAAGGATACACGTTGTTTTCACACCGGTCTGCGCCAAACGGATTCAAAGTAGCCATCATCTTGTCAGAGTTGAACTTGCCATTCAACACCATATTCCTAGACTTTAACAATGGTGAACAACGTGCACCTGAATTTGTAACGATAAACCCCAACGCTAGAGTCCCCGCTTTGATAGACCACTACAATGAAAACGTATCCATTTGGGAATCGGGTGCGATAATACTATACCTTGTGTCAAAGTACATGAAGGAGAATAATGAATGCAGTTTATGGAGTGACAATCTAGTCGAACAGAGTCAGATAAATTCATGGCTCTTCTTTCAAACAAGTGGGCATGCGCCTATGATTGGACAAGCTTTACATTTTAGGTATTTCCATTCTAGCCCCGTGCCTAGTGCAGTAGAGCGGTACACCGATGAAGTCAGGCGAGTTTATGGTGTTGTGGAAATGGCGTTGGCCGAAAGACGAGAGGCGTTGATTATGGATTTGGATGTGGAGAATGCCGCTGCGTATAGCGCTGGTACTACCCCATTGTCCCAATCGAGGTATTTTGACTATCCTGTTTGGCTAGTCGGCGATAGAGCCACTGTGGCTGATTTGTCATTTGTGCCATGGAATAATGTGGTTGATAGAATCGGAATAAATCTTAAAGTGGAGTTTCCTGAGGTGTACAAGTGGACAAAGTATATGATGAGAAGACCAGCTGTGGTTAGGGCTCTACGCGGGGAGAATTGATTACAATGTGGTGCACATTGTATAGCTTTATCATAAAGGGACTAAACTGTATGAGAATGTATCGTAGAAGGCATAGCACAGAAGAGTTATTATTATCTTAGTTGTAGTCTCTACTCCATTCCGCTCTGGTTTTGTGTTGTTTTTCCATTGCTCTGTCAAAAGATAACAACACACGCCACAATAAAAATCAAAAGGCACAGTCATACTACGCCCATTGACATGAGTCTCGATGTACCTCACATTGCTGTACTTGTCTTAGATACACCAATTCCTGGGCTTGCTGAAAAATACGGGGACTTTGGAGACAACACTATCGACTTGCTAAAAACCACCGGTGCATCCAAATCAACAGCATTTGTTAAATACCAATTGAATACCGAGGACTTGGCTGAGCTCGATCGCGTCTATGAAAAGTTACTTTCAGCAGTTCACAACCATTTGGTGCAAGGCTTTGTGTTGACTGGTTCTCGCAGTGACGCTTTCGATACAGCAACATGGTTGATCAAATTTAAATCTTTTCTTAAGAACACCATTCTCAAGGTCGGCAAACCAGTCGTGGGTATCTGTTTTGGACATCAGGTCATTGCATTAGTGTTGGGATCCAAAGTGGAACGAAGCAACGAAGGGTGGGAAATTGGCACCACTACAATCTCTATAAACGATGAAATATACAAGTTGGAGAATTCCCCATTCAACGAGCTCAGTCAACGGGAGAACGTAAAGGAGGATGGCCAAGACTACAATGCTGCTGTTTTATTCGATAGATTAAACTTGGTTGAATCTCATCAAGATGTCGTCCTCGGTGGACTTCCTGAAGGTTTCATAAACTTTGGATCAACCAGTTCGGCATCGATTCAAGGAATGGTTAGTGTTGATAAAGGCAACGGTCACAAGCGGAACTGCAAAGTAATCACTTTCCAAGGTCATCCGGAGTTCACCACTGAGATAGCTTTGGATTTGCTAAAGAATATATACGATGCAGGATTAGTGAGTGAAAAGGAGTACGAAAAGGCAAAGTACCACACATCGAGCTTGAACAATCAGGGAAACTTGATTGGGAAAGTCATCAACAAGTTTCTTGCAGTTGAGACGTAAGCAACACCCGTATTAAGTTACGATAGTATAGAGTTCATTAGTAAATCCATTGTATTCCTCTAACGATCATCTAAAAATCTACTCTCATTGGGGGAAACAATGGTAAACCCGTTGAGCTTCCCCCTTGATCCAAATCTATTAAATCCAAAAGACGGTCCGTTCGAAGTGCTTGAGTTTCCTTCTCTGTTGGTTAATCTATCATTGACACCTTTCAAGTTTTGACATTTTAACTCCAACGCCTTTATTTTGTCATTGAGAAGCTTTGTATCCTGATTATTCTGTGAGGTGAGTTTTCCAATAACTTCTCTCAACTCATCTCTTTGACTTTCTAATATTTTGATTTCCTCCTGCTGCGAGTAATTCTGACTCAACAAGTCTTCATTCTCAGCTTGTAGAATCTGAATCTTTTCAATCAAGTTGCTGTCCATTGCATTGAGGTCCAATTGGTCTTGGGATTCCAATTCGGATATCCTGTTTTGAAGTTGATTCACGAGGTCATTCTTTGCAACTAACTGATTGTAAATTTCCGTCTTTTCATACTCCAACTTCAATGGGCTTGGCGATTGACCTTGTTCTTGAAGCAATGCATGCTCTTCACTTATAAATCGGAGTCTTTTCTCCTTGTTCAACTTTTCCTGCAACTCGACAATAGCTTTGGACTTTTCAATAACAACAGACTCCAAATTGTCGGGTTCACCACCTGGAGAGCGAGAATAAACTGTATGGTTCTTGAGTCGAGTTTCCAAAGAAAGTTCCCTCTTGATTGACGATGCTAATTCCCTTGTGATTGACTCCAATTCATCAAGTAACTCGGTGTTGCAGTTCATAATGTGCATCTCCTCCTTGGTAAAAGGCAACGGTTTCTGCTGCATTGACCGATCGCCAATGGATGAAACGATAGTATTGGAAGATGGAGTTCTCTGATGAGAATTTAAATCTCGTTCCGGCTCAGCAACACTTGATCTCTTTGATCTTGACAAACGCTTCAAAAAATTCCTTCCTGAAAATGAAGACCTCTTTTCTTTTTTACTCAGCTGGCTTGAATGGGATGCTGAAGAGAATGTGCGAGGGACTGAATTCAGCAGTCCTCCTCTCTCCGCTTGGTTCGTTTGCTCGTAATTATTGTCAAACGGTCTAGTTTCCTTGTGAGTTGTGTTGTCCTGAACTGGACTATATATACCCTTGCTTTCCTTTTCAGATATATCCTGAATAGGCTCGGTGATGTTAGAGTAGTTGTCGAATTTGCCATCGGCCGAATGCGATACTTGGGAGGTTGGTGCAGTAGGTGGTGTGTTTGAGCCGTGTACATTTTGCCTGGCTCCATGAAATTCACTTTCGCTATCAAAATTGTTGCCCATTGGCGAGTCACTTGCTTCGTAAAATGACGAAGGAGACGCAGTTTGGACCAACTGTGTGTTAGAAAGTTGCGGATTTGTATCTGCAGAAGGGTTCCTAAAATTGCTAAAAGCTGTGTTGTCTCTTATGCTACGGAGTGAGTGTTGTTCCAGTGGCTTTCTGTTGCCAAGCAAAGTTGAGTGAGAATTCGAAGGTTGCAACTCGTTGAGATCTGGCGAATCGCTTCTTGTGGATGGTGCAATAGAGGGTGATTTGTCAGTTGTTTCCTCAGGGGTAGATGATTGGGACTCCCCTTGATCCTGTTGTGCATTCCGCCCGCCATCGTTAAACAAATCTAACTTGCGTATTTTCATTGAGTTATTCTTTTTCAATGTGGACTTTCGTGATAGGTCAATACCTTTACTTTCTTCTTTGTCAAACTTGTAGATTACGTCTTCGTCTTCCTCGTCGTTGTGATTGCCTTCTTCCTCTTCACGAACCTCTCCCAATTCCTCTAAAGAGTGTTGTTGCATGCGGTCGTAACCTACATTAGACAGCGGTGCTGTCTTCGGTTGAAAGGACTGCGTATAGCCATTTTCAAATTGCTGTTCATTTTCAAACTGAAGTGGCTGTTGCTGGGAAAACTGTGCGTTGGGAGGTTGTCTCTGATATGGCCCACTAGGGCCCAGTCTCATCTGGTTTTCGGGGCCAACTGGTCCACCAACTGCAGGATCTGATCGCCCGTTGGCCCTGAAATTTTGATCTTGATAAAATTGCGGTTGCAGGGGATATTGATTATTGAATTGAAGAGGACCTTGGGGTTGTTGTAACTGGGCTGATGAAACCAAGTTTTTGCTTCGTAATGGTGGACCTTGATATCCCTGAGGGGGACCACCCACAAAAGGTCTTGATCCTCCTAGCGACTTTGTTCTCGGATAGTTTTGACCATAAATTCCACCACCGCTCATTAATGACATAGACCGACCGCTTTGGTCAAATTGTTGCGGATTTTGGGGTGGAAACTGTTGTTGTCTCATTGGAAATTGTTCCTGTGGGCGTGGCCTCATGGGATTACCTCTTTGAGAAGTCATTGACATAGATCGAGGATCTGGCATCATCTGTTGTTGTGCAAATGGGTAACGCTGGTCAGCAGGCATTGCGGAAAAGCTTGCAGCCATGGAATTTGCTCGAGAGCCATCGTACATGGGATTGAAACCTGTTGCTAGTGAGTTTGCTCGGGGACCTTGTTGCATTGGATTCCCAACTGTAGCTAGTGAATTTGCTCGGGGACCCTGCTGCATGGGATTTCCGCCCGTGGCCAATGAATTTGCTCTTGCACCATTGAGCAAGGCCATCTTTTTTTGTTGATTCATTTGCTTCCTATACTGTACATTGTTTAGCTTTGAATTGGAACTGATGGGTACTTGTCTCCCAAAAGTTCCTAAAGTGGGGATGATGGGTGCAGTGTCCAAATTAGAGTTTGAATTGTAGATTCCTCCTTCGTTTCTAATGTGCTTTATGTCTTCAAACGATAGGTTTGCGCTCCCCGTCAATTCCCCTATATCAGCCCCTGCGTCGTCGTTGAACTCCTCAACCTTGTTCATGTTTTTTAGAAAAGACATAGTGTGATATATTGATGTTTAAGTGTGCAAATGAGAGAGAGAGAGAGAGTTTGTCAAAAAAAAAAGGTGGGCTATACTATTTCTTTTTCGGGTGGAAATGAGAGAAGAAGGATTTCGGAAATCTCAACACATACAGATACACATACAGATACACATACACACACACACACACATATGTAAAATAGGTAAACAGAGCAGGGGAAAAAAAAAATTTGGATTGTGTTTTATATGTAGGTTTAAGAATTAAACACCGCCCGATATTAGAGCATTAACTTCGGAGTTAGGTAATTCATGCAAGAAACATCTTTCTAGAGACAGCTACAGCAAAGGATGAGAATAGAGTGGCTCAATTAATAAATTAAAATCGTAGGCATAACACTGAGGAGTGTTCAAATTGTCTCAATCAATAAAACAGGCTAAACCTATACATCGTGATTACTGATGATCTTCTTCAATTCTAGCGACTATTGGGTATCTCATTTTGAAGAACACTATCCAATCCTCAACGATCTTCAATTGCTTTTCTTCCAAGTCTGACAAGTCCCAAGTATTGGGGATCCGACCATCCTCTTCTTCTTTCAATTGCAATCTATTCAATCCAAGAAGTCTTCCAACATCTTTCCCCACCAATTTGTGGTATGCTTTGCCTGGCCCATAACTCTTTTCGTTCTCTGTGACATCGTAAACTAGACCCTTGATTGCTACGTATAGTTTGGGAATCTCCACTCCATTGTGCTTCAGAAGCTGCTGTCTTGATAAGGAGGGTAGTGAATCGAGATCCAAGCTCTCATTCTTGAGAAAAATCTCTGTAGGTTCTTTGCTTTTGCTTCCAAACATAAGGATCTTTTCGTTGTTGTGAAGCGTATTCAGGTCAGTTTCGGACTGAGTGTGGAGGAGAATTCAGACAAAAAAAAAAAAGCAAAACACGACGCAAACGATTAACAAATAAAAAAAGGTGTGTGAAAAATTATCAAAGCACCACCACTCACTGCTCATTATTCGAATAAAGAACACTATGATATGGTATGTGCAATCGTATACTTTGGAAATCACTCATTTTACTAACATCTTTCTAGACTGATGACTCGCTGAAATATCCACCGGACATACAAAAACTATTTCAACCAAAACCACCACTTGTGTACATTCCACCCATCGACTATCCTCCCGAGGAGAGGTCCACTTTACCTATTACCCCAATATCAAACTACAAGAGTCATGTGAAGGATTATTTAGAACATGAACTACCCAAAAGAGAGTCGCTCACTGAAAAGCCCGAGTTGTCACAACACAAGAAGAAGCTTTTGAAAGCTAATGACAAAAGACAAAAGCAAAAGGACTCTTTTGATCGCCAGTTGCGTGATTGGAATGACCCCGAGCTACTAGCCAAACATGAAGCCGAAATCATGAAGGATCCTTACAAGACTGTATTTGTTGCACGGTTGGATTATAGTTTGAAAGAAATTGACTTGTCCAATTACTTTAGAAAATTTGGTGTTATTGAGTCAGTTCTGATCATTCGTGATCATGAAAAAAGGAGCAAAGGGTATGGCTTCATTGTCTATGAGAGAGATATTGACGCGCAGGCGTGTGTTTCGGAGTTATCGCGGACTGGAGTGAAATTAAAAGAAAGAACTATATTGGTCGATATTGAAAGAAGTAGGGTTTGGCGGAATTGGAAACCTAGACGGTTAGGTGGAGGATTGGGTGGCAGGGGATACCTGAAAGAGGGAAGGGTGGCTTCAGCCGCAGCAAGTGGACGGCGATTGCACATTGCTAATAACTCATCAGTACCTCCTCATTTTCCACCAAGCAATGTCCACAAACATAACCCGCCTGCTTATATATCCCCTGCCCATGCCTACACTCCCCCGGCAAACGTGCCGTCACCTTCGAAATATCAACCTATCAGCCAGCCAAAGCCATATAGCTATAATTCAACTCAAACATCATCTGGTAGATCTATTCGAAGTATCAGAGGCGGAGAATAAGGCGAAAGAACCCGCACCACTGGTCAGCTTAGCGGTAAGAGGAGTTTCCAATAACATAGTTGTGTAGTATACGTGTAGTAGTGGTATATCCACTACTATACATCGTTTGAAATCGCGCTCTACCAAAAACCAAACATCGTAAAAACATTTCTTACACTATTTTTTTTTTTTTGTATCTGCAACACTTCAGTAGCAAATTGAAAGTCTCAAACATGGGTAGTGAAAGTCCGGTGAAGAGGAAAATTGAGACTGAGGAGTCATCAGGTCTAAAGCGAACAAAACTGATTGGCCACGAGGACATCAAAACCACAATTGTCAACGAAGTCAAACAAATTTTTGAAGAACGAATTGCTCGATTAGAATCTAGAGTCAAGTTTTTAGAAGATGAATTAGATTTGAAAGAAGACAGTAGTGGCGCTGTCACTAGCTCTGAGAATACAGGTGACAAGACTAAAGAATCGGAGAAGCCAACAAAGGATGACGGCCAGACACCCACACAGACAGCTTTGCCACCTCCCCTACCTCCCAGAGCAACATTCGGAAAAACACCATTTCAATTCAGAACTGAGAATAGCAAAGACAATAAAGATGAGCCCAAACGTGTAGCTTCAAGTCCCAACCCTGTTTTTGGAGCCACCACGTCCTTTGGCAACTTGAAAAAAGAACCAAAACCTGCTACAGAAAACTCGCAAAAGGTATCTACATCAACTTCGAGCTTTGGCTCATTCGGTTCAAAATCGCGTTTTGGGAACGCATTCCAAGAATCATTAAAGAAAAAGTCCTTTTTGGACTCGTCAGATGATGCTAATGACAGCAATAGTGCTCTGGCTGATGGTAAAGATCTGTTGCAAACAACCACAGCAACGCAACAGTTTAAACAAGTTGATTTGAACCCTGTACAGCAATCAACTGGTGAGGAAGATGAAAAGTCATTATTCACCTGTGGAGCAAAACTATTTGAGGTACAATTGGCAAACATCAGAGAAGGCTGGAAAGAAAGAGGAATAGGACCTTTACATTTAAACCAATCAGTTCATGACCTGGACCAAGTAAGGATAGTGATGAGGTCCCAAGGATTGTTGAAGGTGATTTTGAACTATAAAATACAAAAGAGCACCGAGATTTTCGAGGGCTTGGAAGCGAGCTTGGCTCCTGGGAAATATCTTCGGTTCAACTCAGTTCTAGAAGGAAAGCCAATACAGTATATGTTGAAATTTGCCAATCAGCAAATAAGGGACGATTTGATTCAAAAAATTAATGATTTGAAGTCAAAGATGTAGTCTATTTAATAAATGCAACACTTACAACAGTTGAGCCTTGTACACCGCCAAACTGGAAGCTTGGATATTGAATCTGGTCCCATTTACGTAATTCGGTGCCAGATGTAATGATTTTAACAAGTTCGTTTTCGGTAAAATTGCACGAGGTTACTAGAAGAATACTTCCTTCCCGCATCATTTTCGAGACTTGACTCGCATAAATATCCATGCCTCTTTTTCCATCCGAAAGCTCTTGATTCAAAGCAATTGCATCAAGTGTACCCTTATCCAATAGCACATCAAATTTATTCTCTAGAAATGGTGTGTCGCTTAGTAAATCAACTTGGTCGAATTTGAATGAGCTATTTGGAAACTTTTTGCTAGCAATATTAGTGGCGAATTCAATCGACTCTGCTGAATAGTCAATTTCATGGTACGTGAAGTCTTTGTCCACGTCTTGCAACTCCTGCAGTAGCTCAAAAAGAAGATGGCCATTACCCGTCCCTAAATCAAGAAACAGAGTATAATCCGCAAGTTCTCCTTCGTCTATCTTGTCGACTATGAATTGAATCATCTTGGATTCAGCATCGGAGTCATCGAACCAACATTCACCAGTGTCTTCGTTGTTGCTTTGAAAATTTTGCAACTCCCTCTTGTAGAATTCGTTCCAGCTAAGAAAAAGGTTAGTAACTGTATGAATGCTTTAATACATTGTCTCCCTAAACATACTACTCCTGAGTTCCTAACTTTGATGAATTCAACTTGATTTCTTCCGTCATTTGGGCTCAGTGAAATAAGCCCATCACGAACTATTTCCTTTGCGCGTCTGATTTTTATTTTTATTTTTTTATTTTTTTTTTTTTTGGAACTCTCCGAAGAAGTTGTCAACAAAAGATTCAAACCCAAGAAGACGAAAAAGCATGGCAGATATAGCAGAGACAACAGATGTCCCACAAGAGGAACCAAAGACATCATTTATTGGTGAGGATGCAGAGAACAACTACCGCGTTTGGAAGAAAAATGCCCCATATCTTTACGATTACTTGTCGACCAACTCGCTACTATGGCCATCATTGACTGTGCAATTCTTTCCTGATATCACCCACGCTAGCAATGACGTCGCTGGTGATTATATTCTCCAGAGATTGCTTCATGGCACTTTCACATTAGGACAGTCTGTGATTGATTCAATCTCAATTTTGCAAATCCCCACTTACATCAACCTCAACAAACATATTCAAATTGACAAACTCGACTATAATCCAGAGAAGGAAGAGTTTGAAGTGAATGCGCCGTCGCTCCCCAAGTCGAAAGTCTTACAAAAGATCAACCAGTATGGTGACGTTAACAAATTGAGCTACATGCCTCAGAATCCGAACATAATCGCCAGTGCAAACAGTTTTGGTGAAATTTCCATATTTGAGCGTACCAAGCACAAGAGTTTTCAGAAACTGCTAATAGACGACACAGAAGCAAATAAGCCACAGCTAAAGTTGAGTGCTAAAGCGGAACTTTTCGCCATGGATTGGAATAAGAATCGTGAAGGCTATTTGGTATCAGGTGATACCGGTGGAAATATAAGTTTACATGATTTGAAACAGTTTTCCAAATCAACTCAATTAAGCGAATTGAAATCTTGGAAGGGAAGCAGTGACGTCAATGACATTGAGTGGTTCCCTACCCATGATTCATTGTTTGCATACGTTGAAGAGAGCGGAGATTTAACTATTCGAGATCTCAGAGGCGACGACGTTATAAATAAGCAGCTTCAATCTGCAATCAATTCAGTAGCAACAAACCCTAATATCCCCACTGTTTTAGCCACGGGAGATTCCTCCGGCACTGTTAAAGTTTGGGACTTGCGCAATTTCAATGAGCCAGTCAAGGGTTTTGCGCCTCACTCAAAATCAATAACACAGCTAAAATGGAATCCAACACACGCCCAATTACTCGCGTCTTCATCCACAGATGGTCTGGTTAAACTACACGCTGTGTCAAAGGAGGAGCCAACAATCTTTCAACACCTTGGCCATATGTTAGGAGTCAATGATTTTGATTGGTCTCACGCTGACGACTGGATGATTGCCAGTGTAGCGGATGACAACTCTCTACACGTATGGAAACCTACGCAGCAAGTTCAAAATGTAATCTAATTCATCTGTTTCTTTCTTTCTTTCTTTCTTTCTTCTTCTTTTTTCTTTTTTGTACAAACCTATTTAGATTTATTGAACAATTTCTCAACATCAGCAATAGCCTCTGCCAAAACCTTTTCTTGGAACTTTGGATTTTCAATCTCCTTGTTGACCTTTTCAATAACTGAGTTTGCCAATTGTTCTTGTTCGATTTGCCTTTGTTGTTGTTCAAATCTAACCCATGAGTCCAAAACGTTTCTGGCTTCTGAGGCAACTTCCAACTTTTGTTTCAAAACAAATGAATCAGCTTCATATTTGGCAGTTTCCTTGGACAAGTTGAACAAGTCCTTGGTTTGTGAAACAACGTCTTTCAATTCTCCAACAGATTGAATTCTGTGCTCGACAGCTTGAATGTGCTTGTTTCTAGCTCCGTTCAACAAATCGTTAACCTTCTTGATTTCTCCATCAGCCCATTCGGTGTACAATGGAGCGATGAATTTGACAACCAAGGCTGTGAAGATGGTGAATGTCAACACCAAGATAGATTCATCATGTATGATAATCAAACCATTGGACAACCCATAGACTGCTGCTGCTGCGGAGGTGGCCAAAATACCAGTTTTTGATAACAAGTTGGTACCTGGCAATGCGTCAACAATGGATTGTGCTTTTTGTTTTGGGTCAACTGGAGTTGAAAGGTATCTCAAACCAATTCTGGTAAAAAAGTCATAGTTAGTATAATCCACGAAAGTGATCAACACACTGGAGGTGAAAAAAAAAAAGAAATAAAAAAAAATTGAAAACACATACGGAGCTTGACGAAAAGCCATTCCCATTGAAGGGCGGACAGTTCTCAATGCAATTCTGTTGATCATCGACATCTGAATATGTATCTGCAGTACTCTACTCTGAAAACTTTTGCTTTGAACTGAATGGTTTTTTTTTTTTCTTTCCATTTTCTCTTTCACTCACTTTTGCAGTGGTGCGTGCAAAATCCCGAAAACGAAAAATGTATTTGATTGGAAGATGGTAGACTTCCGTATTGGGAAATAAAATGCGAAAGAGGATGAATAATGATGGTACTCTACAACACCAACCAACTATCTTGAAACCATCTAATCGTAAGTCATATAAATTTCTAGACACTCCTTTCCCGAATTATTCTATTGAGGGCCATAATTGTCCTTTGATTTGCTTTGTTGTAGTAACATGCCAAATCGTCCTTCATCGTCTGAGTTCGCGATATCGTGCTTAGTACACCCGTGAGTGTGTGCTTGTGTTTTGGGATGTCACTGCTTCCAAGTTGACCTCTGGACGCATGGCCGGTCTCAATCTGTGCTGTAGGATCGACATTCGATGTAGTATGGTCGCCGTTGTCCATCAAATCGGCACTAACCTCCGGGGACCCACTAGAAGCCCCATTGGCTCTCTTTTTTCTTGAAGCAACAAGTCGTGACTGTCGATCCACTTCTGGCATGTGTAGAGTGACCAACTACTAAATGAGGGTGGGGTGTCTTCACCGCACAAAAGCTACAATCATAAAACCTCCATCTTTGTTGTTTTTTTTTCAATTTTCTCACTCTTTTTACAACCAAAAACTCCAATGTCATTCTTGAACAACTTAAATGCATTCCTTGCGTCGGATGATAGCTTTGAAGGTAAATAGAGCCTTGCTAGATATAACTTCAAGATCAAATACTAATTTATCAATGATGTGGTGAATGAGCCTGCGGCTAGATTTCAATTAGTCCCATCTTCACCTCCACCTCCACCTCCACAAGAGAAGAAGAGAAAGCCCTTGGTTCCGAAGGATTTGAGCCTGTTCCGGTATAATGGAAACGTCAATGCCAATACTTCTCCTGGCACCTCGCTGCCAGTCAATCACAGTTTCGGGGTCACCAATACCAAAAGTGGCAGCTCTCGTGCAAACGAGTCGCATCTAAGCTCTACCTTCACATCGGCAATCAACAAGTTTCTGGTTGATGTCTTGCCTTTTCAACAGAGATGCGTATTCAATTTTAGTGAGTTTAACGAAATGCAGTCGAGATGTTTCAATAATGTGTACGGCACTGACAAAAACTGTGTTCTCAGTTCGCCTACTGGCTCTGGCAAAACTGTGGTGTTTGAATTGGCAATTTTGCGTGCCAATGAGTCCCTGGACAACTACAAGGTGCTATATTTGGCTCCAACAAAAGCCTTGTGCAGTGAACGGAAAGACGATTGGTCTAAAAAATTTGCTCCACTTGGTATAACGGTTGGTATGTTGACGGGTGATACGTCTTACAAAGAGGCAGAGAGTGTTCGTAGTTCTAAAATCATTATTTCCACTCCAGAGAAATGGGATATGATTACTAGGAAGTGGAGTGACTACAAAAAGTTGTGCAGCTTGATCAAGTTGCTTCTTGTGGATGAAGTACACGTACTCAAAGAACCCCGTGGTGCTACATTGGAGGTGGTTATGACTAGAATGAAGAGAATCTGTGAGTGTTTGAGAATTTTGGCTATATCTGCCACTGTTGCCAATGCTCATGACATTGCTACATGGCTTGATGCTGAAACCCTCGTGTTTGGTGAAGAATATCGTGCTGTCAAATTACGAAAGATTGTCTATGGCTACAAACCCAACAACGAGAATGATTTCTCTTTTGACAATCAGTTGAATTCAAAATTGATTGAAGTTATAGCAAAACATTCAATGGGGAAACCTGTTTTGATTTTTTGTGCAACACGAAATAGTTGTCAATTCACAGCAAAATTTTTGGCTGGAAATGTTGGTGGGAAAAGTGTCATTTTGAAACTCAAGGATAGGGACTTGGCAAATTTAATCAAAACAGGTGTTGGGTATCATCATGCGGGGCTAACTTACGCAGACCGAAAACAGATTGAGGGTGCTTTCTTGAACGGTGACTTGAAGTATCTATGCTGCACTTCGACCCTTGCTGTGGGTATAAACCTACCTGCGTATTTGGTTGTCGTAAAAGGAACCAAGTGCTGGTGTGAAAGTACGTTCCAGGAGTATTCAGAGACTGACATTTTGCAAATGATTGGTAGAGCAGGGAGACCACAATTTGAAGATGAAGGAGTCGCAATTATCATGACTAACAACAAACTCAAATCCAAGTACGAAAGGTTGATCATGGGTACAGAAAAAGTTGAAAGCTCGTTGCACTTGAACTTTCCCGAGAACGTATTGGCAGAGGTCGCTGTTGGTAATATTAGTTCAATTGAGGATGCTCTAAGTTGGTTGAAAACTACATACTTTTATGTTCGTTTTCTCATCAACCCCCTGTATTATGACATTCCTAAACCAACAACCACTGAGGAGAACTTGCTAAGATTTTGCAAGAATAAAACAGACGAATTGGCACAAGAGACTCTTATCTCCGATTTCAAGTGTACCAAGTTTGGACTCTCTATGGTCATGCATTATATTAAACTTGATACCATGAAAGTAATTTTGAGTGCAAGCGACGAACTCTCCATATCTGAATTATTTGATATATTTGCTAAAGCAGCCGAGTTTAGTGATGTCAAGATAAAACATCAGGAGAAAAAATTGTACAAGGAGCTCAATAAATCACCCTTGATGAGATATCCATCAGAGTCAAAAGTGAGCTCAATTATTCAGTATGAGCTTGGTGGTTTGGAGTTTCCAAATTACAACGGTGCTCAAAAGTTACAATCTAGTTTTTTGGGTGATAAATTTTTCGTTTTCAAGCATGTTTCCAGAATCCTCAAAGCGATGATGGATGTTTTTGTTGAAAAAAAGGATGCAAAGTCGTTGATCAACCTGGGGTATATAATGCGTTCTATTTCAGCAAGAGGATGGGAAGGGTCGCCCAATGAGCTCAAGCAGTTAGACAGTGTTGGAATCCAAAGCATCAAAAAGTTTGTGAATCACAATGTTTTAACTTTAATGGATGCAAAAATGTTGTCTCAAGTGCAGATTGAACAGTTCTTGGGTCTCAAGGTTGGGGCAGGTGCGAAGATTAAGAGGGCACTATCGCTGATTCCAAAGGTAAAGGTTGATGCTCATTTAAATGGATCAGAAGTGCAAATAAATATAAGTATTGATCCAATCACAAAACTGTTCAAGAACGAAAATCTTTTTTTGCAAGTGATAAGCTCACAAGGTAGTAAACTTGTCGATTTTAGGAGAACGTCTTTAAGAAGCTATGTTGATGGTGGGTTTGTTATTCGTCATTCTGGTCTAAAGGTTGAAGTCGAGGCTAGTATTATGTGCGGGGTGGTTGGGAAAACCAGTGTTGGTGAATTTAAGGAGACTGTTGTCGACATTGACCCCAACTTTGAATTTTCGTCATCTTTGACTTCGCTTAGCGATATATTTGCGATAGAGCAGGTAAAGAGGGATGGCCCCGAGGACAGAAATAAAGAAACTCTCCCGGATGCAAAGTGCGCTATCAAAGAGGACAACTCCATAAGTACCCATTCGCTTACCAGTTCAATTGCTAACCCTGTAACCAATACTGTAAAGCAAGCTGTTTTAAAGAAAAAAGTGAAAAGAAAGAAATCTATTTTTGATGTTCATTCTGATGATTCTGATGATGTCGTGTCTGGCAACAACGTGGAGAAGAAAAAGCCAAAACTTAGTTTGTATGATGTTTCGGGAAGTAAAGATATTGAATCTTGCAAAGGGGCACAATTTGGACAAGAGTGCTCAAGTCCGCAGGAAAGAGGAATGGATTTCAAAAATAATGGCGTAGTCAAGTGCAGAAATTTGGCAATGGAGAGTCACATGGGAGGTACTTGCGTGGGCAAGGACGTCTATGGAGTGAAAAATATAGGACGTATGGGAATTCACAATAACGACAGTCTCAAGACGGACCTGGGAGAGAAAGAGGATATTGATACCAAGGAAGAACTCCACAAACTTGACAATGTTTGCTCCACTATTACAGAGTCCAACGTGATGCGTGATATTCATAGCTCGCAGTGTAGCACAGTGGATGGAAATATTTTGGAAGAGTTTCAAGGATATTTTGGCAGTGATGTCTTTGTTGAATGATATCCAATACTTCGACCCTTTCATTCAAATCGAATTAGCTGAATGCAATCAAAATTACGGTGATCTATTTGTTACCTAGGTAATTCAATGCTATTTCTTCTATAAACTCATCGCTGATTGACATATGCTCAGCCTCTATGTCACGAAAATCAATTCTTCCCATTTCGTGTAGGTAGCGGATCCCAATATAATCGTGGATGTATAAATCAGTTTTGTCAAATGGTATAGTTTGCCTCCAGGTTGTATCAATATCGCAAAACATTGCACTCTCTTTTGGAACAACGGTGGTGTCCTCCGTGAATGTAACCAAGACCAACTTGTTAAGCTTAGTTAAATTCTCAACGTATGTCGCATTTTTGTCCTTCCGTTCATTGTTGACATCTGCCAAGTAGAGTGAATGTTTCAAGTACTTTTCGTACTCGAAAGGGTCCCGGAAATATTGGGCCGGTAGGACCCTTTTTTGCACATTGTCATTCCACACTTGCCTCTTTAAAAGTTCGTTCCTTCTTTTGCAAATCCAATCTCTTGGGTCTTTGCAAAGAGGCATTTCCATTACACCCATATGCGGGCTTCCAAAAGTTATTAAATTGTGAAACGACAAATGCGAACACCTCTCAATTAACCCTCTCAATAAAACCCCACCTTGAGAAAACCCAATTGCATCGATACCTTCAGCGGTTGCCAACTCTTTAATACCTCTTAACTGATCACATACTTGATCCACCTGTTTATTTGCATCTCCAAATAATGACTTTTGCTGGTCTGTGGAAGGATCTTCGTCTATGTATATTGAATGAAAGAAGATTCCTGGATACAACCCACTAATCAGCTCGTTGACTTCATGGATTCCAGACGCATTATAGTTGTCTCCTAGGCCATGCCAAAGGATTACCGGTCGATACGTTTCACGAGGAGGAGCATTGCTCAAGTAAGATAAGAAAACTTGAAAGTTGATCACTGTAGATATATGCATCTTGACTTTAGAAGAAAAGTGTTTGAATGTAATGCCAACGCGTAAATTGCACAAAAGAGACAAAGAAAAAGAAAACGGGGGGCGGGGGGGATCTGAATTATAAAACCCTGAACGAAAGATAAAATTTCCCAGTGCCTAGGCCCATCTTTTGTGTGGCTGGTGAAGCACACGGGGAATCACGTCCGGCCCGAACATCTTGAACAGAGCAAAAAGTTTTAAAAAAAAGTGCTTCTAGTGAGGTTCGAACTCACGATCTTCTGATGACTCACGTCGTTTCTGGATATGAGACAAATGTTCTAACCAACTAAACTACAGAAGCTGACCACCATTGAGCTAAATGGTGAATTTGAAACTTTGTGGTAATACTTGTTGAAGTAGTAGACTAGATGTCTTTAAGTGTCGTTGTTATAATAAGTAACTGCAGTGGAAGTGTAATAGATTAGTTAGCAAGTAATTACAACTATGATGTTGTGTAACTATACTGAAGTGTGTATTCGAAGGATTAGCTTATTCTAAACTAACTTAAGGAAGCTATATCTGAATTTATGCAATCTCAATCTGCATCCCAAGTGGGATTTCCATAACCTTTGATAGCATTCCAAACTCCTAATATCAAGCAGCACAATCCTGATCTTCCTTGTCACTCAAGCTATAAAGACAAACAAACTCAGATACAAATTTCCTGTTTTAGGAAATGAAGGCGGTTTTCAATATCATTGATAATTTTCTAATGAAGTTAGTAATTCGAATACATTCCTTATTAAAATACTTCTCGAATTTCAGGTTGTTCTCTAATGCCTTACCTTTTCCTGTATGGGAAATCCCCAAATGATGTAACACTTTTTGTGTCCAGGGAAACAACAACAACCAAAAACCGAACCTTCTGTATCGTGATGAATGAATGAGCCGTCGTGTAAGGGTTGGCTATCTTGATCACAGGTCAATATGCATTTCATACCTTTCCAAAAACACGTGATCAGGATCATGTGACAAGGAACATCGCATCATACGTCTAACAAACATGGTGGATTTTAGAATAAACTCGTGGCTACGGGCTCATGGTTGAATCTGAATTTTATTTTCGAGTCTGTGGTCTTCAATGACGTCTAAAAAGGTTTGAGATCACACTTCTTTGAAAAGAGGAATCTGAAGTATGCTGCTGTGAAAATTAATAAAAAAATAAAAAAAAACATCAGTCTAGATTATCAGGTGAAGACTATAAAACATTGTAACTTACATGATCTTCATGAAGTATCCTTGAGCCTTTGTGTCAACTTTGCAGTCTCCACCTGTGTTGCCACCATTTCTTCTATTGCAAACTGCCTCCGTTTCGTTTCCAAGACTAGAACGTCGTCCACAATCTCATAATGAAGCGATTCTTGTCCCTCAAAAACGGCCGACACATCATCAACTTCAAACAAACTTTTGAACGACGATACGGGTATTCTGTTTATTCCAGAATTTTGGAAAAGGTGCCTTATTGCCACAAACGTGTTTTGATTCTTAACCTGTGTCTTGATTTCATTTGAAAATTGAGGGGGGGCTTTTCTATCATTGCATAAATCATCGACACTATTTGCCATCAGGGCATAAAGTAGCTCTTCATCGCTTGGCTTCTCTTCTGTATTTAGCTTCTTGTAAATCTGAGCAAAAAGCTTGGTCTGTGCCTTGATTGCCTCCGTTGGATGGTCCACGAGTATATGCACCAAGTTGAAAAATGTGTATTTGTAGTAATCGACCAACATCTCCAACAGAGCTTGAATTGGAATTTTGGACAACACAGGCTTATCTGCCTGATACAACTCAAGTGCTGGAAATAATAGCTGGGGTTTTTTGATCGTGTATAAGGATTTACTGAATTGAGCTAACAAGACAATATTTGATTCCTCACTCGCTTCGAGTAGCTTATCCCGAATCATTAGGATTAGCTCGTCGTCTGTGTTTGAATTGCCCAACTCGACTTGATTGAGCATATCAAGTATAGCATCGTGAGGTAGTGACATGGTTAAAGTGAGCCACGAGTAAAGACATAGAAGAAGTTGTGTTTTTCGTTGCGCATTTTTCATTTAAGGAAAGTTTATACAAAGACAAATTGTCCTTGAATTAGCATTTGCACAACTACTAAGACCCCCCTCCCCCCTTAAAAGAGATTAAGCTTTAGAAAACCATTTCTATTTTTTACTGGAAGAACGCATTTGTTGTAAAGCATATTGCACGCACCTCCCTATCTAGTTCAAAAACATTCAATGGATGATTCCAAACTTTTTTCTTTTTTTTTTTTTGCAGTCAAATTCTGACAAAAAACTTTAATTGAACTCTACATCTCTATCTCGTGGGGAATGGAAACTTTACATGAGACCTAGAAACAATCTCCAAATAATCAGGTTCATTCTCAGCCGTGATAAACCCATGTCTAATCAAGAAATCGATGATGACCAACCCACAATTTGGCTTGAACTCCCTATTTCCCAATCGCTCCAACACTTCATCCACTGTCATAAGTTTGAAGTCCTCCGCTTCGCCATCTTGAGGATTTATGAAATGTGCCTCGTCTTCCTTGATGATGATATCATAAGTATACTCCACCTCAGGCTGTGCACGTCCGTCGTCCGTTAAGTAAAAGTAGGTGACGACGCCAGTGCTTTTAATATTTTTGCAAACAAAGTCCTCTTCAAGCCCCGCTTCTTCAAAGCATTCTTTGATCACCGTAGCTTTTAAACCATGTGGGTATCCTAAACCACCAGCAACTGTATTGTCCAACATACCGGGAAAAGTCGGTTTGGTTTTTGACCTTCTGGGAATGTATAGTTTTAATTTACCATTGGATGATAATTCAGGCGGCACGTATCCATTTATATGGACTCCGTAAGTTACTACCCCCAAAAGCACTGAAAATGCCCTTTCTATCCGTGCATATTCGGTTTTGGAAGGATTGTACACAATGTACAATTCATTTCTCCAACCTTTGTTGAGTCTCTCGTCCAACTCGGGAATCTTTCTCCATCGATTGGCAACTTCCGCCAACATGTCATTCCTCTTTTCGAGAGTATCAAACTTGGAGTCAATGGCAATTGTTTTGGAGTCGTGATCGGTGATAAATGCAGTTTCGGATTGAAGTAGTTTGACGATGGTTGGATCAATGTATCCAAGAGGTGCAGTTCCCTTATGGTCTAAAAGAGTATAAAAGGCATCGGTTTTCTTGAAAGAGTCAACCTCTTCAATGATTTTCAAAAACGACATGTTGTTGAACTTTTTGCTGGTGGGGGGTGGCTGTAATGGCTCCTGTTATTGGTGAAAAAATATTTAGGGTCCTTGGGCCCCTTTTTATTTCTGTAAGGGCTCTCGGTTAAAAATACAAATTTATTTTTTTTTTCTCATGGTTATGGGCGGTTAGAAGAAACACACCTCCTTAAGTCATCGATCAATCAAAATAATTCGGACATCTTTTACATAACAACGTCTTGTGAAAAGGAAACCAAGAAAAAGGTGAACCCCAGTTCCATAGTTCTCAAAGATGCTGGGATCTTCAGCGGCCCTAGTACGAGCATTAGAGGCTACATTCTCAGAGAAGGAAAACTCAAGAATACCCCTTGATGATCATCTTTCAACTACAATAAACGAATATTTAGCTAAACACAACAACCTCACCACAATAAAGCAAACTAGCAACAACATACACGAAAAGCTTTATCGACTCTATAACGGGTGTATCAAACCCTCGCGCAAATTGGAACAGGAAAACACATTTCTTGACGTATTGATTAGACTTTGTGATGTGTTTAGTGAAGCGGAAGTTAGCTTGTGGGTTATGACCTATTTGAAATCAGCAATTGACAGTGCCGGATATGACTCGAAATTTGCGGCTAAATCTACAAAGCTTATTGAAAAAGTGTTGACCAATTATACGATAACTGAATGTGATCGTCTCAATGAAGTGCATGAGAGATGTGCCAGCTCACTAGCGCAGCTCCTACTAGATATCTACTTGAACGAAGATACGTTAGCAACTAAACTAAGGTTGGACGTCACAGAGACCACAAAACAGGGTCAAGCTTATCACGAGAGAATACGATTTATTCGATACAATTGTACAAACTTACTTTTAGAGTATGGAATGAAGCACACAACTCAATATTGCAATCTTTTGAACCAATATATGCAGAAACCCAACTATCGTTTTGAGGTCATTGTACTGCTAGGTTACTTGATAAATGCAGATTTCAAAAATGCGTCTGCCATAGTTGAAGGTGATTTATTTCAAAGTTTGCTACGATGTCTTCTTTTCGATTTAGACCCCACTTTGGTTCATTGCGCGTTGAATGATTTACTCATGCTAATCCCCAAAACTACTGCCAAAATGGGGAAATATTTGTCGGATATTTTGTTGGTGTATTTACGATTGACAGATTGGACTTTCCCAAATGAGGCTGAAGCAAAGGATAAAATTGGTTTCGCAAATCCATTGCATTTACATTCAGGCTCTTGGGAAGTTGCATTGAACCAATACTCTGAAGAAACGGCTGAAACGCGGCTCAATTACCAGTATTTGTGCACCTTGATATATGGATTGTATTATTTCAATTTTGCCTTCTTTCTATGTGATCCGAAGGAGTATCTTTCCAACCATTTACTGTCAATCATATCATTCGACTCACTTGAACAATGGCTGTTGGAACAGATTAGTGAGACCAAATCCTTCAAGAATGCCATCTCAATCACAAAGCAACTTTTAGGGTCATTTCTTGTACATCCGAAGTACTGGAAGAAAATCGACTTGCAAGCAGAATTGAGTAGCCCAGCCAGCTGGATATCTAATGAAGCTAACCCAGATGATATTGCCGTTGCGTGCTTCAGCTTGAACCCGAATGTCTTTATCGGGAATGGCGAGACAGCTGATTCTTCTTCTTTGCGCGAATCCCAGGTTCCTTTTAATGGTGTAGATACCATATCAAGATCATCATCATCGGCTGGTCCAATGTATTTTCAAGTCAATAATCCCACCAAAGTTCATTTGAGATCTCGGTTGCTACAACAGAGAAAGATGTCTATTGTTCCGACTAACCTAGTTATTGAGGAGAGCAATCACGAGGAGAATGAGGATAGATTCAAGTTTGCTGATGACCACGATCAGTCAATTTCCGATGGGTCCAGCATGACCAGCCCATCTTCATCCAAACAATATCGTACCGAAATTGTATCGCATTTGCTTCATGACCATGAAAGACTTTTCGCCACAGGTAAGCATAACAGATTGTACAATCAAGGAAACTCATTGTCCAGAACAAACTCTCTTGATCCCATCACTACAATGACTGCGGACGAAACTAGTGACAAATCAAAGCCGGAAATGAAACTAGGTCGTCCAATGTCGTCGCCTACGACAAATTCGGAAGCATCCAATATCTTTAAGGATAACAGTACCACTACAACCACCACTAGTGCATCTATGGGAACAAATGGAGACACCAGTACATTGAATAGCTCGGGAAATGTTGCTTCTCATTCAAGCTTGAATGAATTGAATGGAAATGGAACAATAATTGATTTTTATCAACGGGAGTTGTTACTTTTCAAAAATGAATTGGAACTTTCGAGTTACATGAAACATTTGAATAAGCACCATTATTTAAGTGTGAAAAATGAGTCACTTAAAGATTGTGAATTGCCTATAGACTCTACGCGACGTGATGAAGAAGGCAAGTTTGCCAAAGTTATTGAAGATGTCAAGAGCGAGTGGGCTGAAAAACAACGACAATTTGATCGCCAATATGATTTGTTGACAACCAAGATCAAGGAGCTAGAGGATGAGCGAGACAAACTTTGTGCGCAATTATCGGAACTACAGCTTTCAGCGGAAACTAAAGCCAGGGAATGCACTGAATTGGTACAGAGTGTACTTCCAAATAAGGATTACGAAATTGAACAGTTGAAACTAAAGCTAAAGGCTATGGAGCTATCAAAGCATGAGCTGGAAAATACGATTTCTCAAGATCAAGCTTATAACATATCACTAGATGCTAAGGAAGAACTGCTGGCAACCCAGAAAGCATTGGAGGATCAAATTTACAATTACAAGATGGAACATCAAGTATTGATTCAACAAATTGCACAATTGGAACACGAAAATAGAGTTGCGCAGACACGTTACAATACTATGGTGACTCAATACGAAACGAAATTGGAAAAGACCAAGCTATCACTCTCGGACACCTTGAGCTCGTTTTCTGCACCGTTTGAAAAAAGAATCTCTGAATTACAAGCAGTGATTTACAAGTATCAAACTTTACTAGAGGATCGAACACGTAACAGTGTTGCCACCTCGTCGTTGAATGGAGCTGGCACTGTGCCCATTCCCATTGTACGACAAAACAGTTCTAGTAGCTCGGGTAATTACTCGTATGGGCATGAAGACAGTCATGGTAACAATACTGTACCTACACGCCCAGTGGCACCCATACAACACATGTTTAGAAATGGAAGCAATAACAGTAGTGGTGGTAAAACTGGCAATGGAATTACCACTGGTGAAGGCGACAGTTTGCCATTTATGAGAGGTCGCGGTGGTTTGCAGAAGAGAACAAGAAAATTTATGTAAAGAATGGGTTGCGAAATAGGTCAGCTTCAATAGTCTAGACTCGTGATGATATTGGATTTTTTTTTTTTTTTTTTTTTTTCTTTGTTCATTACTTACTTAGGATGCAAAAAACAATATTTATCATATTTAGCGGCAATTTGCCGCATCTGAATATTGGCACGTTATGTATTTTGAAATATTATTTGTGCAACTAACGTGAAAACAAGCGCCCAATCTTACATTATTTTGAAGTATGGATGGTTGTGTCCTTCTATGGGGGGGAGGAAAAAAAAAAACCGCCTGTCAAAAAAAGTAAACGATTTAATTTCATAGAGTTCAGTGAATTACCAGGGACTACTGTAGAGCTATTCAAAATATAAAAAGAGGTCTACGTGACGTACGAATTCAGTCATGCAAGTTGGAATGATCTTTGTATATTTTGAACCTTTGACTTTGTATGTCATTCACCGGTACAATTTTCGGAGATGGTGCTTTTGTGTAGCCATCTAAAAGTTTGATCGCTTAAATTTTTATTGCATAGAGAGTGAAAAAATGCTCCGCATTTTTTTTTTTCGAAAATTCATCTTCGACAAGAGTATTATGCACGACTGGGAAAAGATGGTCATCTTTGTCACTCTCTGTATCATAAACTTTAGCTCTGACAAGTTGAGGGGGAATAGGAGAATATAGTTCTTTTGCAGCTTAAATGCAAAAACCGGAGATCATTCTCCGATGTAGTTGATTTTATTTCTGTTTTTTATTTTTTGTTTTGTCTTTTTATTTTTTCTATGGCACATTTTGGGGACATACGGCGATAGAGTTCAAAAAAATTTGTGCCTTCTCCTCCACCCCTCTTCGCCATTGCAAAAGCCAAGACTCGTTGTTTATGCAAATACAGAAACATTACCACTCGTACTCTGTGTGTGAATGAGCAATTTGCTTCTAAGCTCCAAATTGAAGCCAAAGGGATCGGTTGATCAACGTGTAATACTGCAGAAGCGCATGAAATAAAAAAACAAAAAAAAACGAGTCCTTCACTATATTCCCATCTTGCGGTTATTATTCAGTATACAAAAGCCCCATCGGAAGGTCTCTCAGATCCTAAAGTTGTAAGGGATCCGTAAGCAGTACATGTGTATAGGTCTGTGTGCCAGCACATGCCACCTTACAATAATGCCCCCTTCCACGATTTGTGTGATATTTTCATAATGAAAGGCATTAGTATCCACAGTTTCAAATATGTGGTAACCTTTTTGGGTTTGGGTGTGGAGACATCTCTCACAAAACATCTGTGTGTTTACCCTCTCCAACGATTGGCACCAAAAACTTTGAAATGTAAGAGCCAAATGAAAATTTGAGACTCTTCTCGCCTCGCTTGGTGATACCCAATTTGGTCAAAGACAGACACACTGTTTGTGACTATTAACTATATTGCTACACAAAATGCGAGAGACAACAGAGTAAACTACTACGCACCCACTTCGCTTTTGACAAAAATTTCTTGCAACCAACACACAACACACAATTGACCAATTCAACCAAACTCTCATGCTCGAGATAGATGGACTATGCAAACACAACCACTAAACAGGAACAAGATCACTCAGCAGCTTAAAATTTATACATGCACGTTTTCTTCTCAAAGGTTTTTTTTTTTTCTTTGTGCATGACCTTACATATTGACATATGGCTTGTTCTGTTGGTCTCTAATTTAGCAGCTAAAGACATCACACTGCAGTATGGCTCTGTCAGTATACAGGCATTTCCACTGTGGTTTAGGATTCAACATGGACAGCTAGTCAAAGCTACATGAACTGTATGAACCACCAAAACTCCCCTGACATAGCAGTATCACTCACACACTCACACACACACACACACTCACACACATATACGCTTATCACACACAATGTAGTACTCACTGTCGAAACCGAAATGAAAAAAATAAATAAAAATAAAAAGAAATGCACAATTCGGTACACCGTATATTATTATATACACTACCCCTCCCTTTCCCAATTGAAGTTGTACAAATGAGAAATGCCACACAACACAAACAACATTTATAAACGCCATACTTTGTTGCTTTTGTTATTTTTTTTTTTTTTTTGGAGGTCCATACATTCCAAGAAGAAGAAGAAGAACAAGAAGAAGCAGAAGAGCCTGATTTATTAACCCTCTTCTCCCCCCTCCCCCACGTCAACAAAAAAAATCTACCACTTTATAAATACTCGAACAAATTCCTTCATATTCTCCTATTCCATTGAATTGCAACAAAGAAAGACAAAAGAAACAATACACATTATCATTCTTACACAATGGCTACTCTCGAACAAGGTGTTGCTAATCTCAACATTGACAAAGCAAACTTCACTTCCAACAATTCATCTACAGCCAGCTTGAAACACGGCTATATAGATACCCCCTTCAGTGGTAAGAAGGACCAGTTTGAACAGGTTTTGGACGCACTTGACTCCACTGGTTTCATTCCGGAGTCTTTGTTGGAATCAGAGGCCAAGTGGTTTTACGATTCATTGGGAATTGATGATGTGTTTTTTGCCAGACTGACCCCAGAAGAGATTGCTGGTCATATTCACGCCTTGTACTCGTGTAAAGTGCAAGCTTATGCAAATGCAGGTGAACAACCATTGATTTCATACAAGAGAGAGGCTGAAGACCATGCAGTATTTTTTGACACGGTGGATGCTTTGGATTACGCAAGAAATCCATTTGAAAGCTTGATTGATGATAAGTATATCGATCCAAGTGATGCTGCAACCAAGAGTTATCGTGCTGAATATTTTGCTGCGCCATTAAATTACCAAACTGATCCTATTTTGAATGGAATTTATGCTCAAAACAAGAATCTCGGTGAGCAAATTGTCAGATTGGTTTTTGTTTACAAAAATCAATTCAAGAATGGTAAGGTTGCTGCTAATGAGTTAGATTTGGACAAGATTGGTGATGAAACTTTCTTGAAGATTGCTTCACAAAATACTAAATCTTTATATGAAAGCATTCAAAAGGAAGTTGTCGAATCCACCGGTCCAATTATCAAACATTTCCCAATTGAAAACACTGAAGAGTACCGTGTTATCATTGGTTATAGACAAAGCACAGCTGCAAGATACAATTCAGCATTGAGTGATTTGGCCAATTACTACAAGTTACAAACTACCAGAAAATATGTTGAGCAGTTTGCTAATGGCGTAACAATCACATCAATGTATGTTACTTCAAGACTGAGATCAGCTGTTGACTTGTCAATTTACCAAGTGATCAAGGAGGCATCTTTGTTGTACTGTATTCCTCACAACTTTTTCCACACCAGATTCATCCAAGGCGACTTGTCTTTGCAAGAAGCCATCTATGCTCAATCAGGTGTCATTTTTGTCACTCATTTTTTGAACCGTTTAGGTCCAGAGTACAAGAAATTGTCTTCGTTGTTGGATCCTTCAAAGTCGACTGAACACGCTGAAGTGTTGAGCAGTTTAAAGAAGAGATTGAGGTCGGAGACATACACTCAAGAGTATATCAAAGAAGTCTTTGATGTGAGAAGCGATATTGTTCGTAAATTGTATCGTCAGTTTGCTGATGTTCACTATATCAGGTCCTCAATGGAAAAGACGTTGTCTTACCAAAGATTGTCGCAAATTCAGCCAGTTGGTTCTGAGGAAGAGTTTGAACAGTTGCTCAGCAGAGAATGCTCACAAAATGAGCATCATGCTATTGTTTTGAGAGCTTTGTACACATTCAACAAGTCTATTTTGAAGACCAATTTTTACACCTCAACCAAAGTGGCTCTATCCTTTAGATTGAATCCAGCATTTTTGCCAGAAACAGAATACCCTGATCGTCCATATGGTATGTTTTTCGTTGTTGGTTCTGATTTCAGAGGTTTCCACATTAGATTTAGAGATATTGCCAGGGGTGGTATCAGAATTGTGAGATCAAGAAACTTGGATGCCTACAATGTCAATGCTAGAAATCTTTTTGATGAAAACTACAATTTGGCAAACACGCAACAACGTAAGAATAAGGATATCCCTGAAGGTGGGTCCAAGGGTGTTATTTTGTTGGATTCCGGTTCAGCGCAAGATCGTGCTCAAGCAAGCTTTGAAAAGTATATTGATGCATTGATTGATTTGCTTTTGAAACAACATATTCCTGGGGTTAAAGATAGTTATGTTGACTTGTACAATAAGCCCGAAATTTTGTTCTTGGGGCCCGATGAAGGAACTGCTGGGTATGTTGATTGGGCTACTTTGCATGCAAGAGAGAGGGGAGCACCATGGTGGAAGTCTTTCTTGACCGGTAAGTCGGAGGCAATTGGTGGTATTCCTCATGACGAATATGGTATGACCACGTTATCTGTTCGTGCTTATGTCAACAAGATTTACGAGAAGTTGAACATTGATGATTCCAAGATCCGTAAGTTTCAAACCGGTGGCCCAGATGGTGATTTAGGATCTAATGAAATTTTGTTGTCAAGAAGAGAAATTTATGTCGGTATAGTTGATGGTTCAGGTGTCATTGCAGATCCAAATGGGTTAGACAAGGAGGAGTTGGTTCGTTTGGCCAAGGCAAGAAAGACTATTGAACATTATGATCGTTCCAAATTGTCACCTCAAGGTTACATAGTCCTTGTTGATGATTTTGATGTGACTTTACCTAGCGGACAAGTTGTCACCAGTGGGGTTGCATTTAGAAATACTTTCCATTTGAAATTGAAGGAGCAATTTGGAACCAATGGGGTAGATCTTTTCGTTCCATGCGGTGGTAGACCAGCTGCTATTGACACCAATAATGTTCATGAATTGATTGACGAAAAGACTGGTAAATCAATCATTCCATACTTTGTTGAAGGTGCCAACTTGTTTATTACCCAATCTGCGAAATTGGTTTTGGAGAAAGCTGGTACAATTATTTTCAAAGATGCATCTACAAACAAGGGTGGTGTCACTTCTTCGTCCTTGGAAGTTTTGGCAGCATTGGCCTTTGATGATAAAGGATTCTTGGAGAATATGTGTGTTGATAAACAAACTGGAGCCAAACCTCAATTTTACCAAAAATATGTCAAGGGTGTGCAAGACAAGATTGTTGCTAATGCCAATGCTGAGTTTGAAGCATTGTGGAAGTTGAAGGCAGAAACTGGTACACCATTCACCATATTGTCGGATAAATTATCCCTTGCAATCAACAAGTTGGGTGATGAATTGGCCAATTCAAAGGAACTTTGGGACGATGACGTTGATTTCAGAAATGCTGTCTTGTTGGACTCATTGCCACAATTGCTTTTGTCTACAGTTGGAATCGAAAATGTTCTTGCTAGAGTTCCACAAGCTTACTTGAAGGCTATTTTTGCAACGTATTTGGCATCGCATTTTGTGTATTCGAGAGGCATTGATTCGAACCCAGCCAAATTCTTGGAATTCATTAGTAATATCAGAAAGAGTTTTGTACAAAAGGGTTTGTTGAAGTACTGATTTGAGAGAGGGTCTGTGTATGTGCGTGTTTGAGAAGAAGAAGGACAACTGGTGAAGATGTATATTATTGATCAGATGTTATCCCCATTTAATAGGAAAAAGTAACCTATATTTTGAAAGCGATTAGCCAATGTAGAATAGCTTTATTGCGACACCACAGCTTCCCTTACTCGTGAAATAGCATTTTCCAGGGGTATAAGTATGTCTTATCTCCACTGCGAGTAGTACATATCCCAATATCCAGACGCACATATCACTTCCCGTAAGGTCATTCCTTTCTTTCACCATCCCAGCAGCAGCATGTTGTCCGCAACCGCATCTCTTCAGTCCTTTTTCTGTTCATATTCCATTTGAGCAATAATTGAATCACGAGCTTTAACTTCGTCGTTGATTCTCGTCGTAACATAGTCACCTATCAACGCCATTATGACCGTGGAAATCCCAACGTAGTAGCGAGCTTTCACTGGCAAGCCCATCCATTTCTGGTATAACCCCATGGTGCTCTCAGTTGTATGGTTTACAAAGGGTTACTCGCTTCTGCTAAAGGTTCAGTGTGGAAAAGAAAATGGAAAAAAAAAAAGAAAAATGTGATTCTGAGTTCATCTCAATTCTTTGCCCGAAATGGTTGCAACCAGTGCCAGACTAGCGAAAACAACAACAAATCTTCCACCCTGTTGTTTACGAATTCATCCAAATGATACGAGCAGGATATACATTGGTACATACAAATTGGAAGAAGATACTGGGATCAAACATGGATCATTAGATGTGTATACGTACAAAGGTGCAGAGTTGTCACTAGTAACGTCGATCCCCACAAAAGCAGCTATACTTGACATGAAGTTCAATCCCCAAGACGCGTCACAGTTGATATCTGCTCACTCTAATGGACAAATTACGGTATGGAGAGTAGGTCCAAACGTTGAAGATTTAACCAAAGTCAAAGGTATCGTTATAGATGAAGATGAAACAAATTGCATCACTTCGATCTTTTATAACCCCAATGACCCAAACAAAGTACTTCTTACGCTAACCAGTGGGTCACTGGTGATTGCCGACTTGGTATCACAGGCCATTACTCCTCTTGAAGGACAGCATAGCTTGGAATGCTGGACCGGTTCATTTGGAGAATTGGGTCAACTAAATCATGTTGCATATACAGGGGGCGATGACTCTCAATTGGTTGCTCACGATCTACGCACATCGCAACCAATATGGACCTTATCACGTGGCCATGATGCTGGTGTCGTGAGCATTTTGTCTCCATCATCCAAATGGAATGCCTCTAATGGGAACTTACTTTGGACTGGTTCCTATGACGATAATCTACGGGTTTGGGATCTACGATGCATTGACAAGTCGAATCCAAGCTTGTTGGAGGGTTACATACCGAGAAAATTACATGAAGAAAATCTCGGCGGTGGTGTTTGGCGATTGATTCCAAGCCCGCTTGAAAAGGATGAGAGATTATTGAGTTGTTGTATGTACGATGGTGCAAGAATTGTAAATACTAGAGGTGACGATTTTTCTGTTGATAGATACTTTAAGAAAGATCATGCAAGTATGTGTTATGGTGGTGATTGGTCGTTTGATGGGAAATTTGTCGCAACTTGCTCCTTTTATGATAAAGCTGTTCAAGTATGGAGCCCCGATGAAGTAGAAGATAAATAGAAGCGCAAGAACTACATAATGATTGTACTGTTTGAATGATTTTAGCGTACTTAATCGTACAAACTCAAGTTCAATGGGATTGAAGATCCTCTTCCACTAGGATAAAACTTCTTGGCTCCTTCAAATCTTCTAGGATTTGGCAATGCATTAGCATTGACAAATTTGAACCTCTTGTCGTCAATAACCACTTTTTGTCCCGACGACGTACTGCTGCTATGTCCATTTATAGTGTAAGCCAGAGCTGATATTTTTCGCAAAGATGACCCAGCATGTTGTTTTGAATCAAGATCATTGGCATTTTGTTGTGATGACGACGTCCTGGCTCTGGAAATTGTCGAAGATGGTGATGGCGCAGTTCCTGACGGTGGTGGTGGTGGTGGTGCAGTCTTCTTCTGCTTTGAAATCGAAGGCGCTGATGTCAAGGGTGGAGGTGGTGGCAGCTGAGGTGGTCCTCCTGTTGGTAATGGAGGAGCCTGTGCTGGAGAAGGCTGCAGCTCTTGGTTTTTGATACCAGTATGTGAGGGCAAATCCTCGGAAGCAGGTGGGACTAGTGGTTTTACTTTATGCTGTACAGACAGAGTTTTCGGTGTTGGTGGAATCGCGGTTGGTCTTGGTGGCGCTGGTTGTACGGATTGGGGCTGCGCTTGTGGTTGCTTTCTCTCTGGCGGTAACATTCCAGGTATGGGCGGAACGGCAGAGTTTGGTACGGGGGGAGCAGCAGGCGTAGATTTTTTAGGAGCTTCAATGGAGTTTGTAAAATCCTCTGTTTTTGTGCTGTATGAGTTCCCACTTCCATCCACCACAAATGAATCATCTCTTTTTGCATTTATTTGTGCCAAGAATGGTAAAGCTCCTCCAGAGGCAGGTGCTGCTGAAGTCGATGGAGCAGTAGGTTTTGCTGAAGGCTTTGAAGAGGGAGTCTTTGGTGCAAAAGACAGCGGCGGTGCTGACGGTGGCGGTGGCGGTGGCGGTGATGGCACACTCGTTGGAGCCGGTGGAGCCTTCGGTGCTGAGCTTTGTGGTAATGGAGGAGCCTTCGGTGCTGAGCTTTGGGGTAATGGAGGAGCCTTCGGTGCTGAGCTTTGTGGTAATGGAGGAGGTACACTTGAAACAGCTGGTATCTTTGGTGGCGCATTTGTGGACGGTGTCGCGTCAATCACATTCTTCTCGTCCCTCTTTGCATTTATTTCACTCAAGAATGGAAGTCCACCAGATGGTAATGGAGGTGCAGAAGGGGCAGCACCATTGGAAGATGGGGGTGGTGGTGGAGACGGTGCAAAGGTAGCTGGTGGTGGTGGTGGTGGTGTAGGTACCGGTGGAGCTGTACTGGATGCTAAATTCTTCCTGGCAGGTTTAGAGGTGGTGGGAATTGGTGGGGCAGTGGTGGGAAGCGGTGGAGGGCCAGCAGGTAGTGGTGGGGGGTTGCTGGCAGATTCTATTGAATTCACTGAACTTATTGAGCTGTTCTTCACATGGTTGGGTTTCTTTGGCCGCGTTGGAGGTACTTTGGGAGCTGGTGGTACGCCTGTAGGAATTGGAGGAGCTGGTGATGAAGGCGCAACTGTTCCTGATGCTGCCAGACTTGAGGGTCTTGTTGTTGGTGGTGCTGGAGTTCTTCCTGGAATCTTTGGTGCCGATGGGGGGGTGATCCCTGCTCTATTATCTACATGCTTTAATTTTGGCATTCCCCCTGCGAATATATCCCCCAATTGAGGGGCTCCAGTGGGAATGGGCGGAGCAGATCCGGATGCCGCTGAGTTCCCACCTCCCAGAAATTTCTGTGTCGGTGCACCTGTAGACACGGACAGGTTGCCATCAATTAATGGTTTTGATTTATCAATTGTAACTGCTTTCTTTAACTTTGCTCCCTTTCTGATGTCACCAAGTAATGCATCTCTTCCAGGCGACATTGTTGCAGCAGGAGGTGGCCCCGGGGTTGGTGCACTTAAATTCGGTGCACCTCCCGGTGGTAGCGGTGGTGGTGGTGGTGGTGGTGGTGGTCCTGCCATGTTCTGCTGAGTATATTCGAGTTATTCGAAGAGAACTGACGTAAGTGCTCAACACCTTTTTTTTTTTTTTCTTTGTTGCCTTTTAGAACACTTTTGTGGTATTGTTCAAAGAGTAATTGCGAAAAGTAGTTAGAGCACATCGCAATCGAATATGAGGAGATACTATCTACATTGTAGGTAGAGTCTATAACTGTATTGATTTCTTATTTTACTCCCCACGACAAATTATCGTAACCGAATAACCATGGACCCACTGTGTGTCGAAATACAATCATGCAAAGACCGACAATGAATTGAATAGCCAAAAGAAGCAAGCATAACTTGTCCTCTCTCATTGGACCAAACCAAACTAAACACAAATTGATGATTGTCATATTGGAAAAGCGTTTTATCTTTCCCAGTTTAGGATCTTTTTCTAGCTTAATAAATTTGAAGGCGTCCAAAATCGACAATATTGAAGTACTCAACCAAGTTGGCTTTTCTAAGTTGCCAAAGCTGGGGTACATGAGCCCATCCTCTGCATTGAATCTTGGCAACCGGTGTCTCGGGCATGGGATGATGTGGAACAATTGCGGCACTGAGTACATGAAATTTATCACCTGCGGTATCAAAAATAGCATCAACGTTTTTGAAAAGTGTCCTAAAATTCCTACAATTGCAAAAACCATACCGCTGAAGTAGCAATATGTGTCTCCAACAAACACACGAGCAGGAAACCAATTGTATTGTAATAATGCCAACGAAACTCCAAGAAATGGAACAACGAAAATGACTGAAAACAAGTGCGAGTCATGTGCAGCTTGTGAGATGTTATTAGAAAGTAGATAACAGAAATCATTAACCAAGAATATCAAAGCAAGAACAACAGACTGGCCCACCTCTAAACCGTTGACCCCAGCCAAGATGTTGATGGAGTTTGGAGAAAAGATTGATACTGCAGACATGTATACGTAGTAAAATATCCCCAAATCTATCAACTTGGGGATTTGATCTGGTACAACGTAATCAGTTTGTAGTGTTCGGAATGACAATCCTGTGATGCTGGTGACCAAGTGATTTGAAAATTTAACAAAGCTGTTTACAACACTGAGTAAGTACAGACCACTGGGGAAATCTGTAACAAAGCTGGGAATCACAATTGAGGTCACACTGAAGTCGACATAGTATACTATCAATAATGGCAAGGATGCAACAGCGGGTAAAAAGAACTTGTGCCTCCAGCGAATGTCAAATAAATCGTCCAATAATCCCAACAAAGTTGTACTTTGCAAGCACAAAATGCCGCTCAAATATTCTGCTAGCTTGTTATGGGGAAACAACTTGTTGTCTTTTATAGACTGATATTGCGTTTTGTAGTTCTCTGACATGACTTCATCGTTGGCTAAAGATCCAAACGACACGAGGTATTTGAAGAATATGAAAGGGATCAATCCAAACATTAGAAACAAATACGTGGTTGCCGCAACCAACCCCATTGTTTCCGGTAGCTCAGGGTTTGGTGGACGTTTTGACAAGTCTCTTCCCTTGAGTCCTATTTTGACAAAACTTGGACCTACTCTCGGTATCACCAGATACGTTATCAAATAACCAATTACAGAGAACGCTACCACGGTCCGTACTGGGTTATTAGGTGCTATAGCCATAATAGCACCCACCAGGAGTGACAATTTGAGTACCCGTGACATCATTGAAGTGTTGCGGAGAAAGACGGTAACCTCGAGAACAGAATTGAAAAAACGTGTAAATAAAACAAATGCGCTTCCTTCAACAAAGAAAAAGTTAGAACTCTACCTCTCCACCAAAGATTTATAGATGCAGCCATTCGTCACAGGGCATGAAGAGCTAATCCACGATATCAAGTATGACTTTTATGGCAAACATATAGCTACAGCATCGTCAGACCAGCATATAAAAGTGTTTGATTTTGATGCATCAACTACGTCGTGGATCTTGAATGATCTGTGGAAAGCTCACGATTCACTGGTTTTGAGAGTGTCTTGGGCCCATCCGGAGTTTTCGAGCTCTAAAATATTGGCATCCTGCTCGTTTGATAGAACAGTGAAAATATGGGAGGAGCAGCCCATGGAGTTGCATGGTTCCGGTCGAAGATGGATGAGGTTGGCTACTCTTGCAATTGAGTCGTATGGTCCGATTTATGATGTTAAGTTTGCTCCAAATCATTTGGGCTTGAAGTTGGGATGTATAGGAAGTGATGGAATTTTCCGCATCTACGAATCCTTGGAGCCCAATGACTTGACTGATTGGGCACTTACAACGGAAATACCGATACTCAGTCAGCTGCTACCTGCGAAAAGCTTGCAGAGTAGCTTCTCTATTGAGTGGTGTCCATCGAAATTTACAAGGACTGAAAAGTTCATTGTTGTTGCATTAGATCAAGGCTTCGTATATACAAGCGTACCAAGAGATACCGATGCTGGAGAAGATGGCGGGCACGAAAATTATGTCAAGATGTGTGACTTGCCAGAACACAATGGACTAATAAGATCGGTGAGTTGGGCTCCCTCCATGGGAAGAAGTTACCATTTGATTGCTACAGGTTGTAAAGATGGTTACGTACGCATTTTCAAGGCTACAGAAACTCCCGCGGGAGACTTTGAAATCGAGGTTCTAGCAAAAATGAACGATCACCAATGTGAAGTGTGGAGAGTTAATTGGAACACGACAGGGACTATATTGTCATCTGCTGGTGATGATGGGAAATTGAGGCTATGGAAATGCAACTACTTAAGTGAGTGGAAGTGTATGAGTGTCATCAACACCAGTAACAGGTCGGACAGTAGATGTATAGAAAATGAGATAAGTAATTCTAAGTAGAAGTTTTTTGTTTCTTGTCAAGTTGGTTCCACAATTGTTCATCTTCCTCTTCTTCAGCTTCTCTCTTTCGTTTAACTTCCTCTTCTTCTTCATCCTCGTCATCTAATATGACTAATGAGCTTACTTCCACACCAAGATAGACTTTGGCTAACAATTCTCGAGTTGAGACATCAAAGACTCGGAGATACCTGTCTAGTCCTGCAAATGCGGCAATGTTCTCCACAACCTCGACTGCATAAGTTGCTCCTGTATTCCCACCAGTGTATTTACCTAAAGATTTAGGCACCGCTTTGACGATTTCTCCTGCAGATGCCGAGTTTGTTTTAAAGGCTTTCTCGTCAACTTGTGTCAAGGAATATTTAGCAATCAAGCTATTGGGGCCAGTAACTATCACATCTTTCTGCTCTTCGTCTGCAAAAGTTAAAGTTAAGATTGGATCCTGAGAAACTTGATAGTTTTTCAATGGCTTTCTTCCATGTGTAGAGTCATACACCCTTAAGTGGCCATAATGTGTCGAAGTTAAAAGCTTAAAACTCTCCTTCGACTCATTCTGAAAAAATAATATATTAGTGATCCAAATAGGAACCCTCAAGTCTAAGTGGTCGTTCTTGACATTCTTGGCTGCAAACACAACTTTTGGATTGAAAAGGTTCTTGTAATCCTTCTTGAAGATAGAGCTATTTAACTTTTCGTCGTGAAGCTCTACTACTTTCAAGTCAACTTCTTTACCCCCGTAAGCAGCAATGTTCTCAAAATCAGGACTCACTGCAAAAGCTTCAATCGGACTTTCCACTGGTAAGTTTATCTCCAATGGCTCAAATTTGAAATCACCAATATATATCAAAAATACCTTGCCCGAGGTGTATGGTAGTAAAACACTATCCAATTTTTCGAGCTTGAACAACCCAATAGGTTTGTCCCTGGCAGCGATGGGTACCTTGTAATCATGCAAGTGTTTGAACAAATTAGCCTTTAAGTCCAATTCATCCTTTTCATCCGCTGCCAAGATCTTTCTCGCTTCTGTGTCCTCCTCATAATCGTAAACTGACACAGTTCCATCAATTCTAGAAGCAATAAAGTACTGGTAGTTGTAATTGATCAAGTGCGTTATTCTTGAGCTGTAGTTGAACTTTGGTACTGTGAAGCAATTCGTGATGGACTTCGGTTGAACAGAGTCCTCTTTGGAGGTGTCTGTACCTCTGTTACACTCAATTAACTTTCCCGACGCAATGTCGTCTGCTGCCACCAATATTTTCATCTTCTGGTATAAAAAGTGTACGTAAAGATTGCTTTCGAGATGGTTTTTCGGATGGAAAAATATGTTCCCAATCGCACCGCGCTACCTCTTTGGAGCTTTTGCAGCTAAGGAAACTGCCGTCAGCTGATTGAGGTTGGGTCCCTGCTTCTGGAGAACAAAGTCAAGCTAGTAGTATTATTATGTCTTGCACTAATCTGCAACATTGGCAGAGAGTTTACAGATAGGGCAAGGGAAGACATCAAAAAACAAATGCTTGTGTTTACAAGGTTAGCATTGTTGTGGGTTGATTATCTGCTTACCACATTGACTGTCTTTGAGCTCGACCGCGCTTACTGAGCTTTTACAGAAAGGGGTGGTGAATTATTTTACTTGAATGAGTGCATGCTTCAGTCTTTTTTTTGTACCTAGAATACTGCAAAAAAAAAATAGAAACTCTTTAAATTTAAACTATACAGTCTTCAATTCTAGGCCTTCTTTTAGGTTGGATACCTTAAATATAAATCCTAGATAATAATCGGGAAACGTTTACACTATCGAAACAACCAAAAGTTAGCGCAAGACAGTAGTTGAAAGTTTTAGAAACGTGACTTCAAAATATTCTACTGGACAAACATTCAAGAGCTTTTGCGCAGAAACAGGTCCCTTGGCCCAGTTGGTTAAGGCGTGGTGCTAATAACGCCAAGATCAGCAGTTCGATCCTGCTAGGGACCATACTTTTTTTTTCCCTAATTTTTTTTTTTCTTTTTTGTTCTTTGAACGATTGTTATAGGTAAGCTTATACGATGCAGAACGTTGCATTCATCCACTGTAGACTCCCCATTGCCTACAAATCTCAATAATTGACTTTCCGTTGTTTTTTTTTTTTTCATATGTCAAAAGGATTTGACGTGCGCACCGATAAGATAAAACAAAAGTTACTTCGAAAAGTTGCCTCCGTTTATTTTATGAAGTGATAAATATATGCATAGCCCACAGATTTCCCATTTTTCATGACCAGTTGATATCTTCAAACTAACAACTTGAAACTACAAAAACCTCTTTAACGTCGCAGGTATGGACCTGACCCCGGATGAGCAAGTCTTATTGGAGAAGTACATGGAAACTTATGTTGGCCAGTTAACAGATATTTCTAGCTTCTACGCCAACATCGACTGGAAACACGTAACTAAAATAACCAAGTATAATGATGTCGAGACGTTGAAATTGACCATAGACGAATTTTTTGACCGCATGGTTATGGATCAAGACTTGCAACTTTCGAACTTTGTTGCACGGTGGGGTAAACTGGATACGCCATTATATTCCAACGTATCGCAAATGATGGATTCCATTGGAATTTTGCCGTTTAAAGAAGTAGCTGATGCAACATCCACCAGTGAAGGTATCCAAAAAAACCCTGTTCCAGAAATTGAGCCAAGTTCGAAAGCACGCGATATGCCCAAATTGACCAAAAATCAGAGACGACTATCACTAGAACTAATGCAACGAAGACCGAATTTGTACACCACGACAACGGAAGGTCAATTATTCACAACCGCAGCTGCAAGTGTAACTAATCTAAATGTCACAACCATGTCAAAGCCGGTATTGGAGAGCACGCTCAGCGACAAAGTCAACTCCGAAACCGGGCTAGGAATGAAAACCAGACGTACTTCACTTGTTAATGAACAATTACCCAAATATATTCGTGAACAGTTGAGACAGGGACAACAACCAGTTCAAAAAATCACGCCGAAACCATCAGTTCGAAAATTCATCCTGAACAATCTTGCGCCAATTTCAGACATGCGTGAGGTTTCGCGAAAGCCATCAAGATTACAAAATGTTGTAACTAACTCACAGTCCTTATACGCGCATTCAAACGACGTTAATTCGACCAGTAACACGTCTGAAATTGAGCATCAACTTCGGTATGATACAGATGATGACGACAGGGAGTACATTCTGCCTGCACTGTTGGCAAAGTATTACGGTGTCCAGTTTGAGGAAGGAAGTGACGTTGAGTACGATAATGATGATGATGATGATGAAGATGAAGAGGAGGAAGATACAGATTTTGTCAAGGTCCCAGGCGGTGCTTCAGATGATGATGGTGAAAATGACTATCTATTTAAAGTTTGAATATTCAGGCAAATGTACGAGACTTCACAAAAGAAATAGTGTACTCATAGATCCATAATGACAACGCACTTGTTGGTGCCGTTTTCAATATGCTGACTCCATACCCTTTGTATAGACCAAATATTCCCTCTTGTTTTATGATGCCAATAAAAAGACGCAAGGCCCCAATTGGTTTGGATCCGTGCACAACAGCATACACCTGACATCTCTTTCTTAATGTGTCTAGTGGGAAGGTGATACCTTTCGACGTGACTCCAGCAATGAAGCCACATATCCCTTCAATAAATGGGATATTGTTATACTCTTGCGAAAATGATCTTGCCAATTCATATGACCAGAACATGAGTCCAGTTGTGGATGCTACTGAAATACTAGCAGGTTTTATCCCAGCAAACATTCCGCTCACTCCTTCTGTTTTAAGAATATGCTTGATGGTACCAGTCATGGAAACCAAGTTTCTGTTCTTGTTCGCCACCAACCTTGTGCGGAGCAAGTCAAACGGATAAGTTGCTAGTGTACTTGCTAGTCCAGCTCCAGAACCTACAACCAATGAGTGCATAGCAGGTGATAGACTGAATCGATAATGTTGCTCAAGCTGCGCAAGGTTTGTACTCAAGGTAGAGTACGATGCAAATTGAACACCTCCATATAATATATACATGATTTCGGCTGGTACGTTACCCTTCCACAAAGCAACAACACCTTCATTCTTGAGTAAGGACCTGACTATGGTGGCGATAGATTGTCGTTGCAGAAAACTGTGTGTTTCCAATTGAAGTCGTATTTTGATGGTGTCTAGCGGAGCAGTGATTGCTCTTGATATACCACCCGCAACTGAGCCGGCAAATAATGCTTCATACGGTGAGACATTTGAACCTTTCTTCAAGTGGTCCTCTCGCTGTTCACCACCCATTCATCAAGTGTACTTTGCCTTTAAATTGTGATTTGGTTTGAGATGCAATGAGTTGGTATTTTTTTTTTTTTTTTTCTATGTGTGCCTCTCGGAGATGTAACAAGATCTAGTGTAATAGATGAGACGCAGAAATGGTGCACCGTGCAAGAAGAGAGGCCGTAGAGGGGGGAACATAGACGGAAGAGAAAGACCAATGGGAGTGGAATATGCATACTGTGATAGTATTCTGAGTTCTACGAGGTAGTGTTTGTCATTGTCTTTTAACGAGATATACTTCGCTGTACATACACAAGGGATAGTTCAAGGTGGAGGGAAACAGCGTACTTGTTGAGGAAGTGGTGTTATGGTATACATAGCTTGCACCTGAGATGTGAACACACATTTGCAAGTATGTCCCTACACATGCCATAGGCAAACTCCAGTCCTAAGTGGGTCGCCGTAAGAATAAAAAAAAAAAAAAAAGGAAACGCGTCTTCTGCATTTGAGAAAAAGCATAAAGAGTAGGTCTTTCATTAACCATGAACATTGCAAATCACGACCAGATACTGAAACATGTGTTCAATCGTCTAGTTGCAAATGTAAAATACATTGATAGTACACTAGCGCTACATTACATCCATCATGTGGCTCATCCGCCAGTACACAAAATTCTTGAACAAGCTTCCCAATTGGCTCAGTGGAAGATACTGATAGAAGATTTGGAGAATATATTGGCATTTGCACCAATGTACAAGATATACCGGAACGAACATGGGACGCAAATGTCGTTCCCGGGTTCAAAGAAGAGGTGCAATCGAGTTGCCGAATTTACGACTTTGTTGAATGAATGGATCTCATCCCATCAGGGAGTCACATCATCACCATCACTCAATCTATGTGATGTTTGGATACGAAATACATCACCAAAGAAAGTCACCAAGTCTTACTCGTCATCTTTATCGTTGTCACCCACGAAACAGCGGGCCAACTTTTCAGAATTGAAAAATTCGAGATCAAAATTCACATTCAAAGAAAAGAATGCCAGCCAAGAAAGTGAAAAGCATCAAGGGTTGTCTTTACTCGAAAGAATTAAAAAGAAGGAGGAATTGAATAAGGCAAAGAACACAATGTCAAAGGAAGAGAAACATGTCCTATATTTAGCAGCCAGAATGGATCGAATTTACAATGTTATCCATCAGTTGTATCTCGATTCAGGCACAATCTCAGAATCTGGCTCACTAAAACCGGTAACGATTTCATTTACCAAGATTGTCCAGGTGGTACGGGACACTTGTGATGAGAGCCAAATGGACCAAGAAGATATATATCGTATTGTGGAGTTGATCACCAAGAGGTTGGATAGTTGCAAAATCCACCCAGTGGCTGATATCAAGGTCCTACGCGTGTCTCATTTGAATCGTCTGGAGGATTTGACTAAGCTCAATGTGACAGACTAGAAAAACCTCGATTAATGTACTTATAATGACTTAAAACAACTCTATATAAAAGAAAAAGTACAGCTTCATCTTCCCTACCTACTCTACTTCAACCTTTTCCTCAACTATTTCAACTGCTTCAATCTTTGGTGTTGATTCAAAGTCTTCATCCCTCAAGGCAATATCGGCCGCTTGAGAGTTCATAAAGAAATGTTTCAACACCGTTTCAATCGCCCACGTAGCAACCAAATCAACTATGATTGATCCAGTTAATTTAACTTTAAAATCTCTCGTCATTGGTACAAATTGCATAGCTTCATTGATTTCAGGCATGAATTCAGTTGATCCGGCAAATGTTAAGCCGGCAACTCCCAATAATCCATAATACATACCTTTGTTATCAGTAAGACTTTCTCTAAATGGTAATCCAATGTAGTTGACAGCAAAGGTGGAAACCAGCTGAGCCAATTGTAACAAAAACATACCTGTATTCAACAACGAAGGATTAAACTTCTTTTCCAAATCAACTGAAGGCTCTTTTGGTTCAATAATGTAGATTTCACGAGTGATGTACACCAAAGTGACAATATGAATGAAGAATTGTCCCAAAATGGATCCCATAATGTAAGTGTTGAAAATTCCATCCTGCGGTCTTTCTTTGGATAATTTTTCCAATGGCTTACCACGAGAAATCGACAAGAAACAAACAGACAACAAGATACCTGAAATGGTTGCTTGTCCATCACCAAACTTCATACCAGCCAAATACAATACTGAAAGTGAGTAGGAAGAAATCAAACAATTCAACGCCAAGATCTTGTACATTTGAATCGTCGAAACTAAGGCACAACGTCCTTGACGAATGATGTGGGTGACAGCGCTAACATTGGACAATTTCGAAGTGAATGGAGCTGCGACTGATGCATCACCCAATTTTAAAGTTGGCACCTCATCTTCAGCTTCAGCATCATTCAAGGCCCCAAGAATAGTGTCGGCAAATTTTCCACCATCAGCTGGAACTGCTGTTTGACCTGGTTGAGGTATTTTCACTGGTTGTCTCATTGCGAGAGCCACTGCTTGCTTCATGTCATCTGTAATTGTAACACCCTTCTTTTCCATTGCTTCCAAATATTTTGGATTGTTTTGGCCTGGAGGATACAAGTGAGCAATGATTGGTGGCACATTTGGTGCTGGCTTACCCCAATTGGCAAATAATTGCACCTGCTTATCATAAACTTTCTTGGTAGCTTCAATTTTTCTATTTTCAAGAATCTTATTCATACCTTCTTCAGTACCATTCAAGAGAGCAACACCGATATTGGCTTGTTTCAATGCACCAACATCATTGGTACCATCACCACACATCAATGTATTGTACCCAGCATCCTTCAATGTAGTCAAGATAAATTCCTTTTGCGATGGTGATACTCTAGCGTAAATCCAGCTTCTCTTTAACAAGTCAAGTAATTGTTCGTGTCCACTCAACAAGCTCAATGCGTATCCAGTTAAGCAAATGTCATATTGTTTCAATTTACTAAAATCAATCTTATCGCTAGACTTGACTGGAATCACAACGGTTTCCCTAACATTTCTCCACACCAAGTCAGCGCTATCAGCTTCATGGTGCTCTTCAGGAACATCCAAGATTAAAACATCTTTAGTAGTGATGGCAACTTCTTTAGCTACGTGACATGCAGTTAAAGCGTTATCACCAGTAATCATAATCGAACGATGAGAAGACTCATTCAACATCTTGATAGTTTCAATAGCATCAGCCTTCAATGGACAATGGAAAATAATAAATCCAGCAAAATGCAAATTGGACTCAATTTCCTCTCGCTTAACCTTGTTGACGTTGACATTTGTATCCAAATACTTGTAAGCCAAGGCCAAAACACGCGAACCAGCCCTTGTAAACGATTTGTAAATATCCTCATAATGGTCAGGAGCATCAACAATCATTTTACGAATAGTTTCAGGAGCACCTTTAGCAGCAACAAAATTTTTACCAGGAACTGAATTAATCGAAGAAATGGTGGAAGATCTTTTGAGCGCACTTGAGAATTGGAAGCGACGTAAAATCTTGATCTTTTCAGTCTTTTTACCATTTTCTCTTTCAACAGTATCGTTTGCTCCAACAGTCCAATGAGCAGCATTCAAAGTAGCTTGTTCCATTGGGTCACCGACAACATCTCCATCATCCAATCTGACCAAAGCATGTGCTGATCCTAAAACGTATGAAGTAGTAGTTGGGGCATCAGAAGCCTTGTACAAGTGATGAATGTCATCATCTTTGAAACCGGCCAATCCTTCAAAGACCAAGTCCTCGTCAGTTAAAGTACCAGTCTTGTCAAAACAGCAAACATCGATTCTACCAGCTAATGGGATTCTAAACGGTTCAGTGCAGTAAATGTAAAACTTTTGCAATTTCGATAATGACGAGTTCACAGCCATAGTCAATTCCATGGGTAATTCAGGTGGAACAACTGAAGTAATGACAATAATACAGTCCAAAATTAACTTTGATTGAACTCTTCCCATTCGTGTTCCTTCTGTCCAAACATACCATGAAGCAATGATGGCAAATACCAACAAGAACAAAATAAACAAAAACGCTTCTTTATTACCAACAGATACACGCTCACTGGAGAAAATCATTGTACGAACAAGAGACCCTTGTGATGTCTCAAACCCAGTCTTGGTGACAACAGCAAGAGATCCATTATCGGGTGCTGCAGCAACAATAGATTTTTCAGGTTTGGTTACCTGTAAAGCCAGGGTACCACCGTGTAAAATCGAGTTCTTGTCAAATCCTTCTGGCTGCAAATTATCCTCGCTTGGTCTCAATTTGATTGATTCCTTCAACAATGGCGTGGATTCTCCCGACAACATGGCTTCATTCACGATGGCTGAACCATCAACCAAGAGCAAATCACAGGGCAAGGCACTGTCTTCACTAGTTCTAGTAATAGATACCAAGTCACCAGGTAACAAATCACTAGTGGAGATCTTTTGCCAGGTGTTATCACGATGAACATAAATGTCATATGGTTTGATACCCATACTTTGAAACTCAGCCATGGTAGTTCTTCTTTGGAAAACCGTGGTCATTTCGAATGAAACCAACATAAACAACGAAAAGAGAGAATAGTACCATTGTTCATCCATACACCAAAGTGCAACACAGAATATTTGGAATACAAAAAACGGAGCCACGGCATGTTCCTTGAACAATTCCAAAAATGTTGGGATTGGAATGTCAAACTTGTTCAATCCATAGTTTCTGTACTGTTTTTGTAAATCTCCGCTCAAACCTTTGGTAGTTTGATAGACATTCAATTTTGGTAACGAATCAAATTCAAACTCTGGTGGCGAAAACTTCTTTGTCTCAAGGTGATACAAGTACCTTCTCTTTTGATACAAAAAACTTGTTTGCTTTTCCCCATCATGGAAAGTTTCACGACTAATACGGCTGATTTCACCAACACCGGAATTTGGTGCTGGGGTGATTTTGATAAACGTGGCATCGTCGATCTTGTCAACTTTGGTATAATTGAATTTGGAGTTGATGTCGATATTCCAATGCGGCATTAACCAAAATAACAAGTTGATTGAGATTATGGTCAAACTGTAAACAAAAGTCCATTCTCTACCCACAAAGTAAGTTTCATATTGAGTCAAGTATAGTTGAAGAAAAATGGGATATACAATTGCAAATGGCCAAACATAAGGTCTCGCGTAGATTGGTTTGTCTACCAATAGTTCCGCGTCCTTGATACCAGGACTAGACACTATACTTGACATTGTTATCAAGGTGATATTATATGGAATCGGTAGGCAAGAAGACTTTGGTGACGATTATTTTTCAATTTGCCATTGTGAGGAGAAACAAATTTTTTTTTTTTTTCCCAGAGGGTTCGTTGGGCCGCGCCCATCCAGAATACCTTCATCTATTACATTCAGGTTTCTAACGTACATTTGATAGAGAGATAGAGTTTCGGAGGTAAAGTTCACCTAATGAGACAGGCTAACGAAGTAAGAGCTTGTTATAGTCTACTCAATACAAGTACCTGAAATTTGTAGAAATCTTGGAGCCATCATTACGTTTGCTCAACTCCTTTTCCTTTTGCCAATTCATAGTTTCATTTGCAATCTTTTTTATTCAATTGTATCAACCTTAACCTCAACAACAATATCAAAACCATTCCCAATACAGGGGCCCCAGTATTACATTCCATTGCTCTGGTATAACGTGGTCCGTCTGATGATGGGTACAAGATTGGCGCCCATGCATATGGCGAATTACTCAAGCCAATCATCAATGCAATTGCAACTGCTCTTTTTGCCGGTGATCTGGGACACGAATTGGACATCCATGTTATTACAAGAACATATGCTGTGAATAAGCTAGGCATCATCAAAACCATAGCGAAATATCTGGCTCCAAAGTTTGTTGTGGCAATGAGTATGATGAATGAAACAGTAGCGAGAAACATTGGAAGCCCAACGTGGAATGATCTTTCGCCGGTCTTATCAGCATGTCTAGCCCAAAAGTAAGAGGCGGGCACAGCTAAGACAAATGGTGGAGCCGTCAAGCACAATGGAATAGTACGATTGTAGGGAAAAAGTTGACAATCCCACAACCAACAACCAACAACCAACAACCAACAAAACTGACTTGACCATAGACCATCCACATTTTTATATTCTTCACTGCCAACCTGAATCCTTCCTAAACTGTTAGTTGAGCCTCGACATTGGAGTCATCAACTTTATCCAAATCTTTTCCCACTTTCTATTGTACAAGATCCTTTTTCATTTCATGGAGGAATTTTGTATTTTATGGTTTACCAGGCAAGATCAAGTATGCAAAGGGGAACGTTAACACAGTAACACCGCCCTCGATGATAAACAAACATCTCCATCTTTCCACACCTCCCAACCCATCCATTTGAAAAATAGCGGCAGCTAATAACCCACCAAATGCAGAACTTACCAGTGATCCAGCAAACAAAAGCGAATTTCTCGTGGCTAAGGACTTTTTATCATAACACATGGACAAAACCATCAAGGCATTGCAAAAGAAAGCTTATTCAATTATACCAAGAAACACATGCACTGCAGCTAACCTACTCGTTGTAAAAGAGCAGAAGAGCAGAAGAGCAGAACAGTAAAAGGAGAATGGAGGATGCGAGTAGTATTTGCACCAACCACCTTGTGTAGATTTACCTTTGTTGAGTCCGTAGGTAAGTGATATAACCAGAGCACTCTCTTCTTCAAATCGCTCCTAGTAAATACGCTACTTTAGTCTAGGTTATTAGTATTGCGGTTGCTAAAAACGTGTTCCTTTAAACACTTGCAAATTTTGTTCGATGATGACCACAAAAATGCAGCGAATGAGGGAGAGAGATAATAAATGATAAAGGGGACGGCAGAAATTATATAATAGAAAAGCTGAACGGTTAATGTTGTGCAGAAGTAGCGATTGTGACTTATTTCAACCTAATATAATCCAAGATTTTTTTCAGGAAAAGTCGAAGAGCAAAGAGGAGGAGGAAGAAGAAGAAGAAGAAGAAGAAGAAGAAGAAGAAGAGGCGGGGTGCGTGGAGGGAAACGATTCACAATTGTGTTTTGCGATTTGTCGTGTGTCTGGGGATACAAAAGAGAGCTGTGTTGTGACTACTTGGTCCACAGTGGCACACACTCACAGAAGGGAAACTGTGGTGTGATACGCAACTGTTGTGTCTTACTTTACTGTGTTTTTATTTTTTATTTCATACTAATGCGACATAATTTTTCATACCAACGCGACATTTATTTTGTTTGTCTTTGAGAGAATTATTGCACAATTGACTTTAATATGATGGTATCAAATGAAATAGGGACACGGAAGAAGGGGTTTCAATTACCGGTGTTCTCTCTCCCAACTGATGAAAACACGGCATATGTTGAAAGTGCTTGGTCAAGTTGCTTGGCCCGTACGTTTTTAATCCCAATATTTTCATTTTACCAGATGAAACTTTGTCAAGAAAAATTAGAGAGTATTAGTCATTCCAACACCAACGTGCTGAAGAGACCAGATTTTTCGGTGGTGAGGGATGGCTCGGTTATTGCGTCGCTGTCAGTTTATACCAATTCACTGAAAGATGTTACTGACGACGAGATCCTTTTAAGTCTTGAAATCAAATTAGGAGCAACTACAAACAAATTGGATAACCCTATTCTTTTATGCAGCACGACAATAACAGAATTCTCTACCCACTTTCTAAGTAGATTCCAAGTCTATATCTATATATTAGGATAAATACACTAGCTTGCTGCTTTTACTGTGACCACACTACAAGTAAGGTTTGAAATCTTATGTCGTATTAGTATGAAATTTTTGTCGCACTGGTTTGAAAAATTTATGTCGCTTTGATATGAATAATAAATGTCGCATTGGTATGAACAATTATGTCGCACTAGTATGAAATAAAAAAATAAAAAGACTGTATTTTTTGCACGTAATAGGATCAACCAGCCAGCCATTCTTTTGCTCCGGTTTGTATCAGTAAGGAACAAATTACATTTTTGTGGAACAAATGAAACGAGGAGAAGAGGTGCATAGAAGGAATTGAAGAAAAAGTAATGAAGTTTCCCAATTAGGATGCAATGTAAACAAAAAAATGAAACACAACACAAAGAGGAGCAATCAACTATCTTTGACGAAACAAAAACCTTAAAGAAGAAAAGGAAGAAAAAGGACCGAAAATGAAATGACCTGGAGAAGTACTGATAAGGTTTGAACGGAAGGAAAGAGGGAGAGCGAGAGAATAAAGAGGGGTCAAGCGTTGAAGTCATAGAGAAAAACTCTCGAGGAGAAATAAGTGGTAGAACTTGTAATCAATTGTGGTGTGATCATAGACTAACAGGGAAGACGAATTGTAGACGATCAAACCAATGTGCAGTGTGAAATAGAACTACTCTGAGAGAGTAACTGTGTGAGGTCCCATCTCTAATCTAAAAATTGCCGCATGAACAAAAGTATGATTTATTCTTTTGTGTTGGACTTGACTTGACTTGATTTTATTTTACTTTACATTACTTTACTTGACTGACTGGCAAATTCCTCGAAGGAAAGAAAAAAAAAAAAAAAAAAGAAAATAAATTCTACGTCACTGATTGGTCTAGTTGAAACTGTGGCTGTTGTATACTCTAGAGACAGAATGATCACCCCAACCCTGCTCTATACAGAGAGACATAGCTTATATACTGTGTGTCGTCTATGTGATAACAATCCTTGATTACACGTGTGTAAGTTGTAGTCCAGTATTTTTGTGTGTTGATGGTTAAGTATATGTGGGTTACTTCACTTAATTACACACTTACAGTAATTTTAATTTTAGTTTGCTGTTTGTCACTTTTGTCTCATTTTCTCTCATTTTCTCTCATTTTTAAATTCCAATTTTCAATTTCCAATTTCAATTTTTCTTCGACTTTTTACTTTATATCTCCCTTCCCGACAACCACAACTGAACCCAGTCACTCTTATCCTTTCGTTTTTCTTACTTACAACAAAAGAACTAACAACACCCTTCCTACCATCAATTGACAGAGTTTAGTACTACTACTACTACAACAAATATGCACAGAACCTACTCATTAAGATCTAGCAGAGCTCCTACTGCTTCCCAATTGCAAGCACCACCACCACCACCTTCTTCCACCAAGAGCAGATTCTTTGGTAAGGGTTCCATCTCTCACTCTTTCAGAAAACAAGCTGCTGGTGCTCTTGGTCCTGAATTGGCCAGAAAGTTGGCCATTTTGGTCAAGATGGAAAAGAACTTGATGAGATCCACTGAAATCACTTCAAGAGAAAGAAAAGATGTTGCTAAACAATTGTCCCTTTGGGGTGAAGGTAACGATGACGATGTTTCCGACATTACTGACAAGTTGGGTGTTTTGATTTACGAAATTGGTGAATTGGAAGATCAATTTATTGATAGATATGATCAATACAGAATTACTTTGAAGAGTATTAGAGATATCGAAGGATCTGTTGAACCTTCAAGACAAAGAAAACAAAAGATTACTGACCAAATTGCTTACTTGAAGTACAAGGATCCTCAATCTCCTAAAATCAATGTGTTGGAACAAGAATTGGTTAGAGCTGAAGCTGAATCCTTGGTTGCTGAAGCTCAATTGAGCAACATCACTAGAGAAAAATTGAAGACTGCCTTCAACTATCAATTTGACTCTATTAGAGAACATGCTGAAAAGATTGCCTTGATTGCTGGTTACGGTAAAGCTCTTTTGGAATTGTTGGATGAAAGTCCTGTCACTCCTGGTGAAACTAGACCAGCTTATGATGGTTACGAAGCTTCTAAACAAATTATTATCGATGCTGAAAATGCGTTGGCTTCGTGGACTTTTGACTCGGCAGTTGTTCGTCCAACTTTATCTTTGGCTGCTACTCATGATGATGAGGAAGGGGCTTACCATGACGATGAATTGGCTCATGAGACTGAAAACTTGAGAATTGCTGAACAAGACTTTGATCAAGGTCAAGCAGCCGTTGCCGACCACGCTTAAATTTAGCGGAAAGAGAGAGAGAGAGAGAGATAAGCGGGTGAAAGTGTTGGAATAAAAGCAAATATTACCTGAAAGGTGGAAAAGAGAGTAAGTGTGTGTGATAATAGTAATATTAATAATACTACGACTAGTACTACTAAGAAGTAAAATTTGATTGTTTTTAATGCGCTTTTTGTAAGCTTATCTCTAGCTTGCTTGAGGTTGTAGTTATCCTTATCCTGCTCTTAATGGCATTGGTTTCCACAGTTTTTGCTCCGCTCCGCCCTGACCCTGTGGACCTGCCTTCTAAAACTATCTGTTGATCCAGCTTTTACTGTTATACAACAGTTGAAATACTGGTTTCCGGATTTCCGATACACCCATGAGTTCCGAAATATATATATCTGTAAACATATATGTCTAATGTATACTGCTTATTGTATTTCAAGGTTGAGATTGTTGGAGTTCGTTCTAATTCTATTGAATAGGTGAGTAGTGCTACAATTGTGTGTGATTGTGAAATACACAAAAAAACGCGAAAATTTATGCCTGCATATAATCATATCTTCTGTATAAATACACATATATCTATCAGTCCAACCTGGAAGAGATGAGCAGTAAACGCTGGATCGTTTAGTTGTCTTTAAAGTAGTGGTCAACTATGTCTACACACACTTCAAACTGGAGCTTATATGTATATAAGGTTTGAACCAAAAGTGTGATGTATAAAACTTGTTACACAGAGTAGAAGAGACGCGAAAATATTCAAATTCGGAATCATTCTGCAAATCCCGCGAAAAGCGAGGCGGTGTAGGATGGGAGAAAGAGTGGTGTCACGTAACTAGCAGCACAGATAGAAATGCCCGCACCACTACCAGTAAAGTACTACGTTACATCTCTGGGGAAAGGAACTTGGTTGGTGGATATAATTTTGATTGAGGCGGATAAGCAGACATTTTCCAGCAACATTAACACCGTTACAGTCTTAATCCTTTTCTGCAGTGCACACTGTTGTCTCTTTCTTCTTACATCTAGTGTTTCTTTTCCTTCTTCTTCTTCTTCTTCTTCTTCGTCGTCCTATTCTCCTCGACTTTTGTCAGTGTGTCTGCATACGTCACACTTCATTCTCTTTGTCTGCAAATTTCATCTGTAGCAAGAAACCGAAAAAAGCAACACAAACAAAAAAAAGCGACAAAAAGCAAAATATAAACAAAACAACCACATAGAGAGAAGAAAGGAAGCTGTATTAAAAATTTTTTGATATAAGGAGTGAATTATTAGAGATCCTTTTGTTTGAAACAACCACCACCACCACATCATCATCATCATTATCATCAACTGCTGTTCAACTATCGCTACACAAGAGGAGCGTGGACTACTGCTATAATCAGTATCAAAACCGACACCAAAGTTTGATACAACGTCTACCGAAGACTCTCGATTGAAAGACTGCAATCACGCCGCTATTCCGTCGTTTGTATCTTCCCACCCAGCTAACTAGAGGAGTATTAACCATCGCTGCAAATCAAACCTGGAACAAAGCCACTTGCTAAGATTTGATACCAACTGAGACTGTTTTGCTGTATACTTTGATTCAGTTTTACGCTTCCCTTTGCTAATTCAATCACCACCTCAATCACCTCAATCACCTCAATCAACCACTGGCAATGTCGCATGAATTCCTACGCTCTTCACCTGCAAAAGATGATTCATTTAGCGACTCTAAACTGAATCGGGCTTCCTCTATTGTGAAAACCCCAGCAACAAATAAGGTAACTTCAACACCGTTCAAGAAATCATTGTTATCTTCGGCTAGAAAGACATTTCCGCCACAGTCTCAGCTGCAGCAACAAGCTCCTTCATTATCTATTCCACCCTCAGCATCCAGATTGACAAACCAATTGACTAGTCTCACTGGATGGACTCCGCTCATTTCGAAAACATACTCAAATGAACACATCATTTCATTCAACTCTACACCCAATAAGCTATTTATATCATCATCGTTGCTGCAAGGACAAATACAACCACAACAGCTACTAAATCAGCCACTTCTGCAGCTCCACATGCAGCAGCCACCACAGCCACCACAGCCAGATACTCAAGGTGCCAATACCTCTACAACCTTTGCACCAACTTACAATGCAAGCGAGTACGAGTTTCAAAACTTTGGATTGACTCCATTTATAAATCACAACTTCAACTTCAACTTTATGAGTGCTGGTAATTCAATAAATCAAGTGAACAATAGTGTGACCCCATTCAATGAAAAGATTTTCCAACAAAATTGTGAATTTTTCATTGATTCCCCACTAAGATCAAGATTAGGAGACAATACAGATGGAGGTAATACTAGTTTCAACTTTGAAAATTTCAGCATTACTCCATCAAAGTTTAGTTTGAATACTGTGGCTAGTAGCAAGAAGGTTCTACAGGACCCAATGAAAAGTGCCACAAAGAGAAGCATTAACTTGGTGGATACTCCACCCAGGGCTCCTCATAAGTTGAGTATCATAACAAGAACCGAAAATGAAAAAGAAGAAGGGAAGAGGATTATTAAAAAGGCTGTTTCTCCGCTTGATGATAAAGATACCGAAGACGAACAGGATAACGAAGATGGTGATGAAGAAGGAGAGGACGGAGCAGAAGATGAAGAAGCGAATGATGATAAACCCGATGCCAAATCCCCTACAGTTGCGAGTCGGATAAAGAAAGAGTCAGTCAAGGAGAGCAAAAAAGAGACTGCTGTTGTCAATGAGAGAGTGCCACCACAAACACCGTCCAAGTTGAATTTGAAAAACCCATCCAACGAACATCAAATGAAGTTCAATACGCCCGCTGATAAGCAGACTAGACCAGAGTCCCCATCAACGATACTAGTGACGTCTACTGAAAGACTCTCAAATATAAGCCTAGATGATGTTCTCGATACCACAAACAAGTTGACAAAACACGACGAAAATGACGAGGACGAGGACGAGGACGAGGACGAAGAGGAAGAGGAAGATGACAAGGAAAATCAACCACCACCTAGTCCCACACCGGCCAAGCTTTCAAATCAACCAAAGATGGGTGTATTTACAGAAGTGAAACCAAAGAGCGTCAAGAAAAATATCAAGAGTCATCACAGATCATCGGCATCCACCAATTACACTACTACTACAACGTCCTTCAAATCGGGGTATACATTGACAACAACATCTTCTGGAGACAGCTCACTGAATTCATCGCAGGGCAAAGATGCTAAACAAAAAAAGGCCGAGAACAAGGCAAGAATGCAGGCGGGAATGAACAAATTTCAAATAGTGCTAAGTGATGTCAATTCGATGTCAAGACGAAAAAAGAAAAAGCCCGAGAATAATGGCAACATCAATAGTGGCAGGAGTGCTAACCTCAAAACGGAACATAAACAACCGACACTAATCCCACTACATCCTCCTCAATTGCACCCTCAGCTGTCAACTATAACAGATAATCATAATGTAACCATTTCCTCCTCAAAAGACAACCAAAATAATAGCAGCATACTATCGCAAAATAGTATGAATTCAAGCCACTTGAACTTAACTACAGATCATTCGTCGTTTGAAATTGGTGGACACGGCAGTGGAGGATATTCTTCAACTCCGAATTCAAAGATGTTGTTGGACAAGATATTTGAAAAGCCCTCTCCCAACCAACTGGTATTATTCTTTCCCACTTCTCAACAAATGCCACCACCAGTACAGCAGCAGCAGCAAGTAGGGGTGCATACCCAATTTCCGCAACCGATTCCGATGCCACCACCTCCATCTGCAGGTTCAAGTGCAAATACTGGACTAGTAAATGGGAAAGTGCAGGCATCAGCATCAGTCCCTCCTTCAAGCACGTCATCTCAAATGAATAAAGGAGCTGGAGCCACATTTGCTCAATACCCAGTGATGTCAATGATGTCAACTCCACAGCACTCGCATATCTACAATATGGCTGACATGGTGCCCAGTGGGCCACAACAACAGCAGCAGCTACATCAGGCTATGTCAATGTCTGTCCCGGCAACGGGATCCACAAACTTGATGCAAATTCCATCACCTTGGAACATCACTTTTGGCACACCACTGGGATTCTCTACTTTTTTCAACAATTTGCCAATGACCCAGTCTGCAAGTGTGCCTGCTCCTACGAGTAATGGTGTAGCTATGGATTTGAGCGTGGGCACAGATGTGGCAGCTGCTGGTAACAGATCATCCAGTGCAAGTACTACGGCCGCTGCTATAGCTGCTGTTGCAGCAGCCTCGTCAAACAACGAAGAAAGACCCCACTAGAGTTGGAGCTAGAGTAGAGACAATAACGATTAGACATTGATTCCAATAAATTAATCTAGAAGAGAACAACGTAGCGTAGTAAGTAGATTAGACCACTCTTCTCATCCTATACACCTATTCAGTATTTCCTTCACAAGTTAGGAGGTAACAATAACGCACCAGTAACACCAGGTCTTTCAGTACTCAATAAATCATAAATCTGACCTGCATTAGTTGAATCACTGACTTCCAACTGTATGCCCAAGCTACTGAACCATTGTCTATTTTCAGGGTTGAGCAAACGACTGGTTTTCTTGCCTAGTCCAATAACAAGCAATTCCGGTTTCGGGTGAATTTTGGAAAAGATTTGCAAAATTGAGGGCGCAAATGTAACAATATGATCATTTAGTGTAAAATTGACTTCTTTTCTCTTGCTCTTGCCGTTGCTCTTGCCATTGCTGTTGCTCTTACTCTTGTGACTATTGGTCAACTTGACCTCAAAAGTCTCTGACCCCAACAAACACAACCCAATCAAATCGCCATCCGAATCCGGCGACGTTACAAAGTAATTATTAGATAAATGAAACCCATTGCTCTTGATGCTCTCGATATAGTTTTGCGGCTTGGTTGAGTGCATGAGAATGTCATTCTGGGTCAAAATGTCAGCTGGGTTTGAGGATACTTGTGTCTTGGCCAGTGGCTTGAGGATTTGCTCCGGGTTGGAACTGAGCTTGCCGCGGAGTGATTTAGACCCGATGGGACCACCCCCGAATAGGTTATTTGTAGGTGGTGTTGTGTGAAGATATCGATGGAAAAGTGGCAGTTTTTGGTTGCGAATGGAAAGGGGTAATGATTGGGTAAGTCGCAATTTGGATGCATGGTTCAATTGCAGTTCCAGATTGCAACATAGTAGGGTAATGCCCAGACTGCGGAAAGGTGTTGTGGGAGTCATGGTAGTGGGTATGTCTGTGGATCCGAATGGTCAATGTTTAGCACAGAGGACAATTTGTTTTTTTTTTTTTTTTTTTTTTTTTTGTCTGTGAAACAAATGGCTCTCACTTTGTATGCACACACTTGTTTTGTTGCAAAAGTGAGCAATACTTTACACGATCGCTACTGTCTTCTTTAAAACCATACCTATGAAACCCTACACCTATAATATGTTTTTTTATACACACAATTGTCAAACAATTACTAAGCCCTCATGTTTTGCTTTTCGGATTTGATCTTGCTCTCCACTGCAACTTTACATCGTTCATAAACGTCCAAACGTAAAATTTCCTCACCTTCTACATCTTCTGATAAAGTGGCTGACCCGGATCCAGAGTCCGAGTGTGATACAGCAGCATTGCTTGAACTGGAAAACACCACTTTCTCTCCATATTGATGTTTAGGTGGATTAGTTACCGGATTGTTTAATTCTTCAAGTCGCAATTTCGGTATGGATGGCTTTCGTGTGAGTGATGATTGTGGGGCTCGTTTCGCTAGTTTTGTGGGTGACAGCGACAGCTTTGTCAAAGAAGTTGAGGGCTGGACTTTAGTAGGTGACGAAGATGTTGAGCCCGCCGATGGAGAGTCATTGAGTGGCAATTTCAACGTTGAATGTTCAAGGGTGTTTGTCAGTGTAGTTATAAGTGGATGCAATTTCGTGTACTCATCGTAAAGTCTCATCACTTGTACATGTGTTGCCAATAATGTGAGATAGTTTCTAATAATCCGTGTCTTCTCATCTTGAGATATGGTGAATTTCACGATCGAGGGTTTACCAATGGCCTTTGTTATTGCAGTAAGTGCAATATTGTACCTCTTCAATGATGGAACCTTATGTTCACTGTAAACAGTTGATCCACTAAGAATACGGGCAATAGACTCGGTAGTGTGTGGTTGTTCAATGGGGAACAACGTGAATTTGAAGTACTTGGACTTGCGTTTTTTATAATCCAAAAAGGGTGGGAAACCATCAGAGGGACTGCTGTAGTTGTCGCTGTTGTCAAAAGGTACCTCATTCAAAAAGCACAATGAACGGAATTTATTTTTGATGTAATCAACCAACACACGATATTCATCATCGAGTAACAATTCTTCGAATTTGGACACATTGTAAGTCCTATCAAGTTTGGTGAATGTGGGATCAGCGTCATCAACATTTGCACCTGAACTGTTTGAATCCAAATACGTCAATTGCCCATTCTTCACCAAAGGAGATAGTTTATTAATCCTTAGTCTCTTGAACAAGTATAATAGTGACTTTACTTGCAAATTGATCGAGTCGAATGTCGGATCAAATGTCGGTATGCTGGTGGAGTCTAGCGATACAAATAAGTTAAAGAGGCCCAATTTTTTTCTTGCATCTGCGGGCATTACTCACAATAGCTTGAGGTATAGCGAAATGATAATTTCCCTACCAACGAACAGGGCTATGTGACACGAGGTTATCAAACCTCTTGCTGCTTCGTTTTGTTTTGTTTTGTTTACATCATAATTCTCCATGTGAATCAAGTTACACAAAATTGATGCAACTGTCTTTTAGCGTTCGGTTGCGTATGAGTTTTCCGATTTTCTACAATCTCTTCGAAACGAGTTTCAGCTGTCAAGTATCACCACTCAATTTGACAAAATGTCCACGCAATCAGGGATCACCGTATCAGAACAACTCTCGAATAAAGTCAAGAATGACTCTTCAACTATAATTATCAAGGTTTCATCCGACTCAACTCAATTGGTACCCGATTCATCCTTTCCTCAACCCAGTTCAACCTCCATTTCGACAATCTTTGAGCAATTGCACAGATACCTCTCAGCAAACTTTCCACAACCTGCTTACATCATTGTACCTTACCAATCCACCAAGGTCTTTATTTCATTCATCCCAGACTCAGCTCCAATAAAGCAAAAGATGTTGTATGCATCAACCAAAAACACCTTGTTGTCGAACTTGGGGTCGTCTAGTTTCGCTTATAAGTTTGCTTGGACTGAACTAGATGAATTGAGTGCAGAGTACTTGGAGAAAGTGATCAATGAGGATGGTGAAAGCGGCCCATTAACTGAAGATGAAAAGATTTTGCAGAGTTTGAACAATCAACAACATATCCAAGGTCATGAATACGGGTTCAAACGAGAGTTGGCAAGCATGTCTTCTCCAGCGTCAGCATCATCATCATCCACTTCAGCATCCGATATTTTGTACAAATTTGATGCCGAGTTGGAAAGAGAGTTTGGAAATTTGACAAAGGATGCAAATGACCAAGGTTTATTGATTTTCAATATTGATTTAGCTTCGGAATCGATCAAATTGACCAACAAGTTGAATCAAGTTGAATTGTCGAACTTGATTGAAAAATTGCAAAGTAATTCTCAATCAGGACCAACTTATTCCATCTACAATTACTCCCCACAAAGGTACACATTCATGTATAGTTGTCCATCAGGTTCGTCAGTCAAGGACAGAATGATTTATGCTGCTTCCAAAAACAGTTTGATTAACCACTTGAAGACATATTTCAACAAAGACACCTTTTTGGACAAAAATTTAGAAGTTGGCGATTGGAACGAATTGGAAGTGAGTGAATTGGAAGTTGATGCACCAGGATCAAGATCCGATACTCCAGCATCTCTCTCGTCGTCAGCTTCAGACAACAAGCCATCGAGTGGACTAAAGTTTAGTAAACCAAAGGGACCTCGTAGAAGATAGTTCTGTAGCTATGGATACCTCTATATAGAAAAGAAGAAAACTTTGATACTCTGTATTCACTGTATGTATTCATTTATCACTCGTCTCAATTTTACCTCATTTTTGAAATAGTCGTCTATTTCACCCACGGAATTGATTATATGTGCATAAATCTTCCTCGACACACGCTTGTTTATTGCAATGAACTCCTCCTCATTTGAAATGCTGTCTTTGTCGTTTGATCCGGGTTTGTATTTGGGTTTCAATTTACCCCGGACAATCTTTTGTATCACCAACTTTTCATCCAATGTCAATTCTCGTCGAAAAATATGCTCGTTATCGTCACTTGAATAAGCGGCTGATTCCATCGGACTATTTCCCGTTGAAGCCGCCGAGTCAGAAGCAGATAATGAAGGGAGAATGCTTGACGGTGATTGTGCGAGAGGTGCCATTGCCACTACTGACGTTGGCGCTAAAGCCAGTGTATTGTGTTGTCTTTTTGCTTGTTTTAGTTGGCCAATCAAGTTCGATATCCGACTTTCTTGCATCGATGAGCTCTCAGCTAGAGGGGCGGCGTGTTGCTCCTGGGTCAAGGTGGATGGCGCAAGGCTGCGGTCAGGTCGTTTCCTTCTCCGTCTACGCTTGGCAACATCAGGCATCGTGGATGACGAATGGACATCCATAGTAACGTCATCATCTCCTCCTCTCTGATTGCGAGCTTGCTCAAACATATCCCACGAACTAACTTCCTCTTTACTTAAACGCAGCCTCAATTTTTGCTCTCTTCGTAGTATCACGCCTCCATTGATAACGTCGCTGGCTCTTGCAACTTCATCATGGCGTGGTTGAAGGTCACCAAATACCGGCATTGGATCTTCATTGTACAAGAAATCGTCATCGATCTCGTCATTTTCATTTCGTATTACTAATCGCCTTGTCGATGACGATTGTCTCCCTGTCATTCCCGAAAATAGCGATCTTCGTATTGGTCTCATAGGAAGAGCTGTTTCCTGATAGCAGTCACACATGGGGCAGTACCAGTGGAAATAATCGTCAGAACCAGCATCGCTTATTCCAAGACAGTTCACGTGGAAGCCTGACGAACATTCTTGACAAGGAATAAGCGGAGAGGTTCGCCTTGTTATGGAACAAAGGCAACAGAACCCGGCTTCTTGAGTATACGAATTGGCATCTTCCACTTCGTTGGTGGAGTCATTTAAGTTGACAATATATCGTGATGGAATTTGGTTTATTGCGGGATTGGGTAGTAGCTTATCTTGAATACGGATTGTCCGCGTTATCGCGTCCGGCTTATCCTTTAGCAGGATGTGGACTTGATGGAATCTGTTTCTGCACATTGGACAGCTATTAGACTTTAATGCCCAGGTCTCGATACAGTCCCGGTGATACAATTTGTTGGGGCAACAAGGTATCTTGCCCACAAGGTGTGTCGGTAGCATGTGCTCTAGACAAATCGTGCACTCATCCAAATGTATTGAGTCAGTCATTAGTGGAAATGCAGTAGGGGCTAGCAGTAGTAGATGAGCCTGTTTTTGGTTCAGTTGTGGATTGCAAGTAGTAGCTATGCAGTGATGGCGTGTAGGTTGCAAAATTTGAGGATTTGAAACGAGAGCAAAAAGGGTGAGAGGAGAAGTGCTCTTTATATTTTTATATTTACACACACAACGAAAAAAAAAAAAAGCAGAACAGAGTACACGTGACTCCATCTATCATCGCCACCCAATTTGTCATCTACAAAAGAGAAAACCACATCAGCAACTTCCTAACAGTCTTTGCTAACTTAGTTTATTCGAAACCGAAATGTCTCGCCATCAGTATGATCTTGTGCAATGCATGAAACAACCAGGCAAATATATTGGCCAAGTATGTCCCAATTGTGATGGACGATGTCCTATATGTGACTCCTTTGTTAAACCAAGCGCAAAAGTTCACATTTGCCAAGATTGTGCACAGGGACATCTACAGAACAAATGTATAATATGCGGTAATAATTTAGGGCTAAACAATGAAGACGCTACGGATGCGTATTACTGTTTGGAATGTTGTCGACTAGAAAAACATCGAGAAGGATGTCCAAGAGTGGTGAATGTCGGTAGTAACAAAACATCCTACATATTTCTGCAAAGAAAAGATACAAGCAAGTCATTAGAGAATATATAATTAAGTTTAGACACTATTGAAACAAATCTAACGTTTTCAAGTACTCTCAAGTCTAGCTCTAGCTTCACAGCTTTTTCTTGTTTCGATAAGCTCTTCCAAGTGAGATCTGTCAACCTGAAGTTCGTTCAACTGTCGTTTCTTGCGTAACTCACCCTCCTCATGAGCCATCTTTCTTTTATTGCTCCTTTCTACCAATGTGGAACATCCCTCTTGCGATGGTACTGGGGGTGAAGTTGTGTACGAGTCTCCATTACGTATATCCACCTCTCCCTGACTGGAGCCCAAATCTTCCAAGGGAGACGATAATGGAAAGTCATCATCATCATCTTCATCATCGTCATCTTCATCCATTTCAAATATCGTATTTCGAATACCTGCCACTGGCAAAGTCTCCTCTCCCAAGTGATGGGTGGGCAATATGTGCCCGTTCACTGCTAGGCGCTGCTGCAATGGCCCACCTCTTGGAAGTGTTTCTGATGACCCATCATTGTTGGCAATCGAGAGAGCGTTTGGTGCAGTTAATGTGTTGAAGTTGGAATTGAATTGACTCGCTAGTTCTAGCCGTATTAGTTGCTCAACGTTTGCTCTTTCTTCTGGACTTATGTTGTGGTAAATGTAAGGCAAGTGCTCCACAGGTTCATAGCCCATGGAAACCATATCGATACAAACAATGGAGATTCTGAGATGAGTCGTAGTCTAGATAACTAGAATGCAAGGATATAGAACGCAGACGTGATAAAACGGAATGAGCTGCTCTCTTATTAGACGAGTGTCTCTGTAAGGAGAGAAAAGTGACTTTACCTGTACTTGGCTGTGCTGTTTTTAACTTGTATTTAGCGGGGTCAAAGTTTAAAAAAGCGCCTGTAATTTTTTTTTCTTTTTCTTTTTATCTTGTGCCTAGATGAATTTCTCTTTCCGCTATCAGTTACAGCTTTGTACTTCTCTTCCGGCCCAAATAGGAAACACTTAATTCAGAACTAGCCGGCAACGGCATTTCGCGACTGCTGTGTAAAACGTTTGAAGCAAAAAGGGTCGATTTTTGTTGTGCTGTTCGCAGCTAGGTGGTCATAGAAACTTGTAGAGAGTGGAGATGATCTACGCCTTGAGCGGACTAATAGTGGATCACCATAGAGTCGTTAAGGTAGACAACAGCATAAGGCGGTGTGATCTGTGTAGCGTCTTTTCTCGGTCAAGAAATAGTTGGTAAAACCGATTTAACATTGAATTTTCACATCTTCTTAGAGATCAAGTAAACTACAGTTTTGATCGCAGTTATAGGCAATCTATCCTACACCAAGTGAATCTCCCCATACTTTTCCCAAAAAAGGTTGTTGTATATATTTCTTGTGCTAAACTAATAAAGTGACCACTATAAATTAACTCAACACGATTATTTATCCAAAACATCAGCATCGTATTTGGTCTTGAACCATTGGATGGTGTCTTCTTTGTTGGTTTTATGGTTGTTTCCGATGGTGGATCTGACTCTCTTTCTTCTGGTAACTCTAGCACCGGCTCTTCCCATGACAACATAAAAGTCCATACCATAAATACCAATGGATGGGTCATACTTGATACCCAAGTCAATGTGTTCGTCAATACCGAAACCAAAGTTACCGGTAGCTGAAAAGTTTTTGTTTCTCAATTGGTATTCCTTAACTTTCAATCCTCTTTCCAAGATTTCTTCAGCTTTTGGTCCTCTGACAGTAACGTGAACAGCAATCTTTTCGTTTCTTCTGATACCAAAAGTTCTGACGGTGTATCTAGCCTTGGATTGAACTGGAGTTTGACCAGACAATTGTTCTAAAACCTTAGAGGCTCTGGTCAATCTGTCACCGGATTCACCGACACAAATGTTCAAGACTAATTTCTCGATACGCAACTCACGCATAGGGTTTTGGGCTTTGCTAGACTAAGAAAAAAAAAGAGAATGTTAGTATCCTGAGTACGGAAAATGGAAAGAGTCGAGACAGATTAGTTTCTGGATTACCACTGGGAGATGTCATTGCATAGCTCGTGAACGGGGGTAAACAATTATAGTGAAAAGCTTTCTAAAGCTTGGTTTGCATGAGGTGGCCATCGACGCATGGACTATGATCTCAATAAAACATTTCATAAAGTATCCCCATTTTGTATTATAGTAACAATCTGCAATCCATGCAAGCAGAACCTCTCTCTTTCTCTCTCTCTCCTATCTCATTTCAATGGTGTCAAGACATACCATCTTTGGCTATTACTTCTATATGGACTATTGCTGGGCTAATCGTGCAGGCTCAAATAAATTTTCACTTAAACTGTTTTGTTCCAGATGTCTACTTTTTTTTTGTGTGTGTGCGCGAGCGTTCTGGTAGCACTTGCAGTTTTTTTGCTTAATGCCCTCTAGAGTCATGTGACATCTTGTGACAAATGTTTTATTAGGAAACGATTTCACGTGAGTAGATAAGTCTACACAAAACAAGCCCAGTTTAGTATAGTGTATATAGGAGCTCCAGTTCAGTTGAGCATAATATGTATACACCTATAACACTTTATCCGTCTACATTCACAAACGAGTGCTCTTTTTCTTTCACTTCCCAAAACAAATCACCAACATTGTAATTACCGTGATAAGTCCATCCAGCCTCATTCACGTGGTACAAATTAATTGACCCACCAGAATATGCATCTCTGTGAGTAGCTGCTAAAATACTCCTCTTTCCCAAATACAATGCTTCTTCAACTGTCAAATCCCACTTGTATTCCGAATCCAAAACACCATAAGCAAAAGTTTGACCTGAACCGACACAGAACAAATCACCTTTCAAACGAGTCCCATCGGAATCGACGTAGTATATAGTGGGACCCTCCTTCTTTGTATGACCACAAACCATCGTTCCCATACTCAATCCCATCCCTTTGTATGAATACACCAAGTTACTCAATATCTTTGATGCCGCAGCAACGGATATTCTCTCCTTCTCTCTCAATTCATGCAATCTACATTGCGTACCCAACCAAGTCTCCCAAAATTGACAATCGGCAGCACCACCAGCCATTGTACCTAACAATTGTGGATTGATCCTGATGACTTTGTTGACGGTTTGTGATGCTATCCAATTACCTGCAGTAGCACGCGAATCAACTGCAACAATTATACCTCCTTGGAAACGGAAAGCCAAAGTAGTTGTACCGTGCGCTATTTTGATTTTACAATCAGGGTTGGCTGAGTCGTCAGTGTGTGCTCTTAAGAAATCAGTTGGTTGTGAGATTGGAGGGACGGCAATCGATGGCGCCAAATTGAGTTGTTGGTGAGATGAACGCGATGCATTGATCGAGCTGATTTCATTCAAAACGTCATTGTTCTGGGCGTTAGTATACCTTTGGGCTATCGAGTTCATTTCTTGTCTATATTTGAACTTGATGGGGTTGTACTCGGTTGTGGAATTGACTATAGATAATGATATTCGCCACCTATAAACGATGTATTTTCTTTTGTTGGCGCACTTTTACTCGCCTTTGAAGTAGATCACGTGACTAAACTGAAATCTCACCCTTATATCTACATTACTTTTAAAGCACAAAGAGAGCTTGATAAAGCTGACACTCGAAGACACGTCCGAAAGCTTTGTCCATGAATACAGTTTCATATAATACATATACATCAACAAGCCCCCCTCGCCTACATTACAGCGTCTTCGTACTCTTTGTTGGCTGTCCATTGTTGTGGTCATCAGTGTCTGACTCTCTTTTTACCCCTGAGTGGAAAGATGGTTTGTTGGATAAAAACGTTGGAGGACGTGAAAGACTGCTTCCAACTCCTGGAGGTTTTCCATATGCTTGTGGCCTAGCGTAGGATCCAGGTCTACCCAAGTTTGGCGGTTTTCCAAACAGTGGCCGTGACAAAGGTGGGTCTGGCGTTGACTTCACTGAACGATTAGGCGATGGCAGACTCTCCGTTTTAGACTTAATTTCCACTTCAGAAGCTGAATTTGTGACATGAGATTGAGATTGAGATTGAGATTGAGCTGGAGGTGGAGCTGGAGGTGGAGACTTGTATGCAGCTTGACTAAAAGAGCTTCCGGGAGACTGCGGCTGTCGTACCCCACTAGTGTAGCTAATGGACAGTGATACACCTTGTGGTTGACTAATAGGGGAGCCTCTATTTCCAACAGGAGTGCCGACTGATTGTTGTCCAGGTGGAGATGAAATTGGTTCAGAACTGGCTCTCAGTGGAGTACTCTTAGCAGAAGCAGAAACTGACAGACCCTCATGCTCTTTGATCGACTTTGTCAAAGCAATGTCCAAAATCTTGCTCACCTGTTGAGGTGCCTTCTCTACTAAAAAATTCAACGCATTGTCGCCGCACCCAGACTTTGCTCCGATATTATTGACCTGTGCTATTGTCGTTGCCAAAGCTTTTGTAATGAGTTGAGTTGCTGTGACTTTATCATAAGCCACATTTCGAGACTTGTACAAGGTAAACAATTCAGCTCGTAAATAAGCCAAAGATTTTTGAGTTTTGTCTTCAGTAGTCGACGCAGAAGTTTGAAGAGTAGGACTTGGAGGGTTTTTTGGTTGTAGCAGAGGTTTACCCTGTCCAATATTGGGTTGCATGACTGGGTTGTATTGAGCTGTTGGAACAGGTCTCGGAACAGGCTGTTGCACATTCCTATTCACATACAATTGGTTGTTGAGTTCCTGCTGCTCAGCTCTTTGGCTCTGACGTATTTCTTGTTGGCGAAGAATCTCCGCTTTCGTGATTGCTTCCAAGTACTCTTTGTGTTTTGCCTTGACGGTGTCTCTTTCGTTCCTGTATGACTCATCCATGGTGTATAGCCATTCATAGCCTCTTTTGGCAACTCTTTTAAAAAGTTTTGTATTTTTGATACAATGTGCAACAGAAGCTTGCCATCCCTCGGGGCAATATTTGAAATAGGGATACACTTCCTTTATGGCATCGATTGTCGCGTTTATAGTAAGTCCATTACCAGCAGCGGCAGTACTCAAAACATTGGTAGTCATCGAAGTGAATGTCAAATTAGGCTTTGAGCGGTACTGTTCGGGTATCTCCTCAATAGCATAAACCCTTTTTGGAGTTTTGCGAGGGATAATTTTTTTCCCTTTTGGTTTGGGAAATTGCGATTGCTGCTCAAGAGTTTTTGGATAGTAATAGGGGGACTGATGCGAGTGTTTTCCCACAGATATGACGCGTGGAGGAGGTAGTGTACGAGTAACACCTTGCTCCGAAGTTAGGATGAACACAGGAGCTTCCAACTTGGGGATTGGTATTTGTGGCATGTGGGGGCCCGACAAATATTGCAAGGATTTGTCCAATGGGCCAAGCTTATTGTAAAGTATAGCAGACGACGACGACGACGACGACGGCTGAATAGATGCTGGACGACCCATAAGAGGGGTTGAGCGCAAAGGTCCAGCATTCTTTACAAAGGATGACCTTCGTTGAGAAATGTGTTCCTTTTTCCGCTTCTTGGTTTCCTCCAAACTCTTTCGCAATTCATCTTTCTCTAGTATAAGGCTGTCATTACCTCCTTGAGACACCAACTCAGCAATCTCTCTATTAAGCTGGTTGATGCTTACATCAATTTCCAAAATTTCCCTCTCCATCTTTGCGTCTTGTTCTATTCCTTTGACTAAGTCAAATTCATCTTCATCGTCTGCTATAGCCGACTCGTTCATGCGAGCAAGATTGGCCATACTGTCACCACCGAGGCCCAAGTCGCTGTCTTCATTCAAAAGACTTTGGATTTGCGCATCAAGTAAATCAGATTCTTCCTCATTGATATTCTCTATTGAGGTGACGCCTAGATCTTTCAACAACTCATTCAATTCCTCGTTTGCTGCGGCCGATTTACGTCTCGCATTTGACAATCTTCTTATTTTCAAAAGAGAATCTCGCCTGCTCATGGACAATTTTCTCAAGGAAAATTTGCTGTCGGAGTCTACCGGATTCTTTAGTGTTTCTTTCTGAACAGGAGTTTTCGAAAACAAGTTTGATTTCAAATTAATGGCATCGCTTGGATTAAATTGCTTAGGCCCTCCGTTTTGTTGATCTAGCGTCTCATTTGCTGGAGGTGTAGGTAGCACAAACTGAAAAGAGATATCACCAATTTGTATCTTGACACCATCTGTGAGGGGGATGGTGACACCCTTTTCCACAAATGTCTCGTCGACAAAAGCTCCATTTTTCCCCAAAACAGAGATTTCGAATCTTTGCGTTCCGAAATTGTAGAAAATTTTGGCGTGCCTTCTCGAGATGGCTTTTCTTTCGGATAAGTGCACATCCACGTCTTGTTGTATCAATTCGTCATTCGACCTTCTACCCAAAACCACCTGTAATGTTTGAACGTAAAACACATTGTTTTCAAAATCAAGTCTAGCGTACGCTGAAACCCGCGAGTGTGAATGCAGATCATCCACAACATGGTCATGTGGTACACTAGCTTGTTTAGATTTTTCAGATTTGTGTTTGAACCCGTTCTTGCTATTGTCTTTTGATTGTGTCAAGCTTAATTCATCGTTTGCTGACTCAACGTCTCGGCTCTGCAGGCCAGTTGACGCTTGAAAAAGTGGCGTCTGAGAGGAACTCACAGTTTTCGAGCTTGATATGAAGGGGTCCTTAGTTTCCATTGATTCTTCCTGTGTCTGGCTTTTGAAATATTGGTCGTGTTTATCCGACTGTAGTTGTGGAGTTGAAAGTAACATGTTTAGCTCCTCGTCAAGGATCAATCCAGCATCTACATCCGGCCTCGGGGATTTCTGAGATTCAGAATTGTTCAGATGCGGTAGCACTTGATCGGCGGTTTCTAGATGTGTTAATTGTAGCTGATTATCCGAAGGTGGAGGGTGTGAACTTTTTGAACCCTGCACACCACTCATCACTCTCTCTAAAATTTTTTTTGCCTATCCTTTTGCTGTGTCTTGCTTTGTTTTATTTACGAGTTCTCGTAGTGAATGTATTTATCGTTCTGGCAAAATCCTTTTGCAGGCGAGTTAACCTTTGTATAGTATGGTCTTGAGTTGCAACTCTCCCGCGATGAGCTTGTTATGGCTTGTGTATGCTGAAATTTTCGTTAACAGGAATTTTGGTTTTTCTCGTTTTCTTGAATCACAAACAAAAGCTAAAGAAACAAAAACAAAACTCTTCAATGTTAGCTGCAAAAATATCCACAAATACCCACCCATACACAGTTCGGTACTTACAAGCATCAATAAACATACATACACTACGAAAGTATTCTATGATTACGTCATACCCATACATTCTCACTTTGATTTTCTTTGCATTAGCCTCGATTGTTCAGACATCACCACAAAAACAGCTTCTCAAAGATATGAGTCTCGTTGACAACACTGATTCCAGCCACAAAAATACAACTTCAAGCTATGACAACTTGCCCAAAAATATATGGAGTAAATTTGGGTGGCTGGCTTGTTTTAGAGCCATGGATAACTCCTTCTACTTTTTGAAAAAGTAGAAGAACTATGTGGCAAACTTCCGGTTGACGAACACCGCCTATGCTCAAGTCTTCAACATTCGAGCCAAGTCCTTTTTTGAACTACCACTGGGACACATTCTACAGCGAGGTTGATTTTGCAAAGAATGCTGGTTTGGGATTGAGCTTGGTGAGGGTTCCCGTTGGATATTGGGCTTTTGGATTGTTGGAGGATGACCTGGATGTGAAGCAAATGGAGGAGATAAAGGGTAGAAAAAAAAAAAATTTTATAAAAGTTAGAAATCATCTCATCAGAGAGACAAGATAATCGAGTTCTTTATCAGCGCAATGGTAAGTAGTGAGACTTTCGTATTCGATAAAACACTTTCTTTTTTCTTAAATCTATGTTACTAACTACAACTCTAGGTGAAAATAAAGAAGAAATCATCTTTGAGGGACAAGTCGCAGCGAAAGTCTCAACTTGCTAATAAGATTACCGAATTTAAGGAATCGCAACATACAAATGAGCCAGGTTATCATGAAAATCCCTTACTTAAATTAGCTAAAACCACCAAGAAGCAGAAACAGCAAGAAAAAAGTGATCAGTTTATTAATAAATTGGCCAATAAAGTCACATTCAATACTGGGGCAGGAATCAGTAAGTCTTCATTGCGTAGACGCAAGAGGAAAGAAAAAGAGCAGTTGAAACCCAAGATGGACGAATTGTTACTAAGTCTACCTACAGGAGACGATGCGGAGTCTAAGCTGACAAAATTGATCAAGCTGTCCCCAACTGAGTTTGTTGATAGTAAGAAGACGAAGAAGAAGTCAAACGCACCCAACCCGACAAAAACGACTGGTCTCAAGAAAATCATGATAGAGGAGCACAAGAATTTTGGCAACGTGTTGAAAAATCCCGAATTCAGAAAGTCGCCTTTTGATGCTTTGAAAAGCGCAATCAAACAGAATATGAGCTAAGAGAATTACATGTGAGGGTGATGTTTGCTTTAGTGATGCTTGATACAAGGGTTGCTCCTAGCGCGAGGGCTCAAATAGCAGGGCAGTATTACAAGTGGCACTAATTACAGTTCTTTGTCAGTGTTCTCAATGCACTTGGCACCCTTTAGTATATCCGCTGGAGATACAGATGGCGACTATCGAATTTCCAATGTGCGACAATGACAGGAGCATAACCGTCCAGTTTTGAACAGGGGAGCACAATATAATGGTCTGCATTCCGCACTTGCTCAATGAATATCTTTTCGTCTAAGAATGTCGCTCAATTACTTACGAGATAGCTTAAAATCCGAGAAAAGGCGAGAATGCCAACATGTAAATCACCGTCTAAATCTCTGTATTCTTCTATTCTTTGTCGTATCGCAAACGACTCGTGTCGCAACAACGACCCAGACAGATATAATATTGTATCCGTTTGTAGCAAGCACATTCAAGAGAGAGAGAGAGAGTCGCGTACAAAATTGAATTGTAAACAAAGACAATAGGAAAGAAAAATTAAATGTAAACATTGGAATCAAAAACAAAAAGAATTTTGTTTGAAATTACGAAACCACAACAAACCAACAACAAACCAACAACAAACCCACAACAAACCCATAACATTCTAACCGCCCGTCCCCTTCCCCAATCACAATCTATAATTCTCTTTATTTTTTTTATTTTTTTTTATTTTTTCTTTAGTCACAGAAGGCAAACTATTTTAGTCAATTCATTTTAAGAAACAGAAAAACGTATACAAACCATAATCGTGAACATAGTGAACCAATAACAAAAACCTTCAATTCAATTCAATTCAATTCGATCCGCAAATAGTGCTTACTACCTTATCTCAGCAGTACCACTAATAGCGAGATGGATGACCTTGACTCAGCCATATCTCGGCAGAATGAGCAGTACGGTGATGCCAGCGGGCATTCAATTGCACAAGCTGAGGAGAAGAGGGAGGAGCACCAGCCAGAACAAGCACCCAATTCTGGATCGGTAATGGTGGATGAGGGGGAGCAAGAAGATCGCTCAGTTGAATCGATTGAACCAGAGCAAATTCACAACTCAGGTGAACAAGATGCTTTTGAACAGAATCCCACCTCTCAACAACAACTACCGGAAATCAATGCCGAAAGTTTGGGAGGAATAGCAAACCAGATTCCGAAATCGCTTTCGGATACAGGAATCTACCAAAAACATGTTAGTCCACAGTATCAATACAATAAACACAACGAATCCATCTTTGACGACGAAAAGTTGTTCCCCTGTTTGCCCAAGGACAATTCTGACATCAGTTTGGTTAAATATGACGATCAGAAGCAGGAAATCATTAACCATGCTACACTTCAAGCATTGATTGTCCAAATGACTTCACCAGAAGTTATCGATTACAATCTTATAAGTGACTTTTTCCTAACGTATAGAATGTTTTCCACCAGCACTGTCATTATGAACTTGATAACGACGAGACTAATTTGGTCGCTTCAGTACATCAACTCAGGCACAGAAACAAATACCAAAATTGGAAAATTGGTTTTACTTCGAACGTTTGTTGTGTTACGGCATTGGATTATCAACTACTTTGTTGACGACTTTGATGACAACCACGAACTATGCGACATATTTTCTCTGACCATCAACGGCATAATATCAGAGTCAAATTTGATTTACAAGGGTAATTTCATAGTTTCAGGAGACCACCTTTACGTCACGAAAATTCTAGGTGATTTGAAAATGCACTGGCTAACTTTGTTGAACAAATTTTGGCTTCTAGGACTAGACCTCAATAATAGTCTGCAAGAGACATCTATATTCAACTACACCGTACCTTTAACTAATGAGCTCAAGAAGTCTAAAAGACTTTCAAAATCAAACACAGAAATATCCATTCACACGAATCCTTCATATCGTCGGTCGGCCATGCTTTCATTGTACGATCTGAGAACACATCACAAAATGCTTATTTTTGATAGCGACTCAGGTCTGGAAGAGAATCCACAATTCTCCATAAACAACCTATTACTACACCACCAGTCATCTCGTTTGTCGATAAACAACAAAATCCATGAGATTCAAAAACAAAAGAGATTGGTTAAATCGCCAATTTTCGGCTCTTCGTTTGAAAACTCAGCAAGGCTTTCCCCCTTCATTATTGCTTCGGATCTGCAGCAACATACACCACGGACACCCACAAGTTTCTCGCCCAAAAACAAAAGAGCTTTGAGCCAGACTACTAGACACAATCGGATGGAAATTAAAGACTCATCGCTAGATTTAAAGAAAACCACGGTCAACGTACCACCTAAGGAGGAGAAGCTTTCAACGCCAACGAAGGACAAAAAACTTGCATCTGATTCATGCAAAGAAGTTGGGTTTTCAACAAACGGGCATGTCAGACTTCCAACATCAAAAGTTTTGACGATTATTCCACCAACACCCGTGAAGAAGATGGACTGCAAAATCGTAAAGCAGAGCCTGTATGGCCCAGAAGTGGATAATCTTTTTCAACCTCCAGTCATAGATGGTGCCCGCCGTGACCTGCTTTCCAGAAAAAGCTCTGTCAAGAAGGTTATGGATAATTGGAAAAAATCACTTTCAGCACATTCTCGTAGCTCTGGGGTTGATATCAAGCCCTCAATGACAACTCATAGGAACCATTCGGCGTCGGATGCGACAAAAAGTACTTTTGAGAATTTCGTACCCAATTCCGATGATGTGGTGGACGAAACTTGCATTGGAAACCGAGTGGATGTATTAAGTGCTCGAATCGTCGATGAATTGGAGTACTTGATTCAATACTATACGAACGGTTCCGGTTTCAGTAGCATCATACACGAGGTGGATGGCGACTTCGTTGATGAAGACGGTGACAGATTTGTGAATGTTCCCAAGATAGCCGATGGCAATGAAAACAACTACGATGTTGACTTGCAACCTATTGAAATCTTGAATGAAAGTGAGGAAGACGTTGATATAAATGATTTATCTGAGTTGAACATCAACAAAATTGACAACCTAATAAACGAAAAAGAAGAAGGTCCGATACAGACAATAAAAGTGGAAAGAAATATATCGGAGAACGTGCTTGACGAGTTGGACCTATCTGGAGACTCATTCCAGAAGCCGGCCAGTATCAACTGGAACGATGAGGATGTCGTTGATCTAGATGTCTCGGCAGATAGAGACACTAATATGCTGCATGTAGAGGATCAAGGTGATTTTTGTTCATCCAGTGAATCAAAAGAGGGAGAAGGCCAACGATATGAGGCGCCCAATTTCAATTTTCAACAGTCTACCCAATCATTTGAGACTTCTACTATTTCCACTCCAAGCAATATTACTCTGTATGATGCAGAAGTAGCTGAGTTGGGTATAGCCATGAGTCCACCACCAGGTAAGCCAAACAGGGTCAGCTTTATTGAAGGTGAGCACTCCCACATTGTTTACAATAAGAGATTTTCCAAAATGTCACGCAGCTCGAATGCATCAGCAAATAAAAGAGAGTCATTAGTGTCGTACCTCAGTTACGACTCTGCATTTTCCATCACTAATGATAGCAATTCAGGCAAACAAAGTGTGGTTTACACTGGACTCAGAAAAAAGACTGGGGTTCAGAATCTTAGAGGTGACGCTAATGATCAAAAATTCGGTCTCGGTCCTTCCATTAATTTAGTGCCATCACGAATGTCCAGTCAAAACTCAAGAGGCTCACGCAAAAGTGTGAGGTTTAGTGTCTTAGGGGCACTTACTGAGCTACCTTTCAACGAAGCCGATATCGGCCTGATCAACAATCGTCATTCGCATTATTCATCGGCAGATTTGGCAAATAGTTCCATCTTTTCAGTCGGTATGAGGAGCAAACGTGAGTCGACCAGAGTGGAACATACACAAAATACCGCAGAGACGGGATCGGCAACAAACTCGATCATGATACCTGGAATAAGCTCTCATGCCTTGAAGGAGTTGGCAGCAATACCAGACGAATCAATGAAATCGACCGAGGATCCTGTTGAGTATGCTTTCAGTAAGTTAGAGGGCAAGGTTGTTCCAGTGTTTAATCCTAAAAGAAAAGACGGAGAAGATGATAGCGATATTCAAGTGGACGATACGGAAGCTATACTCAGACAGATAAACGACGCGAAAACCGAAGATGCAATTGACTCCACTTTTGATTTTAGCCATGTTAATCCCTTAACTCCGATTAGAAAGCACCCAACAACCCGGACAGAAAGTTCAAGCAATCAATCTACTTCGAGTCTAGATGATGCAGTCAATATGGAGGTGTTTGATTTTCAGCAACCTGGAAAGATAAACGGACCCGAAGTCAAGGAGCATCCATCACCGAAGATAATTCTTGACCATTATGCTCCGTCAAGCGATCTTTTGTCGGTGAAGCACATTATGGACAATAACGCTCATATCTCATTTGTTTTGTCGTTTGACTCAAAGTCCTTGGCTAATCATTTTACCATTATTGAAAAGGACATGCTACAAGAAGTGGATTGGAAGGATTTGATTGAATTGAAATGGAACAAGAAGTTGACCCCGGTAAACAGTTGGCTAGAAATTATTGTCAATGATGACTACTACATTAAGAATAAAGGGGTCAACTTGGTGATTGCTAGATTCAATTTGATGGTGAATTGGATCATATCGGAGATTCTTTTGACTCAAAGCCAAACGGAAAGAGTCCATATAATCTCTCGGTTCATTCATATTGCACAACATTGTTTAGACTTACAAAATTATGGAACATTGATGCAAGTTATTTTGGCATTGACTTCGCAAAAAGTACAAGGTTTCAGAAATACATGGCGCAACTTACCACCTGGTGATATATTGACTTTAAAGACGCTAGAGGAGTTTGCATCGCCTTTGAAAAATTTCCTAAATATCAGGTTATCCATAAATCACGTAAAACCATCGAAAGGTTGCATCCCGTTTGTCGGGTTGTATTTGTCAGATTTGACTTTTAATGCTGAAAGACCCAGTGTTGTTAACAACAACAATAACAACAATAAGGATGCGCCTGAATTAATAAATTTCTCAAAGTTTAGAACTTCGGTGCACATTGTCAAGTCATTATCACAATGTATTGAGTGGTCGGGCAATTATCAAATGGAAGTGCAACCTGACTTGTTGTCCAAGTGTTTGTATATTAAGTCGTTGGATGAAGAAGAGATGAACTATTGTATCTCATGCCGGCTTGATTAAGAGTCATATATTTAATTCTTACGTTATTTAACAATTGATAGATTATTTTAATATTAAACGAAACTACAAAATAAATCAAACCTTTGATACAGTACCTCTCAATTAAAATTATTACTATTTCTAACAAGCTTCTCCGCAATCTATATCTTTGTTTTGCAGCAAGCATCTTCATTTTTCCCTTCTACCAAAATACTCTTGTTGAAAGTGTTGTTAGCTTGAGGGATATCCAAAGCAGGGTTCCTATCCCAAAAGTTAAATGGTGCCAACTGGATATTGTGAGTCTCCACCGGCATGACTGGGAAATCCTCTACTCTTGGAATATGTGTGAATCCCAAGGTGGCCCAAACAACACAATCTTCATTTCTGACATCATCAACACCATTGGCCCACACACCAATACCGGTATCTTTTTGAGATTGGTTGGTAAATTCTCCAGCAGCAAACAATTCATGGTCACGGTATTTTGTGACCCAAACTTGTTGAGTAGCGAATTTGGCTCTCTTTGTGTTGAACGAATCTTTATCGGCCAACAACATTTGTCTAGCTGGCATACCGATCTTGTAGCCAACTGGAGTTTTGGAAATTGGGTTGATGATATTTTCGTTGATGATCTTGTAAGTTCTGTTTGTGAATGGAGATTGTTCGACATATCCTGCTTTTTCAACATAGTGGCGATCGGTAACAAACCCAATACCAAATGGATTCAAGTCGTTATCCTTGGGCATCTTGACGGTGTCATCGAAAACAACCGTGTTCTTGTGTCCATCGACAGCAGGGTCAATTCTGAATGACAAGATGTGTTGATGGTAAGCAGCCATACAATTTGGTGCAACAACGGTACCCCAAGGTACCTTGACATTTTCATCAATTGGCATAGTTGACAAGATACCAGTGGCTCTAGTTTCAATATCAATGGAGCCGTCAGTGACAAATTTCAAGTTGATGATGTACTCGTAATTGGCAACGGTTGCAATTGTTTGAACTATAAATATTCTCTTTCTTGCAACAACAGCATTCAAAGTTCTATAGTTGACGTGCTTGTACAACAACCCATCATCTTGCTCATGCATACAAACCGTGTTTGGAATGGTGAATGGTTCACCTTGGGCATTGATACTATGTCCATCCATGTACTTGATGACACCCAAACAGTCACATCCCAAAGCCAACCTGTTACCATGAGCACCAAACCCACAGTCTCCCAAATCGAAAGCTTGCTTTCTATGATATGGCTTTCTTGGATCACCATAAGGGACAGTCATTTCAGACAATGAGATTCTGTAAAATACTTGTCTTCCCTTGAACCAACCATCATACACAGCAAAACCCTCTCTAACAGTTGGAGAAACTCTAAACTCCCAACCTTGCCACTTGACCAAACCATCCTTGACAGTAAACGATGGTCCTTCTGGTTGCGAAACCAACAATGGTTTGACATCCCTTGCCACAGTTTCCCCGTTCAAGTCAGGATGGTATTCGCTACATGGAACTTCTTGCCATGGTCCGGTTGGCACTGTTGTTTCATCAAATCCTCCTGGCAAAAGATCAATTCTAATGAATTTTTTGGTAAAAGCTTCGAAAACTGGCGAAAACTTCAAAGGCAAGGAGTAATGATTGGACTCACTGTGACCATTACCAGCCAAAACGTACATGAAGCACTGAATCATAAGTCTCTTCTCGTTTGGATTATCAATAGCATACATCCAAGGATCATTTCTGACACTGTAACCTTTTGGCAACTTCAACTTTTCAATTTCGGCTTTAACAGCAGGATGGTTGAGACAGTGCTTTTCCATTTCTCCCATATCATCCGGCAAATGTGGTCCAAAAACACCCTTTGGTTGTTGAACTTTTGTGATGATGTGTCCAACTGTGACATTGACCAAGGCCTTGTTAAAGTCAAAAGTATTGGTGTAATAGTAGCAGTAGAAAATTCTTGGAATTTGTGGAGTTGGCAATCCTTCTCTTTCAGCTGCAAGGTATTCAATCATTGATTTCTTTGGCGGATCACATCTATCAATTTGAACAAAATGGACGTTAGCGGAAGCTGGGTAAGCATCTTTGACCAACTTTGAAGCTAATCTAATTTCGTAGTCCTTGGCGGGGGCAAATGGATGAATCGACATCGTGGAAGAACCTGCTGATAATTAATGAAATAATAAAAAAGAAAGGAAAAGAAAAAAAAAAAAGAAAAACGACTTTCTTGAAGTTTAGAGAAGCTGACCTTAAGACATATTGCATCCTTTAAATATCCTCGAAATCTGACTTTTTGATGGACTTGTTTGATAGACGCCATAGTTGAAAAATTAATGAAGTTGCACAAAAGTAGATACCTATTTTTTTCCGACAGTCGCGATAAAGTTGTTCTCGATATGGACAATGCGCTAAACATGCCAAAACAAGTAATCCCCACCCCCTTCATATTTTTTTACTTTCACACCACAGCAAAGCAATTGCACCAAAGAGAGCCGCTTCTTGTCGTATCGCGCTTCCCAGATCAAAGTTGCGAAAAAAAAAAACAACAACTTTACGACCCTGTTTCAGTAGTTGCTCTTTCTCCAGCGGGACCGTTGGGGGTAATCGTTGTTGAAAGACTAGAAACGGGTGTCCATTTACTTACCATTGACTACACTGACGATTTAGCTCTAAGTGACGAATGGCATGACGTACCAGACATGCGTTGGAGACGACTGCATTTTTGTTGCGTCTCTACTTACTACTTTGGGAAGTGAAATGCGCAGCGAGTGCTCTCTTTTAGGTAATTTATTATATTCCGTCCTGCGCTTCCAACTCGATAACGGTCTCTTCATTATTTAGCGAATTACTTTGGACCTCCATCAGCTGATGAGCTGCAGATTTTCTCTTTGGTCTAACCTCATTGGGTAAGAAATCACGATAGGATTAGGTTTATCGTACAGGAGTTTGTTTATCGGTCTTCTGACATGCTTTGTCTTATCGTAAGCAAGTACGATGCAGAAGAGTATCTTTAAGACAAGTCGCTAACATGTGTTTGCCATAATTTTGAAACGTAGAAATGTCATCCAAGTCATTGAAAGAGCATTTCTTCAACTGTACAATGTTGAGAATTGATATAAACGTTCCATAAGATACCAAATCACCGCTGCTGTTAAGTGGTTGGCACTTCTGATAGCTACAACAGCGATAATGAAAACTAAACACATCCCCACTTCAGAGAAGATTAAAAGTGACCGAATAGAATTGTAACCTTCTCAAGCCCCTCACACAACATAAAACAATAACAGATGCTAGTCAAATTGACAAATGAATGACACCTTTCATTGGATGTCCCAGTTGCGTCTTCAATGTGTGGAGGAAAGAAGGAGAACTTACAATAAGAATAGTGGGGTTGGCTGAGGTGTGGGAGGGTAACGTGCAAAAAGGAAAGGTTGTTTTATTTTAATCTCACATACCCCTTCCCCTCCATAGTAGTTAAAAAATTTGTTGGGCAAAAATAATGGAAGTAGTCACGTGGATCGAGATGCTACCATATGATGTTAGACATTTTTTTCCAGTCACCCGATTGCGTCAGATGATCCTGAAACACCCGAGTTTCGCCTTGAGTCTTCGGAAAAAGGGTGGTCTGACAGACCACTTCATATAAAAAGGTCCACATTAGATTCAATCAACTTTGTAAGGGCTTCTCTTATCATTTGACAACAGCATACACCTTGTTTTGCATTTGGAGATCCAATATAACCCTGACATAGAGGAAACAAGACCCACTTTGGAGAGAAGAAAAAAAAAAAAAAAGAAATTCAGAAATCTCTCAACAAAATTTTTGAGTCAACCTTTGTAATCATCAACTTTTCGCATCTAGAATCCAAAAGCTAAAGGGATATATATATACCCACATCTATCGGTAACACGAAGAAAGAAATTTGACAAGAAAGGAATTGATATCAGATTTTCAAAGAGAATCAACAAACACTTTTCTATTCGTCGCATACCTACCGCATTATCCACACTATTTGACAACTGCTTTCGTGTCACAATTTGACACCCATATTCTCGAAACTACGCAAAGACATATCATTTTTATCCATAAACCCACCAACCATGATGAGCAGGAGAGCACAAAGAAACCCTACGTTATACTTGGCCGCCCTAATAGCAACATCAGCTGTTGCAATATCTTACAAGGTATATGACTCGTACCTCAAATCATCCTCATCACAGTCTACTCAAGACACTTTTAACCAGACATCTTTAACTTCTACAACCAAGCCATTCACCATATCAAAGAAGTACCTTAATAAGACAATTGCAATCACGCTTTCCTCATCCTTCCTATCGTCTCAGTTGCCGCTCAACGAGATCCTTACCACACAAGAAAATATGATATTTATCATTCCGCCAAACTTGAGTGAAGATGACTTGAATGTGAAGATCCCACCAAATTTCAAGCTACTCAAGTGCTCCAACGTGCAAGGATACTTACAGATATTGAAGAATCTAAAACCTGATTGTTTATTGTTGTGCAGTGATGACTTGGGTATCAATTATACGAATCTATCACTGGATTTGCGCAACTTTATCAGAACTATCATCAATGTGGAGCAAGACCAGGACTTATTGTTACAGGTAAAGCCAGTGTTTAATTAAGCGTAATGAGTATGTAGGGAGGGATTCAAAATGGGCATTTCTTACCATTACTTATATAATTCTACAGTCTCCACTTTTTCAGGAGAAAGAATTTATTACATAATGAATATACATATATATATACATGATGCATTAGATGTTGGGGGTAGTTAGATTGAACATTGGTAACTTTACTTCTCTTTCCCGGTCCTTTTGTCGCAACAAAACCAGAGTTCAAAAACGCGTCAATGGAACCGAAAATGATCGAACTCCGATTAGGACCAAATACACTTACACGCATAATCTTTTCTAAGTCAAGGTCAGATGTGAGATCCCGAATCAGTAACTGAAATGGGGTATCTTTAGTTACAACAAGTACGTGTACAAGTCTAACAGCTGGGAACCTACTTCAGTGTAAACCTACAATCCTCTCTTTAACCTGCCTAAATGAACATTCTCAAAAACATAGTGAAACTTTGTTTTACATTTTTGCATGTGTCTGCTTCTTCTTCGAAACCTATAAACAATAAGCATCAAATAAATATAAATTCTGTATTGTACAGTCATAAATATAAACTATAAACGTGACAATATAGTTAAAGGGAAAAGGATTCTCTTTGAACGATTGCGAAAAAGGGGCAGTCCTTAGATAAAAAATAAAAAAAATTAAAATAAAGAATTAAAGCAATTACTTATTTGTCTTTATGGATAACTCATCTTTAAGCTTCGGTCTTCTTTGCCTTTTTCGATCTCCAACGGTCTTCCAAGTCTGGTAAAGGAATGGCAGAAACAACGAGATAACTGTTTTGTGGATTAGCAAGACCGGCATAAGCATTATACCAAGCGATAAAAGAAGTCAAGACACCAAAAACACCACCAGCTTTAGAGACACCAACTCTTTGTGAAATCTCACCGATTCCCAACAACAAAAACGTAATGGTCAAGAAAAAGAACAACAAAAAGAATGCCAACGTAGATTTAAGCGTCATAACCATCATGAAAAAAGTGAAAATAGCCCACGCGAGTAAGAAAAGACCCAACGCAAACTGCAATTCTTGAGTGTGACCAGTGTAAGCAGCAACAATACCAAAAGCTGGGGTTTGAATGGAAGCCCAAGACATCCAGAAACCACCATATGAACACAATGCAACACCACCAAAGGTGTTTCCCAAAACAAGTTCAAACAAACCAGCAATCAACTGAGCTGCACCACCATAGAAATAAGCCAAACCAACAACAATATTTGGAATGGTAACTCCTCTGGCTTGGCAATTGATCAAACTAAGGACAAAAGTCGTCAATGCGAAACCACTCAAACCCAATGGAGCTGGGTTAGCATACTCTGGCTTTTGTGGTGGAGCCAAACCTGGGTTCATCATACCACCGAAAGCCTGGGCCAATTCAGAACGCAAGTACCTCTCATTACCAAAGTAGACATAGTCCCCATCAGATCGAACTTGACCCCAGTGTGGTCCATATGTGTCATTGTTTTGGTTAGTGTGCTGCTGCTCTTGCTGTTGACCGTCATGGTGAGCAGTGATTTCGTCTTGATTTGCCGGATGGGCAGAAACTGGCTCTTGTGTAGACATGGTTAATAATTCAGTGCGAAGTGGTGAATGAAACTTGATACTAGACGTAAGGTGTGTGTGAGTTACTAAGTGAGTTATTGGATGCTATTAGCAATGTAAGTTGAAAAAAAAAAAAAAATTAACTTCAAAGGTTTTGTTTGTTCCTTGATGTAAGCTAATTTAACTGATGAGAATCTGTAGCAAAGAGAGATATTAAATGTAATATATAGTGAATTTTAAGGAAACTATATGGGGTATATGGATTTGTGGGTGATGATGCACCTTTTTTTTCGTCATTTGTTAAACAGAGAGAAAGAGAGAGAGAGAGAGAGAGAGAGAGAGAGAAAAATTTAACTTCACAAGTAGCACAAAGCAGAGAGTGGTTTTGTGTTGATGCAAAAGTTGTGGTGCAAGGCATTCATATATAGACAGTGTACAGTACTATAAGTGTTGTTGTGGTGGTGTTGTCGTTAGCTGCACAAATGGGTTGGGTAAGTAAATAAATAAATATAAACTTTTACTAAATAATGACCGACATACTGTAGAAGCGAACATCGTGTTATCCCCCAGTAACCAATATACAACCCTCTTTGGAAGTGAGCGGGTGTCTTGAATCTTTTTGTTGTCTCGTTATCCGATTCGGCGGCAAGTCCGATTTTTCCTCCATCATAAATGCAAGTCGCTTGGTAATCTATATCGATTTTCCCATTTATGCGCTTCAAAGTGGAACCTCTCTTCGCAATGTAGTTGTGTCCATTTGATTCGCATTTCCGCTATTTCGTCCGAGAAACTTTGACGGAGAATTAAAACAGGCAAATTTGACCAGAGGGACTTGTGGTGTTGCTTCACATGAAAGCGGTGTTGAGGCTACCTTGGTATTTTCTCTGGTACCATCTGCCCACAAGAGATATTATTTGCCTAGCAGCTTGCAAAGATTCTAATGGTTTTCCCGGCAAATTATATAACCAAAAAAAAAAAAAAAAAGAAAACTCCGAAATACTTTAAAATTTTAATTTTTCTTTTTTCCTTTCCTTTCCTTTCCTTTCCTACCCGTCGATATATAATACATGCAATCGAATCACTTTAAAAAAAAAAAAAAAAAACATCAGCCAATTTGTTGAACTGTAGTACAATGACTTTTGCTTAATTTGGATTGGAAATAACGTGTTGCTCAACGTTAATAGGCTATGTAGACACGTCAACATTCAACTTAGGTATTGTGGTGGTCTTTGAAGCGGATGTCAGCTAATTTTTAATTTTTAATTTCTTTTTTTTTTTTCTTGTGTGTTGGCGGATGTTGCAAGTAACCAACCAAACATAACACAAGAGAAACAACGCAACACAACAAATACGAAAAAAAAAAAAGGGAAAAGAGATAGATAGAGACAAATGTGTGTAACTTTCGATTTCCGTTTTATTGTACGAATTTCAAACTATATGTTTCAACCAATTAAATAACATGCAGCCCTTTCTCCTCCACCTTCCTTTCAGCAAAGAAATCGATAAGCACCAGAGGAACAAAAGTTCTTTTGTGTTGATAGAGGGAGAAATGCAATACAAACACAGTACAACCCCACACAAGATAACACTACACACTCATCTACTACACCAAAATAGAATCGACAAGAGTAGTAACAGTTTAGTGCAAAAGTCACCTGTCTACCCTCTAACAATGCATAGTCTCACATTCTCCTACTCGTTCTATCGTCTCTTGAAATAGAGTGGCATGACCCCCTCCTCCCCCTCTGTGGTGTTTTCGTTTTCTTTTTTTTTTTTTTTTTTATTTTTGACCCACATGAACTTGCAAATGCGCGATGTTGTATAGTCACAATTGTGGAGCAATTGTTTTCATGGTTAAAGCTGCATATGCATTGAATTACTGTTTTCCAATGCGACATAAGGACCCCATACTTTGAAAATAATTTGCTTGGGTTTTGGTAAGGAAAATAACAACGGAAAAGATAAATCTTAATACGGCTGAATTGAAAGTCCGAAAGAACAAAAGCAAAAAAAAAAATACACAACAAATCAAATCGAATACGTTTGGTAAATAACACCCCCACAAAATTAGTGAGATCGGTATATACCGTTCCAAACAAGAAGGTTTCCAAATTAAAGTCAACACACAATTTTATGAATAAGTACAAGATTAACATTATCTCTTTACTTCTAAATTCATGGAAATCAACAAAATCGTGTATAATGGCGTCCACAAGGTCATAGGAGACCGTGAGCAGCAAACATATCACAGTTAGCTCTCTATTGTTGGTAAATATACCTATAGCGTTCTTAAAGTGATGTAGGTTGCAAGACGACAAGTTCTATGCGAGACGTTTGTCATAAAAAGACTAAGTAAGCGGACTAACACCAACAAGTTGATTAGAAGTACCAAGCACCTTTCTATTTTAACATTTATACAGTCGTGTTTGTTTCTGTTTGTCGCCGTTTAGTGTTGGGGAGCTTTTACTCACCTCGCTTTCTAAATCAATAGTGTTGGTGTATGTGGAAATTTGTTGCAAAACGGAAATCTCAATATGCGGAGAAAGTAGTTATGACCGCACAAACGAGTCACGATAACGAAAATGCTTTGTCCAGGCTAAATGGAGATTCTTTCTTCCTAAGAAATAAATAGATAGCCACCGTATGACAACTCCTCTTCGTCTTTCTCCTCTCATTTACTTCCCACCTTCTAACTCGACTTACTCCCCACCAACAATCTTCGAGCTAACCCCCTTGCTCCTTATCACCAAATAAGAATATGGCAGTCTTAGTAACCGGGGCAACTGGTTTCATTGCCCAGCATGTGATCAAGGAACTATTGAAACAAGGGTATGACGTGATTGGGACTGTGAGATCAGAAGCCAAGGGAAAATACTTGTCGGGCTTGTTTGATTCAACGCGCTTCACCTATGCTGTTGTGTCTGACGTGGTTGCGAAAGGAGCTTTCGATGAAGTCCTTGAATCTCAAAAGGATATCGAAACCTTCATCCACACCGCCAGTCCAGTTGATTTTCAAGTCAAAGATGTACAGAAAGCGCTTTTGACACCAGCAATCGAGGGAACAAAGAATGTATTAAATGCAATTGAGAAGTATGGAAATGTGAAAACCGTCATTGTTACTTCATCGACGGCAGCAGTTCGTGATTCCAGTGGAAATAGAGACCCCGATGAAAGGATCACTGAGCTGACGTGGAACAAAATCACATTGGAGCAAGGGTTGGCTTCAGGTAGATTGGGCTACGACGCAGCAAAAACCTTTGCAGAGAAGGAGGTGTGGAGGTTTGCCGAGAAGCACGAGCAAAATTTCAATGTCATTACAGTGAACCCTACTTTTGTCTTTGGACCACAAGCGTTCGAAATAAAGGATTTGAACAATCTCAATGAGTCAGCTGAGATGGTTAATCGTGTATTGAAGTTGAAGTCTACAGACACAATTCCCCACCATGTTAGTAGATTCATCGATGTGCGTGATGTGGCAAAGGCTCATGTTGAGGCCGTAAAGAGACCTAACGAGCTCAAAGGTACGAGATTAATGCTTCTCAGTTACGGGTGTACGAATGAGTTGATTGCCTACATAATTAACCAGCACTTCCCAAGTGTTGATATTCCGAAAGGGCTGATGCAGACACATGAGCAGCAATTGAAAGTAGGGGATATGAAGTGGGACAATTCCAAGACAAAGTCTCTTTTGAAACATGAGTTTATTTCTTTAGAGGATTCAATTGTCGATACAGTGCAACAAATCTTGGATGCAAAAGAATGTAATTGTGCAGTTAAAAAAAAACTATAGCTGATGATAGAGTAGATTTCGGTAAAAGATATAGACAACTCTGTGGAGCAGACATCGCTGTAAAGCTATCATGTTGGATATGCTTACTTGTAGTAGCCAAACTCTCAAAGACTAGTTTACCTTTGTTCGTCGAACTGGGTTATTCCTGCATAGTCGCAGAATTCTCAAACATTTAGCAATCTTAATTTCAAAACTTCTTAATGTTTGACCAATTTGCCAAGTCTACACACAATTCAAAAATGTCAATCTTCGTCAGTGGTGCTACGGGGTTCATTGCACAAAACATAGTCAAGCAATTGCTTCAAGCCAACTACAAAGTTGTCGGTTCAGTGAGAACACAAGAAAAGGGTGATGCATTGAAAAATAACATCAAAGATGCCAGCTTGCAAGCTGAGAATTTCACGTATGAAATTGTGGCAGACATTGGGGCAGAAGGAGCATTTGACGACGCTTTGAAAGCACACCCAGAGCTAGAGGTATTCATACACACAGCATCACCAGTCAAATTCGATGTGAAGGATGTCAAGAAGGAGTTGATTGAACCGGCAATAAACGGAACCACGAATGCCCTCAAAGCAATTCAACAATATGGCAAGAACATCAAGAGAGTCGTTGTTACTTCTTCTTTGGCAGCTGTAGCTGGAAGCAGAACCGTCCTCAAAGATGGCGAACTGGTGACTGAACAAAACTGGAATCCCGTTACTGAAGAAGAGATCAAAGATCCAAGTGATGGATATGCTGTATCTAAAAAGTTAGCCGAAGAAGCAGTTTGGAAATTCGCTAAGGACAAGTCCACACATTTCTCGGTCACGACAATATTGCCTGGCTTAGTGACTGGACCCCAAGCATTTCCCAACTTCGACAGAGATGGCTTGAACTTTTCATCGGAAACTATTAACAAGTTGTTGAAGTTGAAGCCAAATGATGAAGTGCCAAAAGGAGCTGGATTGTTTGTGGATGTGAGAGACTGTGCCAGAGCACATATTGTAGCATTTGAGAAAGAAAGCGCTGTAAACAAGAGATTATTTGCAGTAGCTGGAAAATTCAACAGCCAGGAAGTACTTGATATTATCAGGTCCAGTTTTGATGAATTGGATCAAATCCTGCCAAAAGGAAACCCCGAAGATGCGAAAAAATACGCGCCAAGACTGGATAGATACGATCAAAGTGTTACCAGAAGCGTTTTGGGTTTTGAATTTATCGATTTGAAAAAGTCGGTGGTTGATACAGTAAATCAGCTTTTAGATGATTAATCTAGAGAATTGCTTGTCTTGCAAAGAGAGTGCGCAAATCACCTGTACATCCATATCTTTGTAGTTTATGTAATAGCAATTTGCAGTAGAGTGTGATTGTTGATTCTATCCAGGTCTTGCGGAGATAAGCGAGACACATTCAGGAGAGGAACTCACTGCTCACGCCAGTGGGTCAGCACGGAATATGCTTTCCTATAAGTGAGTTGACTTCACTATACTGCGATTGCGAATGCGAAAAAAAAAAAAAACTTGGCAGCCGCATTTTGACAGGAAGCCACAGTTCTCTCACGAGCTAGACTCTCTGCCGAAAGCAATTAGGGAGCTTACCCCTTGCCCCAAAGAAAAAAGAAATTACAACCAACATATTCATTATATCACTCCGCTTCCACCCTCCATTTAAGCAAACAAGACAATGTCAGTTTTCGTAACAGGTGCCACTGGCTACATTGCTCAACATGTGGTCAAGGAGCTCTTGGCACAAGGATACAAAGTGATTGGATCAGTGAGGTCAGAAGCAAAAGGGGAGTACTTATCAAAACTAATTAATTCACCACAATTTTCTTTTGCCGTTGTTCCTGATATTGCTGCCGAAGGGGCCTTTGATCATGTATTGCAGGAACACGAGAGTATTGGGACCTTCATTCATACTGCAAGTCCAGTTGATTTTGAAGTAAGCGACATTCAGACTGGTCTTTTGGACCCTGCCATAGAAGGTACAAAGAACGTTTTATTGGCGGTTGAGAAGTATGGCAAGAACGTCAGAAATGTCATTGTCACATCCTCCACTTCTGCTGTTCGTGATGTAAGTGGCAAGAGGCCCTCAAACAGTCTCCTCACTGAATCGTCGTGGAATGAAATTTCAATTGAACAGGGATTGAAAAATCCAAGATTGGGCTATGCTGCCGCTAAAACATTTGCTGAAAAGGAAGTTTGGAAGTTTGCGAAGGAAAATCAAGACAAATTTAATGTGACAACGGTCAACCCCACCTATGTGTTTGGACCTCAAGCATTCAAAGTTCAAAATAAGGATCGCTTGAATGACTCCGCAGAGTACGTGAACAAAATTTTGAAATTGAAACCAGACGAAAAGATTCCTACATTTGTTGGATTGTTTATCGACGTGAGAGACGTTGCCAGAGCACATGTGGCGGCAATTAAAAACCCAAAGGAGTTCAATGGACAAAGATTGGTGCTTATAAACTCTGCGTGGACAAACGAACTTCTTGCAGCAATTATCAATAAGCAGTTCCCAGAAGTTGCCATCCCCAAGGGAAGCATCGGGGCCAGTGACGAGGAGTTGAAAAAGGCAGACTTAAAGTGGGATAATTCAAAGACAAAGCAGCTCTTAGGCTTTGAATTTATTCCAATTGAAAAATCCGTTACTGATGCTGTCCAACAACTCCTTGACTCGTAAGGAAGTATATTCGATTGTACGCTCTATAGGGAATGAAATTAGAGAATTATACAATTATGATACACTTCAGTCACACAACCAATCACCAAATTTTTACTTGGGCTTTTCACCCTTCAGGTCAGATTTCTCACTCTTGTTTCCGTCTCCTTTGTGGTTCTCTTGGTAGGAAGCATATGCCTCCTTAGCGTTTTATTAAAAGTTACCCCCATTTGAGAATGCTTGGAAAGCATCTTTGGCATCATCTTGGGTGATTTTACCAAACTTGTACAATTCTTCTCCTTGGTTGAGTAATGAATCCATTTTGTAAAAAAATACGATTTGCTTTGCAATGTAGAATGAAAATGTGTGTGGTATTCTCAAAAGAGGAGGAGAAGGGGTTTCATTTAAAATGAATGGGAGGAGATAGGAGTCCAAATTTGAAATTTGAACTTGTGGCACATAGTTGCGTTGCAATTGTCTCATACATATATCAAACTCCAGAAGAGAGTGTTATTGACACATTCATCTAATACATACACTAATCTAAAGTTTCAACTTCTTCAAGATCTCGATGGTCTGCTCATAACCTTCAATTTCAGCAACAACTTTCTCCAAACGTTGGTTGGCACTTTGTCTAGCTTCAGGTTTGGTCTTTTCGGTGAATTTACTAATAGCTTCATCATTCTTCTTTTTAGTTTCTCTTGCCGAATCTAATCTCTTGGAGACCTTGGCAATTTCGGCATCCAAGTCAACTTGTCCCTTGACCAAGACATGGACAGTACAGTCAGGACCAATAGCTTGCAATGCACATCCCGAAGGAACGTCGTCGGCCGATTTAACAACAGTAATCTTCTCAACACCTTTGATAAGGGATACAATAGAATCGTGTTGATCAGAAGCAATTTTGTAAATATCTTCCTTTCCTGACTCAACGAAAACTTGGCCGTTCTTTAAGATATTGTATTGTGATAACAAAGACCTAGCACCCTTGGTTATATCAATAACCAAGTCATACGCATTCAATGCATCAACATTGTCGTATTCTCTGTTATAAGTTGGGTATTTTGCCTTGACAATTGTTTCGGTATTATCACCCTCACGTCTGGGTAACCTTTGCCACATCTCTTCAGTGACAAATGGCATGAATGGATGGATCAATCTCAAAGCTCCGTCTATACTAGTATATAACGTATCCTGCGCCGACTTCTTTTGCTCAGGCGTACCATCTTGAATCAAAGCTTTGGAGTTTTCAATGTACACATCACACAAATCGTACCAAAAGTTATAAATGTGGTTGGTGGCATCACCAAAGTTACGTGCCTCCAACGCTTCATTCGTATTCTTGGCAGCAGTTGTCAATTTGTGCAAGATCCATTTTTCAACAAGTGACTCGTGCCCTGTCAATTCAGCTGACTTTGGTGGTACGTAATCATCACCTAGTTTACCCAAAACAAACTTGGTAGCTTGGTAAATCTTGTTACAGAACTTACGGTAACCTTCCACCCTCAAAATGTCCAAATTGATATCTCTACCACCAGTTGAGTAAGCACACAAAGCAAACCTCAATGCATCGGTACCACATTCAGGAATACCGTTTGGATAAGACAATTTTTGGCCATCCGTTGCCTTCTTCAATTCTCTAGGGTCCAAATTACCAGTGAGAAGTTTGTCATGTAAGCCTTGCAATGGAATACCTGTGATGACATCCAATGGATCAACAACATTTCCTAAGGACTTTGACATCTTACGTCCTTGAGCATCTCTAACCAAGGAATGGCAAAAGACTTCCTTGAATGGCACCTTTCCTGTCAATTTCAAAGACAACAATATCATTCGTGAAACCCAAAAGAACAAAATATCCCATCCAGTTTCTAACATTGACATTGGGTTGAACAATTCCATGTCTCTAGTTTTGTGTGGCCATCCCAACGTTGAAATAGGCCACAACCCTGATGAGAACCAAGTGTCCAACACATCTTCATCTTGGGAAAGAGAGAATTTCTTGTCTCCAAACTTAGCTGCTGCTTTCTCTAAAGCTTCCTCTTGAGTTCTTCCCGAAATCCAATACTCATTATCCAATCTGTCATGCTCTTCTCCTTCGATTTCAACAAAGTAAACAGGACATCTGTGTCCCCACCATAATTGACGAGAAATACACCAATCTTGAATGTTTTCCATCCAATGGAAGTATTCAGCTTCGGATGTCTTGGGTGTGATTGTGATGTCTCCCTTCTTGACTGCAGCGATGGCTTCCTTAGCCATTTCTTGTTGGTTGACATACCATTGTGGCTTCAATAATGGTTCAATAACATCACCGGATCTAGAACAAAGTGGAATAGTCATTTCATTGTCCTTTTGTTCAACAAACAAACCCTTCTTTTCCAATTCCTCAATGACTTTAGCTCTAGCATCGAATCTCTTCATTCCTTTCCATTCAGGGCCCGCGTTCTCATTAAGGTAACCGTCATCGGTATATATGTTGATGAACTCCAAGTTGTTTCTCTTTCCCGTGTTGTAATCGTTCTGGTCATGAGCAGGAGTGATCTTAACAGCACCAGTTCCAAACTCCATATCAACAGCTTCAGAATCAGTGATGATTGGCAATTTTCTATCGACAAATGGATGAAGGACAAACTTTCCGTGCAAGTGTTTGTATCTTGGATCCTTTGGATGCACAGCAACTGCGGTATCACCAAAGATAGTTTCCGGTCTAGTAGTTGCAACGGTAATCTTTTCATCTGAATTTTCAACTGGGTACGAAAAGGAGGTTAAAGTACCGAATTCAATCTTTTTGTCGTAACCAGGAACAGCCAACAAAGTTTTTCCGGGAATGTTCTTGTTGTCCACTTCCAAATTTGAAATAGCAGTGTTCAACTTAACAGACCAGTTGACCAATCTCGAGGCTCTATAGATAGTTCCGTCTTCGTGTAATCTGACGAATGCTTCAGTAACCGCCTCGGACAAGTCGGGGTTCAAAGTGAATTTCTCTCTAGTCCAATCATACGATGCACCCAACTTCTTGAATTGATTCTTTATTCTTGCATGGTAGTCTTCTTTCCACTCCCACACTTTTTCAACAAACTTTTCACGTCCGTAATCGTGTCTAGTTTTCTTCTCCTTGGCCCAAATTTGTTTCTCAACAACAGATTGTGTGGCAATACCAGCATGGTCAAATCCTGGAATAAACAAAGTAGTTTTGCCTTGCATTCTGTTCCATCTAATCAATGTGTCTTGTATTGATACAGTTAATGCATGTCCAATATGCAAAGCACCAGTCACGTTAGGTGGAGGGCAAGGAATGGAGAAACATCCCTCTGGCTTTATTTCCCCAGACTTGGTAAATTCCGGTTGAAAATAACCTTGGTTTTCCCACCAAGAATACCACGAGCTTTCCACGTTCTTTGGATTGTATGCTTTGAAAGCTGGGTCTTCCAACGGAGCTAGAATTTTCTTTTCACCAGGTTTAGTTTTGTCAATGAATTCTGGGATTGGAGTAGCTTCCTTCTTTTCCTTCTTTGGTTTTTTCTCCTCTGGCTTAGCTTTGGACGATTCTGCTTGTTTGGCCTTCTTGGCGTTGAATTTCGCCAACTTTTCAGCTTTCTTTCTTTCTTTTTCCAATTCCTTTGCGGTTTTGGGCTTTGGTTCATTTGACTCAAGGGTGCCTTCAACAGGGACTGCCTCAACGGGCTTCTCTTTAGTGACGTCACTCATGGTTCTAATATGGATTCCGTTTTGCAAATGAAATCTGATCGGTGGTAGTGCTGCTGCTTTATATAAGGATGATGTCTTTGCGTAGAGGTGTACCCGACTTGGAAGCATACACTGGTAAGAATCGCTTTATGAAAAATTTTTTTTTTTTTTTTTTTTTTACTTTTTACTTTTTATTCTTTTACTTGGTTATCGTTGATTGACTCATTTTTCTCTAAATACCCCCGTACACTACACTCTTTACGATTCCAACTTGCGTTTCTTCTCTGCAGGTTCGTTGGATCTAGCATTGTTCTTCATCTGAGTACCCAACCACCGGCTCTCCGACTCAGTCTTTACAGGCTCTTCCTTCGGTTTCAGCAAAATAATGCTGTCGAAATCCTCATCCCAGAAATTATCAATAGTCTGCTTTTGCTTGTTCAATCTCTCGGCCATTGCTTTCGACATTCTAGCATCAGTGTTTTTGTTAACCTGTATCTGTCCTAGTCGGTTTCCACCACCAGATCGGCTCATACCTAGACCTATCTCTTCTCCAAAGTCATCCATAATTGTTTCCTCCTGTTTACCAAACTCCATCTTATTTTGCGCTTTTCGCAAGTCAGACATCTGGAAACGTTCCTTCATTTTGCGAATCCTACGACCTCCTCTCTTTTTGGATTTTATTTCAATTGGCGCTGGCAAAGCCTTGTTTGGAACTTGGTCTGGTGGTGCCAACAACTTGTCAATTTTGCCTTCAATCTCAGACCTGAGTTTTGTTCCCAAGCTTCCGTCACTAGACGATTTTGCCAAGTCTATTCGTGCTGCCAATATGACTTTCCCACTGATTATTCTCATAACTGACTTTTGTATTTCAGGTGGGAGATATTTAACGAGATCGCAGTGATAAATATATCCTGTCTGGCGTATGCTTCTTGAGGCAGTTTTGGTGTTGGAGGCTAAATCCCTAACGCCTAAAGCAGGAATATTGCACGATGGTGTCAATGCAAATTGCTTCAAAGATCCCGTAGCTATTAGCAACTGTGAAGTTGTAATTGGACCAATAATTGCTGAAACGTTTGGTGCAAACTTGGCAAGTTTATCCGATATAAATTTTGAGAGCTGTTGTAGAACCTCATCTAACTCAAGGACCAATAAAGCACACGATTTGACCTTGTTGAAATCCTCCTCTGACAATTTAAACTCATCTCGTGACTGCTGTAGTGCCGATATGGTGATTAGGAGAACTTTGTCATTAGTCATTAGTCTTTTTAGTTCGGATTCGTATCTTTTTATGTTAGCAAGGTCTTGCTCGATAATCATGGCGATCCTTGCATAGTCGATGTTGTTTCGTACAAGGTTCTCCAATTCTGGAAAAACCAATTTATATTGCATCTTTAATAGCATCGTGAATGCTAAAATTTCGTTGTTTATTATCGAAGACAACTCATTGATAGTTACGATAAATTTGTATTCATTGGACTGGTACTCGCTGTCGTTGCCAATTTCTGCCAACAACTCCATATAATCCACTTCGTCTTCGTCTGCTTGCTCTTTAAATTTGGCCTTCAATGCCGGTATCAATGGAAATACTTTCGATAGGCTTACAAAATCAGCCACAGACTCGATATTAGGGTGCTCCAATACAACTTGGAACGGACTATTTGTGGCATTGAAAGCTATTAGATCAGCTAACATTGCCTGCAAGGAGTCTCCGCTTCTGTAATCATTATGATCGTTAACCTCTTCATCGGAGCTCCCCAAATCCTCCAACAACTGCCTTTCGTAATCTGTCATTCTATCCTCTTACACAACCAGTAAGTCGTACTGAAGGAAAAAATAAAAAAAAAAAAGAAAATAAAAATAAAGTGAGTGAAAAAAAGCGGCTACAAATCCACACGATGAGCTATCTCTATTGACTATGTCATTCAAAGTCAACACATCTGTGCTAAGCAACGCAGATGGATCAGCTGAACTCACTATAAATGGAACAAAGTGCTTAGTATCTGTATCGGGTCCAATAGAGCCCAAAACTCGTCAAGAACTCCCGACTCAGGCCAGTCTTGAAATAATAGTGCGTCCGGCACATGGTCTTTCCACAACCAGGGAGAAACTTCTTGAGGACAAATTGCGTTCTCTACTTCAATCAATCATAATACGTTATCAGTACCCTCGACAGCTAATTCAAATTGTTGTTCAGTTTTTGGTTGTTGATGAGCAACCCGAATATACTTGCAATGAATTGAATGCAGCAATCAACGGCTGTTTCTTGGCATTGATTGACGCGGATTTAGCGTTGTATCTGAGCTTTGCATCCACAAGCGTTTGTCTCAATCTGTCTAATTTGACCACAGATCCCACAGGCGATGTCATTGCAACGAGTGACTCCCATCATGTAATATGTTTCAGTATACAAGATGGTAGAGCTGGTAAGTTGTTGCTTTTGGAGAGTGCAGGAGAATTTAAAGAGCCCCAATTGTTTGATTTAATTTCAAAGAGTGTGCCAATAGTGGAAAAGTTGCACCAGTTACACAGGGAAGCTATTGAGGCAAAGATAGAGAAGGATTACATCTGGAGCGACCAAATGATGTAAAAACAAGGTCTTGTTTAGTTATGCTAAAAATAAATGTCATTATACTAATATAAAGTGGCCAAGGGGTTCAACCTAGGGTTGGCATCTCCTGCTCCCGCATTCAACAAATTAATCTCTCCAGTGCCAAACTTGTTGTTTGGGTTCGACTTGTGTTTGAAAGTGAATCCAATAAAGTTATTTTGTCCAACTCTCTTTACACTGCTCTTCTCTAGCAACTGCTCGTTTTGCTCTTGCCTAGCAAAGACGTCTTTGTATTTCATCATCATCTCTTCATCCTCAAAATCGTCAAAGTAACCAGCGTCTTCTTCATTGTCCAATTGAGGGGTAAATGGAGGTGTGCGCTCTCTCAAATTGCTCCAGCTCTTGATATCTGCAAAATAAGCCATTTGCTGTACCTGCTTGAAAGTACGTAATCTGCTATTCGGAGATGCAATCAACTTTGTTATCAAAGCCCAGGTCCGGTCACTAAACACGTACCTGCCATCTTTAGTCTGTGGTCTACGTAAAGCTGTTTTCCAGTTTTTCAAGTTCTGATATGTTTCATCTTGTTTGGAGCCGGAGAATGGAGGGTACCCACACAAGGCTTCAAATAACATGCACCCTAATGACCAATAATCAATGGTGTAATCGTAACTTTTTCCCTCCAATACCTCCAAAGCCATGTAATCTGGAGAGCCGACTATAGAATTGGCCAAGTTATGATGTCCTTGACTTTTCTTGAAAATCTTTTGTCTTTCCATCATCATTCGAGATGGTACGTGGTACTCTTCCAAGTCTTCTAAATTCTTCAATCTCAATCTCATGGACTCGATCCTATCGTTTGACACTGTACCAGCAGCCAACCCAAAGTCAGTTAGCTTGATATGGCCCTTTGAGTCAATCAAGAAGTTCTCTGGTTTTAAATCACGATGGGTGAATCCCAATTCGTGGAGCGAGTTGACAGCAGCAAACATTTCACTTATGTAAAATCTAGCATGAGGTGGGATTAAGTAGCCGGTATTGTTCAACAACGTTCTGAAATCTCCTCCAGGCACAAACTCCATGGCCAAAAATACTTTTTCTGGATCTTGAAATGCATACAAAAGCTTGACCAACCATTCGCTTCTTGTGTTAGTCAAAATATCCCTCTCAGTCAAGACATGTCTTGTTTCGTCCAACTTCACAAGTAACTTTTTATTCAAAACCTTCAATGCGCAAACTTCACGTGTATCTTTCTTTCTGGCCAAAAACACTTGACCATATCCACCTTGTCCAACTTGAGTGATCATTTCAAAATCCTTATGCTTTGGCTTCAATCTTCGTTTCCTCAATAAGGCTCTCTCACGACCAATGTAGTTTTTCCATTCTAACTGCTGTCTTTGAGGATCTTGGTTGATGCTTGGGTCAGTAAGAAGTTTGCTTTCCACATATTGCGAACGCTCCCTTCTGCTGATTACGTAGTCAAACATGTCACAGTAGTAGTCCAAAAAGTACAATTGGGCGACCGAAGTTAACCTTTTTGTCTTTGGATCATTCACACGTTTTTGAAATTCTTCTTGAGAAAGCTTGTATCTTTGGTTTGGTGGTGGCTGTAATTGGTTGATATTGTCTTGCAAAGTCTGTCTGCGGTTCAGGTTTATGTTCTTAGCTCCAAGTACCTCATGCAGATGACCTGGCGTTGGCGTTGGAGTTGAAGGCCGCAGTGGTTGGTTGTACCTACTTTTGGAAATCGGAGTACCAGCGACTGGAGAATTGTGCAAAATCGATTTGGTGGGTGAGTTCATAGGGGTAATATTTTCCTTGTTAATCTGTACTCTGGCGGGGGTGGCATTATAGGTACCCCAGGATTTGCCATGATTTGGTGACCTGTAGCTGGTATCAATATCCATCATGTTGCTGGAGATGGAAACGTTCTCCATTGATTCGGAGATATCTCCCATATCATGCATCTGTTGATGCCTTGGTGACCTTGAGAAAAAGCTGGTCATTTACTGAAGCTGCTGGAGAAAAGAGAACTGTGTATGGGATGGTACCGGGTTGTGGATTGTTGTGGAGTGTTTGTGAAGATATGCCGCCCGGTATCTAAGCAAAATTCGAGATATCCTTGGAGTGGGGTGGGGGGTAAAAGCAGTATAAATAGTTTGGCGGAAAAAAAAGCAATGAAAGGAAAACGGCTGTTGCGAATAGAATTCTTTTCAAGAACGTTGCCTGGTTGAGTTGAATAGTGGAACTGTGAAACAAGCAAAGTTGTGGGTGTACATTATTAGACTTTGATATCTCTGTCTTTTTTTTTTTCTTTTTTGATCTGTTTCTCTTGTTTACAATTTAGCCAAATTGGGAAAAGAAAAAGAAATTTTTACGTGAGTCTGTTTTGCAACTCATAATTTGGCGCGACCTCACCATGCCCCCAGCCCAAACTCTGACGTAAATGATTCATTTCTGCCTTAGTTCCTCCTAACACATTTAAAGCCCCCCCTGATGCAGCGTCTATTTGTGACATTAATCAACAACTATTTCAATCGAACAAGAAAGGGCGGTGACGAACATTTTACCATTAGTACACGCTTGTTTTTAAACGTTTTTTTCTGACCCAAAGTGCGCGATTACGGCGTCCCCGTCTGGCGATTTAGAAGAATGCAGAACTGTTCAAGCATTCATATCTTTACTTTTGTGTATTAATTAACTCTAGACCAAATTTTGTCCCCGAATTTCAGGTTCACGTCTTTGCTTGTTGAACATTTCGAAAAGTATAAATTCGAGCAATTCCTTGGATTTCGAAAGAAACAACGATCGTCTTCTTTCCAACTTCAACTCACTAAATCAACTCGAAATGGATTCATTACTCAAGCAAGGAGAAGAATTGTACAAGTCTGGTAAAATCACCCAAGATGATGCCAAAGATGCTTTCCAAGCATTCTCAAATGGGGGTAACTTTCAAGAAAATGCTAAGGAGGCATATGCTTCCTACCAAGAGAACCACAAAGGAGACGGAAACAAGAGTGAGAAATCTGACCTGAAGGGTGAAAAGTCTGAATCTAAGTAAATTTCCTACAGTGTTTGTAGCCACATAATACATGAAATTTAGATTCCTTTTTTTTATCATAATGAATCTGTATTGATAGTTCATCAGAGCTCAAGGCATAAGTTTTCGCTACTTCGACTACCAGGTTCTGCAACTCCTATTTTGCATCCAAGATTTGTTGCACTGTATCGACAATTGAATCCTCTAAAGAAATAAACTCATGTTTCAAAAGAGACTTTGTCTTGGAATTGTCCCACTTCATATCCCCTACTTTCAATTGCTGCTCATGTGTCTGCATCAGCCCTTTCGGAATATCAACACTTGGGAAGTGCTGGTTAATTATGTAGGCAATCAACTCATTCGTACACCCGTAACTGAGAAGCATTAATCTCGTACCTTTGAGCTCGTTAGGTCTCTTTACGGCCTCAACATGAGCCTTTGCCACATCACGCACATCGATGAATCTACTAACATGGTGGGGAATTGTGTCTGTAGACTTCAACTTCAATACACGATTAACCATCTCAGCTGACTCATTGAGATTGTTCAAATCCTTTATTTCGAACGCTTGTGGTCCAAAGACAAAAGTAGGGTTCACTGTAATGACATTGAAATTTTGCTCGTGCTTCTCGGCAAACCTCCACACCTCCTTCTCTGCAAAGGTTTTTGCTGCGTCGTAGCCCAATCTACCTGAAGCCAACCCTTGCTCCAATGTGATTTTGTTCCACGTCAGCTCAGTGATCCTTTCATCGGGGTCTCTATTTCCACTGGAATCACGAACTGCTGCCGTCGATGAAGTAACAATGACGGTTTTCACATTTCCATACTTCTCAATTGCATTTAATACATTCTTTGTTCCCTCGATTGCTGGTGTCAAAAGCGCTTTCTGTACATCTTTGACTTGAAAATCAACTGGACTGGCGGTGTGGATGAAGGTTTCGATATCCTTTTGAGATTCAAGGACTTCATCGAAAGCTCCTTTCGCAACCACGTCAGACACAACAGCATAGGTGAAGCGCGTTGAATCAAACAAGCCCGACAAGTATTTTCCCTTGGCTTCTGATCTCACAGTCCCAATCACGTCATACCCTTGTTTCAATAGTTCCTTGATCACATGCTGGGCAATGAAACCAGTTGCCCCGGTTACTAAGACTGCCATCATAAAGTTTGAAACTGCTAGCTTCTGAAATCGAATCTCTCATGGCGAAAAACTCATCCACTTAAATACCCGATACCAAGACTTTTTTTCCCGATTGAGGAGATGACCACTCGATGGGATATTTGCTTCGGCAGGTAGGGTCGAAAGCTGACCGCAATATTTCCTAGGGGTGCAGGGTCCAGATATATACAGCATCGGTATCAAAGCTTGCGATTCTTTTTTTATGTATAGGCAATAGGACTCTATGTCGATATGGAGGACCAGGTGTCCTGTGTTTGGTGCTGGTGGGGTATCAAGCGGGGTTCGCAAAGAGCCTCAACTTCACCTGCATAAACTTACCTTTGGCACTTTAAATCTCCATCTCGCGGAAGGGAAACACAATATAGATAACTTGGCTGCTCTTGTAAGGTCGCACAAATTTACGTAATGTCCTATTGCTTTTCAGAGACGTTGTAATCATAGAACCATCGAATCAAACTATAAATTCAGTACGAATACTCTTGCAACACTTGCTTCAAAATATTTGGATACCATCTTTTTGCAACATCTTGATGCGACTTGATTCTGTTTCTAAATACTGCATATCCAACAGGCTCCTTCTCCACATCCGGCTGAAATTGGAACCCCACATCCACTGCCCAGTCCTTGATTTTTTGATCCCTCTCCTCTTTCATTTTCAACACATTTTCAGGAATATTGTTCACCGATGTCTTGAAGCAGTCCAAATCGATAGTTTGGAAAAATGGGATAGAAATTCTGGTGCCGCTTCCTGGTTCCGGTATCAAGACACGATGGATTGTTGCCTTGCACACGCCTTGGGTTATAGCTTCCAACGTTTGTCCGTTATTCACCACTAAATGGTTAGGGATATTTGGAACCGTGATCCATTTTCCTTGGAAATTTTGCACTTGTAAAGAATTCTCATGGGGAGTTGCTTGAAAAATGTAGGTGAGAAGATCAGAATCTCTATGTGGACCTACCCCTTGTCCTGTTGACGGTGTGTCATCCAATGCAACTGACTTTGAGTTTTTCAACGATGATTCATCAGGATACGATATGAGCTTCATTTTACATTGTTGGCGGGGCTTGAAATATCCATCAAGTGCATTACTATCCAACCCAATGGACTCTGTAACGAGTTTTCTCACGATTGTGCTAAGATTTGTCATCTTGGCTATGTAGTCTTCTATTGTAGGTCTAAAGTTTGGGATCTTACTTGCATCCGGCCAAAGGTTTGGACCTTCAATATTGCGGTAAATTGGATCATTCTCTGAAGGAGATGGAAGCTCTGTTGCGAGATCAATCTGCTCCCTCCAGTCGGTATGCGAGGCTGTGATTTCATTTGCTAATCTAGTGTAGCCCAAGAAGTGTTTTGATTTGGTCATTTCACAATCCATCTTCACGTCGTCTGGTAATGCAAAAAACTCTTCGGCTTGTTTCTTGATAGCAACAAGATCAGCTTCACTTGGACCTACTTCCTCGTAATGATTCAAAAGTAAGAATCCGACATTGATCATAGCATTTCTCAACTGGGCAAGAAATTCAGGCTTAGTGGCAGGATCAAAAGCTTGACGAAGGTCAAGCACTGGTATTTCCTGAAATGACATCGGTTGATGGTGGAGATGGCTGTGAATCAGTTGAAAAAGTTGTCAAGACTTTGTTGAATTATCATCATTTCAAAAAATCGATTTTTCTCAAAAAGTCGCCTGATTTCGAAAGCCACAGTTTTTGAATTATTTTCTGGGGACAAGAGGGTTTTTTGTGTTGTAAGGTAAATTACAAAATTCGATGTGGTAGTAATAGAGCTGAAGTGAGAGGAGTAGTCTCCAAAACCCGTTATGCTCCTTCGGACACCATTGTACGAGACAATTTACGGCATTTTCTTCATAGTCGGTAAATCTTAGACTAAAAGAGAACGTGAGAAATGCTCGCTGTCTGCCCCATTGTCAAGTCAACGTCGCTTTACATGTAAGTCAATTGAGAATAAGCAAAAGTATATTAAATCAATAAATCTATACTATTTTCAATTTCAGCTTTATTTAGATTCCGACTTCTTGTCGTCCTTGTGGTTTTCCTGGTAGTCTGAGTATGCCTTTTTAGCGTTGTCTTGAAAGTTACCACCCTTGGAAAAGTCTTGGTAAGCATCTTTACCGTCTTCTTGTGTGATCTTTCCTGATTTTACAAAATCTTGTCCTTTTTTGATAAATGAGTCCATTGTTTTTCGTTGTGGAGGTGAGAGAAAGGTTGCTTGAAATTGGATGAACAATTTCTCACTTATTTATACTTTTTCCAACCTGTAGTTAACCGCCACCCCATCTCCCCCTCTCTCCCTCCTTCAGTAGGATGGAAAATGGACTAAACGTGTTTTTTAGCGGTCGTGTAAAGCCTCTCCTTACTCTTGCTATTGCATTGTTGAAACAAAGAACAATAGGCTTTCCAATTGAAATTCCAGAATTTCACTAGCTTCCATATTACGTCATAGGCACTCCTTTTTTCAATTTTTTTTTCTGTCTTTAAAGTTGTCGCGTTTTTCAACTGTCACACGACATTGGTGCGACACGGGACTCACTTTCCGTCTATTGGTAGCGTCGTATTGAGATGGCGCTGACTTATAAGTGCATGTTAAAATCAGCTGAATGAATGTTTTCAAGTACTGAAGGATATTTAGTAGATAGCGAGTACTTATCAGATCCAATGCATACTTTTGAACACCTGCTTGCATGGAGTCCTTTTTTTTTTTTTTTTGCACATGAGTTGTTGCAAAAAGAGTGCCATTGTAAAGTATATATGTGGTAACACACTTCTAGCACTATACCGGAAGAGTTTTTTTCCCCTGGACTACGTACATATCCATTACACTTCAAAACTCACACATTTCCTACGTTAGCTGCTCAATTTAAACCGCTTATAATACGCAAGTCCGCTCAAGTGGTCGCGAAAAAAAAAAAATAAAAAATAAAAAAAAAATAAAAAAGAAACCAAAAAACCGTTAACAACTCACTTTTGCGAAATTTTTCACCTTTTTTTTTTTATTTGTCTCTTCACCGTATCGATAGAGACAGAGAGAGGTAACCTCTGCTGCGCCATCACAAATGCTAGCGTCATATAATGACCTACTACGAAAATACCCATATCGCACCAACATGGTGACCACCGGTCTATTCTTTGGTCTTGGAGATATTATTGCCCAGACTTTGTTCCCGCACACCATCACCACAACTAAGACAGACAAAAACGGAAACCAAGCTGAACTGGTGGAGGTGAGCAGTTATACCCCCGACAGAACTATGAGGGCCATAATCTACGGATCAGTTTTCTTTGCTCCTATTAGTGTTTTGTGGCATGGTAAAACGCTCCCCAAGTTGAAAAACCCATTTATCAGCATGGTTAAGAGAAAAATGATGGAAACAAAGAGTAAGAAAAGGTTGCATTTGTATGATACCTTGTTCCGTTTGGGTGTGGATCAGCTAATTTTTCCTGGATTGGTTTGGATTCCTCTTTACAATACGGTCATGGTGATGCTAGCACAGCACGAGGACCCATTTGGTGTGATACGGCACAAGTTGGAAAACAATTGGTGGGCCGTTCTACAGGCTAATTGGACAGTCTGGCCTGGGTTCCAACTCGTGAATCTTTACTTTATTCCAGTGCATTTGCGAATAGTTTGTGCAAACGTATGGTCAACCGGGTGGAATGCCTTTCTAAGTTTTGTGCACAATACGAAGGGCCATGGTAAGGGAAGCGGCAAGAAATTGGAGGAGTTGGTGGATATTGAAGATGACGAACAAGAGGTTGTGATGGTGTATGATTGAACTAGAAAGATAGATAGGGATAGAGAGTAAGTTTAGGTAGCGCGATGTACTGATAGACACAATACAATTTCAAATTTTCAGCAATCAATCATACACACACTTCAATTCATTGCAATCTATACTATATCACTCCGCCATGCGTACATTCTTCTACAGATATAATCAATTACTTGTGAAAAAGCCTCTCTTGACAAATATGATTAGTACTGGGTTTTTATTGGGAGCCGGTGACTGTTCAGCACAGCTATTATTCCCCACTTCTCCTGATCAGCCGTACGACTATGTGAGAACATTAAGAGCAGTGATATATGGAGGAATTATATTCGCGCCTTTGGGAGACAAATGGTACAAGATTCTCAACACCAAGATTGTATGGCGAGGTAAGAACGAGAGGACAATGTCAACAATCCTTCGCGTTGCAGTAGATCAATTGGTGTTTGCCCCCTTTATTGGTATACCATTGTATTATGCCGCAATGACGGTATTGGAGAACAGGAAGCCATACTTGGAGCATGTAATATCCAAATTTGAAACCAGTTGGTGGGTCACATTGAAGAGTAATTGGTTAGTCTGGCCCATTTTTCAATGGTTCAATTTCTATTTGTTACCGGTGCATTACAGGTTACTAGCAGTCAACTTAATCAGCATTGGATGGAACACGTATCTCAGTTACGTGATGCATAATAAGGCATAGATATCATTGCGAACAAAGGAATATGAAATCAGTGATCAGTGTATGGTTGTGGTTGTGGTTGTGGTTGTGGTGGCGTGTATATGGGAAGTGAAGCAGGTGATTGGAATGTTCGTGTCTACTTCAAAATCTTTTGTTTGTACTCTTTGTCTCTCTGTACTCTCTCTCTCTCCAACGAATTTCAAATTCAACACAAGGTGTAAATATATTTTATGCTCGACAAAAACAACAGATATATATATATATCCCCATTCCTATCAATCAAAAATCACCCACACCCTCCCATTTGCCAAACATCATCGTCTATTTCATACGGTATATCTAGATATACAAGGGCTTACATCACCATCACACCACTTCCAAAGTAAAAATGATGAAAGGATTCAAAAATAGATTGACCCGAAACAAGAGTCAATCGACAACGAAAAAGGGTGACAAGAAAGACAAGGACAAGAGTGAAAAAAAGTCAACGACGTCATCCTCATCCTCGGCATCGTCATCATCAACATCGAATGTGGGCTCTCTGCAAAGCTCGAAGAACTTGATGACCAACTCTTCAACCTCACTCAAATCCAATTCTCCAAGCCCTTCACGAAACAATAGTTCAAACAGTGCAGTGTCGATCAAGTCCACCAACAGCAATACAACTATGACATCAGCAACCTCGCCACAAGGCCTGCCAACTACAGAATCCCCCAGAATTGTTGTCAATCAAGACAGCCCAAACACTATTTTTGGCTCCCCTTCGCAACAATCATCCAATAGCTCTGGTGTCTTTCCAAATTCTGTGTCGTTAGCAACAGGTCCTTCATCGGCAGCAAATATTTCAGCAGCGAATACAGGCATTACCCCAACTACAATGCCTTCAATTGTAACGCCGAATCAAGGGGCCGGTAGTGTGTCATTTGGCTCTCAACCTATCACGCCTACACCTACTTCACCCAAAAGCCCTACGTTTGAAGCCAAAGCACATCATAGTCTGCAAGGAGCGCAATCCCATCATCAATTGAATCCAAACATCTCTTCCCCTGGAAGAGATTCTTTTGATATAGATTTGATCAGTGCCCCAAAGAGACATTCGTCATCTAGATTTGAACCAACTTCATCCGATAGATATCAGGAAATCCACAAGTTGCCAAATTTTGACGAGGTGTTACCTGAGGACCAAATTAACTTGTTTATACAAAAGATTGATCAGTGTAACATCATGTTTGATTTCAGTGACCCCACTTTTGACATCAGAGGTAAGGAGATCAAGAGGATGACGTTGCAGGAGTTGATTGCATTCATCTCGAACAACCGCTTCTCCTACACCGACGAGATGTACAAGCATGTTGTCAACATGTTCAAGAAAAATTTGTTTCGTCCAATACCTCCTCCTGTGAACCCTGTTGGCGACATTTATGACCCCGATGAAGATGAGCCGGTGAGCGAGTTGGCATGGCCGCATATGCAAGCTATTTATGAGTTTTTTTTGAGATTCATTGAGCTGCCTGATTTTCAGCATCAAATTGCCAAACAGTATATCGACCACGAGTTCATCTTGAGAATACTAGAGTTGTTTGATTCGGAAGATCCAAGAGAGAGGGACTGTTTGAAAACGACATTGCATAGAATTTACGGAAAATTTTTGAGCTTGAGGAGCTTCATTAGAAAATCAATCAACAATGTTTTCCTACAATTTATTTACGAAACGGAAAAGTTCAATGGTGTGGGGGAATTGTTGGAAATTATGGGATCAATAATAAATGGGTTTGCACTTCCATTGAAAGAGGAACACAAAATCTTTTTGGTAAGGGTGTTGATCCCCTTGCATAAAGTAAAGTGCTTGTCGTTGTACCACCCGCAATTGGCCTACTGCATTGTCCAATTCTTAGAAAAGGACCCCACGTTGACCGAGGATGTGATTATGGGTTTGTTGAGATTTTGGCCAAAGATTAACAGTCCAAAGGAACTCATGTTTTTGAATGAAATTGAGGATGTATTCGAGGTAATGGAGCCCAATGAATTTGTCAAGATACAAATACCCCTTTTTGCCCAATTATCGAAATGTATCAGCTCATCACATTATCAAGTGAGTGAAAAAATTTTGTGCTACTGGTCGAATGAATACTTTTTGACGTTAATCACTGAAAATGCCGAGGTTGTCTTGCCGATAATATTTGCATCATTGTACGAGTTGACAAACTCGACACAACCGGGAATTGAGAATGGCATAATGCAACAAAAGTTGGCCAACTTTCCTGACGCAACAGTGGATGCTAATGGCAACTTGATCGATGCAGGATTGGTTTTACAAGACTTACAGCAAGGTATCATACCAAGCGCAAACGATCCTTCGCATCCACATCACAAGATCTTTCAAGTACACGCTTCAGTGAATAATAATGGACAAAATGGTGAAAATGATTTGCCAATGTCTCTTAATGGCGAAGGCAATCCTCAAAACCGCAACATTCACACCGACCTCAATGGAAACGAGCTTTCAGACGAGGAATATTACGACCTGCTTAGCTCAATGCAAGCAAATGCAAGTGCAAATGCATCGAACTCTAGTAATCCATTGAGTGACGAGTTTGGTCCTGGATTCGATGAAGAGACAAACATGTTACAGCACAATTCAGCCACCTCGATTTGGAATAGAAATATTCACTCACTTGCTTATGGTGCCTTGAAGGTGTTTATGGACCACAACCCCGTATTGTATGACCACTGCACCATGCTATATCACCAATCATTGAGTGAGCAGAAGAGCCGCGAAGCTGCAAGAAAAGAAGGCTGGGAAAAGATTGAGAGATATGTTCAGCAGATCAAGGCTCAACAACAGCCACAAAATGAAAGTAGGGGAGTGTATTAAAAACGCTTTGTTGGATGTTTTGTATGAAAATGAGCGAGAGCATCAATGTAAAATTTTTTTATTTTTTTCATCATCAATACTTTTCTTGAACTCTGTATTCTTCTTCTTTTCAATTCTATGGCAGCCAAGGTATGTTATAACAACATAATATCCAAGAAGATGAAAAAACCTTTTACCTCGATTTGCAAATGTTTGAATTTGGGACCCTATTTGTTTTTGTTTTTTTTTGAGTCCAAATTAATGAAACGTATAGAAAGAACCGCTACACTGAATTGGATACAACTTTATGTTACTGAATGAGATTACTAACTAGTAATAAGTAGTAACTGGCAGTACTGAATACAGTCTCTACGTAGATCTGGCTGGTATTTTGTGGTTGGTGCAAGATAGAGTTAGTTCTAGAGATAAAGTGGTGGTGTGGACACGGCGTTCCGTAGGAGACTCCGGTCAAAAACAATGTAGTTTGCTAGATTGGCGTGTTGTCAATCTCATTGCGATTACATCAGAGTCACAAGCAACATGTATACATCTTCTAATACTCTGTTCGCTCTGATTGACTTGATAAGCGACGAACTCTGCAGTTTACAATTTGTCATTCTTAGTAATGAATGAAACCACCCTCGCCATCTCATCTCTCTCAGTTATAAAAAAAGGAAGACCGAAAAAATTTTCCATCTTCATTTTACCACTTTTCTTTTTTGGCAAAGTCTGCCCCTTTCATATACCTATATCGATTTTATCAACAACCTACAGCCTACAGCCTACAGCCTACAGCAATGACCTACGAAGCATCAAAAGCCACGTCATACTTGAAAGACTACCCTAAAAAGGATGGGTTATCAATCAAAGAGTTGATTGATTCTACCAACTTTGGTGGTTTGACCTACAACGATTTCTTAATCTTGCCTGGTTTGATTACATTCCCAAGCACCAACGTGAGCTTGGAAAGCAAGTTGACCAAAAAGATCACGTTGAAGACTCCATTCGTTTCGAGTCCTATGGATACCGTCACTGAAGAAAACATGGCCATCCATATGGCTTTGTTGGGTGGTATTGGTATCATTCATCATAACTGTACCGCTGAGGAACAAGCTGAAATGGTTAAGAAGGTTAAGAAGTATGAAAATGGTTTCATCAACGACCCAATCGTTATTTCAGCGGATGTTACTGTTGGGGAAGTCAAGAAGATGAAGGAGATTATGGGATTCACCTCTTTCCCAGTCACTGGTATGTACAAAAAAAAAAACACGTCATGTTACCCTGATGATCAAAACAAAATTCATTAATAACTTTCGTTCTACCGATTCACATCAAACGATGTTGGGGAGAAATTATTCTTCACTGATTTTTTACATGACCAAATTCTCAATCTATATGAAAATATACTAACATTATCTAGAAAATGGTAAAGTTGGAGGAAAATTGCTCGGTATTGTCACCTCTCGTGATGTTCAATTTCATGAGGAAAACAGGGACCCAGTTTCAAAGGTGATGACCACTGATGTAATCACTGGAAACCAAGGTATCTCCTTAACTGAAGGTAACGAAATTTTGAGAAAGTCCAAGAAGGGTAAGTTGCCAATTGTTGACACTAACGGCAATTTGGTCTCTTTGATTTCATTGACTGATTTGCAAAAGAACCACGATTTCCCAAACGCTTCTAAATCCTTCCACTCCAAACAATTATTGTGTGGTGCAGCTATTGGGACAATGGATGCTGACAAAGAAAGATTAGACAAATTGGTCGAAGCAGGCTTGGATGTTGTTGTCATTGATTCTTCAAACGGTTCATCAACTTTCCAAATCAACATGCTCAAGTGGATCAAGGAGAAATACCCAGAACTTCAAGTTATCGCTGGTAACGTTGTCACTAGAGAACAAGCTGCATTGTTGATTGAAGCTGGTGCTGATGCTTTAAGAATTGGTATGGGTTCTGGTTCAATTTGTATTACACAAGAAGTCATGGCTTGCGGTAGACCCCAAGGTACTGCAGTCTATGGAGTTACTGAATTTGCCAACAAATTCGGCGTTCCGTGTATAGCTGATGGTGGTATTGGAAACATTGGTCATATTTCCAAGGCTTTAGCTTTGGGTGCCTCATGTGTAATGATGGGAGGATTGTTAGCCGGTACTTCGGAAACTCCAGGAGACTACTTTTACAGGGACGGCCAAAGATTGAAGGCTTACAGAGGAATGGGATCCATTGATGCAATGCAACAAACGAGCACCAATGCCAATGCATCCACATCAAGATACTTTTCGGAAACCGACAAAGTCTTTGTTGCACAAGGTGTTAGTGGATCTGTCATTGACAAAGGTTCCATCACCAAGTTCATTCCATACTTGTACAATGGTTTGCAACATTCATTACAAGACATTGGTATTCAATCTGTTAAAGAGTTGAGGGAAAAGGTGGATGCAGGATCTGTCAGATTTGAATTTAGAACTGCCTCTGCCCAATTCGAAGGTGGTGTCCACGGCTTGCACTCGTACGAAAAGACTTTACATAATTAGTTTGTAGGTGAATAAAATACTTTAAGTTTGTTAGATTTTGATTGACTGTGTCACAGTGTACAGTGGGGGGAGAGAGATTTCAATCGTAGAGCTAAATGTAGATAAATGCTGCGATTGACAGTCAGTGGACCGTAAAAGCGTTGCACAATTGATTTGTTGTGTTTTCTTCGATCTGTTGTGCACAAGACCAAATGACGTCAAAGAAAATGTGAAATCGAAATTTTCACGTCATGAAATTCGACGACGCCACATCATTAACCAGCCAAATGTCCAGCACTTTAGATGAAGATCTCACCAATAGCAGATTGGTCAAGTACAACGATATCCAACCTGATGTCATGAAATATTTGTACAACGTGATATCGCCACACTATCCCAACTTGTTTGCCAAGTACTCAACAAAGACTCAATCTTTTGAATCTTTGAATATCATAGACCTACTACATGATGGAGAAGTATTGTGTCGCTTGGGCCAAATGGTAAAATTGCCATCCGATACCAAGAACCCCACCACCAAGTTCAAGTCATCACAGATGGCATTTATTCAAATGGAAAATATATCGTGGTTTCTACAATTGTGCGAGTTACTCAAGTTGCCCCACGATGAGATATTTCAAACGGTGGACTTGTACGAAGGGAAAGATCCGTATCAAGTTTGTATTACGTTGATGTCGTTTTCGCGTATTGTCAATACATTGGACCCTGAGGTTTTCGGCGAGGTTATTGGGCCAAAGAAGGTTAAGGTCAAACCGACCGTACCCAACAAGCCAAGAAGTTTGAGAAAATAGAGTCAAAGGTGTGGGTGGGGAGGTATTGAGAACATTCAATCCTCATAGACTCCAGAGACTACTTACAACGATCATTGTTTGTATGCAGGAATAATTCGTATTACTTTTTTCCTCCTCATCTCTTCTCTTCGTTTGCAGAATTTTTTTTATATTTTTTTTTTTACACACACACACAATCTTGTACTAAGAGCATTCACATTCACTGAGACATCGAGGATAAGGAAGCTTCTTATCACATTGCATACTCTATAACGTTATTTATTAATCAAGTGCTAACATGTCGGACGAAGTTATTTGGCAAGTCATCAATCATCAATTCTGCGCTTTCAAATTAAAGACTGAGAAGCAAAATTTCTGCAGAAATGAATACAACGTAAGTGGGTTGTGTTCGAGACAGTCATGTCCCTTGGCTAATGCTCGGTATGCTACAGTTAAAAATGTTGGTGGGAAGTTGTACCTATATATGAAAACAGCTGAAAGGGCTCATATGCCAAATAGATGGTGGGAGAGAATCAAGCTTTCCAAGAATTACAACAAGGCATTGTCACAAATTGATCATCATTTGCAATATTGGCAGAAGTTCTTACAGCACAAGTGTAAGCAGAGGTTGACGAGATTGACACAGGTTGCAATCACGGAGAGAAGATTGGCATTGAATGAAGAAGAGAGACATTTGGTGGGAGTTAAACCAAAGGTAAAGAGGAGAGAAGAAAATAGAGAACGAAAAGCGTTGGCTGCTGCCAAGATCGAGAAAGCTATAGAGAAGGAGTTGTTGGAGAGATTAAAGAGTGGTGCATATGGGGACAAACCATTGAATGTTGATGAAAGTATATGGAAAAAAGTATTGGGCAAAGTTGATGAAGTTGAACAAGAGGAAGAGTTTGACGATGATGAGGAAGAGGACGTTGAGCTTGAGAGTGAAGACGAGGAAGACGAGGAAGATATGGGAGAAGTTGAATATGTTGAGGACTCGGGTGACGATGACTTGGTAGATATGGAAGATTTGGAGAAATGGTTGGATGATTCTTCTGCTGGAGAAAGCGAAGAAGAGAGCGATGATGATGATGATGATGGTGACAACGACAACGACGAAGAGACTAATGATGCAAACTCGAAGAAGAGAAAGGCAGACGATACAAATCAAAAGAAGAAGAAGAAGAGAAGACCACGGGTGGAAATCGAATACGAAGAAGAGGAGCCTCTACACACAAATATAGCTGCATAGTTTTAATGAACTCTTTTTTTTTTTGTTGAATTATGTTCTTTTGGAGAGAGTCTTTGGCAAATCCGAATCTTGGCAAGCCGTTAATGTGGTCCACATCCGCTGGGAAAATACAATTGTTAACCCTAAGGGAAATTAGTAAGGGTGGGAAAACTGTCCTTCGCATCGAACTGTGGAAGTCCTTTCCCACCCTCACTGCACAGTTTCACCGCCAGTCACATGATTGTACGAGACATCTTGATTTTAACGTATATTTCATTCATTGCTGTAGGATCTTCTCGGGTATGATAAAGGTGTTGGGGTACGACAGCTGAGGAATATCTCCATATGTGTATATGAGCAACAATCACTTCTCGTAAACTTCGTAAACAATACTATTGGACATAAAAGCTGTGTGGTAGTACAAAACGTAAAAGTCGTGAGCGGATACTCTTTTCTATGATTTTCTTCTTTGCCGCTAATCTCATACCCTAATCTAAAAGTTGTCTACAGCAGTTAAGTGGGTTTAGTAATAAGTCTCTAAAAGTCACCACGTACTGACATACCTCACAGAAGAACGTGGTCATGGTTAGTGGAAAATGGGAAGAGAGGTGATGCGCCACAGAACGTACCAACTTTTTAACAAGCCGTTTAGAATGGCGGAAACAAGGCTGTGCTTGATACTAAATTGATACTAAAAATATCCAAGACATCGTGTCTCGTTCGTTTTTTCCGAATCACTACAAAGATAAATGGAGTTTTAAACAAAAGACACGTTCTTAAAGGTTATTGAGTTTTTCTTTTCGGCTTTTGTGCTCTCTAATTCATTCTGGGCCCTAAAGCCTAAATCCTAAAGCCTAATTCACATTTGCCGCAAAGCATCACCAACTGTCTCAAGGAGTAGACAAGAGTAGTCTTTTGAGATAGTTGCACTCTCGAACTGGAGCAAGTTTATGTCCTCACTCTGATTTCCCAACAAACCCTCTCTACTCAAATAAGACCTGATGAAAGTCATAAAAGTGGCGGTTAGACGGAAAAAAACAACTTGGGAATCGGATTTACACAAAATCTGTCAAATTTTTTTAAGGAAGTTTGTGTCTTCTTATTCTTTTTTTCTTTTTTACATCCGTTACCCTAAATTAGATTATTACCCTTACGCTTTTAACTCTCAACTCTCAACTCTTACTTACTTACTTACTTACTCTTACTTGCTTACTCTTACTCACTCTTACATACTTACTTACTTACTTACTTACTTACTTACTTACTTGCCCAGTTTTGTTTGTTTTTTGTTTGTTTTTTGTTTGTTTCCCTTTTTTTCTTTTTTTAATTTAGTTCTCTTCGGGTCCCGGTTATGGACACTATATATTAGTTTCACTCAACTTCAAACAAATGTCTTTCTTTGCTTAACTTTGTTTCTTCTTACACAACCACAGAAAACCAACACACACCAGGCAGGAAGCTAACCTTCTCACTCTCACGTCAATCCAATCTACACACCACAACCATGTCTCTGTTGTTGGCTTCTATCACAGCTTGGACCCCAACTTCAACAAACACACCGACCTCAACAAGTTTAATAAGTGTGCCTACTACTGCACAGTCTGCTTTGGAACTGAGTTTGTCAGCTGCGTTACATTCTCTTAGCACTTTTGGACCCCACGTCAAGAATCAAGATTATGTGCTGGCATCCCGTGTCATTCGTGGAGCTCAAGTTTCTTTGTCCATCCTTTCAGCACAAAATGTCTTAGCCACAGCAACAGCAGACAATGTCAAAGCACAGGCCACTGAATTAATCTGGAATCTGACGCAAAATCTTGAGGATTTGTTTTGGGATGAAAACGTTTACAATATCCATCGTCTTACTCGTCCAGGGAATATCATCTTTTTGGTTGTGTTTTCCATCACTGTGTTGTGGTATACTTTGATACTTGCAAAATCAAGATATTGGTGGTTCAACATTGCATTCTTCTGTGGTGCCGTTTTAGAATTTTTGGGATTCCTTGGAAGAGTGTTATCATTCAGTGATATGACTTATTTCCAGTACTATTTGTTACAACTTATTGTTTTGACTATAGCACCAGCATTCATCATGGGCGGAATATATTTCTTACTAGGACAGTTGGTTATTATTCACGGTCGTCAATTTTCTGTTTTGAAGCCGTTGTGGTACGCTTACATCTTCATTGCTTGTGATGTGACTTCATTGGTAATTCAGGCAATTGGTGGTGGTATTGCTAGTGTTCGAGCAGAAAACTATGAAAACGCTGACCCTGGTACATACACCATGATTGCTGGTATTGCATTCCAAGTGTTTTCTATGTCTATTTACATAATCTTTTGGCTGTTGTTCTTGTGGAGAATCTATTTCCCAAAAACTGATATATACCCCCATGCTCAATCAGAAAAGAGTCCTGTTGCTAATAGTCCACACCAGTTGTTGAAGCCAAGTGTCAAAAACTTTTTCAAATTGCTTTTCAATACCAAGGAGACTGCCGAGTACAAGAGAAATGTATTGGAGCCATATTACAACCCCAAATATGCCGACATTAGACTGAGAAAGTTGTACAACTACTTCCCATTAGCAGTGTCATTAGCAATAATTGCTATTTTCATTCGTTGTATTTACAGAGTGGTGGAGTTGGCCCAGGGATTCAGTGGGTATTTGATCACCCATGAGGTTTATATCATGTGTTTGGATGCGCTCATGTTGTTCTTTGCATTGTATATTTTCATTCCTTTCCACCCACACATTGTTTTTGGAGCAAGCAATATCATTAGATTAAGTGACATCAAGGGAAACACCGATGAAAAGGTCGAGGAAGAGTTGTATCCTTTGGATGACGATAACCACACTTTTAGGAATGACACTATTCCTTTCGGGGAAAGACACGACGTTGCGGAAGATGATAAATTGAAAGACAGCGGAGAATCTCAGAATAGAGGTTGGTGATTGAAGAGCCATTCGAATAATCTCGCCAAAATGAATCAGATACCTTGTGGGTCGAGCAGTTACAGTGCACTTTTTAGAATTTCTTTTACCTTGTTATTATAGACAGTTACATAATTCGATACATTTGAGGATTTAAAAGTAGGTGTAGTGATCTTCTGAGCTGGCGTACTCCAAACAATGGCAGCAATTCAAAAGCTGACCCCTTTGCATCACAATAATGAAGTTGTACTTCTCATACACACTCTCTCAAATGGCAACAGCTGTGGAGATTTCTGAAAGCCCTCAACAAGGCAACACTTTCTTAAATTAGGTGTATTTGCATTTCAGCGTTTGTGATGCGATCATGCGAGATTCGGCTATATGTGTTTCCTGTTATTTCCGCATCTCCCTTACTGCACCGTGCGTCATGGCGCAAGTTGACCAAAAGAAACTTCCCAACAACCTAAAGTGGCTGGATTGAAATTTTTCTGGGCGTTGGTTTTGTTTATTTTCTAAGCCTCCCTCACCAACACAATTCGAGTCTGGAATCAGGAAAAAGGTTAACGAAAGCCAAAAAGGTCCAAATCCATAAGATCCATATCACACAGTACAATGGAACAAGAATGACTACGATCAAGGATACGATGTTGCACAAGTTTGACAAACAATAAGAGATCTTACAGCCTTGCCTTCCCTTTCGCTCTTTCAACATGACACAAACGCAAATATGCGCAGAAATGCGAAAAACAAAAACAAAAACGAAAAAAAATAATAAGTCCGATCTTTCTTATATTGTTCAAAAGACGACCAAAAAAGGACTATACAAAAAGAGGAAAAGTGGAAAGTGGCTCATCATTTTCACAGCAATATACCTGGTGCTCCTTCAAAGTTTTTACAGAATGGACCAAGCAGCTTCGATGGCGTCATGGACTCCAACCACCACAGCGACTTCAACCTCTTTGAAAAGCGTAGCCACCACGGCAGAATCTGCACTTCGATCGAGCTTATCAAGAGCGATTAGTTCCCTAACGGTACATGTTTCAACATTAGGATGGAATGAGTATGGCGACGTATCTAAAGCACTACGTGGAGCCCAAGCCTCGCTCTCAATCATATCAGCTGAACAAGTGTTGGCGACTGCAACAGCAGAGAGTGTCAAAGCAGAAGCAACAGAGGTGATTTGGTACCTGACCCAAAACTTGGATGCATTAGCGTGGGATGAGAATATGTACCACATACGTCATTTGACCCGTGCAGGGAACATCTTCTTTTTGGTGGCATTTGCAATCACCCTTGTATGGTACTCTGGAATATTCATCAAGTCAAGATACTGGTGGTTTAACATTGCATTCTTTTGTGGGGTGGTACTAGAATTCTTGGGGTTTCTTGGTAGGGTATTATCGTTCAGTGACATGTCGTCTTTTGTGTACTACGTTATGCAGATGGTGACATTGACAATTGCACCAGCATTTATCATGGGTGGAATATATTTCTTACTAGGACAGTTGGTTATTATTCACGGTCGTCAATTTTCTGTTTTGAAGCCGTTGTGGTACGCTTACATCTTTATCGCGTGCGACATTGTATCCCTCTTCATTCAGGCGGCTGGCGGAGGAGCCGCCAGTGCAGCTACACTGGGTAAATCGAGTCCAGAAGGAGGTACCAACACCATGATTGCTGGTATCGCATTCCAGGCATTTTCAATGTCGGTTTACGTTTCACTTTGGTTTTATTTCATTTGGAAAATCTATTTCCCTAAAACTTCTAGGTACGATTTGTCTGAGAAGGAAAATTCCCAAATGTTGAAGCCCGGGTTGAAGAATTTTTTGAAACTTTTCTTTAATACAAAATCATCCGCTGAGTACAAGGAAACCTTGTTGGAACCATTTTACAATCCAAAGTATAGTGATATCAGACAAAGGCCATTATACAATTATTTCCCATTAGCTGTAACTTGTGCTATTATTGCAATATTCATCCGATGCATTTATAGAGTGGTTGAGTTGGCTCAGGGTTTCCGAGGATACTTAATCACACACGAGGTGTATATCATGTGCTTGGATGCAACCATGATGGTTATTGCAATTTATATATTCATCCCTTTCCACCCTTATATTGTGTTTGGTTCAAGTAACGTGATTAGGCTTGCAGATATCAAAGCTAATGCTGTTGAGGAGGTCGATAAAGAAGAGGAAGTACATTTGAAAAATGTTGACAATAATACCGTGAAGAGCTGGAGCTGAAAATAAAGCTGCGACGATACTTGTTGAGATGGTGACAAAATATGGAAAGTGATGAAATAATTCTGAATCCAAAAAAATCGATGGCTTTCAAAGCACTTTAAAAGACGTATAGACTTTAAAAATGACGCTTTTTGATAAAGCATTTCCTATTATGACCTTCTATGATCACAGTTTGTTCTATTTCACCATCTTAGTTTTAACACTAACATCAGTTGGCTGCAAATACTATTATTATTTTTTCTCCTCTTTCAACTGACAGCCATTTTCTTCTTGCCTTCATTTTGAATGCTTTTTTTTTTTTTGTAATTGCAACAAGTTCAAAGGGGCCACCATTGACCTAGTTATTTGCTATTGATTTATTCTTTTACCCCTTACCTGCTATATTTGTCCCCTCTTTTTTGCTATGCATACATCTGGCAACTCGTTATTTTCTAATCCAAATGGTCCTAATGAGAGCTATACACCTGTTTCGAACCCAGAGCTGCGCTTGTTGTCTGAGTTGCCATACTACCCCGTTCTTGACACCGATCCGATATTTCAGTTCTCTTGTGACGAGTTGATTGGTGACAGGTTTCCCATCACCAAATACCCCTTTGATGGGTTTGTCAATTTCCACTCCTTGAAAATCTGTAGCTCAAATGCAAAGCAAATGTCAAAATACTTGCAGTTAGCTATGGGGTTCAGGGAAGTGGCCTACAGGGGGTTGGAAAATGATTCAAGGTTAGTTGCTTCCCACGTTGTTCAAAATGGTTCTATTCTCTTGGAGATTGTCAATACTTTGGAAACCATCAAGGATGATAATGTTTTGCGGTTCCCTTACTTTAAGCAAGACCTCTCCTTGTTTGACAAGTTTGAAAAGGACATGAGTACGTATTTGGAGGAGTTCAAAATCACCACCGAAGATTTGGTGTTTGATTATGTCAATAATAGGATTGAAAGCTTAAGTATCAACCCGTTGAAATCCTTAAAGTTCGGCCGCCACATGTACAACACTATTGTCAAGGGTGGCAAATACCAGAAAGTTTCCAAAGAGGTTGAAAAGATCATCATCGGTGTCATTAATGACTCAGAATTGATATACAACGATATAATGGAATGCACGCTAATACAAAAGTTTTTGAAAAGTCATGCGGAAGGTGTAATGGACATTGCATTCAATGTAAACAATGTTGATGAAATTTTCGAAAAGGCGATACTGGCAGGGGCAGGTATTATACGCTTGCCACGAGTCCTTTCTGATGAGAATGGATCAGTCAAATTGGCAACGGTAACCGTCCCAAACACTGACATTCAGCACACTTTGATTGAAAACTTGGACTACACGGGGACCTTTTTACCAGGATACTCCGAATCTATCATGGGACTTGCTCAAGGTTATCAGGAGCAATTAGACTCTTTGCCAGCTGTGCATTTTACCTCAATTGATCATTGTGTTGAGAATTACTCTTGGAACCAGATGATGTCGCAAGCCAAAATTTACGCCAAGATGTTTGGCTTTCACAAGTATTGGTCGGTTGATGAAATGGATGTTTCGACTGGGTTTACAGCTCTACGTTCCATTGTGATGAGTTCAAGTAATGGCCAGATAAAGATGCCAATCAATGAACCCGTCAAGTCAAAATTTAAAGGACAAATAGACGAGTTCAATGACTTTTACGGTGGACCTGGAGTGCAACATATTGCTCTCCGTACTAATGACATTGTTCAAACTGTAAAAGCCTTGATTCGACGTGGAATTGAATTCAACCAAGCTAGTGACAGATACTACAGGAATTTGCAACAGCGGCTAGCAAATGATGATATTGAGTTGTATGAAGATATAAATGACATCAAGTCCCTCAATATTTTGATAGATTACGATGCTACAACAAGAAACAAACGCACAAAGAGGTGTCATTACATCTTGCAGATATTTTCTCAGCCTTTACATGATCGCCCAACCTTGTTTATTGAAGTCATTCAACGTCACCATCACAATGGTTTTGGAAAGGGTACATTTAAGGGATTATTCGAAACTATTGAACTGCAACAGAGGCTTCGGGGTACACTAGTTGAAGTTGAGTAAGTAGTAGCAAATGCAAGCAAATTTATATTTCCTCTCACTTTCTCTTGAGGCAAAAGGACCCTTGTATTTGAACTTTTGCAATTAAGCTTTCATCAAAACTTTAAACTTGAAATTATTATCTCATTATTACAACATATACAAATCTTACATCAGCATGTACAAATAGTGGCCAAACAAAAAGAAAAGAAAAAAGAAAAAAAATCCAATCAATGCTGCACCTCCTCAAAGTCATAATCTTTTGACCCATTCGATGGCAAAGATGTTGCCTGTTCGCCCTCAGGGCTACTTGAGCTCTTTTCGTAATTGCCGTTTGGCTCATCGCCAGATGGACTGCGATTGGATCTGGAACCACTGCTTCTACGCAGCTCAGGCTCTTTTGATTCCTTTTCATTCTTGAGCTTGTATCCTTCAGTCAAGAAATACTCTTTGATGTTTCTGACAAATAATGGATGCAATAGTTCATCGATACCTTCATTGCGTGCAATCTCAAAAGCACGATCAAACGGAATCCAAACTCCCTTCAAATTCATTGAGCCAACTTTAATAACATTCTTGACTTTTTCAGTCTTCAATATACCGTCCCTCTTGCCCCGTGACATATTTGTCACATTCAACAACTTGGTGCAATTGATGTAATTGTTGTCCTCTCTACGTGAAACCAAGACTCTATTGGCACAGACTTGATAGCAATTAGTGTTTTCTTCCTCCCAGCTACGAGTGGCGACAAGGGGTTTGACAAATTTTGGTTTTGGCTCGTCTTGCGGAATACAACTACTAATTGAAGTTGTCCTTGATTCTGAAGGCTCTTCGCTATTTGAAAAAGTTGAGGAGTTTCGAGACTTGTTTGTAATAGTAGAAGACACCAGTTGGTTCCTAGCGGTCAAAGCCAGTTGCGACTTCAGTTTAGACATTTGCTGTTGCTGCTGTTGTTGCTGCTGTTGGTAATACTGTGGTTGATGGAACAGCCTCTGAGCTGCATAACCCAGGTGATAGTTCAGCAGGATGGCTGGTGAATTGTAGGAAAGAGAATTCTGGGGCACGGCAGTTTGCGAATACAGCATTGGGCTGGAGTTTGAAAATGCTTGATTCAATGAATGCTGCAGTTGTTGCAGTTGTTGCAGTTGTTGTTGTTGTGGTTGCTGCTGCTGCTGCTGCTGCTGTAGTAGTAGTAGTTGCTGATTGTACCTCGAGTTTGCCCAACTTTCATTGCCATCGAACCCAATCTTATCACTCTGGTACGGAACCTGCAGTGAGTTATAGTTTTGACGTTCGTTCCTCATAGGATAATTTTGCTTTTGCTGATATTGAGTGCTACGAGTTTTGTTTCCCAAACTCGATGGATAAACATCTTGTTGTTGAAAAATCAGGTAAGGGTTTTGCGTTGAATAGATTGATGGAGTATGCGAAGGGGCATACTGTTGTGGCTTCAACCCTGCAATGGGAACCTCTTGAGTGACATTTTGCGCTACGGGGCTAGCCAACAGAGTTAAACTTGATTGAAAATCAGGAAATCCTGCATTGGTTGCAGTCACAGAAGATGACGAATTTAAGAACTCTATATTCTGCATAGCAGGATAGCTTGATTGTATTGAATAGTAATTGGAATAGTCCATTGGATAGGCTTGTTGTCCTTTGACCTTGTTGACGGATTGGAACTGGTGAGAATAAGGGGTATCAATACTATTGACCAGTGCTTGATTGTTTGTTTGTTTCGGTGGTTGAGAAGTCAGGACTCGTGTTTTGAGCTGTTGCTCCACATTTTGTATCTTCTCAGGCTCCAGTTGGGGTAGATTCTTCTTGGAATCCACGGTAACTTGTTCTGTCTTTGAGCTAGTGACGAGATCCAGACCGTAAAAATTGGAACTCGAAGACGTCTCCATGACTTCATTCATTAATTTAGTCTCCCGTTGTTGTTCAAATCTAAAGGACCGCTCTTGAATCGCGAATAAAGCAAAAAATGCAAGAAAGATCTGGCTAGACTATTTCAGTTTTCAAAAAATCCTGACTGAAAGAAACCCACGTTCTTAAGATGTATTATTGCACCTGGAAACTCTAATATGTAAAGGCAATAACAACAATTGGGGGCTATGAAACTAGATCCTAGTGTTTGTTATGAACGATTCCAAGTATACTTGTGAAAGGAAAGAAAACAAGACCTCCTTTTTTTTTAAGCAAGTGTAGCGTAAAAAGTACGGGATATGTGCTCACAACTTTAGAGCTCCACAAAAGCTGAAGTTTTCAGATAATGACACAAACAAAATACTTCAAGAAAAGTTTATGGTCAATTTAACGGTCTTAAATACCACTTCAAACAAAAAAAAAACCCCCCCCCAAAAAAAAAAGCAAACTGAGACGGATGCCCTTGGTTTAGGTGTGGCCACCAATTTTCCTTCAGTATGACCGCCATCGAAGCCATGACGTATTATATGATCAATAATCATTATTTCGTAAAACCATAAATGTAAAGGGTAACCATCAATGAAAAATTGAATTCATTTCAAGGAAATTATAATAAAGTAACAATTTCATCTGATGAATATATTTTTTTTCTCTATAGATTGTTTACTTGCTCAAGAAAGTTTCTTTGTGTGCAATACTAAGTGGTTCATAGGTAGTCACCCTCTTACTCCAATGAGACTTTATCCGTGGTAAAATCCACAATCGCAAACTCGTCTCGCCCTTGTTACGCAGAATACAAGCATTCTTGTCTTCACCCCCTTGCATCAACATGAACAACCCTTCTCAATGTGCAAACGCGCTTTTCTTTGATTGTATTATTTTCAACCTCAAAACTTTCATGTTGATGTAACGATTATTTTCTTTGCGGATTTGGAAATAATCAACACACAGGAGCAACGAGTAGGTACTGCAAAAAATCGAGCCATTCTACTGATTGCGTGACTTTGGTGAAGTTGCAGTTCTAACGACAATTCTACTAAAGCCGGCGATCCAAAATTTGTGTCTGCTCTTACAATACTCCTCTAATGACGAAGTATTTTCTCTATCCGGGCAAAGGCCCGGCATTCCAGGACACAAATGAGGGCCACATCGGGTACTGCTCTTGTAAGTGACAATTCCCCGCTCCAGTCATCCACAATCCACCTTGTCATGGAAGCAAAAAGAAATTCATCGAATTGGCCCTATAAACGGCCCATAATAAATGCGTAATCCGTACAAAAGATCTCAGCGAATTGAAAATTTTCCAAAGCATTCATGCATCTCCATGCAGTGATTTGCATATGAAGCCACTTCTTCTTGCATTCATCGAACAGCCCTTTCCTTAACTTGAAAACAATCGAAACAGGGTTGGAACCGTAATTCTCAAATCCAGAACACAGGTCACAATCAGCGAATCCTCGAATTGAGAACATATCCGTATACATAATGGAAGATAGCATCTGTGGGTTTTAATGCTGTTGAGCCTGCGCCCCTGCGTCGACTGTTTCAGCCTATGAAAAGAAACTTTTGACCAATGTACATTTATGCTCTCATCCTTGACAGTTATAATAATGATCCCTTTTAGCAATCAAGTACTTGGTTCTGCAAGACCCGACAGTATTAAATGCTACACGCCAAAGTTTTCCATACATGAGCCCTCGTGAGCCCTCGTAGAGAAACCAAGATTTCATTGAGACCGTTCTTTTTTCTTTTTTGACATTAACTAATAGCACATTCAAAAAAGATCAGCATTGCTGCTGCGTTACGGATTCTAAGTCATAGCCCCAATTCTTCTTCTTCTTCTTCTTCTTCTTCTTTTTCTTCACCTCTTGAGAATTTGTTGTTGAGTGGTGATCGTAGAGTGTGGTTGATGTACTCTTCAGTCCCAGGGATAAGTAGCTGTTTGTTAGTTGACTCGCACCTGTCCAAGGATGACACAAACAGCATTTACCGAAATGCTACCAACTGCCGTTGAAATGAACTTTGTATCGTAGCGAGCTCTAATTCCTACGACACTGCCCAATTGGCAATGGGATCATTGGATTGGACTCAGCCACATTGCTAAGAGCCAGCCTACGTACAAACTGAGCCGCGTGTTCATTCATTCTTTTGGAATCTTTAGATTTCTCATCACTTCGAGTTGCAGCAAAGTACAATTTCACGACGGACAAACGTTAGTTTATGTTAACTTGAACCTTTCACAGAGTCACTGGGAGTAATCAGATGTGTTTTACAACATCCTCACATCATCCTATTAAAAGTGTAGCATGAAATCAAACCTTGCAAAAGTGTGCATAAAATATACCTTTCCCAAATTCCCCTTTATCAATAAAGAGCTAATCACGCGAGTCATCTCAGATTTAGATTTCAAAATTTACAGAACTAGCAAATCTAAACGTACAATCAGCATTTCATCAAAAGGATAATATGTCGTTACCCTCGCAACAACAACCAGTTCAGATCCACAAAGAGCGACGTCGATCATTCATGGACTATGGTGGTGCAAACTCATTCAATAATTTTGCTTCATCCTTTTCACGAGCGCAACAATACAGCGGTTCTTCGTTATTGGAGCAAGTTGAAGATGATGGTGGTGCTAATCGCAGCGCTTCCTTTCTGAAGAAGGACTCCTTTTTGCATTCCGGTACTTCCAGAGGAGACTTGGCGATTTCGCCACTTAATGAAGAAGCAATTGTTGATGATGAAGAAGCACCCAGAAGACCCAGAAGAGGAGATGGTGACCGATTGGAATATTTTCTGTTCCCTCAACCTGATGAGAGCCGAGTTGGTGATGGTGTGGATGGTGTGAGCGATCTCGATGAGTTTACACCGTTGGTCCCAACACTGTCGAAACAGAGTAGTTTCAAATCGCACAGGTTGCCAACAGGAAACTCGACATCGCCCCAGACCATATTCAACTCAATAAACACTTTGGTCGGAATTGGGCTATTATCCATTCCTTTTGGGTTCAGACAAAGTGGCTGGATCATGGGTGTTGCTCTACTTTTGGGATCCGCATTGAGTACAAACTTGACGGCAAAGTATCTAGGAAGGATATTGAAACACCATCCTCATTTATTCACCTACGGTGATGTATCCTTTGCATACGGTGGGAAATTCTTTTCTATTTTGGTGACATTGTTTTTCGTTTTGGATTTGATTGGTGCTGCATTGACATTGATTTTACTCTTTACTGATTGTTTTGCAATCATTTGGCCCCATACTGTTGAGTTGAAAGTTTTGATTGTAACCATTGTATTCTTCACCAGCTTGTTACCGTTGAACATACTTTCATTCTTCAGTTTATTGGGAATCTTGGCAACGATGGGTATAATTATAGTCGTCGTCATTTGTGGGTTCTTGATTGATAAATCACCTGGCTCGCTCTTGGAGTTTGCCCCCACTGCTGCATGGCCAACAAGTGCCAAAAACTTATTCTTCAGTTTTGGAATATTCATGATGCCATGGGGTGGACATCCAGTGTTTCCTGAATTGTATCGTGACATGAGACACCCACAAAAGTTTACTCATGCAAGCAATATCTCATTCCTGGTAACTTTTCTCCTTGATTTCGCCATTGGTGCAACTGGGTACTTGATGTACGGTGCACAAGTCAACGATTCAATAATCAAGAGTTTAATGCAAAATGCAAATTACCCAAGTTGGGTCAATAAAGCGTTATGCTTGATAATGGGGATTTTACCAATAAGTAAGCTTCCCTTAGTCATCCGACCAATCATTAGTTCATATGAGAATATTTTGCAAATTGCGCCTCATTTCAGTCAAAAATCATCAACTTCGAGAGGAGCTCTTCGAGTGATTGTTAGATTTATATTTTGTTGCGTGTTGTTGTTGATTGCGTTAATGTTTACTTCTTTTGGCAAGCTCATGTCCTTTTTGGGAAGTGCCATTTGCTATACAGTTTGTTTAACCTTGCCGTTGTTGTTTTACCTACAATTGAATAAGTCTCGGATTGGACTGGTTGAAAGAGTATTGATCCAAGTTGGCATTGTTGTTTCCATTTCCTGTGCATTATTGGGCACTTGTGCTTCAATAACAACAAAGTCTACAACCTGATGACCTCCCCTCCCCTCCCCACTTTCTCCGAACCAAACAAACAGCCACAAAGTGTCCATGTCAATATTATACCCGGTAATAAACTTTTATTTCATATACAATCTAAATCCTTTGCAAATTGAATAAACCCCCATCGTGTTGAAATAAAAAAAAAAAAATGTAGACATATTAAAAATGAAGAAACCAAAAATAGAATCTAGAATAGGGGAATACCCATATACTTTTGATTAACCGTTAAACCTGCCTCTAGTGCCATTCGAGTCGTCACGTTCTCTTCTCCAACGAAAAGACCATCAGCTTGTCTCCCCTCGTCCCTTCTTGCTGCCATCTCTGTAACGTCTACCATTATAATGATGACTTCCATGAGGTTCAACATAACCAGAGCCATTGTATCCTACACCCATTGGTTGTGCATGCGCCAAATACTGTGCCATAACTTGTGAGCCAGAAGTACCACCAGACCCATTTTCCACCGGATGATTCACCATTGGTGTCGCCACTACTTGCGGGCCCAGAACAACTGGAACAAATCTTATATGTGGAGTGTAGGAGCCCATAAATTGTGGCAGTGGTGGTACCATATACATCTGCTGTTGATAAGCTCCCGATGAGTGAGGAGGTTGATGCTGGAAACATCCATTTCTAAGTTGAGGTGATGGCTGGTAACCTTGGGATCGGAAACTGCTCGTTGAGCTAGTGCGACTCATACGTGTTGGCTGATGACCAAATTGAGGTGAAGCAAATTGTGCATAAGGGGGAAAGACACTTCCATTATTGATTGAATGCGTGGAGGAGTTGCGAGAAGTTCTTCCGTTTAAATGAGGTTGCTCGTAGTAGTACGGCTGGTTGTTGAAATTCTGACGTCTTGCACGCAGCTTCTGAGACCGATAGGCAAAGGTGTCGTTGAAGCTGTCATTTTTGCCACTGGCATTAGTAGAGACAGTGTGGTCAGATCCAATTATTATAGAGACGTCATCATCATCATCATCATCATCATCATCGTCCTCCTCGTCCTCGTACTCTTCAACTTCAGCACCAGGTACTGCTGTCAACACAAGAGCGGTTTGTTTGGAATCACCATTTGTTTGATCTCCACCTTTGTCGTCGTCGTCCTGCTTCCCAGCATACGCCTCTTTTGTCGAATCTTGCTCAACGGAGCTACCCACCTCCCTATCTGATTTGGATAAACCATTTCGATCATGCAGAGCCCCCACTTGCCCCTCCTCAATAGCTGGTTCGGATTGATTCTCTTCGTCCTTGATGATACCAAAAACCAGAGCTGCTTCGTCATTGATAACGTTTCCATTCAGACTCGGCTCTCTTCCATTCAAATGCTCATCTATGCCGTTCCGGCTTGCTCTTCCGTTATCTTTGTTAGAGTTTGCTTTTGATTTCCCCACACAAGCGTGTAATTGGTCTTGGTATTGTTGGTATGTAGAGCCCAAGCTTTTGTCAAAGTTTTTCCTAAAAGAAAACTTTGGTCGGTTTCCACATCGATCCTTACCAAAACTTACCTTGAAACATTTGTACTTTTGAAACATCACATTAGCTGCAACTTGGTCACCTCGAAGCAGCTTAGTCAAATGGATGACCGCGTTTGGCTCTTCGCATTCAAAAGCGCGAACAGCCTTGATCGCATCTGCAATATTCAAAAAATTCAAAAAGGCACATTGCTTATTGTGGTAAAAATTGATTTGTTCCAATCCTCCAATACGCGAAAAATCGGATCTCAATTCATCTTCACTTGGTAATGTGAGATTCAGTCCACTGTTTTCACCATGACTTTTTCGGAGTCCTAAATATACATTCCTTGAAGCTCCGGCGGTTACTGCAAGGGCTATTTCTCTCAGTACTGGGCCACTATGCCTTTTTGCCCAACCAACGGAAACGTCACTTCCATGGATCACCAACTGGTGGAGAACCTGGTGATTCATGAAAAACTTGAGTGCAATATCAGCATCGACAAAAGTGACAAAGCACATTCTTCTTTCGGGAAAGTGGTTCAAGGATTCAACCAAGCCACCAGCTCTCAAGTTGTTTGCAATTTCTTCAATTGTTGTATGGGGGTGCAAGTTCCCCAAATGTATAGCTCTGTTACCAGTGTTGATAGGGTCGGGGTTGTAGCTTGACACAAACGAAGAGTTGGAGTGGAATGCAAATGGAGGGCCCGCTGCCATTGGAATGTGAACAAATTGTGGAGTTGCATTCATTTGCCTTGCATCGGACGATATCATAGAGTAAACGCCGTTGCTCCCGATCAAAGATGGCGCGTGTGCCTCGCTATCATCAGTGTGATCACCTTGCGATGGTGCATACGTGTCATGCAAAATGGGAGACGCATTTTCAATATCGGATGAGTTGGGGCTCACAGGGTCCAAGATATTGACCTTGTTGGGAGAATGCTGCCCCGGTGAGCCAATAATGCTGCACACTTCCGAGCTGTTGTCTAATGGCGCCTCTTCTTCAATGAGACCACAGGTCCCGTCTTCCATCGTCAACTTCATTGCTGCTTCGCCATTTGGTGTGGTTATGTTGGCTGACATTCCCAATTCGGCATCGTCTCGGTACTGAACAAGTGTTTTGTCGCACCTGTCCCTGTGGAAAGTTGCCAGAATGAAACTTATTCCGTACTTGGTACTGACATCATACAAGTCGTTGGAAGAGCCCCTTTTCTTTTTGATGATGGCAGTTTCAGTATTATCCACGTTTTGCTTTTCCAAATCATTTTGAATTTTTCGTTGATAACTTTCGTATGTGTTGATAGCGGAGTCGATCGAAGTAAAGTGGACAATGACTGAGCCTGACAATGTGTTTTCGGTCCCACTCTCCTCTTCTCCTTCTTCATTTTCAAGCAGTGTTGGTTCTTTTTCCAAATCAATTTCAAATGATTCGAAATCTCCAAATTTTTCACATTGACTCGAAATATAGTGTCTCAAATGATTTAGTCTGTCCTCGGCAGTGGTCTCATCCAGCAATGCGTCATTCACACTGAATGAAATCTCTAAACATCGAGTTGCATTGTGATCGATGATGTAGTTCAAATTCTTCAATTTGATATAATCTTGTCTTGGCAACCCACTCCCATTCCTTTGTTTTTTCACATCATTGATTGTGATTTTCAACTTTTCTGATTTCAAAACCTGTCTCAACTTATTCAAGTTGGAGGAGTTTTTAGCGTATTTTAAATAAAACATTGCTGAGATGTTAGAATTAATAAAAGATATCGAGCAGCTTTTGAATGCAGTTTCTTCTTCTTTTTCACCTTCTTCTCCGCCAGAACCATGACCGTTTGAACTGGTTTCGGGAAGCATTTTGATGTACTCGATAGGTCCAAAATCAATGTGATCTAGTACCTCATGCAACGTTGTCTCACTCTTCAAATTTCGCAAAATAACAGTTCTCGAGATATTCATATTTTCAAGGTTTGGGTGCAAAAAGGGGACAGTTCTGGAGTTATGGGACTGGAAAGTTGGGTCCTGCGCTGCGACATTGTCGATACTCCGTTGATCAGCGTAATTTTGTTGTTGGTGTTGCTTGTGATAGCCAGCACTATTACGTCGTTGATTGTGACGGCTGTGGCTTTTTGAATATGAAGCATGAGAGTTCGTTAGCGATGCATCTGAGTTGCGAAGTGACGAGTGGTGTGATATGGGGGGGAAATATTGGGCTGAAGGTGGTGGTGTAAAATAGGGTGTGCTGACAAACAAGTTTGAGGGTAACATTGATTGACTGTATCTCAAATCCAAGGGAGTTAAGGGAGATGGTGGTACCCCTCCACCATTTATATTCAGATAATGTGCTATCTTCAAGGGAGTGGTTGTAGTATCCCCTCCATTTCTGTTGATATGGTTGTTGTAAAACACTTGCTGGTACATTTTGTGAATAACAACAAAGCTAACTGCAAAACAAACGAGTAAAAGTTGATGGTGGCTTCTGAGATACAAACTGCAAACTGGTTGAGAGTCGTTGTAAGTCTATTGCAAGTTGACTAGAAAAAGTATTGTGTGGTTAAATTTCTTCCTCCTCGTTAAATGCGTGGTCGAAATTGCAACGGGAGAGCGGAGTGGTTACCTGTGCGTGTGTGCGTGTGTGCGTGTGGGTGTGCGTGCGTGTGGGTGTGTGGGTGTATATGGAGCGAGTGTGTAAAAAGAGAAAGAAGATGTGCACCTGTTGCTGTTGCTGTTGCTGCAGTTATTAGCTGAGTGGTTGTAGTTGTGGCTGTAGTGGATAAGTTGGTGCAATATTGGAATTAAAATTTGAAAATTTCGTATGGGTGTGTTAGTGTTAGTGTCAGTGTGTGTATAACTGTATATGTGTATATGTGTGTATACTTGTAACACTCTCTCCCCTTTGGAAAGACAAAAAAAAGAAAGTTTCAAATTTTCTATTGTTCTTCTTCTTTTTTTTTTTTTTTTTTTTTTTTTTTTTTTTTTTTTTTTTTTTTTTTTTTTTTTAATTTTTATTTTGTTTTGTTTTTCCAACTCTTTATTCTTAATTCTTATTCTTTACTCTTACTCTTACTCTCAAAATCTCTTTTTCTCAATAAAATTTCCTAATTTGTTATTAATGTGTGTATATGACGTTGAAGATATACTCCTCCCCCCCCTCTCTCTCCAATTGATGATGGCTTTCTATTCTGTTTAGCTCTATATTTGGGGCTTTTTTTTGAGAGTTGATTTTTTTTTTTTCCTTTTGTCACTCTCACACATTCAATGCTAGAATCAAGTATGAATTGATCACCCTTTGTGTGTGTATATGTACAATCACTGTTGCTTGAAGGAGAACAAAAAAAAAAAAAAAAAAATAGACACCCTTTCTATATGGGTGGAAAAAACAAATTACAATAGTGAACTCTCAATTGAAATACTAAAAGGTTTGTGTGTGTGTGTGTGTGTGTGTGTGTGTGACAGTACTCCGTACTTGTAACCTTACTCTGTGTCAGTATTATATGTGTCTATGTTGTATGTCTGTGTTTATATGTTTATATGTTTAATCATAATCTTAGGAATTTTGTTCAGCATTGTTTATTTTGTTTCGATTGTTTCAATTGTTTCAATATTTGTTTTTTTTTTGAGTTTTACACAAAATTGATTTCGCGTACATTCCCTTTTATTTATATTTTTTTTTGTTTTTGTTTCTTCAGCCCCACTCACTCTCGCACACTCTCTCTCACACTCTCGCACACTGCTTTTGCTGTTTTCTTTTTCTTTTTTTTTTTTGTTTTTTTCACTTAGTGTACTGATGGAATGTTTTTTGCTTTTTTGCTTTTTTGCTTTTTTGCTCCCATTTGGTTTCATCAGCCCAATCCTGTAGTGCGATTAACCTACATTAATCATCAATGTATATTTTCTTCACTTCAAAACACAATCAAGTACCACCTAACTACTCACACTCTTTTTAGAGTACACCTTGAAATCTTAATTTCGTGTTTTTTATTTTCTTTTGCCAAATGTAACCTGCTGTTTATAGAAAACCTCGGCATCATCCACTTGTTTTTGTGATGAGAACGCGTTCGTCTCATTTAAGTGCTTAAAGTGTCCCATTAAGGTTTATTGGTCTCATCTCATCTCATTTCGAATCCCGTAGTGGTACCCTTGTCACTATTTGGTCTCCTTTTTTCACTAGGTCAATGTATCGTTTGGTAACGATATGCGACTCCATTTTGACATATTTTGTTTTTCCCTCACTGCTTGCATCTATGTATTTCTGGAGAGATGCTTGCGTTCAACACCGTAGGTAGTGGTAATGGTACTCCGCGTGGCCCATATGACTCTCATTGTAGAGTCTTGCTCCGTAATTTCAAGAGAGTTTCACTTTATTGCAAGAACAAAATAGAAATAACGTCCCGTTCCTCGTCAGGGAGATGTCAGTCCCACCTGAATCAGAAACGGACTCAACTCTAGGCTAGTCTACTACCAGAAGGACACATTGTATATTGGTAGAAGGATTGTACAGTTTGCTTATTGAATTTTGTTTGCTAGTAACTTCGTGACTTGTGTATACCAATTTTTTATGCTGATTGACATCCAATCTTATTGAAATCCAACCAGGCACTCTTAACATATTATTAACAAGTAAATAACACTTCTCTGATGTATATTTCTCATGGGTGTATAACTGAAAAGGTGGGTGTACTATGTATTATTTGAGGATCTGTTTTAACAACCAACACCCACCCCAATTGTTGCAAAAAAAACAAATTAAAAAATTGTAAAAAATACACTAAAAATTTATTGTCCCAGGCAAGTATCAAACTTCCTTCTTACTAATAGAGGTGGCACCTTACAATAAGACTAGACTTTTGAAAAAGTTGTCTACGTACAAGCTCGGGCATTCCCTATCTAGCTTCGTCTCGCTCAAATAAAGCTGGTTCTTCGACATGTAAAACTGATTGCTCCTCTTTTCAACCCACGAGTCTGTCCCATAACTCGCTGAAAGATTAAGTGGGTCATGGTGTCAGTCTGATCACTCAATACCATGTCCTAGTTTCATAGGCGATCCTGTTTACTTCCAACTACAAGGCTTTCCAATTTTTTGCTGACGTCAATGTCGCATATTCTCAATTCACGACACATTGCATCTCATCTTTGTATGCGCTACCGCCCATCTTACAAAATTTTTTCCGTTCATTTTCATTTCCTCATTTGCTCTCTCTATACTATTGAACATCGAAGAGAGAGAGAGAGAGAGAGAGAGGAAAAAAAAAAAAAAAATCAAATCAAAACATCACTAATTTGAATACGAAAGTTTTCATCGCTCTTTCTTGATTCAATCCAATCAATTAAGTAATACACTTAAATTTCATAATAGATAATCACAACCCTTACAATCTATTGCAATAATAATAATAAAAGAAAAAATGGCTCAAGAAGTTCCTACTTTCAAATTAGTTCTTGTTGGTGATGGTGGTACTGGTAAAACCACATTTGTCAAGAGACATTTAACTGGTGAGTTTGAAAAGAAATATATTGCCACCTTGGGTGTTGAGGTCCATCCTTTAGGTTTCCACACCAACTTTGGTGAGTTAAAGTTTGATGTCTGGGACACTGCCGGTCAAGAGAAGTTTGGTGGTTTGAGAGATGGTTACTACATCAATGGTCAATGTGCCATCATTATGTTTGATGTTACTTCCAAAATCACTTATAAAAACGTTCCAAACTGGCACAGAGACTTGGTAAGAGTTTGTGAAAACATTCCAATCGTATTATGTGGTAACAAGGTTGATGTCAAGGAACGTAAAGTTAAAGCCAAGACCATCACTTTCCACAGAAAGAAAAACTTGCAGTACTATGACATCTCAGCCAAGTCAAACTATAACTTTGAAAAACCATTCTTGTGGTTGGCCAGAAAGTTGGTTGGTAACCCTCAGTTGGAGTTTGTTGCTTCTCCAGCCTTGGCTCCTCCTGAAGTCCAAGTTGATTCTGACTTGATGCAAAAGTACCAACAAGAAATGGAACAAGCTACTGCTTTGCCATTGCCTGATGAGGATGATGCTGACTTGTAAACGCAACAGCTACTATGTGTTTGTTGACAAGAGTCTATATAGCAGGTGCTAGTCATTAGAGTATTTTTTTTATTGATACATAATGTACACGCAAGAGAATCTCGGTTGGAAAAGTGACGCTGTGTTTTATTTTTTTATGGATGAGCAGTAGATGATACGCTTCTACATGGTGTAGTTTTTTTTTAATTTATAGTTTAAGTAGTTTACATAGTGTATAGAATTGAAATATATTAATACTTTTCAACAAGGCGACTCAATCTCTAGTCCGAAGCGTGAAGGGAGGAGGGGGGAAGGGGGGAAGGGGGGAAGGGACTTTTTCATTGATGCTGATTGTCAAAAACATTCTTAGCGTGTATATCCACCACTTGTCAATGAATCTAGCCCAACCCCATTTATGTTTCAGTAAAAACTGTCAACCTTAAATAAACTTCCTAATGATTCATCACTGCTGCGTAAATCGATGAACTGCAAGTTGAGCTTCTCTTGCATTATTGTAAATCGCAGGTGGTGGCGGAGGTAGTCCAGTCAAATGTGGCGGAGGCGGAAGTACGAACTCCTCATCCTTGTCTGCATTTTCTACCGCATAGCCATGTCTAATCTGGTTCTGGTTCAGGTCCAAAGCACCTTTATCCCCGCTTCTCCTATCAGCAGCACCAAGCCCAGAGGTGTAATTGTTACTCGAATTTTTATCACTGCTACTGGTGCCACCGCCCGGTATACCTTTGTTCAACTTGTCAAATGTAACTTCATATATTAGCTCTTGTGGGCTCCATTCACCGGTTTCTTTAGCCTTGAACTCGTAGTAGTCGCAGTAGTATTTGATGTGATGCTTACCCATCAAGTGAGATTTTCGAACACTCATGGTGTCATGAGTCAAGTAAGACTTGCAATAATCGCAATAGTACTTGGGCATGGTCAGCTGTTGTGGTGATGTGACTTCAATGGAGGTCCAACGGATGGTTCTTCTGGCAGTTTGAACCTGATTAGATTGTGTGGAACTATGTTGGGTGTCGTGTTACCTTGCAATGATATCACGTGAAGAAATGATTTCCCCTTGTCCAATTGAAATACAAGATTTCTGTTAATGCGAGAGTTTTGGAGAAATTGGTTCGGCGCACTACCAAGTTATAGGGTGGAAAAAACATAAAAAAAAAAAAAAAAAAGAAAAACTGGTTGGTTAAAAGTGAAAGCAGTGATCAAAACGACATACAGAAACGTTATACCTCAATAGAAAGGAAAAATGTTCAGACCAATTGCTGTATGTACATCTTAATGTGATTGAATAATTGTGGGGTGTGGTGTGAATGGGTAGGCCATCAGATGATTGAGGAGTGTTACGGTGAGATGGCAGATTGAATTAGATAACAACAATATCAATGAGCTTTCGAGAGACATCAATGTCTTTGATGACTCCTACAATGGCCAGTAACGAGTGATAAAACGTCGCATGGGCTACTACCTACTCCGCTATTGCTTCCAGTTAAGGCACCGCCGTGGGTTTAAACCGGTTTGATAAATTGGCAAACCTGACTCTAGCAAAACAACCTCCACCCCCCACCCCACCCCACCCCACCCCGTCTCTTCTATTGCCTCGAAATCAACACTTTCCATTCCTACTTGCTTACTAACTAACTCAACTCTAGCGTATATCATCAAGAAGATTATTTTCAATCACCCCAAGAAGATCAAACTTGATTGGTGACTTGTACGTCCAAAACATTAGACAGTTCAAGCCACAAGCCCTTTCACAAGAAGAGATTGATGCCGCTGTAAAAAAGTTTCAATTGCCAGGTAAGCCAACCATTCCCCAAATCCACGAGTTGTCAACTGAACAAGTTAAAGAGTATGAACAGAGTGAAGTTGAAGCTGAAGCTGCACAACCAACTGAAAATGACTCTGAAACTAAGCCAGATGAAGATTGGTTTGTTTTTGATGAAGTTGAGGCTGAGGGCCATTAATGTTTTTGATGGACCGGAGATGGTGCAACGTGAACCACATTTCCTGATCAAGATTGACGGCGTGGTTTTCTTTTCTTTGTATAAGAAAATATAGAAATGGAATGATTACATATTCATTGATGCTCATTTTTCGATAGTAGCCCTGGCTTTATCTAAACAAGAGATGGTCTTGTAGATCGGAACCGTGAATATGTAGCGGGGAACACAGAAGAGAAAAACAAAATCACTGAGTCAACAAACATCTATGCTTTCGCAATATTGGGTTGTAGTTCACTGACCCCTCACTGTAGCTCTCCTATAGCAAGCTATTCGTCTCGCTGCAATCAGATTTGGTGAGTTACACCCTCAAGGGGGAAAGAGAAAATTGAATTGCAAATCTGTAACACATTTGGGTATTTTTTTTTGTGTCATTTTGTGTCTTTGAGAAAATCAAAACAATCAAAATAAAGAAACACGCTTTGCTCAAGAGTCTTTAAACATCCTAGTCTATACCTTAACAATGTCAGCCTCAGACCCTGCGTATGACGTGTCGAAAGTGAAAGCGTTGGCTGAGCTTGTTAATGCTACTTTGGAATCCAGAGCATACATTGACACAAAGCTATTATTCCCAAGCGTAAATTGGTCTTATCTTATTACAGATCAAATCAAAAACAACCCCAACCATTCAAAACCTACTGAAACGATTTACAAAAACGACGAAAACATATTACGTGTGATGAATGAGCTAGTCTTGAGTATTGATAAGAACCGCAGCCGTCAAAAGAGTCTCAACGATACATTGACAGTGAGAGATCGCCAAATTGAAGAATTGAGTCAACGAGTGGTGACCCTAGAGAAGAGATTAGCTGCAACAGAGCATAGGAGTCGTGATTCGCAAATCGATCATACTGCATTGATGAAACGAATCTTTCACTTGTCTCAGGCTAACAAATTGCAACTGAAGGATATAAAATCGTTGACAACTGCAAACAAGGATCTTCAAGCGAAATTTCGAGTTGAGTTGAAACGCAAGAACTTGGCAATAAGCAATTTGAAGAATAAATTGGTTGAGAAAAGGACGCTTAGTTCAACTATTGAATATGGAATACCGGTAACTCCATCATCACTGCAACCATCCACAATCAATCTTGGTGGTGGTGGTGGTGGTGAAGATTCAAACGAAGGAATTTACAACAATACTCCAACGATTGACAACTCTATAAACACCGGTATAACGTTCACCAATCCTGAGCTAATCAACCTTCAGCACAATGACAACAGCAATACCAGCAACGACAATACATCAGAATATATCAAGTCACTAACAATGATTATTGAAAGTATAGCGGGTGAGAATTATAAACTAACAAAGTTTATCCAACATGTCAAAAACTACCTCTCTATGGTCAATTCACAAATGACAACCTATAAAGGAGTGGAATTAGATTTAGGGATCCCCAACCCTTCAGAAACGATTGATTTGAAACAAATAAATGACGCAATAGATGGATCTGTGATTCAAAAGTTTTATAATGAGATTGATAATGCCGAAGTTGTGCAATTGCCACTAGTCAATGAGTTTTATAAATTGTATCATAATCTCAAACAAGTGTTGGAATTGATGGCTAATGTTGGTATAGATCTGGATGCACAAAAGGTCATTGATGATCTTCGTCTGGATTTGAAAGTGACAAAGGATTGTTTGCAAGATTCATTGGAGATGAACGAAAAATGGAAGAAACTTGCTCGGAACAAAGAAGGTACATGATTAAGTACACATTGGACTACATACATATATATATATATATATAGCAACTGGCATTCGGTAACTAGTTAGATGTAGTTGATACTTTACACTCAATTTGATGATGCCCTCTTGAACAATTGTGAGATTGTTTCTCTCAAACTAACCACGTACAAAGGGAAATCTTTTCCTGGGTTATCCATCTCCAGTTCAATTTCTTCCCTTTGTGCCCCAATCATCTTATCTTCAGACAATTCTCCTAGCAATTTGTTGACGAGCACTCCCGTACAAAAGACTTTGTTGTACAGCTCATCGCTTTTCAAAATTGTGATTTCTTGCAAACTAACATCATGCAAGGAATCGTTCAGCAGCAACTCGCTCAAATTTGACAAGTCAATCACCCCATCTTTCCTTGATTCATGCTGAAATGAAGGCCGCTTTGCTTTCTCAAAAATTGAATTCTCTTCGGAATTTTCTGGATCATTGATGTAAAGCTTATTTACGCGAATCAAGTCACCAGGCTCAAGGACCGGAAAATGAGATTCCTCTTCACCAAAAAAGGGTCTCATAACCATGACGAGATCGCCAACTCGTATGAGGTTATCTGAAAGTCGGTCAGCCACTCCACAGATTATCTTGGTTTTAGCTTCTCTTTCTCTTTTCTTGAGGCTTCCTTCTTCGATAAAAGGGGTGGTTGGTGTCAATCGGATTTGAGCCGAAGAGTCAAATATAGTCTTGCTGGTGGCAGCTGGATGGGCAATTATTGTAGGATTGGCATCAATGATTCCCTCTTCATCGTCAAGGACAACCACTTCATCTCTTTCACCGGTCTCTGCCACTGCTTCTTTGGAGTTACCAATAATCTCAAATCTTGAAAGATTTAGAGCAGACACATCCTCTAAATTTCCAGGGCTTTCAGTAACATCAAACTTTTCACAAGCACTTCCAAACTCGTCCAAACTTTCACACGTCTCGTCTCTGGTTCGGGGGATATCCCTTACCACAGGATTATTCTGAGGAGCCTCTAGAGCAACAGCAGCACCATCACCTGATACAATTGCACATTCGTTTAAGGCTGGGACCTCTTTGGTAGATTCATGTTCTTCAATCAAATCGTTCTGACAAGCAGCAGTGTTTCTCTCAAGTGCAGCCGATCCTATTGGGTAACTGTTTAATGCCACGTTTGACCCATTGGATTCCGAAGCTTGACTATGATCAACATTTGAAACGTTTTGTCGCTCCAAATCAGAATTCACTGCTACTGCTGCTCGTAATGATCGCCCCGTTCTATTCTTTGTCCAGATTGACAAGGTGTGTAAATACCAGTATGGATCTGTAAGCGAGGTGACCATGAGTAAAGTAAACGTTGTCAAGGACAACGTGACAATTAATAGAATGAGAAGTGCTGTATCGGAACCGGACATTGTACAAGTGATGAAATTGCCGACTCAACGGATGGAGGTATGGCTTCACGCGTGAATAGTTCTTGGTTGTGACCTGTGTATCTCTATATATACATATGTGTGTGTGTGTGTGTCAATTTTGGTTGCAAACGAATATTCCCCTCCTTTACATTCTTTGAAATAGGGACACTACTTTTTCAAATCAACCCCATCCAAATCAATCTTGGCTGATTTTATGAATTTGTCAAACTCATCATCGTCACAGTTTGTTGCTGCTCCTTCGTTGTCTTTCTCTAAGCTATGACCGAGCTCTTGCATCAATTCGCGTTCTCGCTCCAACTCCATTGTCTTTTCTGCCTCTTTTGCTTCATTTATTGCGCGATATTTCCTACTCGACTTTTTAGCTTTGCTTTGCTTTACCTTCTGAGCTCTTTCAGCAAGAACAGCGTTTCTACTAGTCTCTGGATTATAAAAATCGTCCAATTTCAACGCTAAGATCTCCCTCGCTTTCTTCCTATTTTGCTCCTGCGATCTAGTTGCTTGGCAAGTAACAACAATTCCCGTTGGCTTGTGAGTCAACTGAACTTTGGAGTTTGTCTTGTTGATTTTTTGTCCTCCTGGTCCTCGACCTCCCTTGATAAAGTTCTCTTCAATTTCATCTTCTTTGACTAGCCACCTTGGCCGTGGGGGTAGCTTGTTTCTCTTAGGTATAGCATACGCAACAAGAGAAGTAGTTGTGAGTCGTCTACTGAAGTACGTTATCATATGAACATAAGATCAGTCATTAAGCATGGTTCAAAAAGCATCTCGCAAAGTTCAAGCTACCAAAAACTTATGAAAAAGAAAAGAGCACAGAGAAAGCACTACCTCCTCTTCCTCCTCCTCTGCGCGCGTTGTGCGTTGGGACAAAATTAAAATAAACCATAATAATAATAATAATAATAATAATTTAACCCGATTAGGAACACTTATATGCTACACGCTAAATAAATAATGTTCACAATAATTTCATAATCTTCACAAACTTCTTAGTCTTCACAAACTTCACTACTTTTCTTACAACTTTGACTTGCTTCTTTCATCCTCCCATAGCTGTCTATTCTTCACCTGACACTCACATATCGTAGTGTATTTGCACATCCGAACCCACTCCATCGATAAAGAATTTTTGCTGCTATTGCCAATTTTTTTTTTTTTAATTCACATAACGCGTCTATCCAAAGAAGAGCCATGTCTTTCGAACGTCCAAGTGTTTACTCCGCTCCCGTCTTACAAGGAGAGAGTCCCAGTGATGATTCCCATAATCAAATCACCAAAGCTTTCCGCACATTCATATTGGAGTTTAGATTGGACTCACAATTTATTTACAGAGATCAATTGCGTGAAAATTTGTTGATAAACAACTACTTTCTCAAGGTTGATAGCGAGCACCTTATTGGATTTAATGAGGAGTTGAACAAGAAGTTGACAGATGACCCGTCTGAGATGATTCCACTTTTTGAAATTGCCATCACTGATATTGCTAAAAGAGTTGCATATTTGTCCAAAGACGAAATTCCTGCAAATTTTCCAACTTGTCAATTGATCTTGTATTCACAAGCAAATAAAGTTTCAATAAGGCACTTGGACTCGGAGCATATTGCTAAAATTGTCAGAGTTAGTGGTATTGTTATTTCTGCTTCGGTTTTGTCTTCAAGAGCCACTGAGGTACAATTAATCTGTCGTCAATGTAAACATACAATGCAGTTAAAAGTCAAGTCTGGATTTGGTCCTATTCAATTACCAAAATGTCAAAGTCCTCATAATATTGACCCCAACTCCACCCAAGAGAAATGTCCACAAGATTCATACGTTATCGATCACGATAAATCTCATTTCGTGGATCAACAAATCTTAAAGTTGCAGGAATGTCCCGATATGGTTCCTGTTGGAGAAATGCCCCGTCATATTATGTTACAAACAGACAGATACTTGACAAATCAAGTTGTCCCCGGTACAAGAGTCACCATTGTTGGTATTTACTCAATTTTCCAATCCAAACAAAGAGCGAGCAACAGCAGTGCTAGTAACGTTGCAATTCGTAATCCTTATTTGAAAGTTCTTGGAATTCAAACGGATATCGACAATGGTGCCAACGGACAGGGTATCACCTTCAGTGAAGAGGAGGAGGAGGAATTCTTGAAGTTGTCAAGAATGTCCAACTTGTACGACGTCTTTGCCAATTCCATTGCGCCTTCCATCTATGGAAACCAAGATATCAAAAAGGCAATTACTTGCTTGTTAATGGGTGGATCCAAGAAGATCCTTCCAGATGGAATGCGATTGAGAGGTGATATCAATGTTTTGTTGTTGGGAGATCCAGGTACTGCTAAGTCCCAATTGTTGAAATTCGTAGAGAAAATTGCCCCCATTTCGGTATACACCTCGGGTAAAGGTTCTTCAGCCGCTGGTTTGACTGCATCTGTGCAAAGAGACCCTCAAACTAGAGATTTCTACTTGGAAGGTGGTGCAATGGTGTTGGCTGATGGTGGTGTTGTATGTATTGATGAGTTTGACAAAATGAGAGATGAAGACAGAGTGGCTATTCACGAGGCAATGGAACAACAAACCATCTCCATTGCCAAGGCCGGTATCACAACAATTTTGAATTCGAGAACATCTGTCTTGGCCGCAGCTAACCCGGTGTTTGGAAGATATGACGAATTTAAATCACCAGGTGAGAATATCGATTTCCAGTCAACAATTTTGTCTAGATTTGATATGATCTTCATCGTCAAAGATGATCATAATGAGAGCAGGGATCTTTCTATTGCTCATCATGTTATGGATGTGCATGCTGGAGGTAAAACCCAGGAATTACAACAGGAGGGAGAAATTCCAGTGGAAACAATGAAGAGGTACATTCAATATGTCAAGTTGAGATGCGCCCCTCGTTTAACGGCTGAAGCCTCTGAGAGATTATCATCCCACTTTGTTTCCATCAGAAGAAGATTGCAAATTAACGAAAATGAAATGAATGAAAGATCTTCAATCCCAATCACGGTTCGTCAATTGGAAGCCATCATCCGTATTACTGAATCGTTGGCCAAGTTGAGATTAAGTCCAGTCGCAACCGAGGAACATGTGGAGGAAGCTATTAGACTATTCACTGCTTCTACGATGGACGCAGTTGATCAAGGCTTGGGAAACAGTGCTGATGCCAACTTGAACGCGGAAATCAAGAAAGTTGAACAGGAATTGAGAAGAAGGTTACCAATTGGATGGTCCACTGCGTATAGGACTTTGAGGAAAGAGTTTGTTGATTCTGGAAAAGCTAGCAGCTCGGCTTTAGAAAAGGCTTTATATATTTTGGAGAGACACGAAGTTATCAAGTTCAGGCACCAGGGTCAAAATATACTAAGGGTTGGTGTTTAGGTCTTGTTGCTAAAGGTTTAATTTCTAGCTGTATAATGATATTTGTACTATAATTTTGTAATCTGTGAGCCTCATCGAAAAATCGTAAGCTGTCCAGGAGAGGGAAGAACGTTTCACCTCTACGCTTTCAATATTATAATAACTGAGTCCCCTCTCAAAAACATCTTACTTATAAACCTCTCTCTTGAAACGCTCTTTGTCTGGTTAAACTCATTCTTCACAGTCTCGGTCCACAACTCCTTAACATTCTCCAACACCAAATTACAATGCCTATCGAAAGCTCGAATCTTACCCACTAATTTATGATTGTTTCGGCACGATATTATCACCGGAGTATCTTGTTTCTGCGCTTGGTTTATGAGCGACATGGGCCCGTGCAAGAACTCAAACTCTTCTAGTTTGGCAAGTTCGAGTTCGGTTAATTCTGATCGTGGACGGTCTATGAATTCACTAAAGGAGTGGAGAGGGGGTTGAGTTAGTAACAAGTTGGGATGGGTAGTAGGTGATCGCTTGGCGTGAGAAAACATACCTCATTGATTATATTGAATAGTTTAGCTTGCAACTGTTGTATACAGCGCTCAGTGGCTTGAACGGATTAATTGTATGTGGCTGATA